CTTATTAAAGTATAAGTATAGCTCTTTCTTAGATAACGTAAGTCTCTAAGCTTTTAGTATTTAAGAAAACTTCTTATACTATAATAGTAGTAAGTTATATAGCCTATATAGCGCTCTTTTAAGCTAGATATATTTTCTAGTAATTATAAACCTATCTAGAAGCTTATAAAGTATAGCTAGCTAGCTATTCTAGTAAGTGTTAAGAAAGGCTCTAATAACGTTAAACTAGCGTACCTCTAAATTAAACTACGCTATAATTACTATCTTTATATAGAAGAATTAGGTAGTAAGCGTAGTAGCGTAGGTTACCTTAAGTAAGTTCTTTACTTAAAAATCTTCTCTAATATATATATAAGCTTTATACTTAGTAAAGAAGCTATCTTTATTAAACTTATATAAGAATACCTACTTAAGTAAAAGTAGCCTTTATAGCTATAAGTAGCGCTTAATTATCTTCTATATATTCTTTTTAATTAGTATCTAGATTTTCTTATAAGCTACGTCTCTAAAAAGCTCTCTAAATAGGTAGTTATATAGATTCTTCTATTTCTATAAAAGTAGTAGTAATTTGTCTTAGTATATATAGAGCTTTTTTTCTAGAAGAAGTACTATAGCTATAACTACGTATAGAGTTCTATACTCTATAAATTAAGCTTACACTTTTAGAGAGCTTATTTAGAGAAAGACTAGCTATTTCTAATTAGCTAGATCTATACGTACGTTACTAAGTAGCGTATATATTTCTCTACTTCTACTATCTCTAAGCTTATCTAGGTTATTAGAATCTTACTCTTATAGTTTATAACTTATATATATAGAATTTCTCTATTTCTTTTTATTATACGCGTGCTTAGAGAGTAGCTCTAGTACTTTATCTAAGGTATTAGAAGCTACGCGCTTAGGTTAAGAGGTACCTATATCTACTTATTATAGTAGTTAGACTATAGAGCTAGATTTCTATAGGTTTACTTCTCTAGCGTTACGTGTAGTATAGAGACTACGTAAATTATTTATTCTCTAGCTTCTCTCTAGATGCTTAGTTAGTAACTCTAGCTCTAGAGTAGGCTTAGAGAAAGAGAGTTCTATACACTTCTTATACTCTATATAAGTTCTTAGTAATCTACTAGCTATACTTATTACCTACGCAGCTACTAGAATTATTATTTTCTAATCTAGTAGTTAGCTATCTACCTAATTTAGGTCTTATAATCTAGTACCTCTAAGCTCTTACTTAGTTAGCTATTAAGTAGTAATAGTACTCTATTACTTATCTAATTCTATAGAGAGTAGCTCTAAGGCTACTTCTACGTCTTAGATCTTACTATACTTATAGAGAATATAAATAATCTTAATTACCTCTTTTTAGAGAATTACTTTAATCTCTCTATTCTTATAGAAGAGTGTCTTATTAAAGATTATATTTCTTATAGTAATTACCTAATTAAGCTAAGAGACCTATATTCTATAGATATTTAAAGCTCTATAGCCTACTAAATATCTAATATAGCCTCTTAGAGTAATCTTAAAGTTTTTCTTATTATACCTAGCTACGCGTTTCTAGTTTAGTAGGTAAGCGTAATAGCTATACGCGTATATACTACTCTAGTCTAGGCGTAGATCTACTATAGTATTTCTTACGTACGCTAGCTTATAGTATTAAAAGTATTACTAGAACTATATATCTAGAATCTTATTAGAAGAGCGTAAGTTATATACGTATAAGAGACTTATATTATATAACTACGTTATAGCGTATATAACTTCTAGCTAGAGCTTTTTAGAGAGCTTTACGCTACTTCTTATTAAGATTAACTTTATAAGTATCTCTTTACTAGCTCTCTCTACTCTACTATTAGGCTTATATATATATACTAGAGTTAGCTTAATTTCTATACCTTACTCTTCTATCTAGAGCTTATATTATAATTTTCTCTTCTATAGAAGTATTATAGTATTATTATTCTACTATAGTTTAACTATATTAAGCTAGTATTTTATACGTATAAAGCTCTTAAATACTTATAGTACGCGTAGAATCTCTAAGAGTAATTTTACTAGAAGTGTGCGTATAAAGATCTTTTTGCTAAAGTTATACTTTAGAACTATTATCTAGAGCTCTTCTAATTACTCTAAAAGTATATTAAATAGATTCTATATAATTCTCTAGAATAGGTAGAGTAATTACTCTCTTAGGCGTTAGAAGATTACTTATATAGTATATATAGTTACGTAGTATTTATACTATAAGCGCTTAGTTCTAGTTATCTATACGTTCTATATACGTTGTATAAGTACTTATAAGGCTTATTTCTCTAGGTAACCTGCTTTTATATACTATATTTGCTTAGTATTATATTATAGGTATGCTTACTATAATTATTAATTTATTACTATATTAATTACTTACTTAGCGTAAAAGAACTTAGGCTTATATTTAATAAACATAAGGTTATACTTATGTAAGAGGTTTATAAGTACTACGCTCTTTTCTATTATTTCTATACGTAAAGAGCTATCTAGCTCTAGGTACTAGACTTCTTTCTCTCTTAGATAAGCTTCTAAGATAATATTAAGATAAAAACTCTTAACTACTATAACGTTATATAGAGTAAGATCTTTTATACTTTATCTCTAAGCTCTATTAAGTACTTCTTTAAGTAGGTAAGTACCTATTTCTATAATTAGAAAGGCTTAGATACCTACTTCTACACATTAAACACCTTAAGCTTTTCTAAATAACCTAGGTACGAGTAGCTCTTACGTATTTACTAAGTATAGAGTAGCTCTATTATTAAGAATTATACTTATAGAGAGAGAGTAAGTGTTAAAGTTTATAGTTGTATAGATTTCTATTAGCTTACTAAGAAGTATTAGGTTAATTAGTACTACTTAAATACTTCTAGAGTATAGTAAGATAGTTAATTCTTTATTATTATTTAACCTACTTAGAAGCTTCTAACTCTTCTTTAGTAGAAATACTCTAGTAGTTTTAAACCTATCTAAGTTAAGTTACGTAAGAATCTTCTAACGCGTATTCTAGCTAATTATTACTTTTTAGCTAGTTACTACTACCTTAAGTGTATAATAGACGTCTAATCTCTATATATAGAGTTTTAGATTACTCTATAGCTCTTAGTAGAGGTAGATTCTTATATTAACTAGTATGCGTTTCTTCTAATAACTTATACGCTAATCTAATTATCTACCTAGCGTTATAAATATACTAGAGTTTGTATTAGATACTTATAGAGAGTGTTTATAGATTATTATAGTAAAGATTTTTTTAATCTCTTATAAAGTAAGCTTCTTATTAACGCTAAGTACGCTATTCTAGATAACCTTCTAGTATATAGCTCTAGTCTATTCTAGCGTAAGCTTTAGAGTAAGAGCGTTAAGAAAGTTCTATATAGTAAGCTAGCCTTCTACGTCTATAAGCTTATACGTCTTTACCTTAATATATAGAAAGTACTACTATTAGTACTAATCTTTAGGTATTTAAGTACTCTACTTTGCTTTTTTAAAGTAAGTATAGTACTTAGCGTAGACTATATTTAAGGTGCTTACTAACGTTAGTATAAGCTTACTTTTTAGAACGTATATAAGCGCCTATAGCGTTAAACGCTTCTAAGACACAAGCTCTATTATAGCTAGTTTAAGAAGCTTTAAAGTAATAGTTACGTTTACTTAGTTCTATAGGGTTTAAAGGCGCGTTGCCTACAACGTCTAGTTGCTTAAGAGCGCTTTATACTTATTAAGTCTTTACTAGTAGAGTGTATTAAGAGATGCTATACTTAGAGTAGGTATAGTCTATATACTCTTACGCTTACTACTCTTACGCTTACTACTCTTAGAGGGCGTAGCGGATAGCACTTTACTAGTAATTAACTCTATTATTAGAAACGTTAGGGCGGAGTCTACTAGGTTTATAGCGTCTTTAGCGTCTAGATTAATCTAGGTCTATAGTTCTTTACTAATTACGTAGAACTAGAGCTAAATATACTAGTATAGCTAGGTGTTACAATTACGTAACTAGTATAATTTAGTAGAGAGAGCTTTACTTATAGCGTTAGCTTATAGAGTATATAAATAGAAGGTGTCGTTTAACTATATAAGAATAACTAGAGTAACTAAGTAGTCTCTAGCTAGCTCTTTAAGTACGTAGAGAGAACTTGTTCTACGTTCTTAAAGCGCTAGGCTTATAACTATAGAGGAAAAGAGAAAGCTTAGTAGAGGTTACTTAGTTAGGTAAGAAAAATAAGAAAGAAGATTACTATATTAGAACTAGAGAGCTCGGCTCTCCCTATATAGTAATCTTGGAGCACGGGATAAGTTATCCCCGTGCGGTGCGCAGCTTAGGCTCTGCGACAAATAGATATCTCGAAAATAACCCGAATTTCGAACTTCTCAGTTCATTGCTGTGCACTTGAGCGCGCTATATTCGATATTATACTAAAGAACGGGCTGGGAAGACAATATGGAGAAGCCGTACGATGTGCCAGTCTCCTTAACAGTTGTCTCAACTATTTCTATTGCACTCGGAGCAATAGCTGCGCTATAGATCGCACTAGACATTATACAGCAACAAAGCTAGAAAAGCATGATGTGGATAATGTCAGAAGCTCGCCCTAAACCGCTCTTTCCTCATGCGAGACTACTACTGGTTGATCAAGAAGCGAATTAAAGAGCCTTGCACATAAAGAGGGAACGAAGCCGACAGAGAAGTCGGCGGTTTCTTCTTGACATCTCATCTATCAGGTCCAAGGCAGTGCGGAGTAGTAGTCGTACAAGGCGTCTATAGCCCGAGAGTGTAGCATTGATAGCAGTAGTTAGAGTACGTTGAAAAGAGTGGGCTGCTTTGGATGATGGGGATTTTACGAGGGCACGTGATGTAGCCGCTAGCGCTTTTAAGTGAGCCTTGAACTCCTCTTGTCGTATTGCGCGGAGCCTTCGAGTAGACACAACCACATCCACCATGCCTCCACGATTAAATCTTCTCACTTCCACGCGATCAATTCCTTATAGACCGAAAGTGCAGGCGCAATGGCTTGCACGACCGACCACGCGAGCGGCGCCGTGGCAATCCCGCGCATACTCCGATTCGAAAGATCCTCCTTCGGCAGACCGATCAAAACGAATTGAATCGCAGCCTCTTCCACACATCTCTGAAGAGGCAGCGAAGATAGCGGAGATAACAGGCACCCAAGGGCCCGATGTGAACAAAGGAACACCTGTGGAAGAGGTCTGTCGGTTGGCTTCCTTTCCAGGAGATGGAAGGCTGACTCCGCGCTAGGTCGTCAAGGGAGACAAGGAAGCCGAGAAGAAGCTTCCAAAGGTGATGCAGGATGCACTCAAGTCAAAAGCAAACTCTCCTCCGAAAGGATCGCGCTCCTACTCCACGACCACGACGCCTATCGGTGGAAACGGTGGTGGAAACGGTGGTGGGCTCGATATGGGACTCGTAGGCTTCAATCCGCCTTTTACAACACCAGAGACACCAGGCTTGAAGTTCGGGATGCCCACGCTTCCTCTGCCCAAGGACGGGCATGTCAAGCATCGGTACGACCCGGTGGTTGACCAGGTCACTAATCTTTTGATGCGACACGGCAAGAAGAGCATTGCTCAGCGGGTATGACGCCTCCATGTCTTTGCCGCGCCATATAAAAAACATACAACTAACTCGGTCTACAGGACATGGCCTTAATCCTCCAGCACCTCCGTACATCGCCGATTCCCACCATTAACCCGTCCCGGCCTCTCCTTCCTGGTGCACCTCCGCCGTCGCACCTCCCTCTCAACCCTATTCTGTACCTTACCCTTGCCATTGACTCGGTTGCTCCTCTCATGCGCATTCGAAGTCAGAAAGGCGCCGCAGGTGGTGGTGTCGCCTTGCAAATACCAGTGCCGCTTGGCCAGCGACAGAGACGGCGAGCGGCAGTGCAGTGGATTCTCTCGGCAGCGTCGAAGAGGAGAAATCGAGGAAGCGGAAAGGGCAGTTTTGCACAGAGAGTAGCGGAAGAGCTGGTCAGCGTGGTTGAAGGGCGAAGCTCCGTGTGGGACAGGAGGAACGGGGTGCATAAGCTAGGTGTCTCCGCCCGAGCCAATGTTGTCCTGCCGAGGAAGCGATAGAACGTATACAATATCTGATCGGGCGCCAGAGGGATGGGGAATGAAGTGAATATTGTGGGGCAAAAGTTCAGCGGGATATTATGCAGAGATTGTGCAAGCGAGAGAATATCCACTCCTCCAAGCCCCTCAGCTACACAGGACTACTTCTCCAGCTTGCCGGCTCGCCCGTGTCCCGTGAGTACAGCCACAGATTTAGCCTCGAGCTTCCAAGGACCCGCCCGGGCGACGCAATCATCATGTGATTGCGATTGATCAGCTTCCGAGGTCCTCTTGGCATGATTAGACAGAGGGCACAGGGCGCCGCGCGCAGACACAATGAAGCGATGCTGCCGCGTGTACGGAGAGGCGCCTCCACAGCCTTTCTGGCCATGCCCACCGCTGGGGCATTTTGTTTGCATTGTCGCGCCGGGAGCTGATTGTGCTTTTCCGAAAGCACGGCCGCCAAGCAGCCAAGAGCGTTCATCGTCCATCCCCAAACCCCAGTGCCCCTCAACCATCGCCGCCCTAGACTAGAGGTACCCACGACGCATCGTGCCCTTCCGCGCTTACTATTCCGAGATCCTTCCCACCATCGCCAGCTCCGTCACTCTTCCTTATGTCGTCTGCACTAGTCACCGTCTTTGGGAACAACTTGTTCTCCGACAGCGGCTAACCATCGCCTCGCTCTCTGGCCGGCCTTCGCTCCCCCTACTACTGTCATTTTATTTTTCTACCCCGCTGCGGCCATTGCTCCTCCAGCTAGCTATCTATCACGCGACAAGCCTCCATCAATTTGGTCGCGTTGTTGTGGACCTACTTTCACTGTGACAGCTTCACCGATGATGCGTTAGAGTCCACCAGCCCAGCTAGGTACTACTACTCGAAGTGTACCACACCACACCACACCACCAACCGCCATCGCTCCCGCCACCACACCCGCTCCCTTCACGCGAATCGTCCCGACCTCGCCAGCACCCTCCGCGTCCGATTGCCACCCTGCAAACACCGGACCTACCTTAATAGCTCCACCTATCTCCGTACCTACTCGCGCCCCACGCAACCTCAGCCCGTCGCTGCAGCGACCATGTCCCTAGAATCTGCGCTGGATGAAGAGAGGAGGGAGGTCATGGCCCTTTTGGAGGGGAGGAGGCCCCCTCCACCGCGGCCGGGCCGTGCTGAAAGCCCTTCCCTCGCTGCCCGCGCGCAAAGCCCCGCCACCACCGCGTCGCCGGTCCGCAGCATGCTTGATATTGGAGGTCCGCCCACTCCACGCAGCATGCTCGATGCCGTCTCACGGCCGGGTGCCCGCAGCAGCAGCCGCGGGTCCATCCCTTCGTCTCCCCCGCCCTCCGGTCGAAGCATGATGAGCCCGACAATCAATCCAGAAGAGGCATACCAGTTCGAGATGCTGCCGACTATAGAAGCGCATTCCATGCCCAAGCGTGTCTCGCAAGGCGGCAAGAAGAGCGCCAAGCCCCGTGCCATGTCGTCTGTATACGGGGAGTCGTCTGGCCTGCTGGCTTCGCCGAGAGAGCGGGAGCGACAGAGCTCATTCGGCGGCTTCCTAGGCAAACAAAAGTCGGGCTCGCCTGTGCCGGGCAGGTCGGCGTCACCCGGAGGCCGAATGCTCAACACCAATTCCTTGAACCTGATGCCCACGCCGCACAAGTACGTGACGGATTCTGGAAAGGTCATCGATATGGCAAGCGCCTATCGTAGGCTGTCGGATGCCGCGCTGTTGCGATCTGGGGGAGGCCTCTCGACATTACCAGTCCGCAAGGGGTCGGATCCCACAAAGGGGGAGTCTCTTGCACCCGGCGGCGGCGTACGCCTAGAAACGGACGATTTCGGCGAAGATGAAGCTGTAGTTGAATCAAGCGAAAACGAGGATTCCGAGGATACAGACGATGGATGGACAGCACAGAAACGGCGAGGTAGACGGCGTACTAGACAGAACGACGGTGCTGGGAAGCACGGGACGGACAAGAAAGTGCCAAAGAGCCTCCTTGCTGCGGCCGAGGAGGAGCGTAAGTCTCGTCACGACCCACACGGCGATCATTGATACTGAAACTAGTACAGGTAAAGACGTATCTGCCATCTACAAGGTGCGGTCATTGCTCGAACCGAGTGTGACGGTCACCGGACCGGATGGTTCCACCATGGCTGGTGAGAAGATGACGAGCAAGAAAACCGGGGTGCACCCACACACGAGCTTCGATCAAGGGGGCTCCGGGCTCTCTACTCCCTACAATTCTGACACAGAAGCCGACATTTCCGAGATCAAGTCTGCCCAGCAGTTGGCTATGAATATCTCGCCCATTCATTCCAGTCCTGAGGCCCATCGATGTGTGCGTCAGATCATTCGTGGAAATTTTGGCAAGTTCCTAGATGACGCCGAAAAGGGGCTTCGACGCCAGCGCGTATACCTGGTCGCAACCGACCTGAGCGAGGAAGCCGCGTATGCGTTGGAGTGGACGATTGGGACTGTGCTGCGAGACGGCGATACTCTGCTTGCCGTCTATGCAGTGGATGAAGAGACGGGCGTTGGCGGCACGGACACTCCTGGTGCTGTCGCTATCACAGCCCAGCAGGAGTCCGATTCGCTTATGAAGACACTTTCGAACCGTCAAGGTCTATCAGCTGAGGGGCCCGGACCCTCACCTTTGTCCAACAACGTGTCAGCTTCGGATGTCGATGTCAACACCATGGGCAAGGCCGAGAAGGAACGATATCAGGCTACGGTGGAAGTGTCCGATCGTTGTGTCAAGTTGCTTCGCAAGACTCGCTTGCAGGTTCGGGTCGTTGTCGAAGTATTCCACTGCAAGAGCCCGAAGCACATGATTACGGAAGTGGTGAGCACGAAACATCTTTGACACTTTTGGCGTGCTGCTGACAGTCGTTTGACAGATCGACTTCCTTGAGCCCACGCTGGTGATACTCGGATCAAGAGGTCGCAACGCTCTGAAAGGGTACGTAGACGCCCCGTGCATTCAACGCATAATGCTGATATTCGCAGTGTGTTACTTGGTTCTTTCAGCAATTATCTTGTCACGAAATCATCCGTTCCGGTTATGGTGGCCCGGAAACGCCTTCGCAAACACAGCAAATACAAGCGAAAGAACCTGCGTCTATCCAATGTCATCTCAAATCCGACTGGGCGGCTTGCAAACGCCAAGATCGATTGATATGTTCTGGAGTATGGAGATTTGTCAAGCTGTCTCAAGGTTGTACGGTGTTGGTGGTGTAAACGGGTGGATGCGGCGTTCGAGAGGTGGGAGGTCGAAGTTGGCCGAAACAGAAACAGTTTGGCGATTTGCTTGGTTTAGTTTGGACCTGTTTGTTTGAGAACACCACGTCCCCATCGGGTTGCATCTAGCATGCCAGCTATTTTTGTCAGTTTCTGCGCTCTCTTGCACGATTTGCCTCACATGGATGGACGACCACAGACGACTTGTTTCCGACATACCCGATTTCGGTAGTTCAGATAGCATCAAGCTCAACGACCAAATCATCACGCACTAGTATGGGCGGCTTTCTTTTACACTCTAACAATTCGCGTGACGGTTTTATGGTTCGACAATGACGGCACTCGCTTTTGCGCCATCTTGCTTCACATTCCCTTTGAGCGTCTAAGGCGGGGGGCACGCGAGATGTATGCGGCTTACATTCTCCGACGTCACCGTTCTTTCTTGGTACGGAGCTACGGAACCATCACTATATCGTAGCCCGAGTACCCGGTACGCTACTTCTGAACCCTTTCCTCAGGCGGGTGTCCAAACGTTCCCACCCGCATAGCGGTCAGCCCGGTCCCTGCTCGACACAGTTGTGGCGCAGGAGCGATAATGCGTAGCACCGCGTAGCGCCCGTTTACAGCTCGCCAGTCCAAAATAGTGTGAGCGCATCGTAGGCGATGGATACCCTTGAAAAGGAGTACTGGTTGCCTCGTCCGTGAGAGCGAAAGCATCATTGAAGTACCGGCCGACTCTTCGCCGTTGGGGGCGAACTCCCTTTTCAGATGTATTTCCCCATGGATACTTCGACCTACCAGGACAGGCCGAGGCTGGGTCATTGCGAGTTCCTGGAGGTGGATGAAGACGAACTGGACACGTCGAATCTACAGGCACATGTCGTCACACCGTCCGCGAGGCAAAAACTTCTCTTCGACCAGAATCCCTGCAACCCCTCTTCTGTTGGGTCCTCCTCCTCCAACACCCGTTCTGTCGATGCCGAAACTCTCATCTCAGACCTCGGCCGCCTAGCTCCGTCTGTCGCAAAGGACTTCGTCCCCAAGGCCTCCGCGGAAAGAGACCTGGTCTTTAGGCTCATCAACGATGTCGACTTCCAGGGCGATGAGGAGAGCTACATAACAATGAGCTATGTGTGGCAGAAGGTGCAGAGAGATGCTCCGCGGAAGATGGTCAGCCCGGTGGGAGACCTGCCGTTTGGATGGGTGACTACGGTGGAACAGTTCCCGCTCCCGACCAGTAAGGGGATGTTCTTGGGTATACTAGAGGAGAGGGAAGAGAACGAGGGGTTGTGGTTTGACCAGGTTTGCATCAATCAAGAAGACGACGAGGAGAAAGCAATTGCTGTTGGTGCAATCGACACCATCTACAGGAACGCGCGCCAGGTCATCGTGGCCTTAGACGATATCGCCGCGACCGAGCACGAAGTGTTATTCCTCCGGCACTACATTCCACAGTACGAAGCTTCAGACCTGCCGCTGAATTCACACCCAAATCGAGGTCTGACTCCGCCGTTCATGCAGAAGTACGCCTCTTTCCGATCCTTCCTCGAGAGGATACTGAATTCGATGTGGTTCGAGCGAGCGTGGTGCGCCCACGAGATGAGGACGGGACGGAATCATATTTTTCTCGTTCCTTGCGTATCGGGCGAGGGGGACGAAGAACACACGTTGATCCGAGTCACAGACGCATTCTTCCTGCACATGCTGGTCCTCGCCAGTGAGCTTAAGAATATCACCTCGACGCAACAAACCCAGATCCGATCTCTCCTGGAACACTTCGGTCGGGCATCGCTGAGGGAAGAGCAAGACACGCTCGCTCTACAGAGGCATGAGAGTATCATACCTTCCATACCCGAGCCGATACCCTACATACCTTTAGTTGCAGAAATCTTTCGTATGAAGGCAGGCGGGAACCCGCGGCTACCAGAACACCTGAGGCGATTAGACGCGAACCGAGACAAAACCTCTATTGCATTGAATGCCTCGGGGCTCCCTCTCGCATTGAAACCTCCTTCGCCGCTCCAACGTCCCGCTACTGAAGATGAATGTCTTCGCCGGCTCCTTCTAGTAGGCCTAGCAGCAAGAGACCCAGTCACGCTATGCACAACTGGCACACCACTCCAACTCCACGACGGTTCAATATCATGGCTATGTCGACCCACAGCCCTCGACCTGCCCACAACTCATCAACGCCCTCCACGACAATTCCCGAAGAAAACAGGACAGATTACACAAGGGTCAGACGGGAGAGCAGAATACACACAGCTCGACCTCATCTTCCCCGATCTCCCGCACCGCACGCAACCAAACCCGCATTTCCCTGCGCTTGTCCACCGCGCCCGCGAATTCATTGACATTGGCATCCAATACCAAGTCCAAAGCCACACCATGTGGAACATGTGGCAGACGCCGAACCACCCACGGGGACCCGCTATGCGTAATACCTTCATACAAACATTAGCATGCGTCTTTGAATGCGGACCGCAGTGGCTGCTCGACATCTCGACAAACCTCGCAGCTTCCACGTCGACGTCCCTCACGCTTCCACCACACGTCCTAGAGACGCTGTTTAACCCACAACTCCTGGTCCAGAACTACATACACATTCCCGACGCCCGTTCTGCGCTCTCCATCCTCCTCTCCCTCCTCTCTATTCTCATAGCCCAGGCCATACCCTGGGCCAGTCATGCTACCGAACGCACACACGGACCTCTCATAATCAGCACCCCTCCACTCCCGCCTACGCCTGATTTTCCTCACCACCGTCCGTCCGGCAAAGCCATAGTGTTCGCGCCCTTCGAGCACTCGAAAGCACTGCTCGTGGCGGTCCCCGATGCAGTGAAAGGACAGGAGTATGAGGCACTAGCCAGAGGATGGATTCTCACGCCCATGAACGTGTATACTGGAAGTTCGAGTCCACACCAGATTGTCAGCTGGACGCTACAGGGGAAGGGGGTTTTGTTTGGCGATAGCGTTTTTAGCCAGGGGCTGAGCGCGGGTTTGGGACCGAAGTGTCATAGGGTCTATGGACCTGGAGCCAGTTGATGGAGGTTGAGGGAGTTGTAGGATATTTTCACTGTTCTGTGCATATAGGGAAACGGATAGAGGCATAGATGGCTGGGATAGAGGACCATTAGGATAGAGCTCAGCACTGTGTGTGGTAGATTTCCCTTTTCAGCTACTTGTATTGTATAGCATAGACTCTTCTTCTTTTCATCGAGCTCTTTTTGTTTTTTGGGCGGTTCCAGAGAAGATACAGCCATTGCACTCATACCAGTACTCCAATACCCGCTGAATTTCGCATTTGCCGCCCTCGTCTTCCGTGTAAACAAGTGGCCCTAAACGCCACAACCACTGCTTTCACATGCCATGACCCGCCGCGCCTCGGACCCCTGCGCATGATTAGGGCTGAGAACCACCCGTGGCGTTCGTTCTCCTCTCAAGCGCGACATTTCCCCGATGCCCGCGTGTCACACCCTGCATCCCTACCTTCCAGCAAGGGAGCTTGAAGAATGACGCATGGATGGAGCATCCAAATCCGGAGAGCCGGCCCGCACTGCTTCTACGAGCTTCTCCTCGTTTCATATACTTCCATGATCTTTCTATTTCCATTCCACCGATGTAGGACCATGCCGTCGTGGCCCTGCGGTTCTTGCTTTTCCCGTCAGCCATGACTGGGTTCTCCGAGCTTTGGCGTACTTTGCGCAGTGCTCTCGCCTATCCCATCTAGATACGGTATGTCAACGAGGTCGGAAGCTGGGATAACCGGAGCGGAGGTGGCGTTGTGATGGTTACATTGCTTTTTATGTCCATGGGGAACGCTGTTTCAATTTCTTCCATGGCCTTCTACTCCTCTTCTCACATCCTGGCAGGGATCGGTGTGCGTACTCATCGGAGCCGGGGTCGATGCCGCGTTGCCTGTAAACCGCGTAGTTCTCCCTCAACCCTTGCTTTCCTTATGCTCCCGATAGCCAACCATTACCTGTCATCTCATCATCTACAAAACCCGGCCACAGGTCACATTGGGCCCCATTCGCCCACCACATACCAGCTCTTCCACCTGTGGTCCAGTAACAGGGTCAGTAGCCATAGATCTGTAGCCTCCTCCAATCGCCGCGCTCTACCAGCCGCCGTACGCTCACCTTCTCGCTGCTCCAACTCTCACGAACGTCCATTGAGCAGCCGAGAAACCCTCCGTTTCCGCCAGTCCTCAAACCGGGTAGCTAGATAAGAACATGCCTTTTGAAACCACCCTTTAAACCATGCCTAGGACTTAGCCTTGCTCGAGTCGATCCCACGGGAGGCACGTTTTCGCTTCCTTCCACTTCCTTCCACTTCCTTCCTTCCCACAGATGCTGTGTTACCTTGCTTGGATTGAACACCCTTGAACCGTGCTACCTACCAGGGCTTGTGTCGTATGCTTCTCGAAGAAGTTTCTTTCTGCAGTACTATTCTTTCCGTATGCAGCTGTTATGGGACTCCAGTGCTTCGGCACATTTGCGGTTTTATGCACTGTGAGCGGGACCGGGCGATTAAGCTCATGGGTTCTCTCTCTGAGAAGGAAAAGGACCGTTGGCCATGTTGACACACGCTACGAATGCCGCGTTACATCTACAGGTCTCTCTCGGGTCATATTCATGCTTTTGGCATTGATCTTAATCGATAAGAAGGGATTATTAAGTTTGTAGATGGCACACGCTCTAAGTGCTTTCCTTGCCCAACACGGCCAGATCCTTCGTGACAAACTCGGTGGGCGACAGTAGTGCCGTGCTACCGTAGATGATTCTTCTCTTCTGGCCTGTCCCTGAAGCACCACCTGCACTGGTTCGCTTCGCCCATTCTTGCAAGTTGCCGTACTCACTATGTTATGTTAGCAGGGTGCTAGAAAGGGGCAAGATGGAGGATTTACTCCATGCTGCCACCGCCCACGGTGAACACAATAGCTTCACTAAAGGCCTGCCGTCTCTGGCCAAATGTGGCTTCGATACCCCTTCCAACATTCTGCTGATTCCGCGCTTGACTCGCAGGAGGCAAGGTGCCACGTGCATTCGCAGACCGCGGATCAAAATAAAGATAGTTCTCCGTCTTACTGATCGCGCTAGAAGAAGCATTGGCTGGATCCATCAAGGATTCGGTGATCTTCGTCAACGTAAGGTCCTTGTTGGTCGGCAAGAAATTCTTGATGCCGCTGAGGATTCCTTCGAAGTTTGCGCCCAGACCAGCATCCTTGAAGCGGTCCGTCACGCGGGATGACAGACTGCTGAAGCCACCGAAGAGTTGGCTGGTGTTCTGCGAAGGCTGGGTGGGCGCAGCCGAGATCATCGTCATTCGTGTGAGCTGTCGCACTGTCTTGATGTATTTGATGGAAGTCGTGTCAGCGCCTGCAGCTTCAAGGACTTGCGTAAAGTTCTCCAGGTCTGCTCGAGATACGTCGATTTCAGTAGTCAGGTACCTGGCGTCTGTTAGCTTTTCATAGCTGGAAAATACTTGGTGGATTTGTACCATTGTAGGAACAATCTGAGCTTGTCAAGAGGCTCCTTGCCCTTGTCAGAGTCTTTGATGACGTCTAGTATCTGCGCCTTGCTCTGTTTGGAGAGTTCTTCTTCGAGCTGGAAGTACTGGTCCAGTTTTCGATCTGAGTGACAGTTAGAGTATTGCTGGACAGCCCCCCTCTACAGATATAGGCTCACCCTTGATACCTTCCATGAGCGCTTCGAGGATCTCCATGTGCATTGTGATGGTGGTTTTCCGTTCCCTCAATTCGGGAAGTAACGCCATGGCCCCCTTCAGATGCGCTGCGAACTGGCCACCGTCTCCTTGCAGATCGTCAATCGATGAAGTACCGGTCTTTCTTGTCACGTCATTCGCATCCTCTTGGTACTTATTCCACTCCTGGGAGACGTCCTCTGCCACCTGCGGAAAGGGGAGCGCTGCGTTTCGCTGCCAGAAGTAGTCAGACGCTGTGAGATCATACGACTGCTTTTTTGAGCCTTTTTCGGGGCGGTCCTTGTCGACAGGTACAGTCATGGTGATCTTGTTGAGATGCATGGAGAGAACATCGTAGATTAGACTTTGATACTTGGCGCGGGTCAGCTAGAGAAGGTGAATAGAGTGCTGGGTATGAGCTCACAATCCACGAATGCGAGAACATGGGGACGAGGTCCACGTTACGGTCAACTGATGGAGTGGTCAGACGCATGATGTTAGAAGCGATGAAGGTGTGTAATCACCAATGACTAGAACTGGCCGTGAGGCTATTGCAGCCGATGATTTCTGGTCACCACCAGAGAAGAGGTTCGTCTTCGAATTGAGCACGTGATCCCTCAGCTTTCTGTCGAGTTTAGCGGCGACCACCTCAGCAGCACCACCGCGGGGTGCGCGGATAATGGGTATGGAGCCCATGGTAACCACGACAGAAAAGAGCCCCGAAACTACCTTCTCAACCGTTGCATCCAGCTCTTGGTCCGATATTTGTGCACTGTTCAGCGTGGCGTATGCCCCTTTCATTCCCAGATCGAAGAGATCTGCCTCGGAGACGATGAAGTTCAGGTACTGGTCGTATATCTGAGCCAAGTGTTCTGCGGTGCCGGATGCAACTGTTTGTGCGGCGAAGTCTTCCTTGAAACTGTCAACCATGTCCAATGCTTTCTCCCTAGTCAATGCTTACGAGGAGGGGTCTAGGTATCGACGAGAGGAAGTTTATGTAGGCGGGGGAGTAGAGGCTTCGCGCGAGGTCGCTCGTTATGATCTGTAGATTTGCCGGCGTGGGCTCGACGAGATATATCACGGGCACCTTCGCGGTTAGCATAACGGGTCTTCTCGTTGACGGCGGAGCCGCTCACATCAGGGATCATATGGCGTGTTGTGTTGATATTCAGGTGGATGGTGACTCCCCACGCCCGCAGGTCGTTCACCCTCAGCACGCTCGACACCACGTCTCTTGCCATGTCGTCGAATACCAGGACCTTCCATATCGGCTCGCCGGTGTCAGAGAGGATTGGGGCGTTGGAGGCATTGTTCGCGTCGTCGGCGTCGGAGGCTCGTGTCGGCGCGTTCAGGTTCAGAATGCGTTGGATGGAGACTGCGAGGTGGTATGTCAGCTTTGTTCTCTTAAGCAGGAGTGCACATGGCCGGGGCCTGACCTATTTGCCTGTCCCGCAGCGAAGCCATGATAGTCTTGATGTAGGCTGGCGCCCCGCCGGCGTGCAGGTTACCTCATATGCGGGAGGATGCGACGCGGGAGCAGGTACAGTTTGCCGGCGAAAATGGAGGAGAAAGAGAGGCAGTGCAAGAATGGTGCTGCCTGGCCGTCACGCTGCTCAGCAATAATGTGATTGTTCACTTCGTGAGCCACCGGCGTTGCAATTGCTAGCGAGCCGCTTCGGGCCTAGCGCGGCCGGCAGCGCCAAGCCCGCGAGGCCCTTTTCAAGCCGCTCGCTCTGCCGCACCTCCTTCTCTCCTCCAACTCACCCTCGCCTGCGCCCATACAACACCTCTTTCTCCTCTTCGCCCCCTTCATGCCACTTCTCAGTGACTCTCCGCCCGTTAATAAGGGTGTCTGATTCTAGAGCTAGACTCCATTTCTCGGTCCTCACAGTGGGGGAGTCTTGCGTTCGGTGCTGGTGGCGGCGTTTGTTGGCGGTCGCAGGAGGGCAGCAGTGACACTCATTCCAGCGTCTGCTACTAATTCAGCTCCATCATCGGCGGTCCATCGGGCTTCGCATCGAGAGGCCTGTCTTTGCAGGTGTCCCAAGCAGGCTCTGCGGCGGCCGTGGTGCTGTGCAGTCAGGCGCGAAAACGTCAAGTGACGCATCCGCAGTGTCGCCGTCGCAAAAAGCGCGCAAAGGCCTCGTGCCGCCCTATAAAATCCAAAAGCTACGAAAGTCGTGGACAGCGGATCACGGCAGTGCAGTTGTTGGGACACGAGCAGGCGTCATCGCCCGACCAGCATCCTTCTGCTGCCGCAGCCTTCACAGCACGCAGCACGCATCACTCTGAGGGCCTGGGGACTCTGCAGACCACCAACTCAGCAACACGACGCTCCAACCCAAATCGGGAAGTATTACGGGCCTTTGCTCACTTCCAAGGTTCGTCGCATTCCCCGAGCCGGCCACTCTTTCACCCCTGTGACTCCGCGCCAGTCCCGTTGGCGCCTAGTGCACCCTGCGTTACCGCATAATATCCCCCGTTTGCCGGATTAAGGCGGCTGCCGTGGGACCCGCCACACTCAACCAATAAGCTGCCGCCTGCTCGCGGCAACCCACAGCGCAGTCAATCAGTGCTCTCACCGCGCGCCATGGCCCCCAGTCACGTGCCCAGTGATCCTCTCGCCCTCCAGGGACAGAACGTCTACACCGACCCGTCCTACGAGAATCTCTTTCCTGTCGACCAGTACCGCTCGCAGTCGTGGAATCCCGCCCAGCTCAACCAACACTCGGGCCTGGTGCCGAACAACTCGTCCAATCAGTCCTGGCATCACAACTCCTTCCCGCAACAGTCTTACAACCCGATAAGCCAGCCGTACCCGAACCAAGGCCATGGCTTCCGGACCGCTTCCCCTTACCCGTACGGCCAATTCACCAACCACGGATCGGTGGGCAACTATGCCCACGCTGCGAACGTGGACCCTTCGCTGGGCATCGATCCCGCCGCCGTGCGCCAGCAACAGCCGTCTCCCTACCAGCTGCCCCCACAGAATGCACCCCAAGCGCATTCAAATTCGGTGACCCCACAACCGTTGCAGCAAGGCTCAGCAGCGCAGAATGCTCGTCCCACTCCTGCGCCATCCCCTTACCAGGTAAGCCAAGATCCGTTTCCTCCGCTGCCACAGAAACTAAAATCACCCAGATTCCAAAAACCACAGCTGAGCTATTCGCCCAGCGTGCCGTGCCTACAGCATTTGCTAAGCCTGTGAAGAACCCAGAGTATGAGATCCCAAAGGGCAGGAAATCGGGCGGCTTTGTTGTGCTTGATCAAGCTGCTTTGGCGAAAGCCACCAAGTCCACTGCTCTGAATAAATTCGTGACTCTTGGCTCTGAAGCCCTGCATCTAGCATCTAATAGAAGTAAGCCACTATGCCGTAATACTTGCTCAAGAATGCCGTGTCTAACAACTGTGATAGCCGCGCTGCCGCTCTATAATCCCCGCCAGTCGGTAAAAGACTTGAAGAAAGCGGGGGCCGACAAGAAGCTGCTAGCTAAAACGTCATCCACGAAACCGCCCACGTCCGCCGGAGCCAAGACCGCCAGGAGAGAGGTCAGCGACACTGAAAGCTACGATTCATCCGACGACGACAGTGAGTACACCGACGATGAGGACTCAGAGTCACCGCTGCCAGCCATCCGACCCGACGAGCCTCACGAGGCAGTTCGTTATGATATTATCAAGGCGACATGGTATCCTCGCACGTCGCAGCCGAGCTCTGAGAAGATCAAATCGAGCCTGCGTGATGCCTGGGAGGTATTGAATACGATTCAGAAGCGGTGGCGGAATGACAGCAAAGCCGTTGCTGAGGCCGAGGAACAGAAGAAGGTCGGCGAGCTGCCCGTCCTCAAGAGTCGCGTCACGAGCCAGCGCGACCTCCTTCAGTCTGCGTTGAAGTCGGCCTTGGAGTATGCGCATCCCGATGTTCTCTATCACTTTGGCCAGGTGAAGCAATTCCTTTACCTGTGCTATCTGTTTTTAGCGAATCGAGTCAAGATGAAGGACTTCGATGGGCCTTTGCCGTCCGTCATCTTGCAAATTTTAGCTCGGTGTGCAGGCACTTCGACCACTGAAGCACTTGAAGATACAAAAGTCATCAAAGCGCTCAACGCGATGAAGAAGAACGTCAATGATAAGAACAAGGCGCTCATTCAACAAATCATCGATGGCGCTGCTGCTGGCTCCAAGAAAGCGAAAGTGAGCTCTCCACCAGAAATTGAGGTCACCGGGGAATCGAGAAGTGTAAAGCGGCCAGCAACTCAAGCTGCAAATCGACCGACGAGCGATGGCCCGGCCGCCAAAAAGTTGAAGCCAACCGAGACAACGACAAACGGGGAAAAGAAGCCTGCTACGACCACATCAGCGCCCAAGACCGCTGTCCCTGCAGGCATGGCACAGAAACGGCCCGGTGAAAAGCCTTCGCCGACCGCAGCCAAAGCTCGGGGAAACCAAGTGGTGAACAAGCCCTCTACACTCTTTGCCTCACTCAACGCTGCGAGCAAGAAGCCGGGTACCGGTGCAACCTCCGCGTCGACCGCGAAGATGACCACGAAAACAGCCGTCGCCGCTGCGAAGGAAAAGAAGTCTGCCCCCGCTGCACCGGCCAAGCCCGCTTTTTCCTTTGCAGAGACCATGGCTCAACTTCTCAAGCCTAAGGAAGAGGAACCAGCAGCACCGACGAAGACCGAGAAGCAGCTACCGCCAGAGACCCCCGAAGAGAAAGCTAGACGTTTACGGAAGGAATCGCGACGTCACTTGCGCGTGGCGTTCCGTCCTGATGCAAGCCTTGTCAGTATTCGGTACTTCAATCATGACCCGAACGAGGAATCCGGTCACGATGAGAACTTCCTCCGGGATGCGGGCGACATTGGTGGTGAAGGCCGCATGTTCAGGCAGCACAAGGACCTGGTAGACGATGAGGATGATGATGATCTTGAAGTGGAATATCGTCCTTGGAAGGAGCCCACCCTAGTCGACTTCAGCACCGTTGATGCCGAGGAGCGGAAACGTAACTACGAGCCATATGGCGGCGGCGAATGCAAGCCTTCGTGTCCCGAGAAAGAGGCAAACGCACGACACGAGAATTCTACGCTAATGGTCTTTTACACGCACCCATCCGACATCCCTTCATCTCCTCGTGAGCCTCTGGAGCAGCAGACTCAATCGTCTACATCTGCCCCGGTTACGAATTTTGGCCTGCCGCCCGAGCTGGTCAGAAGCAGGGCGCCCAAAGGCGCAACACCCACGCCGACGCCCGACTTTAGCAGTCTGGAGAACATCTTCAAGCAGTTCTCCGTTCCTACGACCAACCCCGCCTCGACCACGGCAAGCCAAAACACCTACGTAGCCTCAGCGGTGACTGCTCCTTCGGTCCCCGCAGTTCCCGATCTTGCGAGTATTCTCAGTGCATTGAATGGTCAAGCTCAAGCACAAGCCCCGGCCCAGGTGCCAGCGCCCTTCCCTTCTGCGCAGCAGCCGGCGGCGGCGGCGCCAGCACTTGATTTCAACGCCATCATGTCGGCGATTCAAGGCAATACTGCTTTGCCGCAACCTCCACCACCGCCGGGGTGGCCAGTGTTTCCTCCCGTGTTCCCGCAGCCACAGCAGGATGGCGGGGTTGCGTACCAGGCACAGCCGCAACCCCAGCATAATCAACATGGTCATGGCGGACATAAACGACAGCGGGATGACGGAAATGGCCATGAGGATCGCGGCTCGAAGAGGCACAGGGGAGGAGCAGGAGGGGGAGGAAAGCCGCACAAGGTCATCCCGTGCAGGTTCTTCCAGAAGGGCATGTGCAACAAGGGTGACGAGTGCACCTACATCCACGACGTCAACATGTGAGAATGGCGAGCGTGGGACGCGTGCCTTGGGCACGAGATGCACATGTTGAAGGTGCCCTTCCTCTCAAGAGTGGCGTACTCCGAAAGGCTAGGGCGGTCACTCTCGAATTCGGTCTTCTGTACAATACCCAGTTCCCCTTCTTTCCTTTACTTTCTTTCCTTTCCGCTTCATTCACGATTATCAGGCGCATGCATACCCGTCGGGCACTCTGTTTTAGTATCTCTGCATATGAAGGCGTCTTCAAGCCCTTGGCGGCAGCATCGGACGGCGCTGGGTGGGCGATTATTACTGTCATGGGATTCTGTGTGCAGCATTTCGTCTCTTAGGAGAGACTCGGGATTAGTTAGTTGACGGGTCGTGGAATAGGGCTGCAGCACCCGAGCGGCTCAAATACAAGCACTATCACCCATTTCACACCACCTGTAGTGCACTTCGACGTGCCTGTGAATATTGCGCGTCGCCAAAGCGCACTAACCTTTCCGTGCCATGGTACCTAGGTAAGAATTGATGAGTGCTGATTCATTCCCTCCCTGCTTGCCTGCTTGGAGGTCTTGCCCAAGCCCTTCCGCATTTGATATGACGACGCAACGCGCACCCCACCCCAACATCTGCACCGTCTTATTTCCAAACCGTCTCACCAGCCAGTTCGGCAAAGCTTGGACTCATCATCGAGGCGCCGCAGATATCACGTGGCTCGTCAATACGTCAGACGCCCATCTGGCGGCGGGCGGACGGCCCCTGCGCGCGAACGTGTCGCGTTGTTGAGCTGGCGGCAGCGTGGAGCGCACTGGCTCGGCCTGTCTCCTGCGCGCTGCTGCGTTCCCGCCTGTGAAGCACGTCCGCGGCCACTTTGTCGTTGTGTTGAGTGCATGCTGGGGCCTGTTGCGCTCAGGCCTTCATCCGGCAGGCTTTTCCATCTTTCGTGCGCACGGCAAGTTCCGCTTTCCACCATCATTTTCTCAGGCATCGACATCACACCTCGAGCCATCAAACCACAACCCCCCAGCCCGCATTCCCACCCACAGCGCCGCTCCATCACGGCCGCCGCCACTGCAGCCTCCGCACCCGCAAGCATCCGCCCCTCCACCCCGCCGTCGACGCTTCCCCGGGCCTTCTCCGCAGCCGACCCATCACCTCATCCCTCCCTCCCTCCTCCCATCTCTAGCCGGCAGAGCACCACCCACGCCAGGCTCCATCGCCCTCTTTCACCAGCCCCCCGCACCCTTTAGCCGCGAACATGGCTGGAATCAGGAAGAGATCGACTAATCTCGCACGGCGCCGCGCGCTGGACGATGAAGAGAAGCGGTCGGTGGCGACCGAGGGAGCAGACGACTCGCAGAGCGATATCTCGGTGCCCAGCGACGTCGACGAGACCGCCGACGCAGACAACAGCGACCTGAGCGAGGTGGACAGCTCTGCTTCGCTGACGGAGGGGAAGGCCAAGCGGAAGGCCCACGTCTCACGAGATGCAAAATCACGGACAGACGTCACCAGCCGCCGGTTGCCCTCCCCGCCCATTGCCCGGTCTGACGCGACCTTTACGGCGTCGAGGGACACAGAGATGATGATGAACGGCCTGACAATATCAGACAATGCGGCGGTTAACGAGGTAGTCGACTTCGAGACTGGAAATGCTGTCGAGCCGGCCCCCGTAGCTGGCACTCCATCCGGACGGCCTGAGACATTTGCAGAGCGCAAGCGGCGAGAGCACGAAGAGTACAAGAAGAAGAGGGACTCTGATCCGGCCTTCATCCCGAACCGCGGCGCCTTCTTCATGCACGACCAGCGATCCGCACCCGCCCAGAACGGCTTTAGGCAGTTTGGTGCTCGGGGCGGGCGAGGCGGTGTTGGAGGGCCATATTCACCAGCAAAGTAAGAGCATCATCCCCAGGAGATTCCCTCAAGTGGCCTTGTCATTAACCTCTGTTGCAGCATTCGGAGAAACGGGCCTGAAGCCACCGACTCCCCTTGGCAGCATGACCTGCACGAGACCATCAACGACACTCCCTCGCAGCCCCAGCCATCCCACCTTCAGTCCGCTCCTACGAGTGCGCCAGTGCAGCAGCCAGCGCCATCGACACAGCCGCCCGCTAGGGCACCCGCCCTGCCGTGCCTGCCTACCCCGAAACCGCCCCAGACCCGCAACTTCTCCACGACAGTGCATACGCATAATGCGCTTGTGCGCGTGTTCCTTCCCGGCATGAAGGCCCCGATCCTCTTCCAGAACGTGCCCATCAAGCAACACACGCGCCTGCCGAACCACCGTCCGCCCCTCCGCCGCGATAAGCCCGTCCGCATCTCGCTTCCGCCATCGGCGCCACGATACATCTTCCCCACTGTTGAGCGATCCTTCATCTTCATCCCGAGAGCACTTCGACCCAACCAGCAAGGATTCGGCCGGGGCCGTGGACGAGGTTTCGGCTCCTTTGGCGGCGGCTTCTCGAGCAGGCGAACGAGTGCATACGGCGGCAGCGTCTACTCTCCCAGCGTGGCCATGAGCAGGCGGTCCTCAATGGCTCGAGAGATGGGCCGCGACGGTCTGGTGTCGCCCGCGGGGTCTGTTATGTCTCGACCCGGCGGCTTGATTGATCCCTCTCGCCCAGTGGTTCGACTGCCGCCCGGTGGCCCGAGACTCCCATCAGGCCCGGCTGTCATCTCGCCCCAGAGTGCTACACCTGCCGGCGGTTTCCAGCAACCCTATCCTCTCCCCCAGAAGCCCACATTCCGGGAGAACTGGCAAGGTCAGCTACCCATGCACCAGCCACGTCCACAAAAAGCCGTGTCTGTTGCTGGCATCGAATCACCCGCCTCCATGACATTCAACCCTCCACAGCAGCAGGAGCAACAGCCTTTCCATCAGCAGATCCCTATCCACGCCAACGGCAACGCGCCATCAGCCGAACCGCAAGCTTTCTACCCCCATGCCCGCCAACCCTCGTACCCCGCTCAGACTTCGACCGGAACTCCTCTGTCAAACATACCCGAGCGAGCGATCCATGCCCCCGCCTTTCAACCCTTCCAGCCCGGATACCAGGCCCAAGGCTTCGCGATGCCGCAGGGCTACTACTATCCGCAGAACGGTGCTCAACCCCAGTTCATGGCTCCTGGCGGCATGGTGCCCATGTTCGTTCCTGGCGCCCAGCAAAACGGCTACGTGCTCCCTATGGCTCCCCCTGCCGTTTCTGCTCCTCCTCCGTCCACAGGACAGCCCAACATGGTCGCGTACGAGAGCAACGGTATGACGTACTACGTGGATCCCTCGCAACTATACGCATCCCCCATGGAAGGTTACCCACAGGCCAATTATGCGGTACCCGGAATGGGCGGTATGATGACTCCTGGCCCAGACGGCGCCTACTATTATCCACAACAAATGCAGCCCACCGCTTTCTACCAACCCCAGTAGTACTCGAGGGCCCAACTTCCACTTACTATCCCCTACTCCATTGCCTCGGCCACTGAGATCCCGACGCAAAAGATGTTGAGCGTAACGAGGCCGTTGCCCCGCTATTGCCCTGTTTTGTTTAGTTCCCGTTCTACCTGCCCTGCACTGGCAAGCGTGGGGTGTTCCTCAGCGAGGTCCTTTTACCCCTTTTCGGATACATTATTGGCGTTTCGGCAAACGGATATAGGAGGCGTGTCATTTCATCCGCCCGTTCACACGGGCAATCGGTAAAACACATTTAATCACGGGAACACGAGGAGGCAGGCCCGGCTTATCACGGAGCAGGATTCCTCCCTGTACTTTCTGTCACGATTATGCTCGCTGTCTGTTGAGCTCGGGTTTCTTCTTTTTCCTCATTCCGCGACTGCTTTCTATCCGAAACAGTCCCGGTGGCATGGCGTCTTTCTTCTTCTTCTCCGGTCTTACCACTACGTATCTGTTCCTAATATATTCCCCCCGACCTTTGATTCCCCCCTCGATTACTGCTGTTGGCCTCTACGTCTTCGCTTCTTGTATCATGAGTTTTTTGTTACCCCCTTTTGGTGTTTGCTTACACGGCGGGACTGATCCGGCGGGTTGTTCGAGCACGGATTGAGGATAGGGATTATGCGGGCGCTTTGCGAGCAGGTGTCTAAGGTAGACGAATATGACTTGGTGTAGCCAAGGCTTCGCTCTTGGGACGTTGGACCTTCTGCCTCCACTAGTTCTTACGGGCTTCCTGCTGCTCTTGATATCGATGCTTCTCCGATCTTCTGCCAACGATGGCTCGAAGTGCTACACGAACCAGGAAGCGGTATCAGCTGTGCGAGGCCGTGATGATTCTGCTAAGTTTCTAGAGGCCGAGATTTGCATAGTCTCCTTTAGCAGCTACGATAAACGACTTGGCAGCAGCAGCATCGAGTTATGAGTGGGCACCTTCTGATAGGGCGTTCCGATGTCCTACATCCACCACAACTTCACCCAAGAAGCCGACGGCCTCAACGCCGTGACAGGCATCCTTAAGAAACTCGCGCCACTCATGGGCGGCAGTTTCCACTGCGGAATCCAAAGTACTTCGATGCCTGCATCCTCTGGAACTGGCCCGGCGTGTTCAACACCCAGCGTCTCCCCCGGCTCGCCTACTTCCCCAGCTGGTCCTGGGTCTCGCTGTCTGTCCCGGCCAGCATGAGCGGTCTCGAGGGCACGTTTTGGAGCGCCGTCACGACGGTCGAGCAGTACGTCGACTCGAACACACGCATGCGACTGGGCGACGCAAAGGGCATCAAAGTGTGCACGCTGGTGCAGTGCTTCCGCTACACGTGGCACGGCGAGCCCGTGAAGATAGCCTCCGAAGTCTTCGAAGGCAGCCGCGACACGCAGTTCCGCACTTACTTGGAAGCCGTCGACGAGCCTGTCGCGTATCCGCCGATGGTGCCCGTCAAGTTCTTCCGCAGCCAGGCCGAGCACGACGCGCTCATGGCGCAGCACACCGCGGATCCGCTCAGCGGCGTCGCCGTCAATATCGCGTGCCGCCTCTTCCTCTGCAACACCGTGGGGTTCTTCGCGCGCAAGGCTTCTTTCTTCGTCGCTGCGCCAGCGCCGGCCGCGGACCAGGAGCTGGGAATCCAGAAGCTTGCGGTTGCTGTCGACGAGGGCTTTGCAGACGTCGTGGGGCACGTGGTTTTGGACACCGAGTGGCGCCGTGCGCAGCCCGCGCAGCTGGACTTTGTCGCCGTGGCGCGGCATGCAAGCAATGGCCCACACACCAATCTGCGGCGGACGGGGGGCTGGTTCTTTCATTGCTTGCTCGTGGAGCGCGTGTTTAGCGATGAGGAACTGCTGGTGGTGGGGTTGCATGCTGCGCTTTTTCATCGCAGGGTTGCGGCGCTGTTTGATGTCGACTGCGAGCAGTTTGACCGCGCGGGGTCGGACTCGACTTGTCTTTGTTGATATGAAGTACGATTCTGGATGGTTAGCGGTGGGAGGCCATAGTTCTCTTGCTTGGAACAAGCAGTGACGCTGGACTTGGAGAGCTTGAGGATACGGAGAATGGGACTGGGAAACTTTCAGGAGCAAAAGGCGAACACCTAGTGCTTTCTGGAAGTATTGCCCACATATATTCAGTAACAGAAACGTATAGCCTATATTTCTACGTAAAGCTCATGAACTCATACTCATTATTCGTGAACGAATCGCTACCAAAATAGAACGTTCCTCGTAACAAAAAAAAAATTCGACATGTCAAATCGTCCAAGGAATCGAACTTCGCCAGCTGATTGGCGAGAAACGTATCATCCCCTCCCTCAAAAACACGCACAGTCCCTTCACCCCATGGCACCCCCACTCTAAACATCACTGAAAGAACTGACCGAACTATCGTCATCCTCGTCGTCGCCCACCTCGTCCCTCACCATCCCCAACACATCCATCGGCACAGAGTCCCCATGCCACATCTCCAGCCCCCCATACCGCTCAAAGCACTCCTCCCCGTACATCTGCAGCACCCACCTATCCTCGCCGCTCAAACGACACCAGCGCTTCATATCCAGGCGCCCGCTGAGGCGGTAAACCTCGTCGGTTATTTTGTCACTCTCGGGGATGTTGTCCACGGGCTCTTCCAGGAGGGCATTGTACGCGGGGATCAAGGCGGGCATGGGCGCGAATGTCAACGGGGAGGGGTACGGCGGCGGCGGGAGGAAGGGATACGACGCGCGCTCGCGGTTTGCAGTGAGCTCAGCGAGCGAGAGGAAGGTAGACGGGTCGGTGGATTCGCCTAGCGCGGCCGCAATGCGTGCTGGGTCGTCGTTGAAGATGGAGCTAAGCTTCTGCGCGCGCGTGTCGGGCGTCATGCGCTTGAAGTTCTCTTCCGCGCAGGCGTGGTACTTCTTCTCTGCTTGGAGGAAGCTGTCTAGCTGCGAAGACGGCGTGTCGAGTATGTTGTGCGCGAGGTTGAGCGTGATGTATGGGTTCTTGATGCCGAGGCCGCCGTAGGCGGTCGGGAGGTAGAGCACCGCTTCGAGGGCGAAGGGGGGATCGGTGAGGGGCCGGCCCAGGTGTGTGACTAGGAGGCTTGTGACGTGGGAGGTTAGATTGCCGCCGTCGAAGATGATGTCGAGCATGCGGTTGTGAGCCTGCGTCACGGCTTCGAGGTGCGCTTTGCCGAAGACGTTGGCGAGCGGTCCGAAGAGGTGCGAGGCGTATGTGCCGACGGTGTTGTTCCAGATGCGGATCCATTCAAAGACTGTGCCGCAGGCGGCAAGCTGCTTCTTGACGCGGCGTGCGTAAGCCTCGACTTCCGCGTCAATGATGCTGAAGGACACGGGCTCTGGTTCCTCGGGGCCTTCAGGCCCCACGTGGATGTTTAAGAAGCCAATTTGCACGTGCAACGGCTTGGTAACTTCCGCGGGTAGACCGGTCGCCTTCGCAAATCGAATGACCTCATCCTGAGCGTTGGTGCGCTGAGACCGGGTGCCGACAAAATAGCATTTGTCGCGGAGGCGGTACAAGTACCCTCCCGTCTTCTGGTGGATGACCAGATCGAGGAAGAAGAGGACGGCTTCTTCGAAGAAGGCGGATAGTCCATGAGCGACGGGAACGCCACAGGTGCGAGGTAGGATCTGGTCGGAAGTTCCACGCACAACTGGGCCCATGTTGAGTGGAGCAGCTAGGAAGCGCGCGAAGACATCGAGCCATTGCTCAGGGACGCCGATGAACTTGAGAACGGCAAGAACAGTCTGATGCGGAAGGGAGGAGGCGAACGAACTGAAGTTCGCCGTGAGCCCGTGAGCCGAACCATCAAAAGCTTCGCGGAGCTTGGCTTCAGTGACAAGAGTTTTCAGAAGGGTCGCCTGGGTGTCATTTGCAGACACGCTTTCGGGAGAGCTACCATTCAGCTTAGGTAGTCTCGGAAGGAAGAAGTCCCTAATATATGCCCTATACCGCTCATCGTTCAGGTTCGGACCTCCCGGAATCGGGGCAGGTGGTGGAGGCGGCGGTGGGCAACCAGTCCTCTTCTTCTTCTTTGGCTTCCATACTGGAGGAGGCGGGCCACTCCTCGGGCCTGAAGGAATGACTTCTACAACTGGCGGTGGAGGTGGACCATGGCACGTAGTGCAGGACTTTGCCTTGTATGTGGGTCGAAGTCCGAGGAGATAGTACTCCCGCTTGTCGAGTTCTTCATTCGAAAGAAGTGCGTTTCCTGGCCACACGCCCTTGTAGGATATGAGATCCTTCAGGCACTCTTTAAACTTCATGCTCCATCCTACAGCGAGGCTGTGAAGGAAAAGCATGTCGATGATGTCTTCTTCAACGGTGATGCAGTACTTTCCGTCAGCATTTTGGCGAGCTGTGACAGCTAGCCCTTTCTCGTAATTGCGCCAGTTCCAGTGGCGGACGGACTTCATGTTGAGCGTGCTGGTCAGCTCGCGGATAGCGATCGGATTCTGAAGGTAGCCCCGCAGCGTTTTCGTCTTCTCGTCACTAAGCAAGCCGTTGCGCAGCAGGTCCACAATGCACCACTCAACTATCTCTCCGTCGACTTCCTCGCTGCCTTCCATGACGTCTTTTCCGTAGTCTCCGATGTGCTCGCGGAGCTTGTCAAGCTGCTCCTCGGCCGCGCTGTTGTCGAAGAGGCCGGAGAGGTACTCTTCCATCGCTTTCGTGTCAACATGCTTGCTTGCGAAAGTATTCTTCTCGAACGTCTCATAGACAGCTTCGAGCTCGCCTTCAACCAATTCAAACTCGTCGTCTAAAGCCGCCTTCTCAAGCTTGGCGGCCATAGAAGGCAGGGATACCTCGGCGCTAAGAGCCTCCTTCAACAAATCGACGTGCAGCGACGAGACCTCCAAGCGATTCGCATGCTTCGCCAACTTCTCGCGCAGCTCCTTCTCGAACCTCAGCAGCTTGGCTTGCGACACCGAGCGGTCGTCCTTGGCCTGCTCAACATAGCGGCTGAGAAGCGGCAGATCGTCGTCTCTCTCGAGATAAGGATCGAACTTCTTGATCTGGTCCAGCAGCGCTTCGAGCCGTTTGAGCGTATCGTCTCCCGCCGCGGCGACAGCGGGATTGTCTTCATAGCGGTTCTTGAGTGCCGCTTTGGTGCGGTTGAGCTCTTCGATTTTGAGCTCGGCTGCTTCCCGCAGGATGGGGGACACGACGAGAGGAGAGACAGAGGGGGACATGATGAGTAGAATAAGAGCTCAACTGCTGGGCAATGGTCTTGAAGGGCTCAAATGTCAAGCTTCAGCTCGGGGAGAGGGATTATATACCGCTTCGCCCCGTATTCCGCATCGTCTGTGTCGTCGTAGGCAGCCAGCATCTCGATTTGGGGGCCGAGTGCTCGTTCAATGGCGGCATTGCGGTGGTTGCCTGAGGATGAGCCCTGCTTGTGTTGCAGCAAGCATGCAGAAAGGCGTAGTCATTGCAGGAGGTAGTGCAATCGGCTGCGATGCGGCCGTTGCAAGCGAATCAATCGACGACGCTTGAGCCGATTTGGCCTAGCCCCTTCTCCCCACCTTCTCACCGGAATTCTCGTGTTCTAATCTCCATTCAGCTCCAGCGCTCAGCTTCATCTTCTCCCCACGGGGCTATACCCCTCTCAAGCATTCCCGCTCTTCTCGCGCCTATAGGACTTATTGTTGAGACGCGCTAGACATCACTGGCGGGCCGGTGAGCTGGGCTGTAGATATATCAGCTTGAGAAGCACCACGCAGCTATCGGCATCATTCGACGCTATCGTGAAGTCGTAATCACCTCGCGAAAAGGGCGTCGTTCTCAACATCATGCCACGCAGGTTGCAGTGCCGTGAAACCCGCTTCGGCCAGTGATGTGGACTCTTTAGCGTGATAACGACCGTTGGCGAAACGGCGACGATGAAAAGCAATGCGGCCAAAGTACGCTTGGAGCGGCGAATCTCGTGATTGGGCATAAAGCGAGGCTGGCAGCATCTCAACTGGTGAGATCTCGCCCAATCAAATAGCACAACGTGCTTTGCGTGCGCAAGAGAAGGATGTAGCCAAGGTGCTCGGTGCAGTTATCGGTTTTGGACAGATACCATTTCTGCGCAGTCTCAGCAGAGCTCACTGATAGCTGCCCGCCGAAAATTCGACATCCCTAAACCATGATGACTTCGGAGGATGCAATCCACATTGTTGCTCCCGTCCTTTAGATCTGTACTGCTACACGATTCGTCTGATACTTCTTCGTGCTTGGCAGAAGCAACGTGCAAACAATCGCAATACTCCCAAACGCAATACTCGTGAACCACACATACTTCAAGCTCTGGCTATACGCCCACTGTGTTCCCTTCGTTGCGCTCGCAATCACCGCTGGCGTTACGCCCGGAATCTCCGCGAGGCCTTTCGGTGCCGTCAAGAATGTGCCCACAAAAGCTTCAAGGGATGGAACAGGCAGGCCGGCTTTGAGAGCATATTCGGCGACGTAGATAGGAAGCTTTTGAGTGAGCTTTGTTGCGAAGATGTTGTAGTAGATTGAGTACCCAATGGAACCGCCGACCGTGCGGATGGAGAGCGAAAGGGCAGCCGCTGTGGTGCTGCGGCCACATTAGTCCGTTCCACCGATTCTAGGGGATGATTGTGTGACGGAAACTTACATGACTTGATCTGGGCAAACTATCATTGCTATAGTCGCTGCAGGAACGAGGACGCCGCCCACACCGAAGGAAGCCAGCGAACCGAGCGCAACAGTGAGTTTCGGGTTATCGGGCGTGCTACATGCGAGTGAGCCCGCAAAGGCTGTCATGAACAGTACAGCGACGAGCAAAATCTCGCGACTGTGGCCTGGGAATGTGGAAAGTGCGGCATTGAATCCGATAGCGCCGATTGTGGTTGTAAATGCAGGCGGGATACCCTTCAGGCCGACTTGAACAGGGTCCGGTGCGTAGACGGAAGAGAATGTAACTGGAAAGAAGTTGAGGATGCTGAAGAAGTTCATGCCGGCGGCGAAGGCTACGACGTATGCTAGGCCGACGATGCGCTGTCCTTTGAACAGTTCACCAGGGACCATGGGGTGGCGAGCGAACTTCCACTCATAGACTACCCATGCTGCAACAAGGGCAAGACCGATGAGAAGCGTACACATAACGTAGGCGCTCTTCCACGGATGAGTGTAACCACCGGCCTGCAGAGCAACGAGGCTGCAAAGACTTAGGAGTAGACCGGCGTTTGAATCGGAGTGGAAACTTACAATAGGGTTAATCCTGTGATGGACAAGACACCGCCGACGTAGTCGATCCTCTTCAGGATTGCCCGGCGGGAGAACCCCTCGACACGGGTATGGTTGTGAGGGAAGTAGGAGAACAGAAGGCCGATCCCGATGATGACGTTGTAGATGAGCGAAGTCCAAGGACCCCATCGCCAGCCGACCTTCGTATCATGGTGCGACCACATCTCGACGTACATGAGATAAGGACAAAAGGGAATGACGAAGGCAGTAACCAGCGCGAGGGAGTAGCCACGGTACTTGACGGGGACGATTTCAGCAAGTCTGGAATGAGTTCAGCAGGGCCGGTGTCCAAACACTACCACATATAGCTTACCCAGCGAGACCGGTCAATTCTCCAATTGCTGCACCTACGCCTGATATGGCCATACCAGCGAGGGCTTGGCCAAAAGAGTGCGTGGTACCCATGAGGAGACAGCCGAGACAAATGCAGAAAGAGCCGAAGAGGGCGATGTACCGCTTGCCAAAAAGGTCCTGGAGGTAGCCGGCGTACGGACAAGCGGCCGCGATTGCAAGAATGTTCGCGGTAGGCAACCATGCAGATCCTCTTGCTAGGTCAAGGTCATCTTCGATGAAGCTGAGGGACCCGCCAGTAAAGTAGAGGATGATCTGGGAGCCTTGTCCTCGGTTAGAAATCAGAGCTGCTCGAGATTGTAGGGCTACTCACCCGTGTATAGACCCGCAAGGAAGATAGCTGCGAAGATGCTCCGCGCGCTCCAAATCACTTTCCCGTCAGAGTCGTCGCCCTTGATGGCATATCGGTTTGTGACGTCAATGCCTTCTAGGGTACGCTCTTTCTCTAGATTCAGCGAAGGATCGGTGTGGGAACCATGGGCGTTCTCGATGAACGTCGCCTCCTGCTTCTCTCTGTCCAGGCTAGAAGCCATGGCGTGCTTGTCGGGGTAAGTCGTGAGAAGTCGGGGAGGTAAGGCAAAGGCAGAGGTAAGGGTAAAGGCAAAGGCGAAGATGCCAAGGGAAGAATTGGGAAGAAGCCCTGGAGCACCGTCTGCTACATGCAGCAGGCCGACGATCCTATATCGTGTGCCAGTTTGCCCCACAACGTTCGGGCAGGCATGGTAGTGAAGACGGCCGGACCCACGCGCGTGATGCAGTCCCTTGTCTACCTACAGTAGGTAACACCAAGTGTGTGCGGGCCGCTTGTCTCACAAGAGCGAAAATCCGGGGTAGCATCCCTAGCGTCGGGAGAAAAGGTGCGGGGAAGAGCTAGGAGCGTTAGACAGTTGATCAAGGAGACATGTGCTAGGTTCTGGGTTGGTGGTTATGCTGACTCGATCCGGCCGATGAAGCAGAACGTCAACAGTTGTAACTGGTCAAAGTTCGCCAACCATCTCGGCTACCTCTCCGCCTGTTGGTATCATATCCTCGGGACCAGAAATCAATACCGCCACCACGGTCCAGGCGTTTGTATCAAAGTTTGTGGCTGCCTCGCGTCGCAGTCTGTGGACGACACAGCATCGTCAATGGGTCGCTAAAATCCGGCGGTACGCCTGCGTGCTCAGTACCTAGGTATGCTCAATCTAGAGTCAAGGATCGTCCGGAGTTACACCCTGGAGAGGAGAGCTGTGCGCTGGGAGTCAGACCCCAAGGCATCGTGTCGGTACCCGTCCCTGCTTGTAGGATGCGATCTACGCTGCCGAGAACATACCCATCATCTACCTTTAAGATGCGAAATTGGGCAGCCTAGAGCAAGACTTCGAGAGACGACGGAGAATGGAGCTGCCTACCACTGCTCCTACATTGGAAAGATGGCCCAGGCAATATCAGTCCAGCTCACTTCCCAAGACAAGAGGTCGTCCTAACCCCAGTAATGCGAAGCGCCACAAATTACGGCCAAGTCGCATATTGCAGTGAGATTGCCCCTGTCGGCAATTATCGGCATTGGTACGGGAACTGAACGAGACCAAGTCAAGCGGGTCGCATGTTGCCCGAATCCTTGTAGAGATGTTATACGGGCACTTCGTGCATTGCACCCAGATACCGAGGCGGAGAGGGTATCCACAAACAACCCGGGGACACATCCCGCGCTACAGGGCCTGCGATTTCGTCGGGTCTGTTTGTTGGTTCTAGACCGTTAGCTACAGGACTGGCAACCCTCGGGAACCCAACGAACGAGCCCAATTAGCAAGATGAATATACAACAGCTAGTAAGGTCTGAAGGGGCCGACACGGAGACCCAATGTAAGGTTCACTAAGGGGAAGACGAGGGGAATGAGCGGAGCTTACTGGCAGAGAGAAGCGACGGGCAAGGGGAGAGTTCATTTCGTTACCTCTTCGCTTCACCCTCCTCGGCGATGAGAGCCTCCACGTCCTTTTCCATAAGCCAGCTGCGGACGCTTTCCATGATCTTATTGAGCGTCTGACCGCCCTCCATCACATCGTCAAGGTCATGCACCGTCGCTCCGCTTCTGTGGTCCGTGACCCTCTGCTGGTTATAGTTGTAGGTCCGGACTTTGTCCCCACGGCCCATTTTTGCCACACCCACGACGCTGCGGCGCATGGCAACCATTTCCTCTTCTCTCTTCTCTCGGCGCAGTTGGGCGATCCTTGACCGGAGGAGTGCCCAAGCTTTCTCCTTGTTCTTGGGCTGCGACCTGGAGTCCTGCATGGAAACGACCGTATTGGTAGGCATATGAGTCAGTCGCACCGCCGACTCCGTCTTGTTGACGTGCTGCCCGCCAGCACCGCTGGCTCTCATGACCTCCAGCCTCACCTCCTTGGGGTCGACGTAGTAGTCGCTGTCCGGATCATCGTAGTCGGACTCTGCTACCGAATTCGCCTGCAGGCTGGGCAACACATGCACTGATGCTGCGCTCGTATGCGTGCGTCCTTTGGTCTCGGTGACGGGCACACGCTGCACGCGATGGACGCCGGCCTCACCCCTGAAGAAGCCGTATGCGCTCTCGTGGTCAATCTCGAGGATAGCTTCGGAGAGTGGTATTCCGCCTTCCTGTGTGCCATTGACGTTCTCATACTTCAGGAGCGTGCTCCGGAAGCCGTTGCGATTGCAGAAGGCTTGGTACATGCGCAGGAGGTCGCCGGCGAAGATGGCGGCTTCGGATCCCCCTGCGCCCGGACGTATTTCTACGAGGCATGGGAGATGGGCGAACGGGTGCACGGGGACGAGCGATGTGACGAGGCTTTGCGAGGCATTCAAGAGCTGCGTTCGGATCGCGCCTAGGTCGTCCGAGGCGAGCTCTCGCAGCTCCGGATCCGTGGTCGGGTCGTGCATCAGCGACGTGAGCTCTGCGACAGACTTAGTCCATATCAGCATATCCAGCTACTCACGCAGGATACGGGCTGCACTGACCTCGCTCGCCTTGTGCCATTCGCGCAGCGCGAGCACTATCCGGCTGTACTCACCCGCCTTCTTTGCCGCACGCGTATCAAAGCCATTGGCCAGCTTTTCGGTCAGTTGCTGGTGCTCGGCGGCGATGGTGCGCGCGCGGGCGAGGAGCGCAGGAGGAATGGACTCGGATGTAGCAACTGTGCGGCGTCAGCCAGTGGTTCAAGAGGGATGAGGACGGGCGGAGGACCTGTAGATTGCAGTCGAACGCCTCGTCGCACTGCTGGCTTTGCTGCTCGCAATAGACAATTGCGACATACCCAGGGTGTCGCAAGCATTGGCGCGTTCCGACGTTATTTGGGGGAGCTGGAGAGCTCGAACGCGACGGCGGAAAAGCTGGCGCTTGGCGGGCGCGTGATGCACGTGACCGTTTTAGTCGTCCGACCTCGGGACCATGTTCCGCCTAACCTATCAACACCGCGATGGTGTAGGCTTTCCAGCAAATATTTCCGACCTCGGGAGGTTCGGCATAGATTGCTCCCGACTGCACTACTCGCCTGCCTCTTCCTTCCTCACAACTGCACGTCATGAAGCAAGCCGATACAGATGATTGGTCCCACGCACTCCACCGCGGGGAAATGCTCTCGCCTCCGGCAACACGAGCGGCATGCCTCTGTCCGTGCATAGCCGTCAACATGTCCAGTCAATTACTACTTCCACCTCATGGCAGCCCTTGAAGGCATTGCAAAGCCCTCGTCCCCCGCCATCACGCAACACGGTCCCCAAACATGGGCCCTAACGTCTTTCCTCATCCCAACCCCCAGTTCGCCCGTTTTCCCAGCCGACGCTCAGTCGTGCACAGCACCAAGGGCATCGTATCATGCACGCAACCCCTGGCGACTGCCGCCGGACTCGAGGTCCTTCGTAAGGGCGGAAACGCGGCGGTATGACGTGGTCTACCCTCGAGGCTGCGTTGAGAGCTCACAATTCGCAGGATGCTGCAGTGGCTGTAGCAGCAGCCATCAATGTCACAGAACCCAGTTCAACAGGCATCGGCGGTGACATGTTCTGTCTGTTCTACGATGCCAAGACAAAGAAAGTACATGCCATGAACGGGTCTGGTCGATCGGGCAAGAATGTGACGCTAGAGCAAATCCGAAAAGACCTCAAGCTAGCCGACGGAGAGACTGGCCAGATACCCATGGACAGTGTGCACGCCGTCACGGTGCCTGGTGCTGCAGCCGGCTGGATAGACTGCGTCGAGCGATTCGGGAGCAACAAAGTGAGCATGAAGGACGTGCTTGCGCCTGCCATTGAGCTCGCCGAGAATGGCTTCCCGGTCTCCGAGCTGACCGCGACCTTTGTAAGTGTTGAAAACTTTCAAGCCGGGAACGACTTATTGACTCTGCATGCAGTGGGCAAATGGCGAGCCACTAATAAGGCGGGCATCTCCGAACGGTGCGGAGATGCTCAAGAAAGATTCTTCCGCAAAGGACGGCTGCAGAGCACCACGGGCAGGAGAGATCATGAAGAATCCAACCATCGCAAACACATTCCGGCTTCTCGCCAAGCATGGCAAGAAAGGCTTCTACGAGGGAGAAGTAGCCGAGCAGCTAATCAAGGTCGTCTCTGATTTGGGGGGCCATTTGACCTTAGATGATTTAAGGCACCACGCTGAAACTGGCTCCGAACCTGTCGACGCAATATCTCTGCAGTACACTGGTCAGAGTGTTGGTGAGCAGACCGGTGGCGGAATCGAACTCTGGGAACATCCGCCCAATGGACAGGGTATCGTGGCACTCATGGCCCTCGGTATCATCCAGGAGCTGGAGAAACAGGGGGAAATACCAAAATGGGGCCTAAAGGACCACAACAGCACTGCGCATCTCCATGCGGTCATCGAAGCACTACGTATCGCCTTTGCCGACGCCCACTGGTTCGTCACTGATCCGAACGTTGTCAAAATACCTTCGGCCGACCTCATCTCACAGAAATACCTTGCCGAGCGTGCAAAGCTCTTTAATCCGGATAAGGCTATATCAGCTCCCTTACACGGTTCCCCCGCTCACCTCCAGAGCGACACGGTGTACTTCTGCTGCTCGGATTCTGAGGGCAACGCAATTTCCTTCATCAACAGCAACTATGGCGGCTTCGGCACAGCCATCATCCCCAAAGGATGTGGCTTCACCCTGCAGAACCGAGGCGCGAACTTTAACTTGATGAAAGGACACCCGAACGTGCTAGCACCTAGGAAAAGGCCGTATCACACCATCATCCCAGGCCTAATCACGTACGCGAAAGACCAGAGCCTCCACAGCGTATACGGCGTCATGGGCGGCTTTATGCAGCCCCAAGGTCATGTCCAAGTTCTCCTTAACCAGGAGGTTTTTAAGCTGGACCCCCAAGCTGCTCTTGACTCGCCGCGCATCTGCATTGGAGCAGGAATGCCCGACTCTGATGGGCGCATGACAGACGCGACAATTTACCTCGAGGAAGGTATCGATCAGCAGGTTGTAAATGAACTGAAGGACATGGGTCATAGCGTCCAGCAGCTGGGCGGGTTTGGAAGAGCTATGTTTGGCCGCGGGCAGATCATTAGGCAGCATTTCGACGATGGAATTATGGTCTGGAGCGGTGGTAGTGACTTGAGAGGTGATGGTGCTGCAGTTCCGCTCTAGCCGATGCTGTCGACAGACCTTTTCATGGTGGGAGCGGGAGCCAGCGGTTTACACAGATTTCAATCCTGGGGATTCCAGAACTTGAACGGATTGCTTATAACAGGAACGTAGACACTCTTCATCAACATTTAACCTTGGCCTGCTTTACGTAAACATGTAGGACGCATACCAGCCCGATATCTGCCGCATCGCCGCCTCTGTTCTACGTGTCGTCCCATTATGGCTACTACGCGATCTGTGTTAAGCGCAGCGTAGTCGACCTCCTAATGCGTATATATCAGCACAAACTAATCTGATCACTTGTTCAAGGCTCCCGCTATTCTTGCCTGACAATAAGCCTCGCGGAGAGCCGGCCAAGGATGAGCAATATACCGTTGACCATCGATCGGGATAGTCATTTGAAGCAGATAGCACCCGCAATACCGCATCCGCGAGCGAATCAACCACTTATTCCTTCGACATCGCCCGCCACCCCTAGGAGTCATACAGTCCTATCAACCACGGCATCCAGCGCTCTTTTTCATGCATCCTCCACCACTAACGCACAAGAAAATAACAGTGGAGAAGCGGGTCAAAGAAATTCTCAACCAGGTAAAAGGTAAGGATTCAAGATGGTCTATTCACTAACGTAAAGAGTGGTATGCAGCAGGGCGAGTGGAATTGTATAACGTGCCATAGGCGGTCCTCTAGCGCTCAAACTACCAAGCATACTGGCCCTTAGCATGCAAGTACCCTCCATGCTCGCCATCCCTCTTCCCATCCAAAATATCAACAATAGGCGCAGCACCTTCGCTCGTTGGTTGCGCACCGAGCTCCACCTTGTTTGACGCCGACAGATTGGAGGCGGTATACCCTGGACAGAAGGCAAACACCTTCCAGCCCCGCGGCCCGTATTCCACCGCCTGACACGCCATAACCATGTTCAGAGCCGACTTGCTCGCTCGATACTGCACGTTTTTGATATTCTTTCCGGGACCATTCGGATCAAGACGCATCGCAATCGAGCCCCCACCGGATGTGACATTGACGATGCGAGGCGTGCTGGCCGACTTTTCAAGCAGTGGAGCGAAGGCTTCGACCATGACGGCCGGGCCGGTGGCGTTGGTCCGGAAGCATTCGTTGAGCCGCTGTGCGAACGATCCTGACGAACCAGCGACTGCGGCATTGTTGACCAGCGCGTCGAGCCTAGATAACCTTTTTCAGTGGCCGCTCCAGAGTGGAACGGATGGAGATAAGGGTGGTTTCGTACCTGGAATGCTTGCTTTCAACTTCCTTGGCCGCTGCGAAGATAGAGTCCTCACTTGCGACGTCGAGTTGGATCAGTTCCACGGTACCCGGTAGATTTCGCGATTGAAGTTCCTTCACTGCTGCTTCGCCCTTCTCTACGGAACGGCTGCCAAGTAAGACATGGTTAGAGGCATTGGAAAGTAGTTGCGCCGCCAGCTCGAAGCCGATACCACTATTCGCTGGATGCCGATTTAGCCCCATGCTTCTTCAAACAGCGAGGAACGTACCACCAGTAATTAGTATAATTGTCTTCTCTGTTGGGGCCATTTCTTTGATGTGAGATCGTAAACGTCTGAGGATATGGATGTTGTCCTGACCACGGAGCCTCGACGAGGGCTTTTAAACTTCGCTCTCATGTCTAGTCAGGGGTACGGAGTGCGGCATGGACTCCAATGTCGGGCTCACTGTTTCTCCGATAGGGGTCTATGTTGGGAGAGAAGAACGGGGTTAGTGGTAAAATCCGTCGGAATGAGTATGAGGGCGGAGCTAAGTCCGACTTCCTCCTTGAATGGTCGGGCGGACCTGGGTTCACTAATCATGCGACGTTCAGATACTATGAAAAACGAGGGATGTCAGCATCTCAAGGGGCCGATTGAGTGGTGATGGTGATTCACAGCGAGCCCGGCGTTCTTAGGTTTTGCTGTCCGACCCCGTCCGCGAAGAAGATAAAGGTGCATGCTATGGTGAAGGAACGTCGAAGGAATATCCTCCTCAAAAAGTATAATTAACACTGTACCATCAGTGCCAGATGCTTGAGACATGTTTCTGATATTTTCGCTGCGTTTGGAAACGAACCAAAGTGAGTGAGGTCCCAGTTAGCTATAAACCAAGAGTCACGAGACTCCTAGACACATGGAAACTACCTAGGAATTTCGGTTGAGGTCTACCATAGGACGTCTTCCTAGCTTCTACTAGCCCTGGTCTTGTAGGATCCCACGCAGAGGGGTCGTACCATATAGCGGGAATGGGCACACGATTATTAGACCCTCGCATCTCACGATTGGGAGGAAACCCGCCCGCCCTTCCGCGTATCCTTTCCAAATACACGTTGCACAAATTCAGCGTAAAGATACTTGCACCTTCAAAAGCCTTGCTAACACCTTCCCATTCCATATTCGAGAAGTTACCCCCAACGTGGAGTGGCTCAAACGATTCCAGGAGAATGCCCGAATGTCGTAAGTAGTGACGAACTCGCCGCTATGGGGGGTATCGATATCCTTTTTCTGAGAGGCCGTGGGTGTCTTCGGGGAAAGCATCCTCCGGCTGAACTTCATGGACTTCGGTCGCTGGAAGTTCCGCAAGATGACTTGGTGAAGGTCGTCGCTGCAAGCATCGACCTATGGTTGGTCAGTCTACCTATACAAGCAAAAGCAACTTCAATATCGCCATACTTCCTAGGCACCATATTCCAAAACTAAGTGTTCTAAAGGATGTCCGATGTACTTAGATAACATCCCGATGACTTTCTTGGTTTGGGAGCCTGAATGCGAGACGGTACCGGTGTGATCCTCTTATCTGAAACGCTCCAACACCTTAATCCTGTTCAGGACGTTGTCAGAGTGGCAGCGTCAATTCCAGAGCACTTAACAATTCGTTTATGTTTGAGCTTGCCCTTTTCTGGCTAAGGATAGGCCTGCCCTTCCCATCTTATTGTGCCACCAACCCATGATATAATCGCCTATCATAGATGCCGCAAATCTTCGTAATGACGGAATACATATAAAATACAGACACCAGCCTGGGCTGGAACCGCTCTCTGTATCGCGATGCGCAACTGCTACAGTTTTGAGGTACTGGAAAAGTGTACGTTATATTAGGCCTCCCTCACGGAGACTTTTCGGCGGCATTCACTAAATGCGAGCCTTAGGGCTTATCCTGTTATGCCCTCTTGTCCTGTACTACCATTGTATAAGATATTGCGGCTTTCGAAGTTTTGTTTTTGAGATTCCCCGCTCAGTTACGCACTTTTCTATCATCTTTTTACAACGTTACTCAGAATGACTACCCCCTTTAAACCGAAGCAATGCCTGACTCTCTCGGCGGCTGCCATGGCTGAAATGCAAGGCGACGGAAGTCAACAGGCCATCAAATACTTCCTCAAGCTCACTCCGCTGTTAACGTCCGCCTCCATCGTCCATGACAACGCGTGTGGTGCAGGTGCTGTTACAGAACTCATCATGACATCGGAACCCCCGCCACCGTCTGGACTCCGCATCCATGCGACAGACATAAACGAAAGATTTGTTGCGGACACCAAAGCCTTGGTAGAAAGCAAAGGATGGCCTGTCACCGCCCAGGTCATGAATGCAAAGAAGCTGTCATTCGAGGACAACTACTTCAGCCACTCGTTCACAGCTTTTGCGTTCCATTGCATGCCGGGCGCTGAGCATGCCGCTATGGAGCTATATAGAACGCTTCAACCTGGAGGGACTGCAGTTGCGGCGATATGGACTAGCCTTCCTTTCGTCACCGTCTTCCAACAAGCGCACTGGGCGACTCGCGGCCGCCAAGCGCCACTGCCATCGCTCCTTCAGGGCGTGGAAGATGTCAACGATCAAGAATTCGTCAAGTTGCTCGAAGCTGGTGGCTTCAAGGATGTACAGACGCATGAGATCGTGGCCAAAACCAGAATCTCCACGGATCTGGAGCGTTGGGCGAATCTGGTATGGAGCTATCTTGGAAGAAGACCGAGAGAGGATGAGTGGACGGTCGAGGACGAGAAGAAATGGGAAGAGGCGATTAAGATAGCTGTAGAGGAGATGCACAAAAAAGGCAGGATGGAGGTGGGAGAGGATGGGGCGCTGTATATCAGGTTCGTGGGATGTGTGGCTGTTATGAGAAAGTGAATTCAGCACTACTTATCTGTGTCCGAAGCACCTTGTTGTTTAGAGTTCTTGATCGCCGTTGGGCTGTTAGAGTGAGGTGAATTACCGAACCACGACCTCGTTCGCTTGTGCGTATGAACACAGCCAAAGGCGATGACTAAGCGGCCATCTCGAACTTCCCCGCACCTGTGCTCCCTCTAGCCCCTGCACCCCCAATTTGCGACCCCCGTACTCCACCTCTATCACTCTCTCGCCATCCCCTTTTCATTAAATTAACCGCCTTTCTGCCTCTCCATCGCACTCATCTTGCCGGTCGCCACATCGCACTATCGTTGATGGTTTACGGCTCATAGCCCGTCGACGGTATATGTTCCTCGCGTTCTGGCGCGCTTGGCAGGAACACACAAGACTTTTTAGATTCGACTTCGCTCTCAGATAGCATGCCTCCCAATCTGTGTGGTCTTGGGAGGTTAGGGATGGCGGGCGTGGCGCAATTGAAGGGCATGAATCGTTGAGCTGATACTGGTCGCATATCGCATCGGCAAATACTGGAGAGATTGGAGAAACGGGCTGGCTAGGAAAGAGCTGTTTCTCTTGAGCTATCTGGATAGCTTATATGCGGCTTCGTCCCAGGCTCTGCTTCTGTGATCTCCATCAGCATAACCTCCGTTGTATACCACGGGAAAGGGCTATCGGCATTGATCGGCTATGGGTTTCCTCACTCAAGCACTCGTGCTCCTTGCCGGTGCGTCCCTCCTCACGCCTGGCCTCGCCCAGGACACATATGACTACGTCGTCGTCGGTTCGGGCCCCGGTGGCGGCCCACTAGCGTCAAACCTCGCCCGCGCAAACTACTCCGTCCTGCTCATCGAAGCTGGAGACCAAACCGCACAAGGCCCTGGGCAGTACCCGCCACAAGTGACATGGGACTTCTTTGTCAAGCACTATGCCGACGAGAAGAAGAACATGATGAACAACCATCTCGTGTGGAAGACGAGTCAGGGCAGGTATTGGGTAGGCGCGGGCAATAGTTCGCCGCCTGCCAACAGCAAATTCCTTGGCGTATACTATCCCAGGGGCTCCACGGTTGGCGGATCAAGCATGATCAATGCCATGTGCACGTATGTCTTCGTTTAGGTTGCCTCGAACGACGTTCAATAACTAACGAGCATCAGATGGTTGCCTGCCGACAGTGACTGGAACTACATACAAAACATTACTGGGGATGCATCATGGAAGTGTGTTTCCGGCGAAATGGTTACCCGAATGTGAGCTAACACCAATAGTGCGGACAATATGCGCAAGATCTTCCAGCGCATCGAGAAAAACAACTACCTCCCCGCTGGAACCGCAGGGCACGGCTTCGACGGCTACTTCCAAACAAACATGAACAAGCCCACAGGTATTGCTCAGCCCGTCCTCGGCATAATTCAGGCCATCGCTCAGAACTTCTCCGTGTCCACCGCCCAGTCCGATATCACGTCCATGATGGGGTCTGATGCGAACTTCCTCGACCCACAACGTGATTGGAAGACGGGCATCTATGGATTGCCGATGCACACCAAGGCGAGTGGAGAGCGCTACAGCTCTCGAGATTACGTCTTGGATACCATCAAGGGCAAGTTCCCATTGACGTTGAGCATGAACAGCCTTGCTACCAAGGTGCTGTTCGGCAATGGCACGTCTTGCGGCGGGAAGCCACGAGCCATAGGCATTGAGTACCTGCAGGGCAAGAGTCTATACAAAGCCGATGCCCGGTACAGCGAATCCAACAAAGGCACGGTGAAGACCGCCACCGCCCGCAAGGAAGTCATCCTCTCTGGCGGAACTTTCAACACCCCTCAGCTGCTCATGCTTAGCGGCATAGGACCCAAAGAGCACCTCGCCGAGTTCAACATCCCTGTACGCGTCGACGCCCAAGGTGTAGGAAAGAACATGCAGGATAATCAAGAAATGCCCATCATCGGACAGTTCTCCGGCCAGGCCACTGGCGGTTTCACACAACCCATCATCATGATGAAGACCAAACACTCCCCGGATGGTGAACGCGACATGTTCATCATGCAAGGCACCTTCGCTTTCCGCGGCTTCTGGCCGTCCAATCAGACAAACAATGCTTTACCACAAGACGGAGCGAACACATACGGTATCAGCATGGTGAAGAATCACCCTCAGAACAAGAAGGGCTATGTCAAATTGCTCTCCGCGAGCCCGCAAGACACGCCTGATATCAACTTCATGCACTACGAAGAAGGCGCGGAGACGGATATGGGGGCCATGAAAGACACCATCGCTTGGGCTCGAAAGATCTACGCTGCTGCCAAAGGTGTAACCGTCACTGCCAAAGAGCCTCCATGCCCAGCGGGTCCAGATGCACAGGGCTATTGCGGTAAAGCGGACGAGGATTGGATAACTGGACAGACGTTTGGTCATCATCCTACCTCGACGGCGGCGATTGGGAAAGATGGCGACCCAATGGCGGTGTTGGACAGTCGATTCAGGGTGAGAGGAGTGAAGGGGCTTCGGGTTGTGGATGCTTCCGTTTTCCCGCGCATTCCTGGTGTGTTCCCGGTCGTAAGCACCTTTATGCTAAGTGAGAAGGCAAGTGACACGATGAAGGAAGACGCCGATAAGGATGTGTGTGCTGCTTAGGCTTCGACGTAGGGCTACGCGTAGACCTCTATTGGTTACAAAACGTACATAAAGATAGCGAGAGCCGGTAAAACAAGCATACCCGTTCCTAGTAGTGTACTGTGCCGTACCGACTTGCGAGTTGCTTCTTAACAACTAGTTAATTCCCTATTTTTACAGGCATTTGCTATTCGGACTCTATAGAAGCTATTCGGACTCGACGTGCTTGAATGTACGCAGGGATTAGAACTTCGGACGAAAATTATTTTAGTTCGGCATCTCTATCTCGTGATAGTCGTCGTTCCCCATCCAACTTTCCAATTCTGACCCCTTATCGGCGCGAATAAGTCCTCGATCCGGGGCTTTTCAGCAATCATGGCCTGCAAATGAAGCGCATCAACCAAAGCCTCCAGAGTCTTGCGATTGGCATCAACACCATACACGAAGGGATCGCCTCCGAATACGTCATCGATCTCGTCCAATTCATGTGCCAACCAGGGCAGCATGTATCGCAGACAGTCTAGGAAGCGCATGCGGATGCGCGCTACTTCCTTTGAGTCGTTCAGCGCGTTGTAGAGACTGGTGGCTAGCCATGGGTGCTTCTCGCACAGCTCGCGGCGAATGACGACGGTGTGCATGATGGGGAAGATGCCAGTCTGCTTGAAGTAGCTCTTCTCAATCTCCTTGAAATCGGGGAATAGCCGCTTCACGTATGAGGCCTTGCCTAGACAGTGCGGCAGGTCGGCGCCGATAGTCGCGTCGATAGCGCCGTCCTCGAGCAGCTGGCTCAGGGACTGTCCGCTGCTGTTCTGCACAATGTCAACCGGCTTCGTCAGTGGCATAACGCTCGGTCTTCCGTGCGACTCGCCACTCTCCATGCTGCCCTGCACCCACTGGACGGTAGACAAGTCCACGCTATGCTGCTGTAGCACGGCGCGGATCCACACCGCGGCTGTCATCGTGTACAGCTGAACGCCGATTTTCTTGCTGTTGAGGTCGCGCGGCTCCCTGACTGTGCGGCTGTTGACAGCGATGAAGCCGTGGCGGAAAGCACGGGAGGGGAAGACGGGAATGGCGACGAGGTCGCGGTGGCCAGCTGCGTAACGGCAGATGTACTCGCTCAGAGACAGTTCCGAGGCGTCGAACTCTTTGCCGCCGGCCATCCGGTCGAAGATGTCGCGGGGATGATTCAGCGTGAGGAAGTTCAGATCGAGGCCGTCTGGGCGCACCTCACCCGCCTGTAGGGGCTGCATCCGGTCGTATAGGATGCTCGCGAAGGAAAGCGGTACTCTGCTCGTCATTGTGGGATATGATTGCGCTGCCGCAGAAATCACTTTGGCGGACGACGGCGTGTTATAGCTACTTCGCTTCCTGGACGCGAGAGCGATGGGTGGAAAACCGGGCGGCGAAACCCGTTACAGGTATGTCAAGCTATCGGGGCGTCTCTACCCGAAAGCTTGTGCCGCGCAAGCCTCATTGGCATTCGCAACTTCGATCGTGCGGAGAAAGGCGCCAGGGTTTGGCCGGGGGCCTTAGTGTGCCGTCTTTTCTCCGCGTCCTCTCCAGGATTATCAAAGGGCTCAAATAGCAGCCGCCGCCCGACAACATGTCTGAGTATGATCCGGCGCGGCAACGCGATCCCTCTCTGCGCAGCGTTTTGCAACAGGGACCGACAGAAACATGTCCGTGGATGCGAAGCCTGAGGCGGTCCAAGCCGAACTTGCTGAATACGACATCGTTCGGGGCAAGCTGTCGAAGAGCGGCATCGTGCTGCGACCGCAGCCGACGAATGACCCGAACGAGCCGCTGGTACGAAGAATCGATGCGCTTCCTGGGCTGGGATATCACTGACAACCGTTGCGCAGAACTGGACACAACTGGAGAAATACACGACGTATATGGTCTGCTGCTGGTTCACGTTCCTGGCATTCATGAACTCGTCTGCCTTCACCGTAGCGATACGACCAATCATCACAGAATTCAAGAAAACGTCGACTGAGGCAAGCTACTTGAGTACGTGTCCTAGCCACTGGGGCTGGAATCCCAACTGACGGAGTCAGCATCGTTGCAGGTTCTTGGCATGGGCTTTGGTGCTCTCTTTATGGTGCGTCTATCCGTCTGTTACATTTCAACATGCTCGAGCCTGTCCAGAGCTCGGTCAGCCGGCTAACGGTCCCGCAGATGCCAATGACCCGTTTGATTGGCAAGCGCCCTGTCTATCTAGCGTCCATCCTCTTCCTGTGCGTCACCAACATCTGGTCATACTTCAGCCCGAGTTACGGGTCGCTACTGGCGTCGCGTATAGTCGGGGGCTTAATGACGGCCGCGGCCGACGCACCCGTGCCCAGCCTGGTGGCAGATCTCTTCTACTTCCACGAACGAGGGCATGCCATGATGATCTTCCATGTTGCCATCAGTGCTGGTGCATTTGGTGGCCCCTTCATTAACGCGTACGCTACGCAGTACGCGGGATGGCGCTGGATGTGTGGTATTATGGCCATCGCCGCCGGAGTCACCTCCATAGTCGCACTGTTTACTGTCCGCGAAACAGTCTATGTTGTGGATGGACCCAGAGATCTGCTCAAGCCTGAAGAGGAATACGCTGCGAAGAGGACATGGGTTGCCCGACTCTCCCTCACGGCAGGATTCAATCCCAATGCATCATTCTTTGGGTGGGTAGCCAGGACTATCAGTCTCGTGGCATATCCCTCTGTTTGGGTAGTGGGCCTCACTGTGGGATTATTTATTGGATGGTAAGTTAGCCACAACACACCTGACAGGTTCGTACTCGAGCATGCACGGATTCTAATGTAGGTCAGCAACATTGCAATCCAGATAACATCCACACAAACCTTCACTGCAACTCCTTACCACTGGACCGTGCACTCTCTCGGACTCCTTTCTCTTGCCGGCTTCGTCGGGGCCGTAGTTTCTTTCGTCTTTGGCGGCTGGCTCATCGACTTTATCGCTACTAAACTGGCAGCTCGCAACGCCGAGCACGTTGAGCCAGAATATCGCCTGCCCGCCATGGTCATTCCCGCCGTCATCGGTCCAATGGGCGTTCTAATCTTCGGACTAGTGATTGCCAGTGGTAAGAGCTGGGGAGGTGCTGCAGTGGGTTACGGCATGGAAGGGTTCGGCGCAACGGCTGCGAGCAACATCATCGTCACCTATGCAGTCGACGCATACAGGCCTGTGAGTAAATCAGCATCCCTCCAGGCATATCTTCTAAATATTTGTGTCGAGAGATAGCTGACTAAGAGATTAGATTGCCGGGGAGATTATTGTCATAGTCTTCGTAATCCGGAACGTGATCGCTTGCTTGATTTCGACGTACATTACGGCTTGGCTTCAGAGCCAGGGCATCCGACAGGCATATGGCGAGCTAGTAGGCGTGGCGTACGCCATCCTATCTCTATCTCTACTATTGTATATCTTCGGTCGCCGCATACGACGCTTCACGTCAAGCTTTGGCCCAATGGCGAGTATTAGATACTAGTCAATGCTTGTCTAGCACTCTATCTATATGGCTCGCCTATTTTCTCCTAGAAATGCACTGCTAACTTCCCAATTATTTTTGACCTAGGTCCCGGCTGGATTAGCAGCTGCAACCGCAGCTAGGCTCGTCGCAAATGCCACAATCAGCCCGCGCAAGATTCTCAGGCACACAATCCGAATCCCCTCCACACCTCACCCAATCGCCGACTCCATACTCGAAGGCCTGCCGACACCACGGCCCGTCACGAGTACTACATTTCTTCCAACAGTACCCCTTTTCGCACCCATATCGCCGGGCGGCACAAGCTCTTTTGTGAAGATTCGTGATTGCAGAGGGCTCACCCAATGGATGCGCTGCGCACTTGCGGTGGTAGGTGGCCCCTTCGGGAAGCTGGGTTATGTTGTATAGACCGCCTTCGTTGGCGCAGATGTTGGCCTCAGGGCTAGCGGATGCAATGGCAGCGCCAATAACGAGGACGAGGGCTGTGACGGACTTCATGGTATCTTTCTAGCGGTGCGATTAGCGAAGCGATTTCGACGCACAAAGCAGAAAGTATCTTACCGATTTCCGGAAAGTTTTGAGAGCGAGCAGTGAGTAAAGAGGACGGATATTTTGAGGTCTCGATGGGCTAGCTGTTGAATAGGATGCTTGATTGAACTGTGCCGGAGAGATGGTGTCCTTCCGACGCGTGGAATACCCCCTTTTATATACTGCTCCCGCTGGCTCACCCAAAACACAATTTCGATGCAAAGAGCATCGACTGTGGGTAGCCATTTGCAGACTTGCGATATAGCATACAGTATCATACGGTCCGCTGCGGCACCCGCCAGGGGTAGCCAATGCACAGGCCTACCTTACAACGGGGGAGCGGTGAATTATAGCCAGCTGAATACTCTATGTTACGATCACTACTGCGGTAGTACTCGCTTTTTCGGCTCGGCTCAGCTACTGGCTCATTTAATGAGCGTCCAACCAATCGCCGACTAGGGAAGCTTACTGCGGCTAGAGCGCATCGGACCGCCCCATAAATCTACCCCGGTCCCCTATATTGCTACCAGCTTTTCGCCGAACTGCTGCATGTGGGTTAGCCGTTCTAATGTCTTTCCGTCAACGAACCTTCGAACTATGTGACGCGTGGGTCGGTTTTCGAACAATCGCCTGCATTTTCGGAGTCTAGACTCAGCCCTTGATCAAGCAAGGGCTGTTCGAGCTGAATTTCAGCTCTTTAGTTCATTAAGAAAGGTTACCCCATGGGGTGAATGTTGAGAGACGGTATCGGCGACTTTCTGTTAGCAACGTATCACTCAACTGTTGCGCAGACGCCTCCCGAGGCCACCAAGGTTCTTGATGCTACATCGATCGTGCGGGTGCTGATGAGCATGGCGCCAGATCTACATGATAGTTCTTCCTTCATGGGAGGGAGGCATCCCCGAGATAAATATATTAAACGTCACATCTGCAGGTCTCCACACCTCTCGTCTTCGACCAGCCAACCCGTTCCCGCACATTTGATTCTCTCTCGATCCACCAAAGATGCATACACTCATGTATACCTTCGCTTTCCTCCACTTCACTATTCCCGAACTCGTATTCGCTGACTCCGGTGTCACGACACGATATTGGGATTGCTGCAAGCCGTCCTGCGCATGGAGCAACAAAGCGCAAGTCTCTCAGCCCGTCCTGACTTGCAACAAACAAGATCTGGGGCCCAATCCATTCAACCCAGATGCCCAGTCTGCTTGCGGTGGTGGCGACGCATACACTTGCAGCAATAACGGACCCTGGGCAGTGAACGACAATCTTGCATACGGGTTTGCTGCGGCGAAGTTGGCTGGGAAGGGGGAGCGGGATTGGTGCTGTGCTTGTTATGAGTACGTCTGCATTCCGAGACAACTTTGCAATGGTATGGAATATATGGTAACGAGAACTCTAGGCTTATCTATACTTCGACTTCTATTGCGGGTAAGAAGATGATTGTGCAAATCACCAATACTGGCGGGGATCTTGGAGCAAATCACTTCGACATCGCGATGCCTGGCAGTGGCGTCGGCCAGTTTCCTGAAGGATGCGCGAAGCAATTCAATGGAGCGTGGATGGGCGACCAATACGGCGGGTACAAGTCGAGAAATGACTGCTATAACCTTCCCGCCGGCCAATTCCGAGACGGGTGCTTCTTCCGGTTCGACTGGTTTCAGAACGCCGATAATCCGAATGTGGACTTCAGGGAAGTAAGCTGCCCACAAGCTATGATCGATAGGACGGGGTGTGGGCGGTAGAGCTGAGCGATGAAATTTTAGTTGTAGCTAGACTCTTTTCTGTAAGCGGGTACGCCGCTTGACCTGAGTCTTAGACTCCTCTGTCGCTTCCGACTATTTGGGTGGGTGCGCTGGACCGTCATTCGATACTGAAGGAGGAATAGAATAGCCTAATATTACAATGAGGCCGTTAACGACTGCCCGGGGAGCATTCGAGTACTACTCCAGTTAAACGTAATAATTTAATCGGGCTCTATGCCTACAATAGCGTACACCTAGGTTCCCGTGTAGCCCCCATGTACTCAATCACCGCGACTTAATCATATGAAGTACCTGGTAAGTATCAAATTCGCCCTGGTAAATGGCATGCATTCAACCATCATACACTGGTAACACCTGCGTTCATTAGTGTAGCTCTACAGCGGTCGAAGGTAACCTACATCATCCTGAGCAAGGATAGCAGAAGCACCAATGCAGCTCATAGACTCTGGATCATGCACTACCTCCACTCTGGACGGGGTTGCTCGCAGGTACACCACCTGAAGAGGAACCTCCAGGGAAATTCTTTGAGCATGTACGCCAAATACCCGCATACGTAGGAGCAGAGAGTATGATCTGGTGATAAGACTGCCGCAGAAAGTTGGCGGGAGTGTTACCGGGGGCCTGACAGGTACCTGGATCGAAGTCCTCAGGATATTCTTTCTGTCGCGGGCTAGATTCGATTCGGTAGTACTGCGGTTTTGCGCATTGTACCCTGTGGCTTCTTCATAAGCGGGCGGCTTGTCGTTGACAGGGCCGGAAACCTTGCCCCATTCCAGTTGTGTGTACGTCTCTCGTCCAAGCTTGATGACATCTTCCCGCAGTCGAATCAACGCGTTCTCAGCCAAGAACGTCCGTTTTGGCAGGCAGGTTATTGGCTCTGCGGAGTAGAAGGTCTTTACTTTAATTGCGGGTTTCACTTCCAGGGAGATCGCCCTCAAACGTGGGAGTTCGTGAGAAGCATGAGCAATTATCGACAATGCACATTCTGTGGAAGCTCTTTTTTCGTATTGTGAGTAAGCCAATGGGAGGGGCTCACTAGTTCTCAGCGTGAAGGTCCCAAGATGACTAGCCAAGGTATGCTTCCGTATCGATGAGGTCACTTCTATGTTGAACTCGCCGGGAAAGCTAGCGATATGGGTTGGCGGGCCTACTTCTGAAAATGGGAGAAATTTGATGACTCGGGTCATCTCAGTCTTCCCTGGTGTTCCGCCATCTATGGCATGCGCCTCGTGGTAATGGACGACGGTATGAAGTTCGTAGGTTACGGATAGTGATTCTGAGTGTGGGTCGGAGATCTCGAAAGATGGCGGGAGGACCCTACACAGTAACGGTTTATCGTGATTGGGGTACTCAGTTCCGAGTGGGACAATGAAGAAGAAGGGGCAGCTGTAGATAGTTGACCCATTCGCTGCTTCATGCTCTTGGATAGAGTCGAGTGGCGCCTGGTAAGTGACATCTAGGAACTGCACGGGTTAGCGTACGCACGTCACTACGGAGCATCAAGAATACAGACCAGGTCGATAGATTTCATAACCACCACATTGTTGTGGTTGAGAGACTGAGTTACTAGCTCGCTGGAGCCAGGTAACCGGTAACACCGAAATACTGTTGACTGCAGACCTGAATCCGTGGTTAGCCGGTGCGATATTTGAGTACCCAATCCATCTGACCTCTAAAGGAGACAGTGACGCTGGTAAAGTGCAACTTTGATGTCGTGGAGATATCAATTCGGCCCTCTAGCGAATGGCCAGGGCGCCTACAGCCGAAATCGCCAGGACTGGATCCGCATTTTTGGCATTCGAAAACCTCAATGGCTGCGAATATACAACTGCTGTCAGTCATTGCTGAAAGCTGAGGTTGATTGCTTTGCGTAAGAGCCTGTGGGACGTTTAGCGCATTTGGTAGGCAGACGCATGTCACCGAGCGCGTCTGATTGGTATATTTTGACACGCTCACGCATGACCCCTTTGTGCGTATAAGCCCATCCACTTGCGGTCACGTACAGCAAGTACGAGAGCTTCCATACTGAATGCGCCCAACTTGAACATGTCGAATACCACTTTCGGAGCCTGCATCTGCCACACATAGTAGCACGGCAACTATAGAAGGCGCCAACGCTTTTGAGATTTGTAATACTCGAGTGACTGGACTTTTTGGGCTCGGCGGGCGACACTACCTAGGTACCTAGTGACGTCGTGCTAAGCACGCTTGTTGAGGGAGCGATAATGGCTCCCGAGCATTCCAATGACTTGAGGATGACTGGAGCACGGATCACGATGCGTGGACTCAGAATATGACTGCACTGCAGATTATGCATGAGCTTTGGACTCTCGATATGCCGGTAGTCAATTCGGACTTCCCCTATGGGCCACACCGATTCCAGGCCTGGGTGAGATAAATGGCGAACCCTTCTAGCCAGTGTATACCCCTAGATCCTGCCTCTGACGGCAAGGACTTCTTTGGATGATACAGAGGAGCGACCACTCGTCCGTTATGCATCGATGGTAGTCACAACCGGGTTGGCCTGAGGTGCGCCGTTCGGGGGAAGATCGGAAGAATGTGTTTATTCCAGTCGCAGAGAATGAATAGGATTGTTAAGCAAGGAATTAAGCGATATCATTGAGCCTGCTTTAGATGTCCTGACGAAATGGTCTCGGGCAAGTCGTAGCGAGCCGCCAAGCGTTCACAGGAAGGTAAGTCGCTGGCGGGCGTGGTCCAATTAGCATCAAGCAGTGACACACTCAACCTTTGGCTTTGGTCTTAGTGTGTTTGTTTGATGATGTGCCACCTTAACGATCTTAACGAGGCGTACTTGCTCTCCACCCTGACAGCAACATACTCGATATTTTCTTCACGTCATAATCTCTCTGCCTCTCCGATGGCCGCTGAGAACGCAGCGGCTTCACCACCTCCGTGGTACGCCGTGTATCCGGCACCCAGGAACAGCCCGGCCACTATCCTTCGCGAAGAAGTCCTCGACATGATGAAGGCTGGTGGGGTTGCTGCCGGGAAAGACTACCTTCTCGTGGATTTGCGCCGCAACGACCACGAGGTAAACATTTCTTTCCGATGATCGAGCCGCTCTTGTATTCCGAAAGCTAATCAGCCCAGGGCGGCACCATTCGTGGCTCGATCAATCTCCCTGCGCAGAGTCTGTACCCTACCATTCCATCTCTGTATGTTTTGATCAAAGCGGCTGGTCTGCGCAACATCATCTGGTACTGCTGTACGTATTCTCGGTCTGCTTGTCTTGTCCCGCTTGATGCACCTCCTGCATATGAGGGCTTTGACTTGCATGTGAGGCTGACCGACCTGCGACTGCTTCAGCTTCGTCTCGCGGCCGAGGAAATCGTGCTGCTGGGTGGTTCGGTGATTACATTGCGGATCAAGGAGATACCGAGATGCAGAGTCTGGTCTTGGTTGAGGGTATCACAGGATGGGCGAATGCAGGGGCTGAGTACGTTGAATGGATGGATGGATACGATGCAAATGTTTGGTCGAAGACTTGAGGCTTGGGACTCGCAACGGCTTCTAGCCACACTGCGGGTGGCAAGAGAGAGCTGCAACCTTTACAGCCTGATACAGTAGTTAGCAAAGATGTGTTGAGCGAGGTTACTCGCATTGCCGTTTTGTCGCCGTGGACGTGGGTGGAGAATACCTGGGAGCTTCGCTGCTTTACTGGCGTTGGTGCTGGCAGTTCTTTTCGGCCAATCATGCAAGGCCAGTGACATACTGCACCATTCGCCGATTACTTCTGTTGAATCCCTTCGAAGCGCATCTACCGTACCATTCGTTTAGGGTAAGTGGACATATTTCTTCGCACACCTTCCTCACATGTCCCTGGCTTGTGCGAGCTATCATCGCATCGAGGCCAAAGTTTTGACTGCGCACGGGAGGTTCATGCCCGTCTCCTCTTCGCTTAGACGGACCTTCAGCAGGACTTCCATCTCTCACACCTTCAGCACGGTCAGAAAAATGACCGTCGCAATTACGAACGGGGATCTGAACAATACGGCAGCAGAACGCAGCCGAAGGGAGATCGTGGCAGACCCGGCGTACCACGGTAGATCTTTCGCAATCCCCATCTCCCGAGACGATCCGCTCGTTCGAGAAAAGTATCGACCGTTCTTGCTAGACGATGAGACGCCGCAGACTGATTGGGTTGCTCAGCTCGAACTGAGCACAGCGCTGAAGATGGTAGAAAGCCAGGTGCTCGACACGGGCGACGGGAGATTGAGAATACTCGTTCTACACGGGAGCATGCGGAAGCGGTAAGAATGCTCTTCGCCAGCGCAGCGCAGTGAGGAGGTTAGAATGCCGCTAATGGTGGGCAGATCCTACTCGCGTCTGCTCGCATATGAGGCTAGTCGGATACTGTTTCGGCTCGGCTGCGACGTCCGTATGTACGACCCGAGTGGGCTCCCGGTGAAGGACGACATTCAGCACTGGCACCCCAAAGTGCAGGAGTTGCGAGAGCTTAGCAAGTGGAGTGATGGGCATGTGTGGATAAGCCCTGAGCAGCATGGAAACCTGGTGCGTGTCTCACAGCAACCGGGTACTGGCCTGGCCGGGTTGGGCTAACGCAGTCGTTTGATACAGACAGCGGTCTTCAAGAACCAGATCGACTGGATCCCTCTATCGACTGGCTCCGTTCGGCCAACGCAGGGCCGCACCCTGGCCATCGCACAGGTCTGTGGCGGATCGCAGTCCTTCAACACGGTGAATTCGCTACGCATACTCGGACGGTGGATGCGTATGTTCACGATTCCGAACCAAAGCTCCATCCCGAAGGCCTACACACAGTTCAGCGACGAGGATGTGGGGAGCAGGCTCATGCCAAGCGGCAACCGAGACAGACTGGTCGACTGCATGGAGGAGCTGGTCAAGTACACGATTGTCATGCGGCCACACTTTGACCTGTTCGGCGACCGGTTTAGCGAGCGGGAGGAGAAGCGGGCCAAGGAGGAGAAGGTGACTGCGTGCGCTTGATTTGGCGGCGCATGTCTGCAGCATGTGGAAGCAGAACGGCGCGCCCCCGAATCGCTGGGTGGGCGCCAAGCATTTGTCTATTAGTCAGCGCGGGGCTCGGCAAAATATTTACCCGCCTGAAGCATTACTTGTATAACTCAGCGCGGAAGTCGGCTGAATATATACCCGCACCCTTCGAAACCCGCGCATCCATCCTGCGCATCCATCCCGCTCCTCTCCACGCGTGTTCATCGTGATGCCGAAAAAGGTCTGTCAAGAGCATGTCGCACCCCTCCGGGTCGGGCACAGCGCTAACGCGGCACTAGGCCAATGACTCACCGTCCTCTGTCCGCATCCGCGAGAACCAGCGGCGCTCGCGCACCCGGCGCCGCGAGCTGCTCCAAGAGCTCCAGACGCGCGTGCAGGAATTCGAGCGTAGGGGCGTCGCGGCTACGCAGGAAATGCAGCGGGCTGCGCGCAGAGTGGCCCAGGAAAACACACGGCTGCGGAGTCTACTTGCGCGCCACGGCGTGTCGAGCGATGAGGTGGATGCCTATCTAACGTCCTTCGACGCCGCTGATATCGTGAATGGCTTTCGCTATGCCGACCACCATGGAGACGGTTTTGTGCGGGGCGGCGAAGGCATGGTCGACGGTCAAAGGCCTCTTACGCAAGATCGAGAAGATGACTCCGCCGCGCGACAACCGGTGTCGATGGGGCTGATATCGCCCGTTCCTCGAGCTTTCAACGACGACCGTGAGGCCCAAGATAGCCGTGGAACACTGCACCGCGCCCATGATTTGCAGATCGCGGAGAAAGCAGACCTCTGCCCGAATACCTCTGACTGCTTCTGCCCTCCCACGACAGCAGCCTCAGATAGCACGCCTAGTGCTGGGCTAGAGATCTCATGCGAAACTGCCGCCACCATCATCGCTGAAATGCGTGGAGATAGGGACAGGGATGCAGTTCGTGCTTCGCTGGGGTGCAGTGCGGGCGAGTTGTGCAATGTCCGAAGCGCCACTGTATTCCAGATCATGGACGAGACATAGATCGCCCGTATCCACTACCCCTTGGCAATGCACCTGCATTCTCTCCGCGCAGCCACTCGTCGTGGTCAATTTCGGCCGACTAAAGAGGTGTAAGACCTAGACCTGTCGAATCCGTCCATCTCGCCGGCCTCTACAAGCAATTCAATCCGACTTAGCTGATTGGAAGCACTCACGTCCGATGTATTGGCAACCCGAGCGATGGGAGCCGTCGACGCCGGATCTCCCGGTTATCCTGACGTATTTTGGAATATGCGGCATATACCCCTCAGTCTAGATAGCGGCCATGTGGAATATGTGGCGATGCTACTGCCTTATCGTTCTCCGGGTCCTAGCTCATATCTGTGCTTGCTTCTCGTCTGAGCCGCTGCGGACTATTTCTTCGTCCGGCTCAGCTGCCTACCGACCTGATACATCCGCCGCTATTGGTTCGCTACAATCTACCATCGACGCAACATGCTACTCGATTCCTTTCTACCTGGGCAATCGCACTAAGGCTTCCTCGACTTTAGCACCTCTCAACTCGAGTACCTAGCCTACTCCCATCTCCCACGCCCAAGGTCGAGAGCACGCCATGTCAACGGAAGACTATAAACACCACGCCGTAGCTCAAGGTGGCTGGCATGCTCTTCTGCAGCTCAGTCAGGTTGTCACCCAATTCTCCAATCAATACTACGTCTGCCGCTGTCTCGGGCGTGCTAAGAGCTGGGCAAGTAGCACGAACGGCTCTTTGCGTACCGCGACATTGCTGGGCTTGGACACGAACAGGTCTACGTCCGGGGATGCGGCAAATTCAAATGTGCAAACGTATGCGGAGAGGCTTCGAGACGGTTTGATAATGACTCATGGGTCTTGAAATGGGCAGTGGCTGCGTCACTGTCGTGCGAGTGAGCACAACATTTGATGCACTTCGGAGAGCGTGAATTCGAGCATGTTGAGTGTAGCTCCAAGCTCTCGGCACAGGCTTGATTCCTCCAGTACTCGTAGGCTTAGGAACTTATAAAGAGCTATTAATACTCGGGATCGATCATCCGCAACAGCACGTGTTTCAGCTTTTAGCCACACAAGTCTAGAACGGATCCCTATGGCAGGCTTGGCCCACCCTCAGCCATGAAAGAAACTTGCCCCCAGACGGGCCTGCTGATTACCCACTACCTTACAGGTGTTTTTTTCTTCACGTTGTGATCTTATAAATACCGAAGATGGAATATTGAAGACTGGAAAAGTCATTAAGCAATATTGACTTGGCGGGCGATACATCTGCATGGACAAAGTTCTATCACTGGAGAGCGCTAATCACTGGTCATGCATTGGAATGCGTCTTCTCATTGCTCCCAGCACCCTCCAGTCCATCCTTCGGGTTCAAGCAATCTGCCCTCGAACAGCACCTGGAAGTGCAAGGCTCGAATGCGTGTCCGCCATGAAAGCCGCAGGATTCTGCTCGATCTGGCTGACATGGAAACCCTCTCCCGTATCCTTCTCCTCCATAATCACGCCCGTTACGAAAGGCCCCTTCAAGCATCCAGCGCTGTTGCGAACAGTGCCCGCCTCGTCGATCGGCTCGGGGTTGGGGAACGCAATGCGGGGCGGGCCAGATGCACCGCGCGCGGCTTCGTGGATGTGTGTCGCTGTGTCGGCTGGCGACTCGAACTCGCCCTGGAAATTGTGCAGGGTGATGTTGTAACAAATCATGTTGGCGTGCGAGTTAATTCCGAAGTTGAAAACCCCGGAGGCACCGGCGAGACCACCCGTCGGTGTTGTGTCGTTGACGACTTGGTCTGGGGTGGCTTGGATGGAGTGGAGAGACGTGAAGGTGAAGAGATCGTTCGCCGCGAAGGCGTTGGCTCCGAAGGCGTCTTGGTTGAGGTCGATGTTGAGTTGCAGCGAGAGATGACCGTTGTTGAGATTGTTCAGGTCGAGAGGAACGGCTCCTGAGCCGAGGGCAAGGGACGCAACGCCCAACACAGCACCCATAGGTGCTCCAAAGATGACACCCATATTAACAATTAACGAGTGTAGAAACGAAGGAAGCGAAAGAAGAGCAAACGAAGGTAAGTGAAGAGAGACTGATCAACAGCTAGCTACCTCCTGAGGAACAAAGGGGCGTACAACTCATCCTTATATGCCATCCCTTATCACGCCAATGTTCGCGGCGTTGCATCCCAAGGCTTGGTGAGCAAGAATATGTTGGCGAAAAGCAGTACCTGATACGTGAGGCAGCATAGGCACATATGCCTGGTTTCACGGAGCTTGGCGACGTCATCATCCGGCTTGGTGCACGTGTTGAATACAGCAAGCATATTTCTTCGGTAGTTGCAGGATGCCGGAACGCGTGTCGAGCAAGACGACATTGACAAATGGAGATGGATCCAAGGGGTGTTGTGGTCGGCGGATGCAATTCACTCTGCATATGGGCTAAGCCGGGATGGGCTTGGCTTCCGCCAGCCGGTCGGCAAGTGCAAGGGCCGACTCTCCGAGCAGGTTTCCCTTTAGAGACTTAAAAGGGACCCAGCTCCCTCGCGCGACATCCAGGGCTCGGAGCATTGCTCATCTTTCCGCTAGAATGGATTTTGCCTCCTAGATTCTCTGTTTCGTTCCTGTCTACCGCACGATGCTACAGCGCCGCCATCAGCATGTTGCGACTCCGCCAAGCCTGGCTCTCCAGCCTTGCTACAGTGGCGCTTAACACGAGATGAGTTGACTCTGGTCATAATCGTTGACCTCTCGCCAATCGAACACCTCGGTCTCGTGAGCACCCATCGATCAATGCACTGAGGGGTCTGTCTACAGTGGCCCGTACCTCGGGTACTGTACAGCGCTCAAGAGCGGGGAGCCGGGCATATAAGCAAAGCTGCCATCTTTCACTCTCGCCCGCTCAACCGCTCAACAGAGGGGCGGCTCTCCAGGAGTAGCCCGGCTCACCGCTGCCGTCGCCTATATCTCCCCCGTTCGACATGTCTGCATACCACAACCCTGATTTGGCCGAGTGCTACGACCCCTGCGTCCGATTTTCCTTCGGCGATGGGCCAGCCCAGGATGTACCCATTTTTGAGGGAAACCTGCAAGGGATCATGTTGTCCAGACCGGCTGACGCAAAGGTCAACATCGTCAGCATAGGCACCAGATCTGGACGAGTGCCAATTCACCTTCTGGATATCGTGAAAGGGAACGGTGATAGTGAATTTACGATCACTGGCATCATGCCTAGCTCTGCTATGCTGGATCGCGCGAGGAGGCTCTGGGCTGACGCACTGGAGAAGAGGAGGGCCCATGCGAAGGACCACTGGGTGCAGTCCAGTGCTACGGATTTTGTGGACGCAGTACTGGAGTGGCGAAGGGGCAGATCTGGTTATCTCTGCAGTGGGTGGCCTGTGCCATCTCACGACGGATGAAGAGCTCGGACAGTTCTTGGAAAATGTGAAGAAGGTGTTGAAACCCGGAGCGGGTGCTGTTGTCTCGATCCTGCGGGACTTCATGCCTTCCACCGCGGTCGATTATTCGGCCAAGCCTTCCAGCGACGCGCCTGCTCACAATGCTTCTCCGCCCGCTTCCCAAACTATCAAGGCGCCCTTCGGATCCCCTCGGTAGACTACCCTAGTCTCGTGTACGTCAAGCACCCGATGACGGAGAAGCTGGAGAATGGTATCAGGACCGAGAGCTTTAGGTTGGATGTTGAAAATGGCTATGGGCATGTACTTCGACATCATGGGTTGAGTTGGGATGCGAACATGGTTGGCAAAGGGCCTGGGATAATTCAGTCGACAAGGCAGGGTTGAAGACAAACGAGGTTAGAGGAGACAAGATCCAGGTGTGGTGGCTACTAGCGCAAAAATAGACGGCCTTGTCCGTGGGTGTGGGCTATTGGCGCTGATACCTAGGTAGCCTCAAAGAGCCAAATTGCAGGTGCTGCACATTCCAGCTTCGAGCAACACTTCAGGCACGGGGAGGATGGGGAGCCGTCCAGGTAAGATTAGTTCTGCGATCGATCCTTCTGTCTGGATACCGGTGAGGAAGATGTACCCAGCGCAGTTGGACTCATGCGCTCATCCCGAAAGAAAAAGAAGATGCTGCCATCCCAATCAACGAGCGTTGAAGTGTCCCGGGAGGCGCTGCACATAGAACTACTCTAATCGAAAAGGGATGATCACAATAGTGCATGCCAGAGTAAATCCCATGCACATGAGCCATGTTTTCTCGGAGACATTTTCTACGGGTTAGGCTGGCAAAAGCAAAGGGCATCTCGCCAAGAGCCACTTCGTGCTACACCGACTTTTCCTTGCGGTCCTCTAAGAGAGCAAAATGAACGCGGTGAGCTTTACTTGTAGTGATGCAACTTGCAGCAACCAAATGGCCGGGGATAATGGAATTCCTCCGCAATCTTGTCCGTTTTGGGAACCTGGGAGTGCTGTTGACCGGTCCAAAAGTCACGTGCACTAACACCTGCTGGCGGCGTTCGCGGCGATAGCACAGTAAATTGAGGAGCTTCTAACGACCGGGATATCTTTAAAAGTAGTACTCGAATATGGAAAGGGCTTACGACGAAGGAGTTCTGTAATGCTCCCATCACGTGAAATAGCGCGGGCCCACGGTGGTTGAACACGAAAGGTGGAGTCGTAGGCCACACGATCTTTGCCACTGCAACACCACGACATTCCACCGAAACCGAACCACCGACATTTCGGCGCTCGCGCGTAGCCCAGGCTGATTCCAGGGCCACTGCAAGTCAACCCTGCGGCCCAATCGGCATCGCGCAGTCGCCGTCTGTCATTGGGCTCGCCTCCCACATCCTCAACTGCACCTCCGACCGCTCTCGGCATTCGTGCAGTTTCCGTTCTTCCGCGAGGGCCGAGCACAGCAAAGCCCATTGTCAGGCCTTTGCAACGGCTAATGCAGCGCCGGACGGGCTTCGCTGCGCCTCATGTTTCCAGCGGTTGGCTGGTTGCCATTCGACGAGAACCAAATGCCCAGCCCGCAACTCGAAGCGGGTAGCGATCGCCACCCCGGGCGTAAAGCGAGCAGGGGTGAATTCCCTATTACTGTACCTACCGCGGAAGCTTGATTGCCCGCAGTCTTGCGGGCCAGCTTTTCTGCGATCGATGCGCACGATTTCACTTCATGCCGCACACCCTTCTAGTAGATAGCGGCCCCCGAGGACCCTGGTTGGACCCTGAATTTGTTTCGAGTCGTCTCTTTTTGTTCCTAAACGCTTCGCCTGCCGCTTTTCTCTTCTATTCTCACAATCCGCAGCCTCCAGCATCGCGGTGCCCTGTGCTGCAGCTGCAGCCCCTCAGCAGTGACGTCGGACCCGTCCCTAAACGGCGACAAAAGCAAGCTGCGTCCTCTAGAGACCCGGCCCACCGGCCACGCGGAGAGGGCCTGCGTGCTCGCGCTACCATGGTCTTTCTCCGCCTGTTCTTGGCCCTTGTTTGATCTGTAGGCCATCTAAGCATGCGATTGTGGAAAGCCCGCAGCACAGCAGGCACGCGCAGCGCTCGCGCTCTGGCCACCAGCCCCAGCACATTACATATGTATTCACCGCACGCCCGCCTCCACTCCCCACGGATTCTCACACCTCCCCGTCTTCCCTCTTTTCACCGTCTGCGCCTTTCAGGCCTGCCTACTTTAATTCACTCTAACAACCCCTGGCACAACCTACTACGCTGGCGAAACCCGGACGCCTCTCTTCTGCTTTCCTCCCATCCCGGCAGCTCGTGTATATGTACACCTGCACTAACCGGCGTTTCTCTGCTCGCAAAGAAAGCCGGCTTGAGCGACCAATATGGCTCAGGGTATGCCTCCCGGAATATCATCTAGTCACCGACAGGTTTTTGATTTAGGTCTCGTGTAGCCTCCGTCGGACGCTCCATGAGCGACCACGCCGAATCTTCCTCCCTTGCCATGTTCCCACGCAATGCCGACCCGATGAGCGTCGCTCTCCGCACAGATGGCTCTCTCAACCTTGATGACCTCGTCCACCTCAATCAGACGGCACCACCTTGCCAACCCGGACCTTCTACTATTGGTACTCGCACCACGACAGTGTTTACGTCCCGCGAGCAGTCCAGCGGCACGAAACCCACGTCGGCGGGCACAGGCTATCCAATTAACGGTGGAAATGGCAAAGGCAAAGCCATTGCAGAGTATGCATCGTCGCTATCTGCTACACACGGATCAGGGTCTGAAGCTGAAGCCGAGCAAGAAAACAATCTTGCCGGTGTTGGTAGTTGGACTGGCGATGGGCCTATCGGCACGACCCCTCTTAAAGGTGCCGCTAGGGCTCGCAAGCGGCAACGAATGAATAGACGACCGAAGCATAAGAAGCCTGTTGTCATCATCCACGGCCCAGGTCACGCTTCTTCTGGAGACGACGAAGCACCCGCCGTCAAGTGCGTCTCGCGCCGTAACAGTAAAGGTAATCATCCATGCCCGCAGCACCCAGCAACCTCTAACTGTCCTAGCAGATACCAAATATCTGCGACAACGCCGCAACAAGCAGGAATGCGACGAGCTTGACCTGGAATCGGGCCGCGCATCTCACGTTGCTGAGCGCTCCGCACCCAAATCCTTGTCTCCAACACGCTTCTACGTTGTTCTCAGCCTTGCCCTCGCCATTGCTCTGACCTTTGCGCTTTCGGTATTTGCTGCTCACTCCACCGGCAAAGGGCGCATGGCGTGCACCAAGGGTATCATATTCTCCGCGACAGTCATCATCTCTTGTTTTACCGTTCTCGCAATGGTCGTGGCGCGACGCGCGCTGCAGGAAGCCCTACTCGCAGGTATGTTGGAGTTCCTAGTAGGCTTCGCGCTAGTCACCGAGATTCACGAGTTCATGTGGCATGCTCCCTGACCTCTTGCTCTGGGTTCTTCGGGGTTTTCAGTTTTCTACGACTGTTTATTATTTATTCTCGGTTTCGGTTGATCTGGACGATGGCCTTTGCTTCTACCTGCTTACTCTTAGGCTTTGCGTTCTTCGATGTTGTTTCTATCTCTTTATATTCTAGCTTCATCGTTGTTCTTGCTTTCTCAACGCAGTGCACAACGATACCGCTTGAGGTTTTCGAATGCATTTCAAAGTATATCTAGTAAACATCATCTTTCAATGCACTCTGCCCACCCGCGTCTCATGCGCACCTGTCTCAGGTGCGGAGACAGCAGATTGCTGTCCAGTCACGCCCCATGCCCATCCTGCGGTTTGAGAAACGGCCGCCCGAGACGTGGGTTGCCACCTCGCTCCGAGAACTACGGTCGCTGACGGCGATTAATTATTTGCCACCCAAAAGTCGCTGCCTAGGCGCCTCAGTCAGCTTTGAGCCGCATCGTGGTGCCAAGGCTCCCGTAGCCAGCGTCGCCGGCAGTGCAATAGGCCGCACCGCCACAAAGCCACCAATATTGCGAGTCGGTGGAAATTATGCTTGTGTGATCCATTAGCGGTCGAGAGATACGCCGCCTCACAGGAAAATTTTTCGAGTGCATGAGGGCTTGCGTAACAGCAGCCGAACCTGCTCACGACGAAATCGCGATGGGTTCAAAACAGGTCGAACCGAGGTGCACCGCCGCAGCCGCCGGCTGCCAGGCAAGCCCGTTAGAGGAGGCCGGCCGTTAAGCCCTTAGTTCCGAGGGATCCTGCGTGCCCGACATCGACACCGCGGTGGAACGCAAATGCCGGCGAAGGCGCGGGCAGGTTTGTTATCTCGCGAAGGATTCGGAGATAGAGGTCTGCCGGCGGCGTAATATTACTCTATCTTAAACCTTCGGCCAGGCTTTTAGTATGCCTCCGGCGCATTTGCGACCAGACGACAAGGCAGTTGTTCTGATATCTACGCGTCGACCAATGGGCATCTGCGCAAATGCGCGGCATCACTGGACCTTTGTAATGCGCTTCGCCCGGCGGGCTATGGTGTTACACGACTTACTGAGGCTATCAGGGCTGTCGACCAGTCGGCCACCAGAGCATTCAGGCGGGATGCGCTTACGTACATGGAGCCGCTTGGGTAGGGGGTGGCCTATTCAACCCCGCTTAGTCAGGCGCGGGTGACTAAGCCGACGCCTATCTCGCTGCAACAGCCCAAGCGGTGCCGCCAGACCCAACCACTCGGCATGCACCAAGACGCAGACGGGGTCCGTGCAAACTGCGTCGTGAGCTGCGACGACGCGGGCCGCGAGAGAATGACAGATTGCCAGGATTGGGACCTCACCGCGATGCGCCGACCTGGCGTCAAGGTGTACGTCAACGCCGCGCCGAATTGATGCCTCGATGACGCCTGGCGTCTTCCGACTGCAACTTCGGGATGCTACGGGTATGATTTGACGTCCCATGGGTGGCCCGTTCCGCATTCAGAGCTCCAATCTGCTCCCACCGCTCTTTTGCTGCGCGCCGTTCAAGAGGCCGGTGTGCTGCTATGCGGTGCGTTTGCGGCGGACAGGGATACCGAAACGATCGGCGCTATTTTGGCCTTGTAGGGCGGCGCCGGCTCAGCCATGGACGTGTGGAATATTCTAAAGCCGCCATGTCATGCGGCATCGAAGGTGATAGGGGTCGCAATCGCACCCGCATCGATGGAGCGCTGCATCGCCGAGCCAATCCCCAGCACCTTCCAATCCTTGGCGGTCCAAGCTCCAGCAGCTCTCCGTCATTCGTGACGAACCTCCCTTCGCGCTGGATCGTACCACTAGCGCTGACACGACGAATCTCCAGTTTGAGCATCGATAAGGAGCGAAAATTTTTCTACCCCTCACAGGGCAGAAACTCGAGGCAGCCAACCGCGATGGAGACACGTCCGCTGCAAGCTGCGGCTATGCACAGTTTTGAGTGCGATGCGGGTTCCCGTCTGCTGACCGAGTACCCCAGACCACCCACTCTACTCCTAGAGGCATGCTCCTGCAGTGCCGAGAGGACTGGGTTAATTTGAGGTTTGCACGCAGCATCAGGTGCTAGCGATGCTGGCAACTCTTCCCGCTGCCGCTCTTTCATCCATCCAGATATGCGTCGGCGCGCGTCACCAGCGCTCTTGGTCGAACCGGTGAAGGCCAAATTACTCCTGCACCCTGCAGCGCTGGGCTCCAAATTTCCACTACCTTCCACACTCTGCGCTGTTGGCTCCGAAGCCTCCGCATCAATCACAGCTGAGATGGTAGTGCGCTGCTGGCGGTTGGTCGGCCGCCGTGACACAAGGAGTGCTCGCCCCGGCCTCAGGGCGTGTGGGGGAGGCGTGACAGATTAGACGATGAGAGGAAGGGCGGCGACCTTGATCTCGAGGCTCGACATCGATAACGAAGGAAGTATATGATGGGGAAAAGTATTAAACCGACGCCATGGACGCGTGTGCGCATTCCATCTCCCCATCGTTGCGCTGGAGGCTTTCTGCGAGCTGGCGTGTCAGATTCGCACGGAGCGTAGCCGAACCGCCTTGTTGCTCATCACCGCACACCTTTTCCATCTCACCGCACGCAAGAACGCGCCGTCCCGAGGGACACTTGATGCAGCGCATACTTATTCGCCTCGACTGCACTCATTTCGCCTCATCCGTCTTCAACACTCCGCTTGACTGCCTCCAACACGTAATCTACAATTGACCACCACCGCCACCATCTCACCCATGGCTCGCGTCGGTTAGTCATACCCGCCCTCGCCCCGTTCCCACCACTGCCCATCCCTGTCTTTCCCCGCGTTTGCGCCCCCCCTGTCAGATAAAGACACCAAAGCCCCTGTCATCTGCAATCCAAGCTCTGGTCCCACTCAATCTCCGCTCCGCCCCTTGTCCGAGATCCACCAAGCTCCAAGCTAATCCGGCCGTCCCAGCTCCGCTCCACTCCCTCGCTTTCAAGCGTCCACCGCGCCCCTCTCTCCGCCATATCGGCATCCCGGACGGCGGAGACGTGCTCGCTGTGTACCTCTCGTGGATCAAGCAGCGGCGCTCTCGCGCGCAGATTGAAACGGCGCCTTCATTGGCGATCGCTTCGTCAGTGCGATCAGTTGTTGGCGCGGATGAGGAGCGCGAGCCGCTGTCGCCGGTGGTAGCGGCTCCCTTTGAGAGGTGGTCGACGGGATTCGACCTTCGTGGTGTTGGGGGGCAATTCGACTAGGAAGGGGCACCACCGGTCATTGGAGGGGCGGCGTTTGGGCGAAAGGGCGTCTTTGGTGCCACTGGCCACCGCTTCGTGGTTTACTTGGCTGGTGATGGGGTTATTGAACAGCATCTATCGCGCTTCGTCTGCTCTGGGATGCTTTCGGCTTTCGGATACCTGTCCGTTTGGACACTGTGCGCGACCCACATTTGAGTCTTTGTTAAGGCTCTATATCCCATCACAATAAATAACGTGAATATTCAAATATCGTGCACATCCACACCTCGATTGGTTTCAGTGTTCTCTGGAGCGACAACGCTCGCTACCTGGGGATGCGGTAACGCTTAGTCAGCCTCTTCTCTTCTGTGATTTTCAAGGCGCCTGCATCTCGTCTACTTTTCATCACACGCGCGATGTCTTCATCACTAGAACCTTGTGTATCAGCATAGTCAATACAATACAGACGTGCCACGCCGGTGTATCAGTCTCAGATGCCATATTCTCCGCCAAAGTGTGGCTCTCCAAAGCGCTTCCATACCAGCATTTTGTCTCCCCCAAATAATAGGGCTCTAATCGAGTTGTCTCGAAAAGCACGCAACCCAAGGGATGTCCTTCAGCCGAGAGAGATGGTATCGAGGGAAGAGCGCAGTGCGCAGATGGTTGAAGAGACACAAAATGACGGAAAAGATTCTTGATATGATCGTCCTCGTCGTCTGCTGTATCGTCCTGCTGCCGGTTTTTGCTGTCGTCGAGTTCTGGTCGCATTTGCAGACAGTCGCGCGATGGGTTAAGAAGAAGTTCGTTTGGTGGGTTTTCGAGCGTTCACGGGAGCGGCGGCAAGCGAAGGAGAGGGAGAAGATCGCTGAGGCGAAGAAATGGAGGAATGCCGTGGAACCGCTGCCGAGGGTGAGGCCGCGGGCCTTGACGTTGCATTCGCGGGTCCCTCTGCCTGAGAAGGGGCTAGCGGCGCAGGACGCATCGTTTTCCGCCCAGAAGAAGACGGGGAGAAAGAGACGAGAGATACCTTGCGCGATCGAGCCTAGGGTCGTGAAGCAGACAACGACTGATCAGCTTGGAAATTGCGACCTATGGAAGCTACCGTACGAGGTCAGAGAGGAGATTTGGAAGTACGCAGTTGGTGGCCATCACATCCATATCGTCAGGCGAAAAGGCCGGCTCGGCAACGTATATTGCCCGGCCGAAGAGCCTCTCGACCCGTTGCGGAGGGACTTGTGCATTTTAAAGAGAGACGAGCAAGGATACTATCGGCCTACTGCATGGCCAAAAGACGCTCGGCCTCTGGCGTTGATGCTGTCATGTCGGCAAATGTACAGTACAATCAGATCCATTCCCTGCCAGAATCATTGCTTATGCGCTATCAGCTATTCCGAAACTATCGACTTGCTCTACGATCTGAATACGTTCTCATTCGACGAAGCCGACACCCTGCTCCTGTTCTTCGAAACTCTTCTGCCCCACCGCAGGAACCTCATCTCATCCCTCCACTTGACTCCCAACCTCAACACCTACCGTTCCCGACCACAAAGCAAAATTCTTGCAGAGCTATATGAGCCCCCGAGGAGCACACTGACGTCCTGGGCAAAAGCTGTCCAGGTGCTCAACATGCAAGCGAATCTGCGCTCTCTTGCCGTCATACCAGTGCTATCTTTCCTCGGACAGGGTGGCTGGCCCCAAGGCTCGGTCATCCTAAACTGCTTCCGGGTGCTCAACGAAGCACGCGTCGACGGAAAGTTCACTTTTACTTTCCCAGACGACCCGTCCGGGACCCTTCTGAGCTCCGAGCCGCGTCTTCGCGGGCCCTGGGCTTTTGAGGTTTTAGAACTCACCAGGGGACCGGCATTCCAACTCATGTGTTTCCTCGTCCCGTTTAATGTGCAATGCTTGCACTGTTCTTCCTACGTCATCATCCGGAAAGCCACCAAAGGCTTCTGCGAAGCCACGCTAATACGAGCCGAGTCCGACTTCTCCTTCGGCGCGGACGCGGACGGGCAGCCAAAGCTTGGGTTCTATTGGACGTTTCATTCGTATTGCGGCGGCTGGATGGAGTTCCAGTATGATTGGGGGATGAGGGAGTGGAGCGTTACGCAGGGGGGCAGGGAGCTTAGTGAGCGGGAGGCAGCGAAGCATTTGGCTGAGCATGGAAGGAAATATCCTGTGCTGGAGAGTGCGCATGAACGGTATAATCGGCTAGCAGTCAAAACTTGGTCAGGGGCGAATGGGAGTTGGCATCATTCGGGGAGAACGATTGACGAGCCTATGAGGAAGGCGTTCTATAGGAATGTTGGGTGGGCTCGGAATTGATTGAATGTATGAGGAGTTGAATGTTGGCCCCGATGTATTCTCTACGGAAGTTCACTGCTCAGCCATTTGTCCTCGTCCTCCATTGCATCCCCCAAGGCCCACGATGTTCGCGTTCCGCCCGAGATCCCATGGTGTCCCAGGCTCTCCAGCGCCTCCGATGGGTTTAGCTCCTCTTATAAAGGTAGGGCAGTCAAACGTAGGACCTGAATCATGGGTTGGCGAGTTGGGATAACTCAGCCAGAATGTTGTCCATCTCGGTGTGATACGGAGTGACCAATGCGGTCACACTTGGCCAAAAAGGAGAAGGGACTTTAAAGGCAAAGACAATCCAACGTGGAGAGAGGCTTATGCCAAAAGCCAAAAAAAAACATGCATTTTCCGTTACCGGGAGTCGAACCCGGCTCTCGTCGGAGGCTGACATTTGCCTTTGAGCTCATGAAAGCGACGGATGCTAGCCGATACACCATAACGGATATCATTGAACGATTTGGAAATCAAAATTGTATATAAATCAAATATTGGAAGGAAGAAAAAAAGAAGTGTGAGGTTTGTGGTGGCATTGAGTCATAGCTCAAAAGCAATGATGCGTGCCGAATCTTTGACGAGCGGGGCTGCTGGTATATGCCCCAGTCAGGGCCAGCGCTAGACCTAAAACAGGCGAACTGAAATCGTGACCTCGCGTCGGCTTCGACGCGCCCTGTTGAGCAGTCCCTCCTCAGCACCACCCGCGGCCACAGAACGATAATGACCGCGTCCGCGAGTCCATCGTCGACCAGCCGACCTCACAATGGGCAGAGCATGGCCGCTAACGCCTTTGACGATGTCGGCCCGCGACACCCACAGCCCCGGCCGGTGAAGGAGCTATCCTGGGAGCTTGCGAATCACTCCAAGGCCTACCTCGAGGCCCAACAGTGTAAGTAGCCGCCATTACGGTACTGCGTTACGGCTAACGTGCTTCCCAGATGCCAATGGCTATAACTTTCTTTACTCGCTCCTCGCCGCCGGTACTTCCATTTCCGTGCCCGCAAAACCGTACGCCGGCTTCCTGGCACCGGCCGCACAGCTAGCGCTAGCCTCTACGCTCATTGCCTATCCCGCCGTCACCACCAAGTCCAAGTCCGCCGAAATCATGCAAGGCTCGGACGCCGCTGTGCGGTACCTACGATGTGTGCAGAACACTATAGAAGGACCGGCATATAGGGTCGTCAAGAAGGCATTTTCTTTCCCAGACGATCGCACCCGGCGGCATATACCTGGGCATAGGAGCAGAGCTGTGAGTCCATCGCCAGCCGCAGGCGCTGATGTCGAGCGGCTTGAGGGAGTCGCCGCCAATGCCCATAGCCTATGGTACCGGGCCGACGATTTCTGGCACATATTGGGATGGGCATTTAACTGCTCGGTTGCGTACAAGAAGCGTTGGGAGAGGTGGAAGCTATGGCTGCAGGTCATGCTCGACTTCCTCGAGAGCGACTGGAAGACGCGCCTAAAGGCAGGCAGAGACGAAGGCGAAGGTCGGGAGAGCACCCTGCAAGACAGCCTCCTCTGGCAGTACATCAGCAGCCAGGACCCCACGAATCGTAACATCAGACGGCGGATGATCAGGGCTGTACTAGCGGCCGGCACCGAAGAGTCGCTCCGCCATTATCCGGAAGTCTGGGTCAACGAGACTGTCGAACCAAAGCCTCGAGACAAAGATACGGAGCGCATTGCGCCCACCGACGTTGGCAATGGTGAGTTGGGGGGGTATCAGAGCGTTGACGAAGACGTGATCATGCAAGACGCCTCCACACTGGACAAAGGCAAAGCGAGATCGAGGACGTCTTCAAGTGCGTCTTCCTCATCCAGGCCCAGCTCGGTCAGATTCAACGCAGACGATGCAGGCGGCCGCTTTGGTGGTATGGAAGCTATCGAGCTACGCCAGCGCTTCATAGCCATAGTAAGCCACCAAAACTCATTGCAAAAGCTCAACTGACGGAATGCAGCTCGTGCAAGTAGCTCAGGAACTCCCCAAGCAGTTCGCTAGTCTGGAGGACTTTCTTGACGATCTCACAGAGGAACTGAGGCAGCTTCCGATCTTCATCTTTAGCGCCTTCGTCTCGACATCACGGCTATCGAGCCTTGCCGAGCTAGCCCTCAATGCCAACCTCCTTCTACCGCTCGCGACAGGCCAGTTGCCCAACTATACAAAGATAGTACCCACCCAGTCGCACTTTGAGACCTATTGGCTTCGTCTCCGTGGAAACACACAGAGCTTTGCCGCCAGCGCCAAGATATCACTCACCCTAGAGCGCATGCTTATGTACATGATGAATGAGCATCTCCTCAAAGCTACCGATTGTCTGCGAGAAGCCATGGAATGCGGTATCGAAGCGCGCCACAAGGTATACGGCACAGGGAAGGGAAAGACGAGGAACCCAGTAGAGGAAGAAAAAGGCAAAGAATTCATAGAGGCTAGTTCAGAGAGGCTGCTTGGACTGCTCGAGGTGTTGGAGATTGCTTCAGGAAAGGAGCTGCAGCCGCGGAAAGAGAAGAGTAAGCCCTCGCCCTTGTTTTCGTCCTTCGCTTCCTCGCTTTCTGCCGCACCCGAAAGCGAAACGGAAGAGGATGACTAATATTGGTGAGAGCGGGGCATAGGCAGTCGAAAAGCTCACGAGAGATGGCGGATGCTGCAATCGGGGCCGCCGAAAGCCACACGAGCCGCGGTAGCGCGAGGGGACGCCGAGTCGCAGCTCAGTTAGCAGTGGTAAGGCAAAGATGGGGAGCTGCCTGTGAAGTTTGAGAAGCTGCACCGGCTCACCTAAGCACAGCTGCGGCAGGTCGGGAAGGTAAGCCGAGGCCCTCGCGAAAACAAGAAGACGGCTTCCCCTATCGAGGGAAGGTCGAGCGAAACATCCTACAACACGTCTTTAACGAGCTGCTGGTTCGACATTCACACCCCCACGGGTATTGCACAGATTCTGCTATCTGCAGGAGGAATAGCTTCAACGCCGTAGCTGCTATCTCGCGCTGTGCATTCACAGAATTTGCACCCATACATACCTTGATGAACTTTCTGAACAGCTCGTATCAATTTTTTTAATACCCCGACACCGCTACGGAGTCATCGTTCTTGCGTGAAGAATTTCTGGGGTCTTTTAACTCGTCGTTCGCACCCGCCTGCATTTTCCTAGGGTAACTCAACAACAACCTCAACGTCAATACACCCCGTAGGTCGTATACACACGATTGCCTTCATGCCTCCGAAACTCCACGTCGTCCGCCACGCTCAAGGCGAGCATAATGCCACAGTACGTATCACTGTCCAACACAGGCCCAATTCTCATGCCCCAATTTGACAAACCTCAGCGCAACTACACCCTCCGCGACCCTCTCATAACCGCGAAAGGGAAATTGCAATGTCAGCACCTGTCACGCACCTTTACACACCACGGCGACATCGACATCATCTTCTCCTCCCCTCTGCGCCGCACCATCCAAACGGCGGCTTATTCTTTCGGCCCGACGCTCGCGCGCAAAGAGGTGCCCTTCGTTCTGCTCCCGGGTCTTCAGGAGGTCAGTGACCTGGGATGCGATGTCGGTCCCGATGCTGCGGAGCTCGAGCAGGCGGTGCACGACCTGTTTGACGGCGAGGAGCTGGGGTTTGATTGGAAAGAGAAGAAGATTGATTTCAGAAACGTAGAGAGCGGGTGGAATAGTAAGGTCTGTCTGTCTATCGTAACCTCCCGTTTGGGTTCCAAGTGATAAAGTGTGCTGATGGAATGGAATGTGGCCACAGAAAGGATACTGGGCGTACGAGAAATCCGCGCTGCTAAAACGGGCTGTGGACCTACGCAACTGGCTCTTCTGCCGCCACGAGGCTAATATCGTCATTGTGACGCATGGCGCGATCGCGCACTTCATCACCGAGGACTGGGATGTCGATGACCCCATGACGGGCACTGCGTACAGGAACTGCGAGGTGCGCGAGTTCTCCTTTACGGAGGCGAGCACGGCGGAGGATGCGCACCTGGAAGAGACGGCTGCGAGTAAGGCGGCGAGGCCGAAGGATGAGGCGAAGTGGAGGGAGAGTGATGAGCATGTTATAGAGGAGTTGGAACATGCGGTGCATCCTAAGGCGCCGCATGAGGCATAGTGCGGCTGATGTAGGATGGAGATTGAGGAAGTGTAATGTTTGAGCATTCGATGAGCATGTACAGCAGCGGAGGCACTAGCCGGCTAAGAGATGGATAGATCAGGCAGACGCACTTTGAGGGGGTAATGAAAGCACATAGAATTCACAGGGGATTCTAACTAGAGCAGTTCCATTTCCTATCACCAGTTGTGTCTCTTGGAAACCACGAGGACGTCCTTATACTATCTGTACAACAAATGGTGAGACAGAGCGGGTTGATCAGAGTGCGCATCCTGCGCCAGCAGAGTGAAAAAGAAAGCCGAAACAGACGCCTGCTAGCGCAATCCTTTCTCTACATCGTCGTGCGAGGAGGAAAAAAACCCGATAATCAGCGCACTGTATGCGCAAGGCCTGCGAGGAAAAAGTCCCAAGCAAGCGCCATATGCGCAAGAACTGGGAGAAACCCGAAACAAGCATCGATACCCCTTTTCATCCAGCACTTCGACGGACCCTCTCCAACAAAAGCGCCACAACTCCATACGAGACTGACAGCTAATACAGTCCATCGGATCACTCAGTCCCTGTAGCTGAAGTACTGCTCGTCGATCTCTCGCTGAAGCCCGGGGATGGTGCGCCGCTCCCCCGCGTCAAATCTATCGAACGGGTCGATAGCGGGCGCAGGGCATGGCTTCGAGCAGTTGCACGGGATCGGTTCACTGTCTCTCTTCCCCAACCGGATTGCCCGCGCCTGCAGGGTCATATCATGCTTGAGTCCCTTGCTCTCAGCTTCGAATATCGGCTCCCACTTAGCGCGCGTTGAGTCCTTGACGCAACCACTCATGGTTATCTTGAAGCTGCAGTGACCCAGTTGATCCAGCGCGAGTGTGAAGAACCAGTCGACCCAGACTTTCTGACAAGAGTGTGGCTTCTGAGGCGAATAGTAGTCGAAAGGGCTAGGCGCATTCCACGGACAGACCGCCGATGGGTGCTTCGGGCTCATGAACCGAAAATCGAGGGTTCGTATGGTGGGAATCTTCTTCAGCATGTGGATGCTCAAGCGGCCGGGTGGCGGCTGGAGACGAGCCATTGGACGTCCCTGCTGAGGTTGGATACCAATCAATTCGAAATAACAGGCAGCTGAGAACTCAAGCTGGACGTAGTTCAATACTGAAGGCGGCCCGAGTTCCTTCATTTGCAGAATGAGTTTGTCCTGGTCCGGGGGTTTTCGAAAACAGAGAAGCGAAGCGGAGGCAATGGTAGCACGGAAGCGCTTTGTAGTGCACCGCCAGGCCGCGTCAAGAGCCTCGTCACGTACCTGACGACTGACCAGTAGCAGAGCGAGGTTCGGGCGGTCTATGTCCGGATCTTGCTTCGCACCCAGCCTTCCTTTCTTACCGTGGGTATGACCAAGACCAAGCGAGATGTGGTTGCTAATGGTAGGAAATCCGACCGCGTGGTCAGGAAAGACAACACGGGTCCTAGCCTGGGGAAGAATGATAGGACCGAGGGCGTGCGTGTAGATGATGTCCCTCACTTCAGGCGGCAGCTGCATGAGACAGAAGGCCTTTCCGTTATTGCGCCACCAAATAGCCTGCTCCTCATATTGGAGTTCGGGGAACTTCCTGTCGTAGCCATCGTGCCACTCGAGCGTCTTTCTCATCCAGATGCGGATGTCCATCCAACTCTTCGTACCCTCAACATCCAGGACCTCCAGGTGCACGATGTCAACCGATGGGGAGTGGCAGCGCACTGGCACCGTGTGGGACAATTTGCTGATGGTCTGGTGCACTGTATACCACTTGAAGCTCGAGAGCTCGGCTGGGTTCAGGCCCCATCGTTTGCAAGCGCGCGTAACCTCCTCTAGCGGAGCGGAATGGACGGAGAGATCCTCGCCGTTCATGTACCCATGGTTGTAGCGGGCAAGGAAGAAAAAGTTGGTGCGGCGCTCAGAAACGGCGAAGGCGTTGATGGCATGGATAATAGTATCTTTTGGAACGGTGGCGGGCGCAGAGAGCTCCATCGCTTCGACATGCGCATCCAAAGGCTCCCTTGCCATGATGGGTGAGGTGGGCGAGGCGGACGAGTTGCCAATCATCAACTGCTCAGTCGTCACGGGCTGATGACCGCCGCCGAACGAGAAGGATGCGAGCGCGTCGTTCATGCTATCCATCCTTGGTTAGAGAGAGTGAGCACCTGCAGCCAGGTAAGCATTGATCTTTGAGGTGTATGAAAGAAGCGAGAGGCGACGAGGAGTGAGGCCGCTTTTTACAGGGCGATTTGCCCTGAAGGTGGCGCTAAGCCTGATCCAGCGCGACGAGTGGGCTGCGAGGAAGGCGCACCCGCGCCCCAGCATTCACTCAACTTTGCCCGCTGAAACACAGCCCCGACGGCCGCGCACAATATCAATCGCGCAGAATTTGTGGACGCATGAGACGATTCCAAAGTGCCCACAGCATGCTGAGATCACACCGAGCCCAGCCTTCGGCCAGTCGCGACGTGCATCACTCAGCCAATGAGGCATCGGACTGCGAGAGAGCAATAGAAAGAGACAGAAGTTTCGATACGGCGTCTCTACTGACCTATGGATGGCCGTCAACCCAGCCGCTAACCAACACTCCGTCTGTTGCTGAATCAGGCATACGCGCTGGAATCGCACGTGAATGAGCTCCTCACTCTTCCTCCGCTATACTGGTTAATAATGTCTTGCACACTGGCATACGTGCCGCAGCCCAAAACAATGAGACCGATGACGAAAACAACAGCGTTCAGAATCGACAGGCTGATGTTCTTCCAGCCCTGGTACCACGCCCCTTCTCTCACCAGCTGGAACCAAAACAACGCCGGGAAGTAGAAGGTGAAGCCGCTGATGAAGAGAGACGACATCAGGCCAAGGAGCGCGTTGAAGAAAGGGATTGCTTCTGCGATCACCCATGCGATGACGGTGAGGATGGTGAGGAGACAGATCCAGATAGCCCATCCACGGACGCCCTTGATGTAGCGGATTGTTGATTTGGGGAAGGCGCGATCCATGATATAGCGGCCGGCAACAGTACCGTTGATGCTACCGGAAATAAAGATAACAGGCAGGGCGACGCCGAAAGCGACGCGCGAGATCAGCGGCCCAGCCGACAGGAGCGCCGGGCTCTTGACGTCCGCTCCAACGAAGGCGTAGATGAGAGCTCCAGTCAACGTGTAGATGAAGATCTCGATCAGGCCGAGCGCCCAGATCGACTTGACATAGTCGTTGGGGGTGTGCATCTCGCTCATGAAGCTGAACTGGCAGATGGCGAAGGAGTATGCGAAGATGATGTTGGTGGTGGAGAGGAATGCCTGGTAGAAGGTCGTTCCTGGCGGCGACCATGCTGACCAGTTCACTGCCGCAAGCCCACCTGGCGCGCTGCTAGCCTTGATGCCGGTCGAAATGATGGTGATGAGGATGGCAGCGATGATGCTAACAAAGTCGATGTACCCAAGAATAGCGAACTCAGCGAAGGTCGGCGGCAGCGCCACAAGGAGTAGGATAATAGCAGATACTATACCCCAGACCAGAGCGCAAACGCCATAGTTGTCGGCGATGTTAATGAAGGCGATCGTCCCGGTTAGCGCGTGCGAGCCCACCAGCAGGACCAAGAAGATGGCGAACATGGCCCCAGTCAGTTCATATCCCAATTTTCCCCAGATCAAACCAACGGCATCGGAGTAGTGGCCGACCAGAGGGTATCTCAACTTCACCTGGCCAACAACGTAGCTGGTGTAAATGGCGATCAAGCCCAGCCCGACGGTCAGAATGACTCCGGCCACCATTCCAACCGTTGCGAAGGCGCTTGGAACGCTGAGGGATCCGAGTGCAATGGCTTCGACAATGAGGCAGATAGTCAGCCGTTTCCATCCCAGTCGTCTGAACTTGGCTGAGCCTTGATCGATGGTGGCCGCCTTTTCGAGACTCAGCTCCGGATCACTCTTCTTCCCGTTGGAACTGGCATCGTCGGCGTCGTAGCCGGGAGGGAGTGGTGGCCGCACTTCGTGGGCTATATGAGACGGTAATGTGGATGCCATATTGATATGTCGGGGTATGGATGCGAGGGGTGGAGGGGCGGAGGAGCAGAGGATGGCGGCTTTTGTGTGCAGGTGAGGAGATGCAAGGCTCTTGCGACCGGGCTCCGTTGGGCAGGAAGTCACGGGGGGGCGGAGGGCGACCCACGGGGGAGAAGAGCGATGAGACAGACTTGGTGCCGTTTTCCAAATTTTTAGCAGCCCCCCTTATCGTGCACTCCCCCATTTGTAATATCATCCCGTTCACGATGGAGGCGGCCACATTCGGACAGTGTGAGGATCATATCTCGGAAAGGCGTCGTACGAGCATTCCCTTTGCGACTAACGATGACGATGTGATGGATGGTACCCACATGGCGTTGAAGTTGACGTAAAAGGTTGAAAATTTTCCGCCGTGTCTAGGGAGACGGTCGCGGCTTTCTAGGTAATGTAGCGCCGAAAAAGCACGCACGAGTGCTTGAAGAGCCGAACCCTTGCGCTGCGCTCGATTCGAGAGCTCCGTGCAGACAATGGTCGATGTGCGCTCAAGCTTCTTAATCCCGAACCAGCCGCACCCTGGCCGATGGACAACGGCGTGGCGCCGGCTTGTCGAAATTACCCGAATAGGTACCGAGTATTTTACCGTCAAACATCTCGGATGGGGCGCTTGTGTTCGCTGCGCAGGAGCCAACATCTGACATTCATCTCCGAACGCGGTCCTTATCTCTCCCACTCACCCGCTCAAGCTGGAACTGTATTGATAATCGATCAATGAAGGGTCCAACGCATTCTTCCCATCCATGGATGGCATTCGTGGCTGGAACGCTGGAAAAGCAAGTGGTACCGAGTGCCGACGGCTAGTGGGGGGGCTGCAAGCCCTGGAGGTAGGACAATCACGTGACTAAGGAGGCACGTTAATTCTTGACCTTGATGACCACCTTCCCAAAATGGCCTCCACTGTACAGGTATTTCAACGCCTCATTCCCCTCCTCAAATGTGAACACGCGGTCCACAACCGGTCTAATGCCCTTCTGCTCATAAAACTGCAACATTTCCTGCAGCTTATCCCTTGGCCCATTCAATATACCCTTCAGCGTAATGTTCCTCTTCAGACACAGCAAATTCGTATTCGTCCTATCCCCTGCTTCGTCCTGCTTTCCCGATAGATATCCAATGCATGCAATCAAACCTCCGAACTTGACGCACTCGAAGGATTTGCGGAGCGTGAGCGCACCGCCGAGTTCAAAGATGATGTCGGCGCCGGCATTGGAGGTGGCCTCCAAGACGGCGGCATCCCAGTCGGGCCGCGTCTTATAGTTTACGAGGTATTTGGCGCCAAGCTTCTCTGCGCGCTTGAGCTTCTCGTCTGAGGAGCTGGTGACGATGACGTCCGCACCGGCCGCAGAAGCGATTTGCAACCCGGCAATGCTGACGCCGCCAGTCCCCTGGCAAAGAATTGTTTCTCCCGGTCCGACTATCTTGCCAGTTGGCCTCATGCAATTCAGGCTCATCCATGCCGTCATCGCTGCGATTGGGAGACAGCTCGCTTCCTCATCACTTAGGTAATCTGAAACCTTGACGAGTCCGTACGTTGGGAAGACGCGGTATTGGGTGAGCACCCCCGGCGCAGGGCCTCCCAGGCCATTCGCAACATCTGCTGCCTGAACTTGCCCACTAAGATGAGTTGGTGCGAAAGTGCTGATGACGCGATCGCCTGGTTGGAGACGGAATGTTGGGCTTTTGAGGGGATCAGAGGTGTTCTTGGAGCTCGGGCCGACAGCGACTACAACTCCGCTCATGTCACTGCACGGGACGAGCGCTGGGGGATGTTCGACAGACTTGTGGTGGTTATAGAGTCCCATAGCAACTGCACACGTGATCAGCAATGGGCATCGTCATCCAAAGATCCCCCTTGAAAACATGAATGCAACGGGTGCCGAAAAGGAGCATACCTTCAGTATCCCTATAATTCAAACTCACAGCATGTACTTCAACAAGCACCTCATCCTCACCCGGCGCCGGGCAATCCACCTCCTCCATCCTCAATTTATCGAGCCCGTTCTGCCCCGTCAACCACTGCTTTACTCGTCGTGGAGGAGGCGTCATCGCCTCCAAATGGCTTCGGGATCCCAACCCTAACCTTGACAGTACTTTCCTTCTGTTTCCTCGAAATCAGACTAAACACTTCTTCCAACCAGTCTCGGCGATGCTGCGAAAACGGCGGGGTAGGCATCGTGCAGAAGCTGCTGCCTTTATAATAGCGATTTGGGGACAGGTGGGTGGGATTGGCGGTTTGTGTGGGGGGCATTAGAAATATATATTCAACCGTGACGATAAGGGTGCTCAAAAGATGGTACGATGATGGATCGGGAATTTTCGGCTAGAAACTGGCCGATGACAACCGAGGTGGCAGGGGTTGTCGGAAGCAGCTTCCGACGGTCGGAAACGTCACAGTCGTCGTGTGGTGTCGAACTTCAACACCACAGAGCTGGAGTGATGGTGAATACCTCTACATCGATGTGTCTCCTATCGCCATGTGCTAGCTAGAAGACCAGAAAGGTGATGTTATAGGGCGATAGTCGATTGAAGCAAACGCACGCCCTTCACCAACGTATAAGCAGCGACAAGCAATGAATCCGCACAACGGCTTCTCTCTAGATCGTACGGTGAGTGAAGGAGACTCTCAACTTTGCGACACTATGGTAGGTTTTCGCGTTCGTAGTTTCCTTTTGGGGCGCACCAACCGCTCTATTCCGCCACCCCAACTCACTGCCCATGCAAATATGCTTCCCCTGCGCAGAAAGCTGAAAATATGGTTTCACCCACGGTATGTGTGCTCGCTGGCACTATGTTCCCGGTGGCTGACCACATGCTAGCCCTTCTCCTGTCGACAAGAATGGAAAGGCACCTTTCAACGTCACGAGAACGAAAACCGAGATGCTGGAGCGTATGCGCCGTATACAACGGAAGATTGACGAAGGGAGCATGACGGTGGAGAGGGCAGCACACTTGCATGGATGCTTGAACACGATGGAGGATATATTGAGAGGAAAGTGGGATGACAAAGAGGTTCTCCCGGTGGAGTAGAGCACCCCCAGGTAGCACGGAAGGTGAGAGGCAGGATCGCGTGAGTGTTAAGGAACCTTTTTTACATACGGTACATCGACTATGGCGTTGGAATCAACTTCTAGGCATAGAACATGGAATTCGATTATGCATTGCTCGTAAAATAGCCGTGAATCAATAGTCCTTCACGCGTGAACCACTAATTTTTGTAATGTTCTAGTACTTCAGGCCACTCATCTATGCCATCTAAGATGACCATGGCCATCCCACCGTTCAAATGACTCTGAATATGGCAGTGCAACATGAAAGCACCCGGATTCACCACATGATACCGCACAGCCAACCACGTTGGCTCCGTTACACTCGCTAGTGTGACGAACCCGTCGCGATAAGCCGGAGTGACGAGATTGAAGTTTTGCGGCATGGCGGCCGCAGCTTCGGCGACAGAGCTCCAAGGGAAATCTCCCTCGCCTTGCCCTATGATAAAACCCTTGTTGCTGTGCTTGTGAATTGGATGTGGAGGCTGGTTGACTGTGACAACTTTCATAATGAGATCAACCCAGGTGTCGTTCTTTGTGATAATGGTGATGTCCCCTCCGGGATTGCTCGCATCGGGCTTTTGGTAGAGGAGAGGCGGGTTGGTATCGTCAATGGCGTGGTTGAAGGGAGTGGCGTTCAAAGCCCAGATGTAAGAAGCGCCCACCGAGTCGAGCGTTAGGATGAATGTTCGGTCAACTTCTGGAGCGGGCTGTGGGAACTGAGGGGGAAACGATAACATCTGCGTTTGATCGAAGAAGGTGACGTCGGTCGAAGTAGCGGCACCGGCTTGGTTGGTATAGGGTCTCGATGTCACAGCGTCGGACTCGTCCCGAGTGCCATTCCTGTAGTGACTGTGGCCTCCCTCGTACGAAAGGACAGCAGTGGTGTCTATAAGCTGTGCTAGGGCGATTGAGGCTACCCGAATGCCGTAGTTGGCTGCAGGCTTGTCCAATTCAATGAACACAGAGTATCTGTCACCGTTGTAGAGATTGATAGCGTCGACCTTGAGTGGCTCGATGTAGTGACCGTCAACCCCATAGATCCACATAGGATGCTCGTCAATGCTGAATGCAAAGGCGTCGATGCCAGCAGTCTGAATGATATCGAGAGCCATCCATTTGGCAGAATTGGGAGCTTTGATAACCTCACGGGAGCCCTGCGTAGGTGTGCACACCTCAAAGACCTCTGGCGGGAGCACGTCAATGTTAGTGTCGGTTCCGTTCGCAAGAAGGATCGTCAGCATCTCCGGTGGCAGGCATCTATGATGTTTAGTGAAGGGCTAGTGGGTTCAGTATGCGACACTCACCCCTTGTCCGTCATTTGCAAGTTGTTCTGCTGTAGGAGAGGCGCAATACCCGGGTTGGTGAACCGAGTGATCTGCTCTCTTGGCCAGCAGTCTACGGAACCCTTGCCATTAACGAGAAGAGCATCCATACAAACGGCGCTCTCTATCCCAGACTCAAGCTCGAGCTGCCACGTGCGCTCTGAAGTGGTGTGCCGCCAATCGGACACGACCAGAGGGGTGACCTTTGCCTCGGCTGCCTCAAGCAAGTGGACCTCTGCAGGGGCAATCTTATCGAAGGGCTTGAGAATACCAGGCTTTGGCTTTACAAGCATTGGGCCATAGCATCCGTCATCAATCTGGCCCCGACTATGCGCGTGGTAAAAGTAACTGCCGTACTGGTTGGCATACCACTTATACGTGAAGCTGTCGCCCGGTTGGATAGGGCGTTGCGAAAGGCCAGGCACACCATCGGCCCATGGAGTGTCGATTTGCTCAATGCCTGAGGTGCGTTAGGTGACATAGCGAATGAGGCGCGAAATTTACATACCGTGGGAGTGAATGGTAGAGTTGAATGGCATGCTGTTGAGCACGGTGATCTCCACCCAATCACCTTGCTCAATCTCTAAGAGAGGACCCGGGAATTGCCCGTTGATGAAGATCATTTCCCTCTCAAAACCATCCGGAGAGCCAGTGCCCCATGTCAATTCGAGGGTGCATTGAAAGGATCCCGCGAGAGCGTACGAAGCAAAGGAGAGCAATAGGGGGAGAAAGGAAAGCATTGTGGGAAGGGGGATCCTAGGAAAACGGAAGCAATTGGCTGAAAGGAAAATAGATCACAGGAATCCAACCTCCAGCGAAGGAAGGCATATGTACAGCCAGGGTAAAGGAGACTCATTGCAGCTACGTTAAGTACTCCAGCGTCAGCTGGACGCAATCGTTGCTCTTCTGAGTGAGGTCCGAGCAGCTCGCGCAGTATGACAGCGTGCACTGCTAGGTGCTGATACTTGCCAAGCAGTTTCCATAATCGTAGCTTTCTCCCTGTCAACCGCGTGGATCAACGACTCATGAGTCTCCAAAATCTGCGAGAGAGCATTGCTGCGGCAGAAGGCAAAGAGCTCGCGTGCAGATGCCAAGCATCCACGCTGGCGGAAATGGCAAGGAAAACGCATGACGTGCGTTGGGATTACACAGCAGTGTGTTTTTGGATTGTGGCAATTGCCTTAGTCAGAAGGACTACAGCTCGTTCTAGTTCTGACATCAGCACGGCGGGCTGTCATTCGAGAAAGGTTGCAGAAGCGGCCGTCAGGCTCCTTCCTGTACCGATTAGAAGAGGCCCGCCTTACGACAAGGCTGAGCTGAGAATTGCGATGAAAGCCCTTGGCGGCAGACCCAGCGGTGCGTATGCGAGCGGTCTGTGGTGGAGTGAGGTGATGGAGAGAAGAGGGTCTGTGAAGAGTGCCAAGAACCCCACTAGCGTCTTTCTGAGCTACAGTGTCACGCCTGGCCTTGATCTGACCTCAACCACAAACCTCTGCCTATCTCAGTCTGCAAAGCACCGCACACTTGGAGCCGAAGAGCCGAACCGCTTCATCAGGGAAGGCGTGGGCTTACGAGCGTCGGCTACGCTGCGACAGCCCGATGCGCAAACTTGTGGCCTCACGCTGTTCTTTCACCGATGCTTCCCTCGGCGCACCCGCATCCCACTGCTCATCGCATTGGGAGTCGCTGTCATTCCGCGGAGACCGAATTGAAAGCTCGTTGGGGGCGCCATGGTCCTTGCCTAGCGTCTTTCACTGCGGACCACCTGGGCAGCGTGCGATCGTGCGAAGAATTCTCTCCAGGCTGCGCAGACCATCGTCGTCTCAAGAGCGAGAAGCTACCTCATCGGTCGCTATTCCTCAATGGGCTGACAGTACGACAGCATGAGCCTTGTCGTAAGACGGCCGCCATGGAAGTTTTCTGCAGCCTCGTCGGCACTGCAGAGAGTCGACCTTGACGCAGTGCATGGCTCTGGTGCGCCATGTGCCCTTATGAACTCGGTCAATCATGATTTGTCGCCACCCGTCGTCCTTTGTCTATTGCTCCGGCGTCTTCTACGGGATTCCTCGTCTCTTGACCTTTGTTACATTTTTGGACATGTAGTGTGGTGAAAGCTACAACATCACCGTCTTCTACGCGACATTGTTAATTACAAAGGGTTTCTTCGTCCACGATGCCCCGCCAGCCTTTCACCAAGTTGCACCATGGCCCGGCCATTTGCGATATAAAGCTTCGTATCTCTTCTCTTCCCGGCACGCAACTCCTCTCCAGCATCCGACCACTCTCTACCCACTCCACCCTCACTATCCTTCAACCAAAATGTCTACCTCCGGAGAAAAGCGCGCTGCGTCACCCACCCCGGTTGGAGACGCCCACGATCCCAAGAAGCAGAAAGCTGAGGTCGGTTGCGCCGTCGTCGATACAGCTCGCGTGATACCAGTCGCAGCCCCCGCCGAGATGCCCTCTTCTCCCAGCGCTGTGTCTGCCGCACCTCTTACTCCAGCAACTGCAACTGCACATGTCGAGACCCCACCCACTCCGGCTTCTTCATCGCCTCTCTCCGAATCCGCGCAAAAGCAAACAGCGGCAGCAGCCACCCCAGCTGCTGGCAAGAAGAAGGCGAGCAAGAACCCCGACGTCAAGTCACTGTTCACACCGTGGGAGCCCAACATCACCATCCCTCCCTTCAACGATGCTTGGGGCCGGAAGCCTTGCCCTGGCCAGGAAGGACCCAAGTCTCACCCTGACGAGCCCGCCGCACGAACTAGCAATGCGCAGACCAAGACGCCATTATGGGAGGACCGCAAGTGGCGCTTCAAGAAGGGCAACCGTTACGTTAAGTCGTTCCGCAAGGGGGAGCATATCCCCGACGATGCTCCAGATCTTGACCAGGAGGACAACCTGGTACTGCATTTGATCGACATGCGCGCCAAGAATCGGCGGGATCCCACCCCTCGACGCACCCCCGTGGTATACTACTACGAGAACGGCTTGCCGAAAGATTGGAACAACAAGCAGACCGTCAAGGCTCTGAACGATCGGCGCCAGCAGGCCATTGACCGCATCACCATGGATCCTCCTTGGGCCAACTACGAGCGCCAGTACCTCGCTTCCCTTCTCCAGGAGTTCCCTGATGCATCGATTCTTGAACTTACCGAACGCTTCAATTATCGATTCATGGGCAATGATTTTGCTAAGTCTACCGCGTTCGAATGGGACTACATTTCAGCAGGTCGTACCATCGAGAGCGTCCGCCACGAATACCTGATGTACAAGCACATGTACGACCAGGGAGATGCACCCAACAAGAAGGAGCTTGAGGACAAGTCGAAGGAGGGATTGGCTGCGCGCAAAGCTCGAAGCGGCATTCCGGTCAAAGACCGACTGGCCAAGTTCGGAAAAAAGGATAAGAACTTGGACAAGGATGATGAGGATAGCGACGCTGAGGGCGACGAAGAAGCTTCCGATGCTGCCGATACCCCCAAGAAAACCCCGCGCAAGAAGGCCATTCCCAAGAAGAAGGCCCAGCAGAAGGAGATGGACATCAAGAATGGAGTTCCTGCTCCTACTGAGCAACCAGAGATGGGTGCAGAGGATGAGGAGCTCCTGCACCTTGCCGGCTTCTATTCAGGTGAGGAGAGCACTGCATCTTCCCCCGTCTGGCCTTCTAGCTCCAGCGAGGACGAATGTAGCGCGTCTGCTAACGCCGACTCTCCAGCGCGCAAGCATTCCGAGACCTCTGGGCCCAAGCGCTCGCCGACACCCCGCAGCCCGGCTATTGCTCAGGAGATTGATTTGTCCACGATCGAAAAGACCAAGGTCGAATTTCAGCAGGATGCTCATGTTGAAGAGGGCCACGCGGTTGCCGAGAACTCTGAGCCACAGCCTGACATCGGGATGGCTGCACCGGCTAATGTTGGCGATGACTCTGACGACGAGTTGTAGAAAGTCGAATTCCTCCCACTCCCAGTGTTCGAAATAAGTAAGTGTATGTTCTGGATTTCTGAGCATGGTAAGCCATTGTTTCTTTGATGCATGGCGAGTCAATGGATAAGTATACCTTGTTTTCGTATCTCGATTTCATCTTCATCATTTCAGCTGCGAGTTTTCTAGTTTGACTCCCGTCATCCAAACTAACATCTCCTTTTGTGTCTCCAGATGTCTCGATAAGGATCCTACTAACGATGCTCGAAACATGTTGTTTCAGATAGCATGCATGTCCCCGCTCATATCAGATGTCTCGACTAGGCCATGTAGGAGATATGTAAAGGTTTTGTGGCAGCTTGCGACGCCGCATGTGGTCTACTCTTGCCGTATTCTACATTTCAGTTGGGCATGGCTTGCTTTGGGCGTCTTTGCTCTTCTACATATGCTATGCTAGTAGAATTTCTGGCACCGGGACGGCACTGCGGACAGAAGTCACCGTCGTGCGTTTCCAACTACATCAATTCAAGGGTACATTCTCAGGCATCTCGGAAGTGTCTCGGTTGATAAGTCATCCCACAATTCTGGAACCCCAAAGGCCCTGTCCTTCCCCGCATCGCCACGCGCGCCACCAAGTATTGGCGCAACGTCACTGGTACTGCGCCAGCCACAACTTCGACTATCCGCCAGCCATCTTCACCAATCTGGCGCCTCGTCCCATTCTGTGTCGGCATATAGCACTTCTCAGCAGGGACCGAAGGATCGCACATGCCGCTTTTCAGAGCCGTTTGAGCTCAGAGCCGGTCGAGCCGGGTGGCTGTCTTGCTTTGGGCCTAGCCGAGTGTGGGGTACGACCTCCAATCCGCCAATATCTGGGGTCGGAAGAGATGCCACGCCGAAGTCCTGCCGTTATCTTGCAAGGAACCGCATCCTGATGCTTCTGGGACTGGGTTTTCGAGCAGCTGTGGTTGGCGGGTTTTCGATAGGGGACGTGCTGTTTGACCATTCTGTCTGAGGCGTGCTTGGGGCCTGGTCGGGATGCTAACTTGGTTTTGGGCTGGTTACCGGTGCATAAGACTCGTTGACGTCCCGGCGCAATCTTGTGGTTGATCGTGGAACTGCCGGCCGCGTCGTCCGGATTGTCGCGTCCTAGTGGCTTTCAAGTTGAAATCCCCCCATGCTTAAGACGGCGTCAAGACGCTTGGAGGCCATCGGGTGCGACCGTCCTAACTCGAAAAGTGAACTATCCTGCAGTCTTCGTATCGTATTTCGCTAAAGAGCTTGGAGAGCGCGGAACCGTCCCGCTGGAGCGGTTGTGGGTATATCACACGCTGAGGATCCCCTGAGAGCTATTCCATCGCGTCTGGGGAATTCCATTGATATTCTTCTGTTGGCCCTGAGCCAGAAGCGAGAAGAAGTCGCCCGCCATGGAGATGAACTACGATACCAAGGTACGTCCCACCATTGCGTTTTGCCATGGGCCTCCACTTTCTAACAGCAACCCAGGAAATTCGCCAAATCGAGGCAGAACTCCACACCGAGATCCTGCCCGGCACCGAAATCATGGCAGACGTTGGAACGCACCACTTCGTCAAAGGCGCTCACAAGACCGTGCTCGTTCCGCAACCGTCTGACAACCCGCATGACCCGCTCAATTGGAGCTCGCTATGGAAGGGCGCGTGTATCACGTCGGCGGCTATGGTGACGTTCAGTCAGGGCTTTGGCCCTCTGGCGCTTGCGCCCATGTTTCCGGCGCTGATGGAGAGCTTCAATTGCACCCTTGCAGAGGCGGTGCAATTCACGGGCATATGTATTTTAGTTTTGGGCTTCAGTAACTTCCTTTGGTATGAACGCCCGTTTCATCTCTTCCCTTTGGGGACTTGACTCAGCGTTACTGACATGCAGGCTTAGGGTTCCTATTAGCACGTCTTTTGGTCGTCGCCCCGTCTACCTCTTCTCCCAGCTCATCTGCTTCGGAACCTCCATCTGGCGCGCCAAAGCTACCTCCTACGCATCCTTTATGGGTGCCTGCGTCGTCAACGGCATTGGCGCCGGACCAGCAGAGACCATCATGCCTGCCGTCATCGCCGACATATTCTTCTTGCACGACCGCGGCAAGTGGAACACGCTATACTGGGTCGTCTATATGGGGTCTTTGATGCTGGGCCCCATCATTTCAGGCGCTATGGCGGAGAATGTCGGGTGGAGGAGCTTCTGGTGGTTTAACACTGCACTGCTAGGGACTAGTGTTATCATGGTCATAACTATGTTCCCGGAGACTAAGTTTCATCGTTTGCATCCTGATGAGTTGGAGGGCAAGGCGACGCCAGCTGAGTCGGAGGACAAGGAAGAGCAGCCTGCGACTATCGAGAATACGAACGCCGAAACAAACGAGGATGCGGAGAAGATCCAGCAAGTCCCCACAGCCGGCTCGGTACTTCCTGACGCAAAAGGTCTCACGCTCGAAGAGACCGCGGCCCGCGATCCGTATCTCGGAAAGGGAACGCCGGGGAAGTGGCAGTGGCGCATCTACCAGCCCAATGCACATCCATTCAAGAGCATCCTCCTCGACCTCTGGATCCCATGGAAGCTCTTCGCCTTCCCGATCGTCGAGTTCGCCAGCTTCGTCGTCTCCTGGAGCTGCAGTTCGTTCCTGACCCTGAACCTGACGCAGAGTCAAGCCTTCGCTGCACCGCCTTACAACTTCAAGCCTATGCCGATTGGTATGTCCTTTCTTCCCCCACCCCTACGCCTGGAGAGTGTGTTAAAGTGCTGACTTACCTCTCGGCTTCATGAACTTCGCCATCCTCGTCGGCGCCCTCATCGGCCTCGCCACCGCCGGCCCCTTCAGCGACTGGATCAGCGCGCGCTCCACGCGCCGCAACAACGGCATCCGCGAGCCCGAAATGCGCCTCCCGGCCATGATCCCCTACATCATCATCATGTACCTGGGTAACATCGTCGTGGCCGTCGGCTACCAGAAGAAGTGGCCCTGGGAAGCCATCGTCATCATCGGCTTCACCTGCGCCGGCATCCAAGTCGCCGCGCTGCCCGCCATCTCTTCCACCTACGCCGTCGACAGCTACAAACCCGTCGCGGGCAGCTTGTTCGTGAGCATCACGGTGAACAAGAATGTCTGGGGGTATGGGTTTAGCAAGTTTATCACGCCGTGGGCGGAGGAGGATGGGTTTATCCCCCCGATTATGACGAATGCGAGTTTGATTTTGCTGTGGTGTCTTTTTGGGGCGTTGTTTTGGTGGAAGGGGAAGACGTTTAGGCGGTGGAGTAAGAATAGCAAGGTGCACCGGATGTGAGGAAGGGGAACGCGTGATTTGGTGGAAGCATGCCTGTCCACTTAAGCTCGACCGGGGGAAAGTTACGTTCGTTGCCGCAAGCACATGTATTTATCGGCATAGCTGTATTAGTGTTGAGCTCTGGGGTGTGCCAAAGTGTGCCGCCATGTTTGCAGGACGCCTTGTAAAGGAGCTACATCTTCGCAGACGGGAAGAGGGGAAGGGGACCTGGGGCGCTTAGCAGCTGCAAGAACAGACATCGTACGCGCAGAGTCGTTTCAAACAATCATGAATTAAACTAAGAGACTCCCTACGCGCACGCCGGCGCGCCTCGGAAGCAGAAAGTGTTACCGAAAAGTTCGACTTGAGGTATCATCATAGAAGAATGGTGTGGTTCGTGATCCTCCAAATCCTTCCTCCCATCTCCAACATTGGCCATGTCAATATACACGCTGACATCCTTACATGCGCATATGTACATCCATATCCACACATGTCCCTCTTTCGTTCCTAAATCTCCGGCTATGATACTGTAGCGTTATTCGTACTGACTGTCCGCTTCCAGCCGCCCCAACTCCATCCACCACCCGTGCTTGCTGGAGGTGTGGACGCAGGCATTGGTGTAGTGGCTGAGGGCGTTTGGACGCCCATCGCCTTCTTCATGCTCTCGAATTTATTCTTCAGCTCCTCCAGCTCCTGCTTCGCGACCGCTTCCGCCGTCTTCGCGTTGACTAGCTCTAGAAGCAACGCCTCGTTGTCCACTGGTGCATGGTTGTCGGTGGCAAGAACACTCTGCGTAGCGAGTGACGAAGAGCGTTTGGAGAACTGCGGCACGGCTTTCTGCGATTTTGTTGACGCGGAGCGACCTAGCCGAAGCTCTCGCAGACCACCCGTAGTCGACACAGCGCTATCCGCGGTATTCGATCGGGATAACGATGGTGAGGAGTCGGGGGTTGAATCTGCCCATGGAACCGATGTTTTTCGCACGCTCTGCCGGAGGTCGTTTATGGTCTTCTCAAGCTTCTGGTTCTGATTGTAAGAGTCCTGCAAGCGATGCCGTGTCTCCTTCAGCGCGTCTCGCGCGATGTGAAGATCTGCTTGTGCGTCGTTGAGCTCGCGAGCTAACGCTTGCGCTCGGATCGTCTCCGATGAAAGCTGTTCCTTAGCGCGATTAAGGCTTTCCCGCAGCACCTCCTTTGTCTCGAACATGGAAGATGCGCGATGATGGGTCTGATGCGAGGGGAATCTCTTGTCCAAAGCTTCGGTGGCCTCGTCGACCTCTTGTGGTAAAAGTGTGGTGGGGTCGGCGTCTGTGGGTGGGGTGAGCATCGCAGCCGTGATGGTCGTCCTGCGACGCGACTCTCGGCTTGCAGGCGTAGCAAGCGATGACTGCTTCTTGCGGATCCTGTCGACTACTGTGCGCACGATGCGGTGGTCTTCTTTTCGGTCCTCCCGTTGCTTTTGAAGAGCGGCCTCGAGCTCGCTGTTTTGGCGCTGGAGCTGGCTGACAGAGAGCAGAAGCTGTTCGATTTGGTAGTGTAGATCTCGATCCTTTGATGAATGGCCCGTCTTGATAGAAAGCGCAGTAGATTCACGGCCGGATTTGAGAGATAGCGCGTCGCCCGACGAGGCCCGAGACATTTCGGTTGGAACGGTGCTAGGAGTGCCAGTTGACGTCTCAGATCCATCCGTGGAATGGAGAGTAGAAGCAAGGCTCTGTTTTGATGGCGTGCGACGGAGAAAGCTGACAGGCCTCGACGGGGCGGAAAGCCCCGGGCTCAGCGACACAGATTTTGTGGATGAGTTTGAAGGGCCCCATAACCGGCCAAGAAACGACATGGCTGACTTCTGCACCTTGGCTTTCGCGATATCTTTCTCTTGCGCTTCCTTGAAGCTCGCCTCCAGACCTTGCAGCTTCTCCCGTGTAACGTCGTTCGTAAAGCCCACAAAGTCATTGACCAGCTCATCTGCGGAATGGGCGTTTCGACCATAGGGATCCCAGAGTGACCTCCCCAGTAGCAGTTGCATGACGTCTTCAAACTCCTTGAGAGCCAGTATCCTTTGTTCATTCCTCTTCATGAGCGCGAGAGCTACTCGCATAATAGTCTCCGACGCGCCTTCGGCAAACAATACGTCGTAGATTCGAAATAGCATGGGTAGCGGACATGTGACGGCAAAAAACGACAGGAACCACTGCGAAAGATATGCCGACTCCACCTGCAGTGCGTCGAGATGTGCGGCTAATTCGGGCATGTGCCGATGTAACAGGCGCTGGAATTGGAAGATGCGCAGGTGCAGCCCGGAGAGGTCGGGAAGGAAACATGAGCGCAGATCGTAGTCTTCCATGAGCCTGTATGCCGTTAGTGGGAGGTTAGCGACTTTTGTTGATCGAAAGCACGCACCGGACGAGCACGCAGAACGCTTCCTTATCACCCATCTGCATCAGAAGCGGCCCGACGAGGAAGCCTAGACCCTGGCAATAACCGATCTTGTGGTCATACAAGCTGAAGCACTTCAGCACGCGTCCGAGCATCTTTTGGCCCTCGCCTTCGGGATCTTTGAACATGTCCACGCCTGGGAAGCTTCGTCCCAAATCTTTGTTGATGATGTTCTCATACGGACTCGACTCGCCGCACAGTTGGTCATACTGATCCTCAATGAGCTTGTCTCTCGCGCCAGAAGCACTCTGCCAGACGACTCCACGCAATGGCGCAGGTATGCCGCCGCGGATCTTGTTGAGTGTGAGGGTCGGCAGCCGCTGCACGGTCTGTGGGTAGTCCCGCACCAGCGCAGCCCAGAAGTCGAGTTCTGTCATGGGAGGTGGAGAGGGGAGCTGTGAGAAGCGCACTTGGGTGGAATCCTCGGCTACAAGCCGCTTCAGCTGATTGATCGAAGGGGGTCGGGACTGGCTTCGGGCACGACCGAACTTGGCTCCGGATTTCGCGTCGGCCATGAGGGCGTTGTTCTCCTGTTCTAATCGAGCAAGCAGCAAGGCCATGGCCTGCGCATGTCAGTAACCACGCATGAGCGAGGGGCACACGGGGATCCAACGCTCACCTCATCCTGCCCCTCCTCCTGCGACTCCTGCTCCTCTTTCTTTTCGAGTTCTGTCCAATCCACCTGTGCACTTTGGCTGGAGCCTTCGCTGTTGCTCCTCGATCGCTCGCCCGACTTCGGCGTCGGCGGGGTATCATCGTCGTCCGGAAGGGATATGGTTGGGCTGTCCACGGCAGACGTGCGGATGCTGCCGTCCTGGCTGCTGCGTCCCCCAAATGCCTTCATGATCTCAGCAGAGCTCGGTCGTGAAGACTGCCGCTTCTCTTCCACCACGATGTCTGGTTGCTGCAGCAATGCCGAAACATGGTCCGCCGCTGGGTGTGCTCCTTCTGCATCGGTCTCAGACAGCGGAACCGTGACCATGGAGTCAGTCGGGAGGGGCTGGCTGTCCACATGGGTCCTTGGGGAGCGTTCGACGGCTTCGGGAGTGCCCTTCGCGGCCGTCTCTTTCTCGACGTCCATAATAATAACAACCCTTTCGGTCCTTTAGGCGGGTGGCATGTGCAGGGACCGAGGGATGTCGAGGTGCAGGCGCAGAGGGGCGCGAATGATGTCGTTGCTATGCGGTCCTGTTCGCAGCAAGCTTCCGGCGCAAGGAATTGGCTGGAGTGCCACTCGTCAGAGGCACAAACGATGCTGGCGGCGAAGGCGTTTCGAAAGAGTGGAATGGCGGCCGGGGCCTGCCTGGAGCAAAACACGCACCGAATGAGTGAGATGCGCGTCGATGCAGATTCAGCGCGAGCAACGAGCGACCAGCACAGCTGTGCGAGCAAACAGAACGCTGGAAAGACTGTAAGGAGGGGGCAGCCTGGCGGCGAGGGACTCGGAGCGTTAAGGAGGCGGTCCCTTAGCGCATCTGAATGAAGGGGTCCACCGTGCTTGGCACATTAATCCGTCGGCAAAACGGACCACTCGCTGCACTGGGCGCGGGGGGCGTCGCGCATCGAGCGCCTCTTCTCCGCACATCAAAGGCCGCCGTGTGTGCGTCCGATCCACTCGCCGGGCCGTCCTGAACGCGCGTGCTGGCGAACCAGCACGCGAATAATCACGCAGAGCGGACGCGGGACAGACACGCCAGACAGTAGCGCAGTTGCTCCGAGTAGCCAATCACGGCCGTCGTGCCGAGCAGCGTGGAGAGCATATTTTCGAAACCACCATTTCCGTCTGACGGTGCACCTGCACAGTAGACAACATGCTGTAGCTTCGACCGATAGTCCCTGCAAGCAGATACCGTCAGCATGGAGCCGCTTTCTGGAATGTCCGCAAGGCACGCCTGTTCTGTTCCTCATCCGTCACCCCTTTTTCCCCCCCTCATCATAAGCGCCCCTACGATCCACATTGTATCAATCCTGAACACCGCCATGCATCTTCCAGGCGCTTACATCCATATTCATTTGCTTGCGTGGGGCAGCATGCGTCCGCCGGCCTATCGACCATGTCCGTCTCACTCAGCCCTGCGGACTTGCCCTTCCTGATCCGTCATTGAGCATTCCCTTTTCGTCAGGACGCCGTTTCGAATCACGCAATACACCACATTGTTGGGCGCGGATATCGCATGCAGGTGATGGATTTGCCAGACTCGTAAGGGGCAAAAGCTCGACGCTGATCCATCTCACAGAAAGCGAGACTCCACACCTCCAACCATCGCCCAGCATCGAGACACTAAGCGCCTCCCCCTACCCCACTACACTTTCCTACTTCGCCTTCCCTCCTTCCTTTTCCTTGTTCGCGTCCCTCACCCACTCGCACTCGTCCGCCCGCATGTCCAGATCCTCCCACCCATGCACCTCCATCTCTGCGAGCGTCTCCGTATTCTCGCGCAACCACTGCCACTGCAACGCAGCCCCAGCTGCTGCAGTTAACACTCGAATCGTACCCCAGCTCGCCACCACCTCGTCTGTTAGGAGCATGTGGTGATCCAGCTCGGTTGCATGATGCCTCATAGCATCGCTCAGTTTCTTCGTCGCGTAGCCCTCCGCCGGAGCCTGAACCAGCGTCGGAAGCATGTTCAGCATGAGCGGGCGACGATTCGGATATTGCAGATTCTGGAGGGGCGCTGGCGGTGGAACAGGTACTTTGGCGGGCGGCTTGCTCTCCATGACAATCAACTGATTAGAATCTCGCTTCGTCCACTCGCGCAACATATCGTACCGCAGCACGATCTTGACCGACAATTGCCTCTTCACGCTGTGCAGCCTGAACAGTAGCGCTCGATTCTGCGCAATCTGCTCGGGGATCAGCGTCCGCGTCACCAGGAACAGGAACTCCTCCAGCAGCTCCCGTCCGTTGAGCGGATTTGCGAGTACCGTCGAGAGTACCTCGCCCCAGTTGGTCGTCCGCTCGGGGTCCTTGAGGAGAGTTGTGGTGGCGGGTCGGAGTTGCGGGTGCAGTGCTGCGAATTCGAGGATCGCGTCGAGGGAGGCGTCGAGGGTGCCGGCGAATGGCGAGGGGACGGTGGGAGGGAGCTTGTAGTGCGCCGGGACTTTCGTCTGCGGGGCTGGAGGAGGCGTGCCGGTCTGTGTAGGCTCATCTGAGTTAGCGGAGAAGACGCTGATGGCTCGCGTGACAGGAGCCGTTGTTCGACGACCGTTGGGTTGGGCCATGGTGTAGTAGAGTGTAGGGTGCGAAAAGAGTGCAGCTACGTCAGTTGAAGAGGTTTTTGTAGGGGGAAGGTTCTTTCTATTGTGGCTGAGATTATGCAATAGTTGCCTGGGTGAAAGCAGAGTGTCGAGGTGGGAGCGAATTGAGGTGAAACGTTTGTGACTTTGTCATTAGGCTATCAGAATATCTCCAGAGGGCTTTCACCAGTTTCCCAGATCGCGGAAGGTGTGAACTACGGCGGCAGGAATTCGGGAGCCTGAACTGCTTCAGTAGACTACTAACGGTTCCCATTGAAGACGCGGCGGATGGGCAGGGGAAACGGGCAGACTGGAGGATTTGTCGGGTCATGACGCCGTTCACAAGGGGAGGAACAAGTGCTCAGGTAAGTATGATGAACGAATTGATTGCCACAGAGCCCGCTCTACATCTTGGCTCCTGTTGTATCCGTATCCTCAGTCTAAAACGGATCTTCACGCCTGAAGCTTTCCGTGTCCTTCAGCATAAGTGCCGAAACATCCCAAAAGCACCCCTATCCAAAGCCTAGCCTATGATCCGCCTAAGCATATATCTCCGTTTCCACGCCCACCCAGTCCTGCTGTTGATAATACCTCAGTCTCGCGTTATTGCCAGCCAGCCACCAGAAGAGATGGAGTACCCTTGCCGTCCTCAGAAGAAGAGCTCCAGGGACGATCCGGCGAATGACCGACTCGTGTTCGTTCAGATAGAGGTCAAGTTGAGACCGACGATGCTGAAGCTGAACTGGAACCGAAAGCGGAGTATTCGGGGGCATGTTAAGCCACTGGAGGAAATCCGTTCCATTCGGCGTCGGATCTGAAGGGACAACGCTCCGGACGGGGATATCCAGGGCTGGAAAACTGACTGGCTCCATGTCCGGCCGCACATGGTCGTTTATGTTCCAGGCATCGTAGCGGAGTCGGATGTTCGACGGCAGATCGCGCCTGGCGAGGTACATGTCAAGGACCATCTTCCGATTATCGATAATGGTGAGCGGGAGGACAAATCTAGTAATGAAGACGTAGAGGTCTTGAAGGTTGCCGTAGCCTTGCCTTCCCTTTGAGAGAAAGTAGCCCATGAGGGAAGTCCAGTCTGGCTCTGCGGCATAAACATCCGGGCGACTGATGTGGGCGAGGAGAATGGAGGGAACGTCTCGCAAGGGCTCCTGATATCGTGGCATATCGTTGAAGTCTCCAAACAGCCGCTCCGGGCAGCGGAAGGGATGGATTAGGTCGTCCGGATTGCAGCTCATCTTGTCTTGAAGTGCAAGAGAGACCGAAAGTAATATAGGGAAGTCTTCGAAGAGAAGAGATAAAGAATGAACGAAAGAAGGTAGGATAGTGCTCGAAAATGAGGATTCAGCCCCACTATTTATCATACATGCTGCTTCTCGAACTTCCGCTATCGGATGCTTCGATATCCGCAAACTCGGAGCATATTTCGGGCGAATGATCACCTGTTGACGTTCATCACGCTCGTGCTTCCAAAGTTGACATTCTAGTCATACTTGAAGTCACGGACAAACGCAGAATGTGCCGGGGAAGGAGCGCAGGGGCATGCAAACGGTAGGAACATTGGGCACTCTGACCACCCCAACACTCTAGGAGATGACCTCAATCTCTTTCTGAGCCTCCACTCCTTCGACAGCCTCCAAATTCCTCTTCTTGTTCTGCTGTTCTTCCCAGGTTAGATAGTCCGTGTACCCGATCCATCGGTCCTCCACCGGTATCGGCCCATAGAACGTATCTCTGTCGTACTTGGTCAACAGTCGCCCGTGTTCCAGCCTCTCCACCAGGTCTGGGTTGCTGATAAAGTAGCGCCCCATGGCCAGGGCATCGTATTCACCGGATTCGATCACGCCCCAGCAGTTAGTGTCGTTCCAGCCGCCCGCAGAGAAGAAAGGCGTGTCACCCATGATTTGACGCAGAAATTTAAGATTAATAGTCGTTGGATCAATCCCCCACGAGCGGATCACGGTGTCCTTCTCCGCCATAGGCTGAATTTGTTCAAAGCGCTGGAGGAGGCGTTAGAGGATCCAGGATCCCTTCGAGCTGAGATGCGAGGGAAAGGTACGTTCGAGGGGAAGGTACTAACCGGTTCTATCAAGGAGATGTATGACATGTCGGGGATCCTCTTCTTCAACTGCTCGCACAGGAAGCTCCACGTCTCTACCCGCTGTTCTCCTCTAGCTTGATTGAAAAGGCCAAAGGGAGTCAACCTGATAGCGCAGTTCTCGCCTCCGACAGTCTTGGCCAGCGCCTCCATCAGCTCGATAACGAAACGACACCGCTTCTCAGGAGTGCCTCCGTACTCGTCGGTCCGCTTGTTGATGTTAGATGAGAGGAACTGCTCTGGTAGATACCCGTTCGCGCCGTGCACCTCTATGCCGTCGAAGCCTGCCTCCATCGCCATCTTCGCAGCGTTGCAGTAGTAATCAATCGTCCGTTTGATGTGGTCTTTGGTGAGTTCGATGGGTGGGAAGTCGGAGTATGCGACGGGGCCGGAGCACCCCGGCGGAGTCATTCGTGTATATGCTTCTGGTCCTTCCAATGGCGTCACGGATGGTCCGACACTGGGCATGCCGGTGAACGGTTGTAGGGTAGTGCGACCTGCCACCCCCAAGCACACCAGGATAACAGGGTGAAGGAACTCTTTATGATACTCCCGAGATCATTGCCGTTGCAGGCATGCTTTAGCGCTCCTTTTCGTAAGCACTCTACGAGTAGCTAACCCCCGATCCCCATCACCCCTTCCTCGCCAACACCCACAAGAACGGCGAATCTACAACATCCTGCCTAACTTCCCTAACCAGTACCTCCAACCCCGTCTCCTCCACCATCTTCACACTTCCTTCCTTCCCCCAACCACTCGAAAACATCCACCCCTTTTCACTCAACCACTTCTCCTCCACCGCGACTGGTTCCTCTATCTCCGCGAAGTTGGCTAGAGTCCACCAGGCTTTAGCTAGTTGCCTATCCGCTTTACGAGCTCCGTCTGCTCGGCACGAGGGAGATGGATGATAGAGTAAAAGCCGATGACAGCGTCAAGGCAGGAGGAAGGGAAGGAGAGGGTCATCATGTCGCCCTCAACAAGAGTTAGTTTCGATGCATAAGAAAGCAGATTTTCGCGAGCAAGGGCGACCTGTGTGGATGATAGGTTGTTTGCCGTGACGTGAATATTTGGCTTTGCGTGCTCAGGGAGAGTTCTGGTTCCCGGGATGCCCGCACCGCAGCCGAGCTCTTGAACGGAGGCAATTTCTTTGTTGGTAGAGCTGAGGAGGGAGAGCAGACGGGATAGGTAGTCGAGGCGGATAGGGTCGTGCTCTGTGACGAACTGCGTATTGTATTGGGTGGTGATGGCGTCGTACGAGAATTTGAGGCGGGCTTTGAGGTCTGAGGGGATGGCGGTGGAATCCATTACCTCCTACTGCTAATTTGAAGGTTTTGTGGAGGCGTATTATGGAAACTTGGTTGTGGAGAGGTCAAGCTGTGGTCGATTGGGAGTATATCAAAGAGAGTGCTTTTGGATTTGCAATTACCCCGTCAAAGTAATCAGCAATGAAAGTTGATGAGGGAAGATAGCACCCAAGAAGATCGCTGCCTAGAATGGAATATTAAGGGCAGAAGGGCAGAAGGGCTAATCCGAATCTGCGGTATGCGGCACTACCCAGGTAACACCCACTATCTTAGTTCGTATTTGCTGCGCTGCCTATACAGATTTACCGTACCTCTCCCGCCGCTGATGTTCTGCGCTGCATTGGATCTTTGCGCTATCAACGTAGGAATTTATGAGAGTGACACAGGAGGTGAGCTCCCGCTGCTTATGGGTGCGTATCTGATCCCAGATGGTTTTGCAGTGTCTTCATCAAGCGTCACATATAATACACTCGCCATGCATATAGTACAACTTTCAAGCACAGATCCAGCGCTCACTTGATCTTCTTGTTCTTCAGCTTGATCGTTTCCCCATTGACAAATATGCCCTTGCCCTTGTACGGCTCTGGTTTCCTCCACATCCGTATCCTTGCAGCAAACTGCATTACCACCTCTTTCTCCGGCCCTTCTAGCAACAGCCGCGTTGGCTGCGGCGTGCTCGCCTTTACCCCCTTGGGGATACCGAGCTCGACAGGGTGAGAGTATCCGACCTTCAGGTTTACGAATTGCTGGCCGGGGTATTCGGGCTCGACGGTGGTGGCGGTGGGCTCGACTGAGGCACGGTAGCCGACGCCGACGAGACGGAGGATGGCGGAGTGGCCTTCGCTGACGCCGAGGATGTGGTTCTGGAGGTAGGCGCGCGTTGTCCCTAGCCTGTGTTAGCTCCCGTAGCAGCTGAGCCCAATTGCAAGATGCATACCCCACATAGCTCTCTGCTTCGCGTCCGAAGAGTCCTGCACCGAGAGCGTTGGGCCGGCTAGAGAGGGATCTTGATTGATGTTCACGTAGGAAGGAACCTCAATTGACAGCTCCCCTAGCGGCCCTTTGATCTGCACCGTTGACATTGACTGCACTCGCGCTCCCCTCCCGCGCGCCGACGGCGCAATCACTCTGAATGACACCCCAGGCGGTACTGACAGCGGCGCGGATCCGATCTTAGATTGGCATGGTGAGGTTGTTGCGAAACTTCTGCAGGCGACGGGTGCGTGGAAAGCCGGCAAAGCAAAGGGAGGGATTGACTCTGGTGCCTGGATTGATGCTGCTGCAAGGCGCTGAGCGCAGCGTCGGCGTGCGGGAGCGAACATGGTTGACCTTCTAGTTGCGGACGTGACGCCCAAGTTTTCTGGAGTGCATGCGAGACTCGAGCCTTACCTGCTTAGGTAAGCCGTCCGTCTGCCCAGGTGCTGTGCCGACGCCTGCTGGTCCCGTGCTCACGCGACGGATGCCTAACGCACCTGCCTGATTTCGCAGTCGAGTCAGCCGTTGTGGCCCGTGCACCCCGCGCGCAGTGCGCGCGCCCTCCACTATAAATTCCCCCACGCCTCACCAATCCTCCCACCACATTGTCCGTTCCCCTGCTGACAGCATCAGATCACTAGGATTTCGAGAAAACACACCATCTCGCTGCCGGGCTTCATAAAATCACCAGTCGTCAGCCCTCACTTGGGCTGAGCCGCGCACGCTTCAGTAACGGGTCCTCTCACCTCTACGCGACGTCAAACATAGAGTGTTGTCCTTATATCACTTCTTCTTCGAGCTTCTGTGGTCTCTAGGCAAGTCGTTGGTATATATGTTCACCTTTCCTATTCTTCTGACTTCTCTACCGCAATGTCTTTGACACAACTTCTGATCCCTACTAACATCTGTCTGGTTGACTGAAGAATCTCCGGGAGCTCGTCCTATTCGACCGTCGAGATGAGGTTCGGGATTGGAGCCGTTGCCTTTGCGGTCCTGACGGGATTGCATGTCGCCAAACCGGCCGTCCACAACCCATATCCGGGGACGACCAATTCTACTCAGAATCTCAATCTTGTCGACCTGCTACATAGCTCCTCTGTCGAGCACCAGAAGAACTACGTGCGAGCCATACAGATTCTCGAAAAGACAAACACGCAGCCAATATGTCAGCGACGGGCGGCAATGAACCTTATCAATGACTGTCGAGAACTTGAACAGCAACCCAACCACGATGACTCCAAGACCGAGGAGGCTCTGGAGTTCCAAAAGGATGCTTATGCCACGCGGCTTGCCGTCTGTGAGATCGACCGTGCCAAAGCCAGGATCCCAGATGCATGCTCCGTGGCTACACTCTCGTCGGAGGCCTGCCACCAGAAGCAAGGATGGCGCTTCTACCTCCAACGCCGTTCGCATAATTCGACGACGGAGTTATGCTACCCGCAAGCCAGTCCCAAGCAAGTCGCGGCCTGCATGAAAGCTCTACACGACAAGCCCCAAGACTGGACGTCTTTCAGCAACGCTCGCCAGAATGCGTTGACCATGTGCCAAGCCAGCAGGGATGCCATGGAGAGGGAGAAGACCCTGAGCCAATACAAGAGCCTATCGGATGCCATCGAGCACATGTCACAAGCCTTGTTCAAGGCCATGAAGAATTTTCATGAGGAGAGATTGAACCAAGAGAGGTTTGCCGAGCAAGTCAAATTGACCGAAGAGGAGACGTTCCAAGCCGTCCGAAGGGTGCTCTCCAGTGTAGGCGATCTTGGTGCATATGTTGAGGCGTTGACATCCGAGACCGTCCTTCTCCGATCTCGCGTCAATGCAACTTTCGCAAATGCAAGAGAAAATGTGATGGCGGTTTACAAAGATCTGGCCAAAGCGGGTTTGGAGTTCGCAAAAGCAAAGGACGTAGAGCTCTACGGAAAGCTTCAGCAAGCTATCGACGAGATCGGCTCTCTCAAGGATTTAGTCGATGAGATCAAGGACAAAGCGGCCGACACGGTCGTCACCCTTCATGAGGCAAAAGAGGACGCCAATGCGGTGGTACAAAGCGTCCGTACCACCCACCAGCTAGTCGACGCCATATTCCAGCGTCTCAATACGGCCATGGCAATAATGGACCGTGTCGAGAACATGATACGCACTTACATATTCACGATCGCATGGACCATCACCTTCGTCGGTTCCTGGGCAACGTACAGCAGAATCGCTGGGTGGTTCACCCTAGTGTCCGGCGCAGTCTTCATGGTTCAAACTGCCGAATTCTGGAAGCAGCTCGACCTCGTCGTAGAAGCCTCTCGCTTATTCGTTGTTGCGCTTATGGACGGTTCGCCTGACGCCGTAATCGGGACAATCGTCGTCAACAGTATTCTCATCTTCTGCTATTGGAGACCGATTGCAGCGACTATCCACACACTCTTCGGCGCCTTTGTCTATCATGGTACCACCACCTCCCGGGTCGTTAGCGATTACACCCGACTGCTTGCAAGGGCTAGCCAGCCACTCTTCGGTGGACTTCTCTTTCCTATCACCGCTATCTCTCGAGCCATTGGCGATTACCTCGGACTATCACGTCGTCACGGCGGGGCGCTCCCCCATTTAGTTCAAACTCCTGTCCCTCCAGCAACCTCCTTCGCTGAGGTGACGTCCAATCGACTTAGGAGCTCTCGACGCGCTCAGTCAGAGGGTCTCTAATTGCCTCCAACCTGCTCAACATGTACTTCGGCATGTCCAACTTTGATCAGCAGTCCCTACTTCGACATGCTTCGCGCCTATGTCGAATACCCACCGGTAGACGAGTGGACGATGTACGATATGTACCACTATCTAACGACCTTTCTTTTTCCTTCCTATGGGCGGCGCAACGAATCGATGGCGTCTATACCTTCGACGAATATACCCCTTTTTCGATACCGCATGGGTGGCGCTCGGAGCTTATGTTTCGTCGTGGATTCCTATCTTTCTCTGTACGCGGTGAAGGTATCGGCGGAACAACTTTATGCATGCTTTTTTCGTGTGGACTTCCATGTACGATATGTCCTTGGGCGAGGGCTATCATTTCTGAACGAGGTTATTAGCCATGGGCCATTTCACGGTATCTAGTGGTGCATATGGGAGGCGTTCTCCAGGGAGATGTACTATGTGGCTGGCGAAGGGTGCTTACATGCTTTTCTTCATCGTGTGCTTTTCATAGAACAAAGATTCTTCATCACCAAGCTTGTAATGTCGTGAAGTGATTGCATCAAATATATTGGAACCATATGTGCGCATCTGCCACGCTCGCTGAGCGCCTTCAGAGTATGTTATCATCACGTACGCCATACGGGCGGCGATGCCGCGTCTCCGCCTAAGTTTACAAGGCTGAAGGCATCCATGTTGGGTTTTCCACATCGGGCTGGTGGCGGCTACGCTGCGGTTCTCTGCTGTCCCCTTCATCTATGCTTCACTGGCTGAAGGCCTCCGGGCTGACTTATCCCAACTACACTTTGAGGTGGCGATGCTGTGCTGTGCTGTGCTATCATCTCTGCTTGCGCTAAAGCTGTTGAAGCTTCTAGGTTGACATATCCCACGCAAAGACTCCTATAAGGCGGTGATGCATTTCTTACGCGCTGGTGAATGGCTATGAAATATCAAATAGCCACCCTTGGCTCCCGATTCTGCTAGAGCCGTACCGCAACACCCATTGCTGATATCCCACGCTTTTGATGCCAACCAGACTAAACAGGGAAACAGAAGGGAAACACAGGTAGCAATTACTCAGCATCATCCGGAAGTTCCTCGATACGCCCGGATCTGTAAGCTTCCTCCACGGGATTCTTGACGTCCACTACGCCTGTTGCTTTGAGCCTAGCACGCCGTTAGTTCTAGCCACGGTCCCGGAGTTGAGACATATTTGCGTACCGTTCGAATAGCACAAACAACCTCTCCGCCTCCCTCTCCTTCTCTTCCTCCGTCATCGGCAGACCTTGGACCGGCTCCTCGGCATCTAGCCTCTGCCCAGTGATAGGATTCACCGGTATACCCTTGTCCGAGTTCGCTGTTGCATGTGCTTCCATCGCATTCTCCGGCATCTGGATGTTATTGCTGAGCAGGAAGCCTGAGGCGAATCCGTAGCCGACGTTCTGCACAAATTTGCTGGCGTCCTTGCCGGACAGCTCAAACATCATGGAGGATATGGAGCCACGGAGCGAAGGCGTCATGGCGGAGGTGGAGAGGCGGAGCAGGCGCGCGGAGAGTGTGTCGGATTGGCCGAGCGGGCGCGAGCGCTCTTCGTCTGTGGGGAGGAGGAGCCATTCCATGTATTTCCTCACGCTTTCGGGAGCTATTTCGTAGATGCGGCGGATGAGGGTGAGTACCGGGGCGATGGTGTCGTCGAGCTCTCGCTCGGAGTATGCGACAATGGCGTTGTCGAGGATGTTGATGAGGTGTTCGGCGTTACACTTTGCATCGATTTTCGGGAACACGGCGTTCATGCCCAGGAACTTGATTTGCTGCCCTTTTTTGTCTTCGAGATCGAGGTTTATGAGGGCATTGATGAGGTAGTTGACGGGCGCTTGGAGAGGTGGGCTTGGGATCTTCCGCCGGATGAGGATCTTGAAGATGTGTGGTATGGATTGGGAGAAATGTTCGCTCAGGTCGGGGTAGAAGTGTGTTATGTTGAAGAGGAGTTTGAGGGTCTCGGAAAGTGCCATGAGGTCCATGGGGTTGGTGTGCATTTGCGAGGCGCGTTTTGCGGACTTGGAGTATCGCTTTGCGTGGCGAGAGAGGGCGAGGTTTATGTTATCTGCGAGCTGGTTTTCACGAACGAGTTTGTCGTAGTCGAGATTTGTGTCGTAGGTCATGAGGAAGAGGATGCGGGAGAGCAGGAACTCGTCGTCGATGTTTTCGCTCTGCTCTGCAATTAGCGGGTTTTCAGGCGCTGTGGTAGATGTCGGCTTTCCCTCAGCTTATCCGCCGCTTTCGGGCCATATCCCAAGTCTACCAGTATCTGGCGCGTCTTCTGCTGGAGGAGGAGGGCGTTGGCGATACATCGGAGCGCTTCTTGCGAGACCTGCACATGGCTCTCGTCGAAGGCATAGCGGCATAATGTTCGAATGCCCTGCGGCGATGCTGCATCAGCCTATGCCTCAGAGTTACGGGAAACGCGCGCGACGTACGTCCTCTGTGAATATAGGGTCCGCATCCTCGACCGCCCGGCCGTGTACTTTGAGCCGCTCGAGCAGCTGCTTCCTGTCTGTCCAGCCTGTCAGCAGCAGGCATTAGCAGGTCTATTCGAAGGAGCTCGTACGATTCGCAGGCAGCTTCTTCGCGTCGAGGTCGGCTTTCAGTTCGGCGAGGATATTGGTGACTTCTCCGAGCTTTGCTGCGAGGGGTCAGCATGCCGATTCAGGTCCCCAGAAGCGTGGCAAGGACGAACCTTTTCCGCCGCGCGGCTTGGACTCTTGCCTGGACAACATCATTGCTGAAGAATGAGCGAAGAATGGTCGGTGGTGAGGCGTTGGACTGCGGGCGTCACTTGAAAGAAGCACGCAGGGCGCCGGTGCAGGTTGCGGAGGACCCCGCGTCGTCCCGAGCGTTCGCGGAGGAGGGACGCCCTAACCATCATGACCGGGGACGTTTCACGGGGACGTTTCACGGGGACTACATGTCAGCTCCGGAAAGGAGCAGAGATGCGTGGACTACAATTCTAGGGGCCTTGGAAGTAAACATAGTCGCTGCGGCATGTGATGGCGCTGCACCTACGCGAACCCTGTCGCGTCTGCCACTCATTGCTTGCGCATAACGGTACGAGGGAGAACGAAGAGCCACCTGGGAGACGGGATGAGACGATATCTTGCGCGTGCGTAGTCCGCCTTGGAGAATGTATTGGGGGTGTCTATTGATATGGTCGCGCTTCTGGGATCGCGTCGTCTACACGGGCCTAGAGCGGACATCCAGTTGATGAATACTATGACCGGATGGAAGACAGGCGCAGGCAACGGAATCACAAAAGAGTGACCGGGACAATGCGTGAGCGACAAGCACTCAAGGCCTACACGTGATGCACTTCACGGGAACGCGACCGTGGACGCGACGTGCTTTGGCGAACCCAGCCATTCGAACGCGGCCAGGGTGTATACCTCGACCATGCCCGCCCTTCTACGCTCCCAATTCACGGCCACTCCAACCGCAATGCGAGCGCCCATTTCTTCCGTTGTTGCTTGTTTCCAGTAATTGTTCCCAGCATAGCCATGGTGTTTTCCACGTCCAAGCTCCAGTCTCTTTCCATCCGCCCGCCAACGCCTCCAAAAGATCTCCAGGACAACGACCACGAAATCCTCGACTTTCTAGACGACCCCTTCGGCACCAAGGCCCCCGTCGCGAAGGTCATCGCGGCCAAATCGCTCCTGAACACGCCTGAGCAGTCGCCGTCGTCGGGGAGCGACCTCTCCTCGAGCTCGACCAGGAGAAAGAAGCGGGTCAACTTCGAGCTGCAGATATGCACCATACCCGAAGGCTCTCCCACCGAACAGCTTTGGACCCCTCGCCATAGCTCGCCGCTTCGCCCGCTGCCTCAGACACGCGTCTCCAAGCCATTGAAGTCGATCCTCAAGCCCTGCGACGCAACATCTACCCCACCTGCAGCTGACGGGGGCGCTGCTGCATACCAGTTCAAGTCGTTCGCCGAAATGCTCGAGTCTATAGTGAAGCAGCTGGCTTCACCGGCCCGGTCTTCGAGGTTCGATGCCTACCATTCGTTGCAGCGGACCATGCAAGCCTACGAGAAGATACCAGACACGCAGGCCTTGGTGGACAAGATGGGCCTCTTGATGCAGTTCATACGGCGGGATATGCAGGCTATTGGGGTCAACGGTACAGGGCTGGACTCGCAGCTCATCGGGCAGGCGCTGAAGTTCCTCATGGCTCTCGTCCGCATACCTGCGGTACGATCGGCTATGGACGACGACTTCTGCTCGTTCATTGTCGACCGCACCATCCAAGTCGCCGCAGATGCCGAAATGCCGAAGACCATAGTGAACACGCACCTTGCCCTGCTCATGCAGCAGAATTTCCGACCCAAGACCATGACCATCGCGCGCGTGGAGAGGATTCTAGATGTGCTCGACGGCATCCACGAGCGCGTCTCTGGCTATTCCGTTCTCGCCTACCGTATCCGGATCTACAGGAAGTTCATCCAGCAACGACCCGACATAATGACCAAGCACACAGAACGATGGTTCAAGAACACTGCCAAAGCTCTGCTTGCAGGCCAGAAGGATATCAATCAGAGCGCGCTGGACACGGCCCTCTCAGCAGCGAAAGCCATTGGTACTGACCGACACGTGGTAAAATCGGTTCTCTCCATCCTGAATCGTCAGAAGAGTGATGGAGAGACCTTCGCGAACGTCATGGCGAAAGAGCTTGAGAAGATGCTAGGCTCCGAAAACCCAGTCATAGTACCTCAGATCTGGTCCGCTGTGACTTCCTTGCTGCTGGGCTCCTTGCAAGGCCATATGTTCATTGCCATGGGCGATTGGCTCAAGGTTTTCGAGAAATGCCTTTCTTCGCCCAACGATCTCGTCAAACTCCACACCAACATCGCCTTTGGGTTTCTTCTTTACACGGTAAACATTTCAGAGGACACACCCGGCAACTGGTCCAAAATGTTTGCGAGCATACCTCTGCACCAACTGCAGCGGCGGGGTCCATGGAAGAAAACTGAGCGGGAAGCTGCGACTTCGGGCTATTTCACTCTGCTCTATTACGCGTTTCGACCTCTTGCATCTCAGAAGCAGCTCGACCGATACTGGACCCAGTTTGTCGCCGACTTCTGGAATCCTCTAGTGCATTCGTCGTCTCTGACGCACGCATTTGCGGCCTGCCGTGTCGTCTCTGCGCTTCTCCAGGGTTCTAGGAAGCCTTGGAACGAACAGCGAGCTCTTGATCTCAGACCTCATGCCATGGTCCAGCGCGAAGAACTACCACTGCTGGATCCAAAATGGGTTCGAAAGTCATTGTCACTGGTCCTCAAGTTTGTCGAAACACTCCTAGACGCTACTCCATGGGCCCCAGATGAGATTAAGGACGAACCAGTGAAGACAATGTGGTTGTCTCTCCTAAACTCCTTGATCGAAGCAAGCAGCAAAGAAGTGATGGCCTCAACCGAGTCGAAGGATGCCATGGCTCACATTGTCAACCTGTTGCGCAGAGTGTGGGACCGACACGCAGCACAACTGGCACTTTCTCAGCAGACGGAAGACAATTGGGCAGATAAATTCTGCTTCCTGCTAGAAACCGTTGTTCAAAAGCTGGGGGCGCTCCATTTTGCAGACAAATGTCTCATGCGGAATGGTGAGGATGAATTTGAAGTCGCCTCCACGCCCTCTCATCGATCCCGCCAACAAGGACCTCGGATCTCCCCTCTCCTTTATTTTGTCGATCTACTTGTCAATCAGTCCGAGGGAAAGCTTTCTGACTCCGTGCGACTGCGAGCTATGAAGCTGCTCATTGAACCTTGCTTGGAGTCTCAGAACACCCGCCTAAGCAGGCTCGAGCTGCTTCGGGACTGTTCTGCTGTTGTGGACCCCTCATCAAGAGCCATGGTCACTTTCAACTTCTGGGCCCAAATCGCCAACCTAACGAAAGCGTGTATTCAGGAGCAGCCATCCGATTCCAATGAGCGCGTGTCGCGTCAGCTTGGAAGGGAATATGACGTGATTGTTGAGATCCTCTCCTCAGGCTCCTCCTACCTTCTGAACCGTCCTCGCGGCCAAGAAGTTTTGGTGTCCTTCGCAGATACCGTACGACGCGAAGCCGGCGAGGGTGCACTCGTTCTCGCTGTGATCGAGAAAGTCTCTGAGTGCGTCGTTAACCGGGCTCCCGAAGAGGACAAGGCTGCCTGTCTGCCCTTCGTAAGCATACTACTCAGGAACCGACCTAAGATCATCGTCCGACGGACCATTGAGCAAGGGCGACAGAATCTGTGGCCATCATCACCCAACCCAGGGCGAAACCCGGACTTTGATCCCTACAACCACCTCTACGCCGCTGTCGTATCCGTCAGCGCAGCAGCTTATCGGGAGTGTGGCGGAGAAGATATCGATAAGGTCCGAGACTTACTGTCGGCGATGGTAAACTCTATTCACCAATGTCCCATTGCTCTGCTTGCTGTCTACTTGCGGAAGATCCAGGAAGCGATACGTCTTTGGGTTGAGGACCCAGATCGGAAACTGCAGAAGAAGGACGAACAGATCAAGGTCCTACACCTCCAGGTAGGTGAACCCCAGCCCAAATAGTTTGTATCTACTACTGACGCTGTGCAGGTTGTCTCTCTGTGGAAGGAAGTGTGTGCTGCAATTGAGAGACTACCTCGGAGGGATAGCCAGATCCTCCTGCATCTGGAATCCTTGATCACCCCTGGCTTCCTGAGCCGGCGACGCGGTATAGTTAACATGTCCGTTGCCACTTGGAACGCGACTTTTGGCAAGGAAGAAACTCTGTCATATCCGGCGCGGCTTGAAGAAATCCTGAGGCGACTTCGAAACACGGTCGAGCTATCGCTTCCCTCCTTGGAGGTTCGGGATGAGGGCGCTGTAAGCGCTGGAACTCTATCGATCTACAACAATGCTAATGATGAAAGCAGACTACTGAACCTTCCTTCTACGACTCGGACGATAGTGCGGTGGTCTCTGGTCACCATCTGCAAAGTCCACGTGTGAAGGAATCACCCTTCAAGATTGTCAAGTCCACTCGCAAATCTCGCTCTCCAGCGCTCTCAAGCACAAGTAGCAGAAGGATAGCGCCTCGCCCAACCCCTAAGGTCCGCCTTCGACACGACAACTCACAGATACAGTTTGAACCAATTGTCTCCTCGCCAACTGATCCCTTCAACCAAGAGTCTCAGATCTTAACCGAACGACAGAAGGAGATGATTGAACGGCAAGGGATAACCAGGAGCCTCTTCGCAAACATGGGCTCTACTTCTTCGCCTTCGCGTCCAGAAGCAGCTATGTCCATGCCGTCTCCTCTGGAACTGCACTCAGATCCTCTGAGCGTCGATGACTTGCCGACCGAGAAGTCCCGAACTCCTCTGAAGACCTTACCCTCTTTGGGTCCCATGGACGTCTTCCTCGGATCTTCACCAACGCCCCAGGCGCGCAATCGCAGCCAGCAGGTTGTTAGCGATGGCACCAGCGTGGCTACACCAACCGCCATGCGTACGGTCCGACTCCAACCCCATGCGGAAGAGCTTGGTTCTTCGCCACCTAGGTTTCAAAGAGACCCGGATGCCCAGGCCGCGGCTACCAAGAGCAACGATACTACTGAGAACATCGTGAGCGACAGTTTTGAATACAGACAGCCCGAGAGATCTTATTCTATCTCGTTTGATGATGGAACTACTGCCAACGAACATGTATTGTCTAGCGTCCTTGGCGCCGATACACCGGGCAAGGAAGCCGTCCAGGACGTGTTCACATCCGAGGCCGACGCGTCCGAGATGCCAAGCTCAACGATTGACTTGCAGCTCACGGCTCAAATTGATGCGGACATCCAGGCTCAGATGAAAGCTGTCGCCAACAGACAGTCCGAGGATGCAGTCGGAGAATCTGAAAGCGTCTTTGTTGATGCAGCTTCTCATCAGCTGCCAGAAAAGACTGTTGAATTTCATGCTAGAAGTGACACGGAAGTCGATGATACACAACCTCTCCTGCCGGCCCCTGTTGAGAAGCAACCTTTGGCATCCGGAACCAGCAGCACAAGTCGAGTGGGCGACTCTTTCTCAAGCCAAGTGGCCGAGACTGAGACCTCACAAATCCAACAGCTTCGCCGCTCCGCCCGACACTCGGCAACTTCTAGCCTCTCCCGGCCGGCCAGCGTAAAGAAACGTCGAGGTTCTACGGGTCGTGGCCTAGGCAGGCCCAAGAAGATCAAGGCAGAAGATGCCGAAGAAGAGCCTGTGCGATCACTATCACAGTCTATTCCAGACGCCGATGGTATGTTTGACAACATTGTCGTCGCATCACCGGCGGCCAGCCAGGCTCCCACAAGGAAGACTAGGAGCAGCTCGCAAGCCCGGATTGACAGTGACGTCGTTGTTCCGGAAACGACTCGGAAGCGAGGTGTCCGCCGTTCAGCCTCACTTCTGAGCCATGTCGAAACTCATTCACAAGATGTCGTAGTCGACGATACACCAGCACTCAAGAGGGCCCGACGAAGCAACAACCAAGACGTCAGCGAAGCGAAGACGTCGCCGCCCAAGGAATCTCGAGCTGCACAGGTCAAGCGCCTCAAGCACGTCCGAGTTACGCCGAAGCGTTCCTTCGAAGCCTCGTCATCCGTTCGTGCCTCCTCGGCTGCAGCCGGGGAGAAACGAAACGCAGGTCAGCAGGCAGCTGGCGAGCCCGTGCCTCCCGTGGGCGAGCAGAATGCAAATGTTGCACAGCAGCCGGTGGCAGCCGCTCGTGAAACGGAACATTCGCAGCAGGCATCTGCCGTGAGCACGCCGAGCCGTTCCTTCACTGAGCGCGTCATTCTCACACCGCGGAGCATTATCAATCAGCTCAAGCACCTAAAGGATGCCTTGTTTAGGAGCTCGCAGCTAGTGCTAGGCAGGCAGGAGGAAAGGGAGATCGACGACGCGCTGTTCGACATCAGGCGCGAAGTGCACGCCGCAGGACGCCGCGGAGAGCACGATCAGTAAGCTAGTGGTATTGCTCAATGTATTGAAGACTGGAGGGACTTGGATTACAAAATGCGGTGGATCGTGATACCGTTGGTTATCTCAAGTTTGCATCATCCGATTCCCGTGCATACTGAATTGGTGAGCTAGGCGTAGTGTAGCGATATGCTATCACGGAAAGGACCAGCCGCAGCCATCTCTAGAAGGAAGCATCTTTTCCGATACTCGGCCTGCTTTGATGTTTGTCTGCCACCAGTTGCAATTAGCCATGGTGGATACGAATGCGGCTTGATATGTGAGATATCTGAGTTCTATTTGCGGCTCCGATCCAATGGCCTTGCATCGGACCGCTTAGGCGAATGCAAGCCAGGGCTTCACCCGCTTCACCTGCTGCACCTGAAACGTTAGCGTTTCAGAAGAGGTTGCTGGGCCGGGAGAGCCCTGGAGAGCCTGTTGTCACCTGTGGTGGGGCAATGACTACCCCTCCTCCCGCCACTTTTTCTGACCGTGCCTACCCAGGTACTTCGCCGCCGTCTACTACTGTGATATATTGACCCTAATTGCCTCCTCTCGAGCATCTCCAAACATGGTCGACCGCGCCAACCGTCCGTCCGCGCTACACGCCCCGTCCGCCGCTGCCCCAGAAGCTCAGGTCGACATCGTGGGAACCGGCGCAAGCTCAAAGGTCATTGCGACGCTGCCGTCGGGTGAGAGCGTAGAGGTGCTGCTGTATGGCGCTACGGTCGTTAGCTGGAAAAGCAACGGTGGGAAGACGGAGAACCTGTGGTTGAGTGAGAAGGCGGCGCTTGATGGGTCGAAGGCTGTGAGGGGTGGCATTCCGGTTGTGTTTCCGGTGAGTCTGCTCCTCGGTCGCTGGGCCAGAAGGCTCGAGATGCTGTCTGGAATACTGTAGAGCCCTGGAGGAAGAATTGGATTTAGCGTCTGAGTATGCTGCTAACCCTGTTACGCCCAGGTCTTCGGTCCTCCCCCCAAGTCTGGCCATCCCACGTCGTCCCTCCCACAGCACGGCTTCGCCCGGACATCGCGCTGGGAATTCCTGGGCAAGTCGACCTCTGAAGACGCCCTCGACTCCCAATCCGTCAAGCTCGACTTCGGTCTCTACAGCTCAGGGCTCGCCGAGGAGGCGCGCAGAGCATGGCCGCTTGACTTCGGTCTCGTATACAGCGTCACGCTGTCGAAAGACAGCCTGCAGACGGTAGTCAATGTGCGCAACGAGGGTAACAAGAGTTTCGAGTTCCAGTTCCTGCTACACACGTATCTGAAGGTCAAGGTACGATTTCCAGGATTCCCATGGCGGGATCTGCGCTGACACGGCTTGATTTAGGATATCTCGAAAGTCGCCATCAACGGCCTCCTCGGCGTCACATACATTGACAAGGTGCTCAACGCAAGCACGCACCAGCAGTCCGAATCCTCGCTCCACATCACCGGCGAGATCGACCGCGTCTACGGCTCGATCCCGCAAGATACCACATCCGTAGTTGAGGACGGCACCTCGCGTTTCGACGTCGTGCGGGACAATCTGCAGGATACGGTGATTTGGAACCCGTGGATTGAGAAGGCGAAGGCTATGGGTGATTTCTCGCCTGATGATGGGTACAAGAATATGGTATGCGTCGAGGTCGGAGCGGTGAAGGGATGGCAGAAGCTGGAGAAGGGAGAGGTGTTTGAAGGTGGCCAGACGATTAAGAGCTTGCTCTAAGGAAAGGATAGGCGAAGCTTTAGGGGGCTATGAATTTGGATATCACGTTAGACTAAGGTTGGCAGTGACCAGGCCTATCCTCGCTTGGATGAGAGGATGTATCGGCAGGATAGCGGCCATGCAATGATGCCAACAAACAGAATGAATACAGACGAAGATACCTCATGTACCTTCAGTAGCCACCAAAGCCTTTCTCCCGTCATCACGCCCGAATCCTTCCCGAGGTCCACAGTACCTAGGTAAGGAAGAAGCCAGCACGTGATGCGTATTTGTAAGCAGCCGCCGTACTTCTGTGCTTCCAAGGTTTATATCCGCTGAAGCCTCCGAAATGTTACGAAGGGAAACCACGGAATCCATTCAAAAAAGATGCCTCCCAGAACAAATGCATGCTCAATATGCCGCAAGAAGCGCATCAAATGCGACGCAACGCTCCCGCAATGCCTCATGTGCATTCGCTTCGGCCGCCAATGCCCGGGACCGACGTCAGGCCCTGTCTTCGTCGACATGACCTCTTACGCCTCAAAGAAAAAGAAGGCGAAACGGAGTCGCAGAGAATTAGATCTGGCTCCGGGGTGCTGGTCCCCCAAATCATCCGGAATTGGACTTATACTCCCTCCTGAACTCGCGTTCGGCAAGGCAATGCAGATCTCGCAGAGGAATACCCTGAACGAGGCTTTCTTCGGAAACTTCCTACTGTATTTTACATCTACGGGAGAAGAGAAGGATCTACAGAACCGAATGACCTGGCTGCATCGACTCCCCGCTTTGTCCACGGATGGGACGAATAGCGCGCTCACGCTTGCGCTGCGGGCTACTGCGTCTGCGTACTGCGGCGTGGAAACGTCGAACATTGCGCTCCTCCAGCAGGCGTGCAAGCTGTACGGCCAAGCGTTGCACATGCACTCGCAGCTCTTGCGCTCCAAAAGGGACGTCACAGTACATATGGTGTCCACCTCCGTGCTGCTCAGCCTCTTCGAAGCAATGCAGGCCACAACTGCCGACGCATACCGCGCGCACATCAACGGCGCTGCTAAAATGATCGAAGTAACAGGCCCGGGGGAATGCCTAGAAGGCGTGCTCTGCCAGTTATTCTTCCATATACGGACGCAGATGACGTTTGTGTATTTGACGACGAGGAGCGGGGATGAGAGCAATGTGTGTGTGAGGAGGATCTTGGAAGGCACGTTGAGTTATAGAAAGTTGCCGGTTTTTCAGAAGCTGACGGGGAGCGTGAGTCGGTTGGCTGAGTGTTATGTGGGGTTGGAGGAGGAAGAGGAAGGAGAGGGTGGGAAGCAGATGAAGATTGGGTTGGGAAGTTATGTGGAGATGAAGAGCGAAGTCGACGCCTTGTGGCTTGAATACAGAGAGATGGCGGAGAAGAAGGGCGAGCAGCTCTTCTGGAAATCCTCTGCTGGCACCACTGAATACCGCGACGCTTTCACAGCCCTCTGCGTCGCGTACTTTGCTTCCGCTCGCGTCCTCCTCTCCATCCTGGCGCCTCGTCTCGCAGCGACATACCTGGATTTCATAGATTACTACGGAATGATCCTGGATGCAGCGGCGTTTCTGAGGACGAGCACGATTGGATGTGCGTATATGCGTATGGCAGCGCCGCTGTACCTTGTGGCGCTACATGGGAAGACGGTGGGGCAGAGAGATATAGCGGTGGAGATCTTCGAAGAGTGGAGACTGGGGAGTATGGGCGGGATTAGCAAACTGGCGCTGGAGAGGATATATGCTAGTAAGATGCTGGAACAAAGAACTGATGATCCACCGAAGGGCGGGATGGCAACAGTTGGATGATAGAATAGGACAAACAAACTTCATTGATACACTCATGCTCTGAGCTTCATGCAGAAGGCTATCATGAGCCGGTGGGCATACCGAGGTACCTAGGTACCTAGGTACCCAGGTGGGGGCCGAGAAGGCCACTCACAGGGCGTGAACTGCTGCTGCAGATTGCTCAGCCTGGGATCTCATCGCATCGATGATCCAAACAGAGGCGCAAGGAAATGACGAGTGGGAAGACAACATTTACGCCACGGAACGGGTGGTGCGTGCTCTGAGATGCGGAATGGCCTGTTTCGGGTGACTCTGCCTGCTGTGCCGCCGCGTGAAAGCATCCCCCTGCTTCTGTCACCGGACTGCTGCCCGCCCGCCCACCACAACAAACAAGACCATGCGCAGCAGCATCCGTGAAGCAATGACCCACCCCCTTCGCGACTGTCGCTGCCGTCGCGCGAAAGGCTCGAGCACCTTCGAGAGCTTTCCAACACCCCGCAACTCCCCCGCATAACACCGGGCAGCTGTAGCTCCCCGCCGCAACCATGGACGACCGCGAGCAGCAGCGGAGCATGTCGCTAGTGCCCTACCAGCCAGCCGAGTCGCGAGAGATTGTACTGTACGTCTTACTGTCCTCCGTCGCCTAACGAGAGCCATTGCACCGATGCTGACCCTTCGCGCAGGCGTCACGGTTCGGCCGTCGTGGTCTACGATCAGCGCTCCAAGCAACTCTCCCTGCGCGATGCCTCCCACTCCACCGCCGTCGAAGCGACGTCCTGTCCGTACTGCCACCGACCGTACCATGAGAGCCCGCCCCATGACGCCGACGAGAGCGACGAGCACGACCATGGAGGTATCTCGGAGCCGGAGGCCGGCTTCGTCAACCCAGGCTACTTCCAGATGCTGCGGCGCAGCCAGCCGGGCTCAGCTGAAGTGTCGCGGCCACCATCGCCGCACAAACAGCTAGCACCAGCACCGATACGGGATACACATGGCGCGCTGCACGCTCCGGAGGGTGCCGAGTTTGTGGGTAGTACGCCCGTGCCGCCGAAGCATCATGGAATATCCACGCACGCCTTCAGCCCGAACTACTTCAAGACCTTCTTTGTGGAAGAGCGCGAGCTGGGAAGAGGAGGAAAGGGCGTCGTGATTCTAGTGAGGCATGTCCTGGATGGGGTGAACCTTGGTCGGTTTGCATGCAAGCGAGTGCCTGTCGGCGATGATCACGAATGGCTGGAGAAGGTCTTGATCGAGGTGCAGCTGCTGCAGCACCTATCGCACCAGAACCTGGTGTCATACCGCCACGTTTGGCTCGAAGACTACCAGATATCGACCTTCGGTCCCAGCGTCCCTTGCGCCTTCATCTTACAGCAATACTGCAATGGTGGGGACCTCCAGAGCTACGTCTTGGGCAACACTAAGACGACATTCACAAAAGAGCAGATGAAAGAGCGATTGAGGAGGCGATCGAAAGGACAGCTGGATGATCCGCACGATTTGCAAAGCGCACGCAAAATGCACTTCGAAGAGATTATCTCGTTCTTCAAGGACATCACATCCGGACTGAACCACCTGCACGCTAACGGGTACATACACCGAGATCTCAAGCCGAGCAATTGCTTGCTGCACAATACTGGCCTGAAAGTGCGGGTGCTGGTCAGCGATTTTGGGGAGGTGCAGGTTGCGAATGTGGCCAGAAAGTCGACAGGCGCTACTGGGACGATATCATACTGTGCGCCTGAGGTACTGCGGCATGTCGCGCCGAATGGTCCGCTGGGCAACTTCACCACCAAGTCTGACATCTTCTCACTCGGCATGATTGTCTACTTCATGTGCTTCGCACGGCTGCCGTACCGAAATGCAGATGGCATCGACGAGGACAAGGAGGACCTAGAGAAGCTTCGAGAAGAGATCTCGGCATGGGTTGGCTTCGATGATGAGAGGAGAGTGCGGTCTGATCTCCCGGAGAAGCTCTACCGTTCCCTTAAGCATCTCCTCGCCCTGAACCCGGACGAGCGGCCTACGACAGAGGAGATATTGCACGCTCTGAAGTCGCCCTCCGTCCTCGATGAGTTCAGCGGATTTGCTGGGCCCTCCGGATTGGACGATATGGGCCCCAGGATTTCGAGAGCAGACACACCGAGCCCCGCCCCAGCACAGAACCATCGGAAGCGGAGCTCAGTCCACTACACCCGCCCGGGTCGATCAAAGCTGAGTGCAACTCATTCGGCAGAGCATCATTCGCCCAGTCCACCACCTCATCAACGGGCCGATGTAAGGTCACCATCGGAGGAAGGCTCGGTCATCCTACGGCCTCGGACGCTGGACAAAGGGAGCACAGGTCCACCTGAGCGTGACCACTCCCCTGAACGCTCGCCCCGTCTAATGCTCCCGCCTCCTCCTTCTCCAAATGGCCGTACCCGTCTCTACCATCTTCTACATAATCCCACATTCATCGGTGTTGCCAAGATATCCCTTTTCATTGCAAAAGTTATTTCCTTGTTCAGTCCGTGCCAGCCTTTTGCGGCGGATCCGTGGGTTGCGTATCCGCTGCTTTGTTTTGCTTCGCTGGACTTCTTGTTCGTAGGCGTTGGGTTTATGTTTCGGGGACAGCATTTGGGATTCGGTGGTCTGGGAGCATCGGTGCTGATTTTGGCACTGCATGTGGTCGTTGTGGCGTTGCTGCTGAGATGGGACAAGCTTTGTTTGAGGAGGGGCGTGGCTTGGGAGGGGATCTGAGCAGAGTGGAGGCGAGTTAGGGTAGAATAAAGACTTCGAATAGAGCTGTAAAAACTCGTGGAAAATGCAGTGAAGGCTTCAGGGCCCTTCAAGAGTGGTGGGTATGCACGGACGTGGCACGTGAACACGCATCCTCAACGAGGCTAGCGTCGGGCCGTTGTGTTGTTTACTCCGATGTTATTGCGTCTGCCCCAACACGTCGACTCCATCCGCATCTCCAATTCTTCATTGCACCTTCCGCTGCGCGCAGCAGGGCGCCCAATTGACCCTGGCTTGGACAGCAGCTTGGACAGCATCTTCTTGCTTCAACCATAATTACGGAGCATCTCTTTTCTATCCCCTAAACAACAACTTACGACGCGACACGACCGCATCTGCATCTCGGCTGTGAACAGCCTCGCCTGTGTCCAATGCAGTCCTCTCCTCCACAACGCGATGGGAAAGCGCGAGCAATGCGAGAGCTTTCCGCCAGCTTGCGTCACAATACCCCGCGACCCACCCCATCATATTCACCGCCGCCCAGCGACTCAAATCCCACGAAGCATTCGGGCTTTGGCTCGACTTCCGGCTTGTTCAACAACGAAGACGTCTTGGCGTCGACACAGCACCATATCGACGACACGGACGCGCTCCCTCAGTACTCACGCATGCGCTCTACGGCTAAGAAGTTCAAAACCTGGCAGATGCCCCGGTCCGAGCAACCCAATCCCGATACCTCAATGGTAAACAAAGAGTTCGGTGACTTCGACCACAGCCGGTCGGATGAGGAGGATGTGTCAATCGAGCAGGCACGCGGAGATCACCGCAGCAACCGAAGCACGCCTGGCAAAATAAGCTCTCGCGCGTTCGACAGCCTCTATGATATAACACCACCGACCGCCCGCTCACGGAAGTCCTATGCAGCCGAGACGGGAAGCCTCCGCCGCGACGCTCAGATCCGACGCGCCTCGCGCAACGATGTGGACATGACCGCGTCTCCTCGTCCTGCAAGCACGCGCAACTCGCCGGCATTGGCCGTGAATCCGGAACGCAAACGCACTTCACTCGCACAGCTACACGCCAGGGTTTCGGAAGACGAGTCCTCGTTCATAGAGGAACGCCCACCAACAATGACTATGAACAACACGAGGAGCACGCGGTGGGGCAACCCGCGAAGCAGGCAGACCTCTCTTCAGACGGATGGCGTCGCTGAGGCTTCTCCACGCGTTAATGCGGCATCCCGTTCGCGACCGGCCACCACACAGAACGCCACCGCGCAGTCATTCATACTACCCGATCTACCCAACCTTACCGAGCTCGTATCCGGCATTTTCGAAGACGGGACCCCAGTCTTCTCCAAAACTGCTGCTCCACGGTCACGATTCGCCGCACCCAATCGCGGTGGTACCGGAGGCCGCCAGCCGAATCACCTCCCGGTCGACAGCGTCCCGATACCCCAAGAAGAGAAGGCCATCTTTGCGGCGCTTCAGCTGTTGCAGGATAAAGTGGCCCAGATGGAGCACGAGCGGGCCGAGGCGGACAAGAAGATCGAGGAGCAAGAGCTGGAGCTCATTGAGCTGAGAGCCACCACCCAGGCACAGGAGAAGCTGCGGCGAAGCGACAGCGCGTTAGGCTCAACCGATGGCGAGGGTTCCGGGAAGGGGAGTTGGAAGGTTGAGAAGACGCGTAAGAAGGATGTTTTCTCATGTGATTGAAGGTGCTAATCCGCTGTTAGGACTTGACGCGACTGTACAGACCCTGCGTACGAAATTGGACCGTACCGAGCGTAAGATCGCAGTGATCGAGATCGAGAAGGAGAGGCTCGGCAGCGAGCGGGATAATATGGCTAGCCAGCTTGGTGTTGCGTTCCAGACCTGCGAGGAACTGAAGGTTGAGAAAGAGGCTTTGCGCGCCGAGAATGAAGCCCTGCGTCAAGAGATTGATTCTCTGCGGGCGGATAACGATGCACTGCATGACCAGTTGGAGCACGAGCAGGCCCACCACCGGGACGAGACGATCCAGCTACGCCGTCAACTTGATCAGACTGAGAATGTCACGCAGAGGGAGAATATTACCCTGCAGGCTGAGTTAGCTCGCGCCCACGCTCAGCATGACGAGCACACCCAACAGCTCGCCCGCAAAGATATTGAGCTTCGAAAGGCACGTCAACAGCAGGCCGAATATGCTAGGCTAAAAGCGGATCATGAAGCGCTCAAGTCACAATTGGCAGGCCTCAAAGCGAAGCGTGAAGAAGATCGTCGTCGCTGGTCCAACGAGGAAGCTGCATTGAAGGCCAGGGTCGAACGACGTGAGGAGACTATTCGTCACCTCGAAGATGTGCCGCAAGAACAGACCAATGATGCTATACGGCTAGACAACGAAAACCTTCGCCAGGAGCTTACACACCTAGCTACTCAACTTGAGGAGGACAACGAGCGATGGGCGAGGAAAGAGAGGGAATTGAAGCGAAAGATTGCGCAACGCGAGGGTGTGGTGGATATGACCCGCGAGATCCTTAGTATCCGCCAGGCAAACGGCCAGCAGACGAGCATTCCGGCACCCGCATCAGCGGACAAAGAGAACGGGGTTGAGGAGCCCATCCAACGAAAGCCGAGCTATCGAAGAGAGGACACCCGCACGCGTATCAAGAACCGTATCCAGGAGGAAGTCCGCAACAGCAGAGCGAATGCATCCTTCCAATCGAGCCACATCGAGAGCCCGCGGAAGTCATACACTGGAATCTCGAGGACTTCGCATCGCGCGTCTCTGCCCGCAGACCTTAGCCGCAGCGTATCAGCACCTGTTTCCCAGAAGAAGAATACCGAGGTCGGCAGCGATGTCGAGTCTACGACAGATCTCTCACTCGCGCCCCGTAGGACTCCCTACGTTATGCGGGGTGGTGTCTCAGGACAGCCCGCTTGCACTCCCATTCAGCCGCCTATCGATTTAGACTACACTGAGCTGAGCTTCATTGATAGCAACCAGATTGCTCAGCTTCGTCGCCAGCTAGAGGAAGAGCGAGCTGCTGCCCGTAACCGAGCTTCATCCGTTCCATTGGAGCGCACCACTCGGGACGACACTGTGCGTTCGCAGCGACAGGGTCGTGAGGATACTGTTCGTTCCGTCGCCTCTGCGAAGAGCAACCGCCAACCGTCTCTGCCTCGAAAGTCCTCCCTGAAGGACATCACGAAGACTAACCTTACCCGTTTCGAGGAAGACTTCACCGGCAATGTCTCTAACGCTGAGGCTGCAAACGTTGAGGCCACCCAGACCAAGGAGTCCGCCATTGATACTTCGATGCTTAGCAACACGAGCCGTCGTCGCCGCAGCGCTCCTACAGAGATGACTTCAGCTTTCATCGTTCCAGACATCAAGATCGACGCTAGCAAACAGACGACTACCAGGATCGAGCTGTCCCAGCAGATCACCAGTATGCACCATGACTCGAACTGCACCGTCTGTCGCCGCGAGAAGGAGAATGCATCTGACGATCCCCTCCGTGTGCCTAAGCTCATCCCCGTTTCCTCTCGCACAGCCGATGACGTCGACGCCACTCTCCGACCCGCTCGGTCACCCAAAGAAGCTCTCGCGCTCGTTGTGAAGGAGTTGCGAGATGAGCGTGCACACTTGCATATCGAGCTCGCTATCGTGCGCGCCATGTTCGAAGCCCATGATCCCAGCAAGGGGGCCCGGAAACACGACGACATGCTCCAAGGAATCCAGGAACTAGTCGACAAGATCGCCGCCAAGGACAAGCAGATTTATAACCTCTACGACGTGCTTGAGGAACAGCAGGACCACGACCTCACTGAGCAAGACGTCGAGGAGCATGCAGAACGGATTCGAGCCGAAAACGCGGAGTTGGAGAAGAAGACTCGCGAGAAGAAGGTCACGATTCAGAGCTTCGTGGGGAGTGAGGACCAGCATAGTGCGAGGTTTAGTGCGGATGGTGATGAGGAGGAACTGCCATGGGAGGGGTTCGAGGACACTGAGGAGCGGAATTTTACGGGTGATGCTAGCGCAAGGGTTAGCATGTACTAGTTTTGTTGTCTAGTCCGCAGGTTGCCTATGGGTGTCTTGGAGCCAGCTTTCAAAATCGGACGGCTAACGGCGTTGGTGATTCAAGATAATGGCGTTTTCACGGATGGCATGGCATTGTTATGAGCATTGGGTATGAGGAGTTTTCCACCTCTTTGTTCATTCTCATCTTTGCTCCCTTCATCACTTGTATTCCCCTTACTCTTCTTACTATATCACTTCTCTTCTCTTTCTCTGCGCTAAGCTTTCGAGCACTTTGTCTAGCTAGCGGCATCCTGCAACGTTGGTCTGGAGGCTTCGACTCACCTGAAGGGGTTTGAGTTGGCTGATGGGCTGGCTTTGTGGTTGAACCTACTAGCGGAGCGGCGCGCCGGAGCCGGGTGCGGATCGGGAGGGGATGGGCGATGGAGTGTGGGGGTGAGAATGGGTAGTGATCGAGTTGAATAAAGAGGAGCTTTATCTCAACTTTTGGATAGCCGTTTGACACATATTGAAAGCCCTATCCAATGAACAGTCCTCGTTTTATCTCGCTATTGTCAGTGACATTGTCATTCGAGAAAGGCAACGTCAACTTTTCCGCTTCCGCTTCCGCTCCCGCTCCCGCTCCCTCTCCCGCTCTGCCCTTCTCTAGCTTCCAACCCACCACTTAGTGAGCGGCGTCACTAATGTGTTGCACTGTCCATAATGGGGAGATGGTATGGGAGAAAGAGCACATAAAGCGCCGGGAAAAGGAAATGGCTGAAGTGTGACATTTGAATGCGCATGTCCTTTGAATCTACCCGTGGCAGAACCTTCAGCTGATATCAAATCAAAGCTCTGCGTTACGGAACGGTCCACCACATACACGCACCATAGAATCCATCATCCATGACTACTTTGTGTTAATACGCACGTACGCGCCCCCTAAATGTTGACCGGTAGGCTAAACAGCAAGCTTGAACTCGGCGTTCGTGCGACGATGCACAGCTGCGCCTAGCGGCGGAGCCCACTGATGTCTTTCGAACTCCCCTGCTCTTCTCTCCAATCCCACGGCCTTTCTCAATGGCGATAACTTTCGGCTCGTTTGGCGACATTATCGCCGCAGTCCAGGTGGCCTGCAAGCTAGTGGAGATACTGAGCGCCCAGCGGGGAGCTAAGCGTGAGTTCCGGGACTTGATTGTCGACTTGACACTATTTCATGGGCTTCTGGATCAGGTATGTTGGTCCGTTCGAACTGCTATTGGGTGATTATGTGCACAGGTTGAACGAAGATCTAGCTCCTTTCGTTCTGGCAGTCTCGCGAGCAGTGTGCGCTTCTCGACAGCCTTTTTGGTATCTTGCATCCGGTTATCTGCGATGCAAAGGGGGAGATCGATGCGTGTTTGGAGAAGATAATCGCGAAGTATGGCCGGAATCTCACTTCGAAGCAAAGGTGCAACCCGAGAGATGTCGGTAAAATGCTGCAATGGCACGTTTTGGAGCGAGATGGCATAACCAAATTACAAGAGAAGCTAAGGAAGAGCAAGGAAGTCATAGTTATGGTGCAGGGCCAAGCTAATGCGTAAGGCCAAACCCCTTCGGTATTCTAGAATATGCTAGAGAAGCTAATTGACGTCTTCGGCAGGATCGCGAGTGAACGAACTAGGGCGCTTGTGGATGAGCGAATGGACGCACTCGTGGACGCTGAGATGGAGAGCATGGCAAAGCTGGATGAACGACTCCAGCACCTGGAAGAGGATGTCGAGAAGCAAACAGAGATACTTCATCATATCTCCGATGGTATAGGAAGCATCAGCTTAGCTATGTTAGTGTCCCCTTGCTATATAAATAGTTCATGACACATACTGATAACTTCCTATTCTAGCACTCCCATTTATGAAACTACATCGAATGCCGCAGCTATCCTTGCGAAGATAGAAGCGGAGCTCCTCGCTCAGCGAACCGTACATTGCACCCTCGACCCGTACATGGAAAACTCAGCGCTTGTCGAAGATGCTCTTGGCTGGACATTCCGGATCCCTCTGGAACTGATTGTGTCTTGGAATGTGAGTTGCCTCTATATAAGCGCATGGTTGAGTCCACTCACTAGCTGATTGAGAGCAGACGCTCCACTCCATCCTCCTCGACAGGTTTGCAAACCGTCCGGGCTACCATCTCATCAAGCACGGCCGTTACATTATGCGGGAGGACCTCAGCGGAATGGAAGTCCATCACAACAGGCCACTCAACTTGGTCCTCCGACCTGGCGGCAAGGTAAATATGTGCATGGTCTACTATTCCCGTGAGGAGGATGCGTACATCACGATCTGTCCCAGATGCAAGAAATCCACCTTCTGCGCAAACGATACGGACATCACATGGTGAGTTACCTCCCTCGTTCTGCCCCTGTGTGCATGACGGCACATACTGGTAACCGTCTTGGAGTTCAGCAAAGGAGTCAATAGCCTACCAGTGTCTTCTATATGCCCCAGGCCTTCCGGAGTGGCGTTACACAATCAGAAATGAGGACACGCCAAAATGTGTACCACGGCACACACCCCTCCAACCCCAGCAAGAAAAAGCATACTAACCCAGCCATCCCAGCTCCAACCCAAGCTGCGGAATGCAAATCCAGCGCGTCTCCGAAACCATCGACCCCTCAAACCCCTCGTCCTCCCTCCTACAAGCCATCCGCGCCTCCACAACCCCCGACACCGACCGCACCACACAGATAGAATTCGACGACCTGCTCCCCCAAGACCTGCTCTCCCCGCCGCCCGAAGGCAAAGAGCCCGACGACCCCGCCAGCGTCTTCAAACGTATCCGTTACATCACGCGCTGGGACTTCCGCGCCGAGTCGCGCGGGCCGCTGCTCTACCGCACGGGCGAGTACTGCTGGTGGGGGTCGCGCAGCGTGGAAGGGATAGCGATCCGACGCGCGCTGATCAGGGCGCTGGATGCGCCGCTGTCGGGAGAATTACCGCTGTATAATGCGACGTTGGACCGGGCGGTGTTTCTGAGCATCATGTTTGTGGGGACGTCGGTCGAACGGTCGAGACCGGTGCTGGTTATTTTTTCGATGCGGGAGAGGTATAGGAGGCTGGCTTGGAAGTGTGTTAGGGAGATTGATTGGGTGAAGGCGGAACGGTCGATTGTTTTTATTACGTCGGCGAGTAGGATGTTTTATGGGGGAATTTGGGAGTATGTGGAGCGGAAAAGAAAAAGGGCGTGACGGGTTGTGGTACGTAATACTCGTCCTCTATTAATTCCCTGCGCAGTTACAGCCTTTGCCCCTTTACGCGACTGGAGCATAGAATTTTGCCTCGATTATTTTGGTGCCCAAACCCAAAGTAATCCTCGCTAGATGCATACCCATACCCAAAGACCGCCATGTTTTAGTCCGTGAAAAAGGCGCCCGTATATGCATACATCTCCCTCGTACGCCTCCAGCCATCCATTCAAGTGAGGGTATCTAAATGAAGAAGAAATTTCCAAGTCCCAGATTATCATCAAATATCCAATATGGCTCATCAGATGGCGAAGAACCCAAGCAGTGCCACTGTAATACCCATGCCCAACCAGCTGGGAATAAGACTGGCAGCACCACTTTTCACATCAATCGGGCTGAGAATCATCTCCGGGAAGTAGGGAGGTGGGTCCTGCGATGCTAGGGTGCCGTTCCAGCAGTACTTGGTGAAGCACTGTTGGCACACGTCGGGCACGTCCTCACCGTTACGCTGGAGGCTGCGCGAGATAATGGCGCACCCGACGCATGTGGGCCAGTCGGAATTGCGGGTACCGTTGCCCTGCGTGGCAACGTTGTAGCCGTTTTGGATCATGGCGTTGCGCTCGGTGTTGTTGTATTCCATCTGGTAGGTGGAGGTGTTGGAGTTATAGACATACGGAGCGTTGGGGAGCTAATGGAGGTCAGTCAAGCCGATGAGATGTATGTGAGAACGGGGAAAGGAGACGTACGTAGACAATCAACGGGGCGATGCCGTTGCCAGTGAGATTATTGGCATCGCAGCCGAAGAAAGTTGGGCGGTTGTTGAGTCCTAAGTTAACGAAGGTGTTCGTGTCCGGAATATAAGGAAACGCAGTTCCATTCTGCATGGTCTCGTTTGAAGTGCGCTCGTACGTCGCGACCAGAGAGGTACCGTTGGGCCAGTTCTGTGCTGAGTCCGTTGGCTCTATGATATCGGCCGAAGAGTCGATGGCGAAGACGACATCTACAGCGCGTTCGGGTTGAATGAGCGGGTTCAAGGGGATGTTCTGCAGATCCTCCCCACCGTCTACGAGGGTTAGACGCTCAGTTTGGGCGCTTGGGTTCGTGTCATTGTGGAAACCGTAGAAGGGATTGGGCGTATAGTCGGCGATATCGTCATTGTCCTGGCCAATGGCATCCAGAATGCTCTGAAGCGCGCCCCTAAGGATATCGGGAACGCCGGTAAAGGTATTCAGATTCAGGATGATCTGGTTGAAGAGAGACGAGCTGGTACCCATGACGAAGCCTACATTATCAAAGCCAGCTACGCAGCCTTGATCCTGAGGAAGCTCGCCATTGGAGAAGTTGGAGCCAATGTAGCGCAGGGGCGCGAAGCCATACAATGTCGGGTCATAGCTTCCCATTTCCCAAGGATTAAATTCGATATCTGTAGCGTTTAGAGAAATGATCTTCTCTCCTGGTGCGCGCTCAACGGCAACGAGGAATGGCAACGGCGTATTGGCGTTCTTGAAGTTGTCGTCGTCCTGGATCGAGGACCAAGTGAATCCCGGGCCGCCGTCAGTTGCGTTGACAAGCTGGAAGGACAGAGCGCGGCCCCAGTAATCGGTAAGTGAGACATCAAACGGACCGGGCGCATCCGCTTTGCCCGTAACGGAGTCTACAAGATTGCTATAGTAGTCGGCGGTGTTGAGGATTTGTATGCCTCCCTGCTTGGGCCCTTCCAGGATGGATCTGTCAAGCTGCCAGACGGCGCCGTCCTGGTTTTGATCGATGATGGTCTGCACCGAAGTATAGTTGTTGACAAATATACTTCCAACAAGCCATCCGCCGCCAGACAATCCGGCAATGTAGGTGGCCGACTGCAGCAGGCCGCCGAGCTGTCCGGTGTTGGTCGAATTCGGTGTGCGGCTATCGAATGCGGCGAGGGCACCGCCGCCGTTCGTCATGGCCCGATAACCACCCCCGGAGAAGGCAATGGCAATGTTTGGCAGCGCCGTCGCATTGTCGCGGTTGTTGTCGATGTACGAGCCGGCGTCAAATCCCGTGATGTTCAGCCGAGTCAGCAGCTCGCGCATCGGGTCTGCCGTGTTGGGCCTCCTCTTCTGCAGCCATGACGTTTCCTGGTCCGAGAGTCCGGAGGCTACTCGAATGCTGGGCCGCGTTGACGGGCAATCGACTGTTGCTGGCGTATAGCCATTGGGCGCCTCGGGCTCTGCCCGCCTCCAAGCTCCTACCGCATGGGCTGCGAATTCGGTTTCTGCATGTCGTGGGAGAATTGAGGATGCTGCGAAAGTGTGAGCGCCAGGGCGGGAAACAAGGTGGAGTGAGTCGCATACAGCTTGCCAAGCAAGTAAACACAGAGGTTGCAAGCACTTGGTACTTCATTCTACGGAATGGGAAACGACCTCAAGACGGAAGCTTGGGAGTGAGTGGATGAAGACTACGAGTGAATGAGTGGAGGGCAACAAGACTGCGGAGAAGTGGTGTTGTTTAAATGATGGCGTTTCATGGAACGGACTGCGCGGAATGGGCGCCATGCGGCTGTGTTTCGCAACACGGACAATGAAAGCGGTGACCTCATCGCCTGCGCCGGCATAGCCGCGGGCGCCAACGTGGCTGCGGGCGGCGTACCTGACGATTGCTCATCATCCCAGACGTCTCCGATTATTTTTAGGTCGCCTCGTAGCCTCTCCGCCGCTGCTGTTAGTGTCGCGTGCCGCATCCAAGTTCAACATTTCTCACTTCGGCGGTCAGTAGGCACTCGGTTCTCTGCTGATGCCCCTTCATGTTCGTGCCTCAGCTCCGACTCTGAAGCCACCGTAAGCAGCAGCTCGTTGAGGGAACCATGCGGCGTTTCAGGTGTTAATGGGAGCTCGGCAGGAATCACTGACGAATTGGATGCCAAAACAGGGTCAAGACGCGAAAATAGCTGGGTCTTGATCAGCGTTGGTCTCTTCAAGGCCTGGCTTACATTGGGACACAATGTTCGAATACTGTTGGACTCGCTGGAGATTACAGGGAGGAGGGAATGATGTTGTTGCCGCTGGTGTCGATGCCTATGCCCCAGTGCTTCGCCGCTGCAGGGACTGCGGTGCGAGTCCATAGAGACGTCTATTTGATTCCGCGTTGAGAATCATATGAAAGACTCTGGCTGAGCTCGTTCTCGTTCTCGTTCTCGGGCGATATGGCGGAACTCGGCATCATCTCGTGCCACAATCCATAAAACTATGGCGGCGGCGGCGTAGCAGGCACCGCCTGAACCAACACATCATCGTTCAGAGAGGCGCCTCGCGGACATTGAAGGTCCAGGCGACAAAACTCAGTCAGTCGAGCAAAGTGCTGGAAAGCAAGAATTTTGAGTTGAAAAGGTCCAGTAAGCGATTAGCACCCGACGTTCAGCTGCGACGGTTTCATTTCTAAGGCAAGCCAACCTGAACACCCATCCGACGGCCAGCTTCAAGCGCAACGCAGCACGGCCTACACCAACTCAGAGCAGCATTTGCGAACCCTTCGAAGCCATCCCAGCTTCCTGGATCCAAACCACGACCTCGAAACCCCTCCTCCTCCAGCGCTTTGCCTCTAAAACACCATCGCACCCCCATCGATGATGATATCCGCGCCATTAACATACTTCCCCGCATTACTACACAGCATAACCAACGGCCCCGTTAGTTCCCACGGGTCGCCCATCCTGCCCATCGGATTCCTGGCATTCCACATGTCCCTCGCTCTCTTCAGCCCCTCTCCCTCATTCAGTATCGTATCCATATACCCGGGACTAATTGTATTAACCCGGATGCCAAAGCTACTCCATTCCGCCGCTAGACTCTTCGCCAAAGACAGTAGCGCCGCCTTAGAGGAATTGTACGCGCATTGCGGCTGCGGGTAGTTCGTGTGGTGTGCAGATATAGACGCTGTAAAGACGATGCTGCCAGGTGTCTTTTGGGTAATTATTTGCCTAGCGACGGCTTGTGCGCAGAGGAAGGAGCCAGTCAGGTTGATGTCGTGGGTGCGGCGCCATTCGGCAGCCGTCATGTCGACGGCGAGCGTGCAGCCCACGACGCCGGCGAAGCAGCAGAGGGCGTCTATGCTCCCGAGCACCTTGACGGAGCTCTCGACCGCTGAGGCTATCTGCTTCTCATCGCGCACGTCTACGGCCTCGGTGATTATGCGGCGGTCGGGGAACTTTGAGTGCAGGAGCTTGACAGACTCGAAGGCTTGGTCGGGATTCAGGTCCCAGAGCGCGAGGCCGGAGGCGCCGTGTTCGAGAAGGGCGCGGGCGGCTTCGAGGGCGAGGGTTCCGGCGCCGCCTGTTACTGTTCTGGCCGTTAGCTGAAGTCCTCTGCGATGGGAGGTGCGGAATGGAGAAGGATTGGAATTGTACCCTTAAATCAGACGTTCACGTACTAATCGCATTGCCCTTGACCTGAAACCTATAGTGCACCCTCTGTGCCGCAGAGAGAGTGTCTGGCGGTGGATTGGGAGCTGTGAGAGGGTTGTCGGCCGTCGACAGCACCATTTCTGGGAGCTGCCGGTTGACGAGTGAAGCTCGGTTTTCTGGGTTGTCGGGCATCTCGAAGAAGCGTACAAATTCTACGTAATCATCGAGGCACGGTTTAGAGTGACGATGTAGATGAGCCTCAAAAATATCCCGAATGAGTTGAGAGGACTTTGGCAGCTTGACATTCAGCCCTTTATACGAACATATAGCTCTGACGCGTGCCCCGCCCCCACCACGTCCGGAACCCCGTCATTTGTCAATGGAAGGTGTGCCGAGCTTTTCGCGTGACACTCGTCGAGGAAGGAAATCCGAGCACTCCTTGCTCCGGACATAATGCTTGAAATGAGCGACAAGCTGAGGCGGCCTTCACGGCAATTCCTTATATCCAGACAAGAATAACGTAGCCTGCTGTAGTCCGCTAGAATCCCGTATGCGGAGGCGCCCCCATCCTGCGCTAGACAGCGACAACACTCACTACGCGGGCATGGAGAGGTAGACCGAGGAGATCGCACACACTACAAGACACCAAGAAGACATAGAAAGCAAGAGGTAACGGACTATATTCAAGCTTCGCAGGACTACTACAGCGGTCAAGATCAACCCTTCTTCGCGCCCTGCCAGCCATCCAGTCCGTAAGACACCCCTTCGAACTCCATACCCGCCCAAACCCTTACTGAGTCTATAAACAGCAGGCAGATGAAAAACCTCATATATGAGAGCCAGATGTCCTTCCCGTACAGTACACCGGGTCCAAACCAGCCCCATTCCGAATCCAAGTTCTCCATGTACGCAATTTGATGAACAGACATGATCGGCGGATGTAGCAGAGACATCCGCAGAAACAGAGACAAACGTATGTAGCTCAGCGTGCTTGCGTGAGTGTGTATAGAACGGGAGGAAAAAGAGCACAAAGTCCCTAAATGGGACGGAGCAATACTCCGAGGAAAAATAGCACAGATGCCCCGCCGCAAAATGAACGCCAAGTTGCAAAGGAAGAAAACAAGGATAGAAATTCAAGGTGGCGGCGCTTTTGGGTAAGGATGTTGGGTTATCGCAGCCATGGAGAGCCTCGCCTGCCTCCGCTGCCGGTGCTTGAACCGCCTCTGCCTTCTTCGAGGCTGCGCCTTGAGCCACCAGCACCGATCTCGCTCATTTGGAATAGCAGGGGCTCGTCGTCGTCGGCGGGCACGTGGCGGCTGGCAAAGTTGTATCGGCTCTGGCGCTCGGTCGAGCTGGTCGCGCCGGTGGTGAGACTGGTCGAGGATCCGTGGGAAGAGAACCCACCACGGCCTCGACTGCTTCCTGGATACATGCCGCGCTTGGCAGGAAGGTCGGAGGTGGATAGCGGACGGGGGATTTCGTCCCGAGAACCCGGCGGGCTGAGTGTCTCTGTAGCCCGAGCTTCACGGCTAGCGCTTGTGAGAAGCTCTGTTTGAGCAAACAACCCACTGGATGTAAGTTCGGGGGCCGTAATTCGATGCAGATCTCGTTCCCGGTCAACCTCCTCGGTCGGTAGGCTCGCCGAGCGTAGGCCGAAGAAATCTGGCTCATCTTCCATGGCGCGATGCTGCTGCGCCACGGAGCTAGATCGTCGCGCATAGTTCCAGGGTCGTGGTGAGTTCGGAATATCGATGGCATTGGTGGCTTGATCTTCGCTCTCGCTTCGTTCTTGCACATCAACGGCTTCTTGGGCACGTGACGACTGACCAGGTCGACTGCGGCTGCGGCGAGGTTCGTACTCGATGATACTGTTTGCACTCAGTCGCGATGGAATGGCGGGTGTATGAGGAGTGTGAGGTGAGATGGGCTTTCCAGGAGATGACGCGGTCGATATTGAAGTTCCAGCAACCATTTGAGGCACGTTAGATAGCTGACGGCTCGAGGATGATGATGATCGATGAAGCATCATTGACGAAGACAACGAATCCGACAGTGCTGTGTGAGAATCTCGCATACGCTGGTACTTAGAAAGTTGAGCCGTGGTTTTGCGCATCGTGGCATCTCGAGAAGCATTATCGCTCCGATTGAAACTCTTGAGCTCCTTCTTCTGCTCGAGCAGTTTTAGGAAGTCCGAGATGTTCTCATCGTCCGTCTTAATAGAGCCTGAACTGGCGCCTTCTCCCTCGTTTAGAAGATCAGAACCACGCTGCTGGGATGATGCCACACTTCCCTTCCCGCTGCTGAGGTTCTCGTCTTCAGTCTTGCTGCCGCCTCCAGAAGAGAATCTGCTCCTCCTGTGACCGAAGCTGCTACTGTAGCGGATGGGCGCTGGCTTCGGCGAGCTGGAAGCAGATGAAGTGATAGCAGTCTCATTGGGTAGTGAAGGTGCCCTGAGTGCGGCTTGGGGAAGCGCGGTCAACGATGTCCGATTGCGGGGTTGGGTTAGAGGATTTGGCACAGCAGTACGCCCTAAAGAACTACCAGGCCGACCAACAGAGCTTCCCGGAGACGAAGGGATTCCCGGGCCGGGAGCAGGTGATGAAGACAGAGAGCCGGCCTTGAATGGTTGAAAGGAGACAGACGTACGCCTCTGGTATGGCGGTGCCTCAGCAGAACGCAGTGAAGATTTCGAGCCCTGAGCAGTGCGATGATTCGGAGGAAGCTTCTGTGGTGGAATTTCAGTTGGTGACGACGAAGGCATGTCTCGGGCAGCCCGTAGCGCTGACATCGGACTAGTCCCGGTTGGTGGACCAACCTGATGGAAAGTCGACATACTTCCATAGGCCTGGCCAAGGTCTGGTGTGTCTTGTGCATGCAGCTTGTTGACGGGTAGCGAACCTGGCACTTGGCCCGCTTCACGACTGGACTGTTCCAGATAAGGGTTGTCTAGACCCATAAAATGGGAGCTGAGCAACGATTCCGAGTCATCAACGCTAAACTCGCAATTGGTACGGTATTCGAGCGAGATGCACAATGGCCCGACGGGCGAGTTGGAGGGCGTAAAGCTTTGCGTCTCGGTGACGCTTTCGCTCGATGGGTATAGAGGAATGCGTAGCGTGTCGGGTCGGGGGCTCTTAAAGTCGCCATTTGATATCCGATAATTGAGTTTCAAGGAAGGATGATTTGCAGGCTGTTTCGCAATGTTCTTGTAGTACTTGTAGGCCGGGATGAATCGGAGATAGGCGTAGAGGGAGCGAAACAGGACGACAGCTTTCTTGTACACATTGGGCAGCGGGTCACTCAGCTCGGACGGGTGCACCGAGTGCTTGTCTCCTACATGGATCTTCCATCGCTCGAGTACAAGCTGTGTGGATCTGCCCATGCGACTCGGCGGTCGCGAGGTTGATTCAACAGGCACATTCAGAGCTTCGCCAACGTCCCATCTCTTGCCCTGCTCATCGTGGATGACCAGCGACTGCTTGTGGTCCAAGCCCTTGATGTCTAGGTATACTTCGATGCAGAGCGACGGGTGCTGCCCGGCCATGGCGTCCATCGTCTTCCATTCCATGAGATCATGTTGCAGAACATCGGTATCATCGAGCACAACATTAAACTGCCCCATTGTTAGCACCGGGATGGGCTCGTAAGCTGGGGTTGTTGATGTACCCATTTGTTCTGCCTGAGATCGCCGTTCTTATTGAAGCTCTGGGATAGAATTACTCTGGATGAGATGATGGTAAGTGCTGCTTTGGTAAAGAAGTTCTGCATCGGATTAGGATTTGGTGTCTCAACATGGCGGGTCCAAGAAAGCTTACCTGGATGACCTGGTTCACCTTCTGGTAGTGCCTCTGAGCCTCCTCGGACATCTGCTCGGCGCGGCCCACCATCTCGCCGTCGCCGTCGTCGCCTCCCTGATCGCTGTAGGGCGCTATGTCTGAGTATGGGGAAGATCGTTCGGAATTGGGATCCCGCTGGTTGTTTGTTCGGGTCGGGTTGGTCTGGAGGTTGTTGGCCGCAGAGGCGGTTCTCGGCGAGGGGCGCGGGTGCTGGTACATGGTGTGGGAGGCCTCTTGCAGGACGCGGCGGCGCAGGTGTAGATGGAGTGGGGTGGGCTGGGATGCGGGCGCGGGCGGGCGACTATCGATGGAGCGGTGGAAACAGGCGTGTACTGATGGGAGCCATCACGAGAGCAACGGGCGGCGTGCGGCTAGTCAGGTCAAACGGTGACAGTCGGAAATGTCTCTCAGCGGACTGGTCCACGCGGGGAAAAGGGTTCTTCTTAGGCAGCCATGGTGTGCGAGGTTCTACAGGGTGCTTGTGTTTGGTGGAGCTATGCAGAGCCTCAGGCGCGCGGAGATAAGGTGAGCACCCTACTGGGGCTTGTGGAAGGGGTCGAAATGCAGATGAGATAGGCGCCAGGGACGCAGCAGACGTCAGAAAGGGCGGGGAGCTTGATGGCGCCGGGCTGTCAAGGAGTGTTGGGAAGGGTGGGCGTCACGGCGTTGGGAAGGCTCGTGACTGCTCCGAATGACGCTTATTACTGATAGCAAGATGACCGAGTGCAAGACAAGGGAGCTGCGCTGATAAACGAGCAGCAGCGGGGGAGGCGATGGCGATGGCGATGGCGATAGGAACGGCGACGCAGGAGAGGTGCAGGCAGGGCGTGAGGGCCGGCGGGTGTAGGGCGTTTCGTCCTGACTTGTCGACGGCTGTGACGAGGATGGAGCTTGAGGTCCGAGCTCCCGCCGCAGCGCGATCCGGGAGCTCGCGCTAAGCGGGCGTGCTTGGCATCCGACGACAAGGGGTGGCCGGCCTGCACGCTCACCAGCCGAGCAGAAGTGCGCATTCGCGATGGGCTCTGCTCCATGACCTCTGCTCGGCCGCCTGCGCCCTTCAATTCAGGGGCGGCGAATCTCGACCGCACACGCAATTGGGCCCCGCATGCAGCCCGCAGCGCCGTTGCCAGCCCTCGCCCACAGCCTCGACACTCCAGCGCGGGCGCTCACCGGTAGCACAAGATGCACTCCCGAGCTGGGTGCATCGTTTGCGCCGGTCAGGACGCTCCCTGCTCTTTCGCGGCTCTGCTGCCAGCGCGGCGCCGTTTTGGGGTGCCATGTCCTCGTACCGCATGAAGGCACGACTTGCTGGCGAGCAAGGCCATGTCCCCATTGGCCTAGCCATTGCATCATCCCTTCAACAAGATTCATCCGGAGTGTCTGCCTTGTCTGCGGCAGCAAGAAGGTTTGCAATTGTGCTCCTGCTGCCTGTATCACGAATGCCGCCTCTCTGCATGTCCTATTGGACATGTCTTCGCCTCTCTCCACGGCGTGACGGCAGCCTGGCGTCCATGCATGAATCTGCAAGACGCTGCGGGGAACGGAGACCGGTAAGATGCGTCTGGAAGGAAAGATTTTGCGCATTCGAGAACTCGGGGAGAGCATCAATTGACCTCAGCTGATCGAACTATCCGACGAACAGAGCCATTGACTCCGCGCCCGCTGCTCAGTATTCCTGCTCTTCTTCAGAAGCACCCAGGCGGATTGCCATGAAGTGAGGCTGTAGTTGCTGCAGGCGTCGAATCAACATTGCATACCGGCTCCAGGCAGCCTCAGCAATAGGTTCCAATCACAGTCGGCCTTCTTCTTGCATCTGTACTACTGTAGTAATGCCGTGGCCGCCTGTGAGGGCGCTCTCGCTGCCAGGCCAAACACCGTCACTCTCCAACGTCGCTTCTCACCTTCCACCGAGAGCTACAAAGCTGCCATATGGACCCTCTACTCATCGTGTAAACTGTCCTCAAGCAGCACGAATGCCAAGGTCCGCCTGGCTCTATTTACGTGCTGTTTCCTTACCGCCAGATCGAGGTGGAGCACCTTGGGATGAACGTGCGTATATAGCTCGGCTGATCCGCCCGGTTGAAGAGCCCTTCGTCCTTGTGCAAAACATCACCGCAGACCTCGTTGCGCGCCAATGTCCCTAGCACTTTTGCCCCATAGTAGATCTCGAGTGGTGGTGTTGAGCTCTCTCCAAGCGATGAAGCTTGCGGAGGCTCGTGGAGGCACGCCCGCCGTGTGATTGGCTGGTCCGGAATGAGTCTTGATGAGTCCCTCCCACAAACGCCCGAACGGCGTCGCAAACCATCATCCGCCCGTCGTGACGGCCAGCTAAAACTGTCGCTTTCCGCGCATTGAACGAAAGCTGTAAGACTCACACAGAATCACTCTGACTCAGAACTTCGCGCCGCGACACACGAACACGAAGCTCCGGCTCGCCATCTGTCCACGCCCCGAGTTTCGTCATCATAGACTCCAGGTACCGTTCGCCCGCCGACGATATCGCACAACCACCCACACACGTCGATTGAGTAGTGAGGGAAGATCCAAAGATTCGCCACAGCATATATCTTTTCGCCGTACGGTCCGCGTCTCTCAAGCAGTCTGCACCAAGCTTCCTCTTCTATTGCGCACACCGGGTTGCCACCTAGCTTCAAATTCCGCCCACTAGCTCTCCGTCTACGCGACTCCTCGCCTTCGATTTCGGAATCCCCGCCGCTGACCATATACATCTCGAGCGAAACCGCATCGCCGGCTAGTCACCCCCGGTGCCTTCCCAAGGAGTCTTCCTCAGCTTCGCAACCGGCACCTTTAAATAGGCTTTGACCCCAGAGGTCATAGCGAGGGGCTACCTGTCGAAGCGGCAGGACTACTCCGCATCTTCGCCAGCACATGAGTGGTTATCTCTGGAAATACTATTTCGAAGAAGATGTCGACAGTTTCCGGCGCCTCCTGGAATCTGCCGCCCATACTTCGCGTGCAGGAACACAGAAAGGCTTCACTGGCTGGCCGGGAGGAGGTCATGGTGCTGCCCTGAACAGCAGCCCCGTCAGCTATGGAGCCTCGCCCATGTTGAGCGCCAAAGGCCGAAAGGTCGCAGGCGCAGCTACCACAACTCTTTCCCGCTCCGACATCAACAGCCGTGATGGGGTGGGTATGACGATCCTGCATCACGCCGCAACCTCTGAATCTGAATCCGCCATCGGTTTTGCCCAGGCACTTTTAGAGCATCCCTTGACGGACTTGTACATTCAGGATGCCGAAAATGGATGGACAGCCTTGCATCGAGCCTTCTACTTCGGGAACATTGCTATTGCGCGTCTGATTCTCAACCGCGACACCCAGGACATCCTCGGCCACGGCTCGGGCGGATTTAACCAGCATGCCCGAGGTCTTGTTAAGATCAAGGACAAGGAAGGATACGGCCCACTAGATTTGTTCGCGCTGACCATAAAGGACCGAACGCTGGGGCCAGAGGATGGGCCGATACAAGACTCCAATTCAGACGATGAGATGACTCATGGAGATAGTGGGGATAGGGATGATGAGATGCGGAAGCGGTTGATATCTCCTCCCATCCTTCTCAGCGGCGACGAGGTGTATACCTTTGGCAGCAACAAGAACGTAACCCTTGGCTTTGGTGACCAGGACGATCGGCAATTTCCAGAACGCATAGTTCTGAGGCGTCCCGACCACCTTCTCCAGAGGTTCTATAGGGAGCACAAGGAAAAAGAAGCTCAAACTTGGGCCGCCTTGAATCTACCTCTGCAGGACTCGGGATTTCTCCAGCCAAAAGCTATCGCCGACCTGCCGACGCACATTCGCAATACACCCATCGTTATTCAAGACGTGCAAATGAGCAAATTACACACTGCCGTCTTGACGACCGATCCCGTGTCGAACCTCTATGTCTGCGGCCATGGTCCGGGAGGTCGTCTTGGCACTGGCAATGAGACTACGAGATATCAGTTCACCTGCATCGAAGGCGGCGGTCTAGGCCAGAAGAAGGTCGCTGCAGTTGCTCTGGGTCAGAATCATACGCTGGCTATCACTGACGAGGGCGAGATCTTCTCATGGGGTAACAACGCATTTGGCCAGCTAGGCTATACGCTTCCAAAGCCCAGTGTCAAGGATGACGACCCCATCTCCACTATTCCCCGCCAAATATTTGGGCCGCTCAAGAGAGAGCTCGTAACTGGAATATCTGCATCCCGAATTCATTCTATCGCGCATACCGCGACGTCTCTCTACACGTTCGGCAAGAATGAAGGGCAGCTAGGCATTGTTGACTCTGATGCGCGGTCACTGGAGATGCAGATCATCCCTCGAAAGATTGCAGCATCTTTGTTTTCGGCACCGATCGCGTCTGTGTCGGCCATCGACGGCGCTTCGATTTGCTTGTTGGAGAATCGCGAGGTCTGGGTTTTCGCCAACTATGGTTACGCGAAGCTAAACTTCCCCTTGGAAGGCTTCGCCAACACGTTTCTCAAAGAAAGTTGGCTTACAACAAAATACGACACCACGCCGAATAAGGTCAAGAAGATAACGTCTGGTGGGGACACGATCTGCGCGCTGTCAACTTCAGGAGAAGTTTTCACCGTGGCTGTCAGCCGACGCTCAGAAGGAAGTCAGGATGCGACTACGTCGACCACCAACCCGAAACAGATTCGCGGTGCACTATCACATCCCTATCGGATCTGGTCTGCCAAGAAGGGGCATATGGTTGCTAGAGATGTGGATGTGGATCAGGATGGGTCCATCATTCTTACGACAGAAGCGGGTAGCGTCTGGCGGCGTACCAAGCGAGCAACTATCAAAAATACGAGTGCCACCGTTACTGCTGAGCAAAGGCCGAAGGATTACAAGTTCCAGCGAGTACCGGCCCTGACTCGAGTCATTGCAGTGCGGGCGTCCGCATATGGTGCTTACGCTGCGGTACGAAAGGATTGCGATGTAACGAGGACTCAGATTGGGGTCGACGAGCCTACTTTGTGGAAAGATATCGCGCCACTCCTCTCATGCTATGAACTGTCGCACTACGAAGAGAAGTCCGACGACGAAGATCCTACTCCCAGGTTTTGGCAGCGTCCTTCTGGAGCGCAGTCCCTCCGCAAGCGTGCGCTACTGTCTGCAGACCTGGAAAACGAGGTGAGCGATATTTTAGAGCGGACTCTACTTCCGTCAGGACCTACGTATGACATGGAGCTTGGTACCACCCTTTCAGACGTTCGCATTCCTGTCCACGAATTTATCATGTCGGGACGAAGCCGCGTACTTAGGGAGGCTATGGCCGATTTTCATTCTCAAGAATCCGAGCTGGAATTACCCGAACTCCTGATCGTAAAGCAAAATGGAGAAAAGATCACAGTCCTTTTTCATGGCTTGGATTTCTTGGCCGTTTTCAACCTAGCTCTCTATGTGTATACGGACACAATCGTCGATTTCTGGAACGTTACACGACAATATCCCCAGATGGCGCACAGATATCGTGCTATCCGAATCGAGCTCATGAAGATGGCTTCACGACTCGAATTGCGCCAACTCGAACCAGCTGTACGGCAGATGGTCAATCCCCGGAGATCTATGAACATGGACCTGGAGCTGGCTCTCAAAGATCCGACCTTTCTCGACAGTGGTGACGTCATCATCGAACTTGCAGACGGGGAAATGCTACTCCATTCAGATCTCATTTGCCAGCGATGCCCGTTCTTCGAAGGCCTCTTCAGAGGACGTGCTGGGGGCCAATGGCTTGCTGGAAGACGCACCGAGGAGTCGCAGCTCGTCAGGATTGACCTCACTCACGTGGAAACGCACCTGTTCGAACTTGTTGTCCGTCATTTATATACCGATGCTGGAGAAGAGCTCTTTCACGACGTTACGAGCGAGGACCTGAACGATATGCTCGCTCTCGATGAGCTCCTGGATCATGTCATGGATATAATGTCCATCGCGAATGAGTTAATGTTAGATCGACTGTCGCAGATATGCCAAAGACTGATCGGTCGTTACGGTATGTCCTGCTCCTTCGCACCGAGACGACCATACTTACAAGGCGAACAGTCAACGCTCGGAACGTTTGTTCCCTTCTGAACGCTATCGCCCCTAGCTCGGTTGCAGAATTCAAAGACGCTGCTTTGGAGTATGTGTGTCTCAGCCTGGAGGCAGTCATGCAGAACGGGTACGTTGGCTGCTTTTTTTTCCAGCTATGCATTCATCTAACATTCATAAGCTCTCTCAGTGAATTAGACGATGATCTCCTCATGGAGTTGAACCAGGTCGTCCGTGAAAACCAGCTCGCATATCTACCGTTCGCAAGGAGCAGGCGGGCAGAGGGCCTTCTATTCGATAAATATCCTGAGCTCCCGGAGAGGATCGAACATGGAAAGCGGGCGAAGATCGACGCGATTGTTCTTTCAAACAAGTTCTCCGGAGGTGATGGGTTTGCCTCGACCTCCTTCCGAGCACAAAGCTTAGAAGAGCTCTCAACTTCTCCGTTGAGGCAACGAAATCGCAGGAGAGCCTCTCGAGAAGGAAAACCCGAAGCTGAAAGCCCAGCTGCAGCCAAAGCACTCAAAGGCAAAGGCTCCATCTCTGACCTTATGTTTGAGATGTCAGATGGTGAGGATGGAGAGGTCGGACAGGAGACGAGTATCAAGCCCCCTCGATTCACTGAACATGTGGCAGCCAAGCAACCCGTATCCACACCTATGGGGTCTCCAGACGAGCCATGGCCCCAAGTAAGCAAACAAAAGGGTCCTCCACGTGAAGGCTTGTCGCTCGACGAGAACATTAACCCCTCGTCGCCCCGTCCACTGCCGATGAGGACTAAGAATCTGAGAACGCCAGGGCAACCATGGGGAGTTTCTTTATTAGCAGGAGAGAAGCTTGGGTTGAAAGACATCATGGTACAGGCTTCAAGTGACAAACCCTCGAACTTGACACTTGGACTGTCCCAGCAAGAGAAAGATCAGAAAGCCGCGGGTTCATTTCAGTCCAAGATGTCTCAGAAGGAACGCAAGCGACTTCAACAGGCTCAACAGCTCGGGCAGCCTACTACCGTTCAGAAACCCCAGCCGGCTCCTCCCACGGTGTCGCCATGGCAGGCATCGTCACAGAGAAAACCTAGTAGTAGTCCTGCTCTCACACCCTCTCCGCAGCCCCCGCAGACTGTCAGCACACCTCCGCTGACAATGCGCCAAACCGTCGCGAAGAGAGGAGCAGCATCCAAACAAAAGGATCAACAGACAACCGGACCACCTTCAGCGACTGCTTCTGCTAGCGGTCCGTCGTCTCAGAACCGCCCAGCCTCATCGTCAGAACGCGGAATGTCAGTCGATACCACGCCCATTCCGGTTCCCCGTTCCGTTCGTCACATTCCTCTTCCCTCTCATTCGCCAACCTCGCCTAGCCAGCATCTTAGCATGACAGAAATTCTGTCCTTACAACAAGCCGAGAAAGACTATGTTCGGGATGCAGCGGCAAAACGTAGTCTCCAAGAAATCCAACAGGAACAGGAGTTCCAGGAATGGTGGGATCAAGAAAGCAAGAGGGTGATGCAAGAAGAGGAACAGAGAAAGCGGGCCGAAGATAGGGCAGCTAGAGCCAACAGGGGCAGGGGCAAGAGCAGAGTTGATCGAGGCAAAGGAAAGTGTAAAGATAAAAAGGACGGTGACGAGGCCTCCGACCGGGGGAAGAGCAGTAGGGATGCCAGCCAAGCGCCTATGGTACAGGAAGCTTCTACGTCTTCTCAAGTGCCCAAGCAAGACGAGAAGGCACGAAGGAGAAAAGGCCAGCGAGGGGGCCGCGGAGGTGGACGAGGAGGCAGAGGGCAGGGATTGGGCTCGACGAATGTGAAGTAAGCATTCCTACTCCTAGGTGACTTCACTGTACCATGCGTCAGTGGATGGGGTCTGGATCAACCCCTGAATGCCTACATGCTGGCTTCGATCGACTCGAAAGTTCCTGTGCTCTGTTTTCAGGGGCAGTGCCGCCGCATCACAGAGTCTTGACCGGCGCTAGCTTCTGATATATGTTTCTGTATTAGACATACATACTTTGCATTGCAGCATTAGACGACCATAATAGAGACCTCGTTGGATTACCTCTGATTTCGGTGCTGCGTTCCTCAGGCTTGGCAATGGTGAACTTAAGTAGACAACGTGAATGCCTGTGAATGTGTTTAGGAGGGGCGATTGCCAGCCGAATCCGACGGCGCTTATAGGGACGAAACCTTTTTGGGCGAGTAATTGCCAAGCGCATTTAATTGTTGCAAGGCCCCCCCCCCCCCATATTCGTATAGTTAGGTTGAGGTAGCTGCACTGCAACAGAGGGAGTGTAGGGGATTGGCCTCCGAGAGGAGCAATTGCTAGGCCAATTGGGACATTATAAGAGCCCCGTATTCGCATATCAGACCAAGTGAAGTATCGTCTCTCACATGTCGCGTCGGTGACGGCCGACCCGGGAGGTGGCGATGACGCACCGACCCATTTTGAACCTTGGGACGCGCTAAGAACTCCCCTCAACGCGTCGCGTCTCCTCAACCACTTCTTCACAAACTACCGCCAGCACCGCCACAATGCCCGCAAGCACGCGATCGAGCAATAAGGACGCGAATTTCAAGGTTTACTACTCGAAAAAGGTCCCGAAGCAGAAGTATTTTCCGCATAGGAAGAAGACGGTGCGCAGGCCGAGCGCTGAGCAGGACGAGCCGCAAAAGAAGCAGATGAAGTTTCTGCCTGAGAAGATGCGGAGAAGTGCAGCTGTGAGGGACTCAGACGAGGAAGAGACAGATACGGAGATGAAAGTCGAGGAAGACTTGGAGGACGGAGGAGTTGCTATTCCGCCTGAACTAGAGCAGAAAGGCAAGCGGACGCCAAAGACGGCGGCGAGGAGGGGAAAGAAGCGGAGCAGCGATATGATGCAAGAGGACTCGGAGGAAGACGACGAGCCTGTTCGACCGACACCGAAGCGCAGAAGAGAATCCGCTACGACGAAGAAGCGGCGACCTCCGGTGGCAGCAGAACCCGAGTCCGAAGACGAACAAACTGCGTCACCTTCTGAATCCGAACGAGAGCAAGATACAAAGCATAGACTGAGGAGACAGTCTACAATGACTCAGATCGTCGGTGGACGAAGGCCTGAACCCGGCTCGAAAGAGCCCCAGTTCAAGCCGGCTAAGAGAAGTCCTCGGACGAGTTGGGGCGGAAAAGGGAGCAGGAATAAGGGCAAAGACAAACAACAGCGGACGCTCACACAGATGGTGCCAGGCTTGATACCACTAGGCATCGTATCGGATGACGATGCTGAGGAGCTAGGAGATCCAGACACTGAAGATGAGGACAACCAAGCATACAATGATGCTATCGTTAGACGGCTCGCGGAGCAAGGCCTCTTCCAGCCCGGGGAAGGCGAGGGAACAAATGCGGAAGACTTATCACATCTGGTCCATCTTGGACTCATACCCATTGAAGATGAGGAGGCCATCGTACAGCACTTGGCCGAGCATGCGATACACTCGCCACTAGCAGATGAGGATCATTACGCGGCCACTGGACATTTCGCATATGCTGGGTATGGCGACGATAAAGACGGTGACGAGAACGCCAACCACCAGATGCAAAATGTCGCCGTACCAACCACAAAGAAGACACGCGCATCACGGCGCGTGTCTAGTCAGCAGAAACCCGAGCTACCCGCGACCGACGGCGCTGAATTTGTGGGCCGCAAGCATGCCAAGTCAAGATTTGGACTTCTATCAACTCCTGAAAAACGTCGGATCTTTGAGATAGCATCATCGCAGTCGCCACCCGAGTCGCCGCTATCAACTCAGAATACTCCCCAGAGGCCGGATCGTGCACCCCTACAAGAGAGATCAGGAAATGCGACGAAGGTCACAGGGATTCCTTCGAAACGTAAACAGGTCACTTTCCAGGAGCCTCACAACGAACAAAAGTCTCCGCCATCCTTGCGAAAGTTCGCAAGCGTGATTCGGGACTCCGAAGATGAAGAGGAAGATATCCTAGACGACGAGCATCCAGACCCAGGACAGGACGTTGGTCGAGAAACACAGGTATTGATACGCGGAATGGATAACCCCATGGTCGGCGCTAGCATAGGCGAAGAGACTCAAGCAATGCTCCATTCAATAGACCAAGCTTGTGCGAATGCGGAGCAGGACACAGCATGGACCAATCGAGATTCATCGGAAGAGCTTGGTGAGCCAGGCATAGAACGAACTGAGGAATCGCTGGAGCTTGGAGACCAGCAAATCCCCCAAGAGGTGGGCATTGAGGCGAATGGACTAGAGCCTCAGTCTCCACAATACCATTCGGCGCATCCGAGTATGACACAGGAGCCGTCGAACGAGGTCGACGTGACAGCTCTTCTTATTCACTCTTCGCCCCCGTCTAGTCAGAAGCCGCAACCGTCGCGCTCTATAGGCACAGACCGCGAATCTGCAACCGCGACCTCACGCCCGTCACCTATCGAACACCCGAACTCGACACCACCTCAAGACTACATGGAACCGGAAGATGAGGACTCCGATGAGCCTATGTTTATAGGCGATGACTCGTCTGACGACGAAGAAGAGCCAGTACCCACTCCACCTCAACAATCCATCGCTTCCCTACGCCGCGACTCGGAAGCTGATCAAGAGCGCCCAAGTGACCAGGAGCAAGCCGTCCAGGTTCCACGCTCGCCTTCCGCAAACCCAGAAACACAGCAGTCCCATTCTAGCAAAGCGGAACAACAACTCCAAGCAGAGTACCAGACATACTCGCAATACCGCTGTGGTCCACTACCCTCAAGCATGCACGTCGCCCCCGAGACCGGTTTCAGCTACCAAGCAACGCCATTCCCTCCCCGCGCGCCCACCCAGCTTCAACACTCAGGCCACTTGAGCCAAGCTACAACCGTGGATCCTACACAACCCTCGCCCAAAACCACGCCCAGCAAATCTCGCTCGCAGCCGATCGTCAGCGCAAACACGACACCCCATAAGATCCCAAATTCACAGCCGTTTGTCTCACCGCATCGTCCACCTCCCCTTTTCATTCCCTCAAGCTTCCCCAGCCCGAGCAAAGCCGGTGTGGGTGAATGGAGTAGTCCCGTGCTTGGAAGGAAGGATAATGGATATAGCCAGTTTGGGGGGAGCGCTAATATGGAGGATTTTAGTATTCCGGCCCCGCCGCCTGTGGAGGTTGATGACGATGAGCTTTAGATTGGATAGTCTGTGGTCGCGAATGAAACGTCCTGCCTGTCAAAATGATCTACTGCTACTGGCATTTTAGTGATACGCAAGAAAGCCGTGGAGTATTTGTGCGCCGATCTTCCGCCGGCTCACATAGTATACGCGTCCCGTCGGATACACCCGAGATCACCCGCGTATGCCAACTCTTGGCTACCCTCAAGTAGCCTCACGGACTCCATCATCACTTAGCGGAAGGTGTCGAAGTAGGAGAGAATCAGCATCTCACAGCCACGTATACTTCACGCGAAAGTAAGTACCGATTTCCCGCGATATAGACGGATATCAACCACATATATTCAAAATCACTCCTCTACTCTACAGTATGTGCTACGTAGCGTCCACCAACCAGTCCGGATCCGCGTCTTCATCCTCCGGATCTTCCATAAGCAATGAACCGGCGTCTGATGCCGATGTTGATGCCGACGCCGATGATGGCGGAGGTGATAGTTTCTGAGGCACCGTGACTTTTGCTTCTTCTGAGGCGACGGGGCTTCGTTGTGTTGCGGTAGCCTCGGCTTCGTCGGGCTGCTGCATGTTCTCGTTCATTTCTACTGTCGTATCATGGTGGACGTCTGGGCTCTGCTCTTGCGAATGGACATCATCTGCCTTACTTGCATTGGCTTCGTCGGGAAGGAAGCCTCCTGCAAGGTCAATTACCGGCCCAGATTCAGGTATGAAACCCCCTCCACTGCCTTCTGCAAGTTCATCGTCTGGGACGAACCCTCCTACAATAGGGTCACTCCGCGTCGAAGGGCCGGGCTCAGGTGGGCTAGGCTCGCGGACGAAGCCCCCTCCCTCTTCGTTGTTTTCTTCCAGCATGAAACCACCGCCGAAGCTGCTCGTCCGTCGCGGAAGAAGTTGCTGCTCCGCAAGAATAGAGCTGCCGAAAGTGTGAGAGTCATCTGGAACAAACCCATTGCCCTGCTCAGCATCCTCAGGGATGAACCCACCACCTTCCTCATCCTCCTCGTCCGGGACGACTGGTGGGCGGTAGACCCGCGCTGGGGGTTCTGTAGTGTCGCCTTCGTCTGGAAAGAAACCGCCGGCGAACTCCTTCTCTGCGAACTCTTTATCTTCTCGCTCTATTTCTTCTTGAACGTTGATAGTAGGCCCGGCCTCACCATCGATCTCAATAGCGTTGACCCTCTGCGCGATGCGCAGACCCAGGTAGAACCGCCTCCACATACGTAGCGCTTCTGATCGGCGCTGCGAATGCTCAGCCTCCTCTTGTGCGTGCTCCATCGCATCGATAACAGCCTCGACGGCTTCTGCAGCCTCTTGAGCGACTACAACACCCTGTATGATTGCAGTGCCATGGCGCCCTTTGAAAGAGAATCCAGTGACTGCATCGGCACAGTCGACGCCAACAATGCGGGCAGCCTTGGATGCGAGTTTGTGCCGAATGTGGACGCCACCTGCTGGGCACATTGATGGAACGTAAAGGTCAAGGTTGCCGAAGGCATTGCGCGGCACACGGCCTCGGACCACGGGAGGAGGAGCATAAAGCTCAGTCTGAAATTCGGCGTAGAGACCGGCACCAATTTGCTCTTGCTGATCTTCAATATCCATGTCAGGTCCGAAGGACAAGCGTCGGCCCTTCTTAGGCTTCGCATGCTTCAACGGCTGCTCTCCGTCTTGAACATCTCGACCGAGTCGGTACCATTTGTCGGCGCTTCGCACGATGTGAACATCCCTCCGCCGATAGATCGGTTCCATTTTCGGATTCATGGCAGTACCAACGTTCACTTTGCCCACTTGATTCATGGGGTGGATGACTTCGTTGTGCCTAAGATGCCGCTCAAGGACGTAAACGGGGTGATCCTTGAAATCCTGGACGTTCTTCGGTATACCCTCTGCTGCTTCCTTGCGCGCGAGAGCCGCATCCTCGACTTGGTCCCTGTCGAGCTTCCTTGAGCGTTTGAAGAACTTCAGCGCTCGCTTCCACCACTCGTCCCCATGAGGTGTACTCTCGACTCTGAATCTCCGTGTCTTCGCATTGTACGACTTAGCATAACGTCGAGTGACATCTTTTGCTGTATAGTCGTCCTCAAACGCTATTGCATAGGCCAGGCTGTTCTGAGCGAAGCTCAACGGAGGCTCAAACTTCTCGGGCGCGTTCACCGTGAAAGTCGATAAAGGATCGATAGGTACCCACTTCTGGTGCGCAGAATTGAACACTTCCACCCAGTAAACAGGATACGCAGCGTGGTACGTCTTCTTTGGTTTCGGGGCAACACCAGCGTTCAGCACCGGATGTCGCTCGCCTAACGCTCTTTCGAGCCGTGACAGGCGCTTTGGACGAGATGGTACGTTTGCCTTTCGTTTTAACGGGCTGGAGCCCTGCTCTTTATTATATGGATCGAGAATAATGGTGCTCTTCTGCGCGCCTGGCTTTTGGGGAGTCGAAGGTTGGGCGGCGGATGCAAAAGGTAGACATTGAAGAGAACACACCAGGCGAGCCTCCACTCCAATACCGCGAAGCATAGCGCAGAACAGCTGCGCGCCCACGTCCTGCGAACCCTCCAGTCTAGAGGCAGCTTTCCGAAAGTCGTCCAGGTCCATGGGATCGTCGAGCTCATCAAAGTCGGAGAAAGGTCGCGCATCCGCATCCGCGTCCGCCCATCGTGGCTTGTACATACCCTGGGCTGTCACATTGAAACGCTTCGACCAGAACAGCTTAAGTTCGTTCATACCATCCATAAAGCGCTTTGATGATTGGTATTGATTGGCCTCAGGATTCGGCACTAGGTTGGACAGAGTCTTTGGCGACGGCAATTTTCGCAGGACCGCTTGCACTCTTTCGTCGTTGCACCAGGCATTCCTTCGATGGACGTGATACAACAGACAGAGAAGGTGCATTTTGTGAACGTCGAGCCTCCGCTTCTTCTCCACAGATGTTATTGCCCGTCTACGAACTTGCTTCTTAGGCTTCGTCTCCTCGCCACTGACAGCTCCAATTGTGATGGATATATCGCCTATCTCTGGCTCGTTGTCTCGGCCGTCATCCAGATCATCGGTGTCATTGCCCTCTGCTAGCGCATCCTCCCACTCCATATCACTGTCGTCGGACTCGTCGGAGTCTATAATGGTCTGTCGGACATGGCTATTGTTTCCTGCATCATCGGGATTTCCCGTATCGGGTACTTGCACCTGTGCTTGTGTACTGGATTGCGCTGGCGCATGGAACTGTGACCGAGTGCTAGATTGCGCTTGCGACGATACCCTGATGGCTGCTCGGTACTCCTGGGATTCTGGCAGCTCTGGCTCTGGCGTAGGGCTTGAATGTCTTTGGCTTGTGGGCCGAGTTATTCTCCTCTTCTTCAGCGGCCGCGAGTCCTCGTCTGGACCTGCGGCTTTTGAGGCCTGCTCCTCAAAGATCAGATCCTGGAAGACGTCTGGTACATCTGCATCTTCTTGCGACGCCTTTGCGCGTCGGGTCAATCGCCGCGGTGTAGCTGCTGTCGTAGATTTACGGAGCCTACCTCGTGCGCCGGCCATGTCGTTTGCGGAGGCGCCGGAGGGTTCGCGGTGCGGGGACGATCCTTTATCGGCGAAGGGGAGGACGGCTGTGGGCGGTGCAGAAGAAGAACGTGAACATAGCGCAGACCAATATAATTATCAAGAGAGGGCACCGCGAAAGAGCATGTCGTGAATCAAAGCGTGTGGGTGTTCGCTGGCTTGCTGACCGACGTTCGCGGATGACGCATGAAAGCCTTCGCGTAGTCACGTGCGCGCTCTTCGGGCGCCTCAAACGCCTCCGCGGGTCCGCAATGGCCCGAGAGTGACACACGACCAAAGCAACCTTCCTTTGCACCCTCGCAGCCAGTGCTAGGCTTCACTTCTAGCGCCAATGTATCAGTTTAGTCAGTTCATCAAGCCCAGCTTTCCGCACACCTGCGGATTAGAGCACGGAGCCCGTACACCCTCCGTCCGCGGGAATCCCCCGAGCAGGTATCACCGCTGAGGCCAGTCTACCCGCATCTTCCGCACCCCTATGCTACGACTTCATATAAGAAGCAATGTTCCGAAACGGTCCCGTCGGTTGTGGAAGTGTGATCCAGGGCCCGCAGCCCTGCCAACATACCATCCTTCCACCGGCTTTTGCTTCGTTGCATAACAGGCAGTCAGGATCTCGAGGCAAATACCACAAGGGCATATGCTAGCACAGCTCGATATGTCACCATCAGCTGCGACTTCGCTGGTCCTCTCGGGGTACGGCCAATATAGTCCATATACCCTGCCCAATCACCACACCCATATATATGTATGCTCCAGAGAGCGGATGCTGTGTCGGATCCAGGGTAGCATTGCTACATAAATCTGCGCAATGGTACTGTCAAACATATGACCGGAGCTCGTCATTGTCCATTCCTTCGTTGCCCCAGCCGTTTAACCCCCGTCTCTGCCTACCAGCCTCACACTTCATGCTACTCTCGGTTTCCAAAGTCATGTGTTGTCGCGACTGCTGTCCATCGAGCGAATACCGCAGAGGGATTTCAGAAGAGAAGGAACGACCCGATGTCGCTCATGACCAATGTTTTCTGCCTACTGGCCGTGATGCGGAAAACACCACACCACCATCAGCGCCCATCACTATCAAAACATTGAATAGCACAAGTGGCGTGGAAGCCCAGGATATCTCAGCCAGCACTCTCGATCTACCGAGCTCCATATCCTCCGGCTCAAGCTCCGACACGCTTAGGAATTCCAGGACCCATTGTTGCGCTCCACATATAACGACGAGGCCCTGCTGTCCGCCTGCAAAATCTTCGAAGCTAGGTGGAATGCCGTGTTCCAAGCCTCATCCCCATTCCCAGGGAGAATCTCACGATACTGTGCGACGCTCCGGCCGTGGTTTCCATAGCTCACACTCTTGGCTCTCGCGTACAGGTTGCTCTACGCCCACGTCGCTTGATGAGTATGGGCTAAAGGAAACAGATGAGCAGACGGAAGACCTCGGAGATATCGAACGAGGACCACCGAACTTTGAACGCGTCATTCTCACCATCGAAGGCTTAAAATGCGGATGCTGCGAGAACGGAATATCGAGGGCGGTCAGCCATGTCCCTGCGATCACGAACCACCGAGTCAATGTCGTCCTAGCGAAAGTTGAGTTCGATTTGGACATCAACCGCCTCTCGGTCAGAGAAGTGATCAAGAAGCTAAGCGCAACGACTGGCTACGCCTTCGAAGAGTATATTCAGCCGGAGGGTCAGGTGCTTGAGCTGCTAGTCAATGATCCAACTGTAATATACCGAGCGGGCAGACCTCACGGGGTGACCATACTGGATTCGGAATCGAAATCGGTTTGGACTCATCTGCGGATATTCAGTGGCCGTAACAGCGCAGTTCCACCAGAAGCCAGCGAACCCAGTCTGAAGGGTGCTAGGACAGACGATGTCAACCCCAACACGACTGCGAACTCCTTCTACCAGCATACCGTCCGGATCCACTACGATCCGAAGAAGGCCGGTGCACGCGATGTCTTTGAATATTACCAACAATCTACTCTTCGGGAATTTCAGCTCGCTCCCCCCGCTTCACATCCCAGCCTCACTGTTGGGTCTAAGCAGACGAAGCGTGCCTGCATCGTCTTCCTTATCACTCTGGCTTTCACTACACCGGTACTTGTCTTCGCCTGGGCTCCAGTCGACCACAAAGAGCTCATATATGCACACGTGTCGTTGGCGCTCGCATCCGCTGTGCAGATCATTGCAACATGGGAGTTCGTCCCGGGTGCCTTGCGCGCACTAATACACTCTCGGCTGTTCGAAATGGACTTCCTGATAGCACTGAGTACTACGACAGCGTACGTTTTCAGCGTAGTATCCTACGTGTTCCAGCTGAAAAAGCATCCCTTCGAATCCGGTTCCTTCTTTGAGACGTCGACGCTACTAGTCACTTTAATCCTTCTGGGCCGCGTAGTCAGCGAGTTTGCGCGTCTCAGAGCTGCCAAGTCGGTGTCTTTCCGCTCACTCCAAGTGGACGACGCTCTTCTTATGGAGGGAAAAACATTTAGTGAGCCGGTAAAGACGCGAAAGATAGATGCTCGACTTCTCCAGTACGGCGACTACTTCAAAGTACCGCCTCATACGAAAATAGTCACTGACGGCAAAGTAAAATATGGCGGTTCAACGGTGGATGAATCCATGATTACCGGCGAGTCTCTCCCTGTCGCAAAAGGCATCGACTCAAACGTCTACGCGGGGACGAACAACGGAGGCGGTACACTCATTGCCGCGCTGACAGCCCTACCACACGAGAACTCCGTCAGCAAAATCGCTACAATGGTGGAGAGTGCAGAGTTGACAAAGCCGAAGGCTCAAGCTCTGGCTGACCGTATTGCTGGCTGGTTCGTTCCAGCAATGGCAGCCATCGGCACCGTGGTATTTCTGACCTGGCTATTCGTGGACCGCTACCACCACCGTCGAAGCTGGCCGAAGGCAGCCATCAAAGCTTTTACCTACGCTATTGCTACGCTCATCGTCTCCTGTCCATGCGCCATCGGGCTCGCCGTACCGATGGTTGTCCTTATCGCAGGTGGAGTTTCTGCTCGATTCAGCATTATCTTCAGGGATCCGCAGAAGATTGAAATCGCGCGTAATGTCACTGACATTGTATTCGATAAGACGGGCACCCTGACAGCGGGATTGCTCAAAGTTGAGGAAGTAGACTTCTATGACGCATCTCCGGTGCTGGTTAAAGCTATGCTCCTTGGACTGCTAAAGGACGTCAAACACCCTGTGGCTGCCGCTGTCTTCAATTGGATACACGAGGAAGCCATATACCATTCCTCGCCACAAATTCAGCCCATGGATATTACCGATATCAGCAGTATTCCCGGAGATGGTGTACGTGGTATTTGCAAAGAATCCAAGCTCGAAGTCCGTGCCGGTAATCCCCGTTGGGTAGGAGTCAGTATGTTAGAATCCGAGCATTCTCTTCTTTGCGTCACAGTTTCAGACATTCTATGCGCGACATTCCGGCTCAAGGACCGCGTACGGTGCACAGCAAAACTAACTGTGGAACGCCTCCAAGCTCGTGGCATTCAAGCCCACATGATTAGCGGTGACAGTCCGGGCGCCGTCAAGGATATTGCCCACTCTCTCAATATCCCGAAGGACAACACCGGCAGCAACGTCACGCCCGGAGGCAAACGAAAGTACGTCCAGGGTCTACAAGACAAAGGGAAAATAGTCATGTTTGTTGGTGATGGAACAAATGACTCCGTGGCACTCAAGCAATCCGATATTGGTGTGCATCTAAACCATGGCTCGGACGTGGCGAAGAGCGCGGCGGATGTTGTCTTGATGACAGAGCATCTGCACAATATCCTAATCCTGCTCGACATATCCGGTGCTGCGTACCGCAGGATCGTGCTCAACTTCTGCTGGTCGGCGCTGTACAATATCGTTGCGATCCTTATGGCCGCTGGCGCATTCGTGAAGGTCAGGATTGAGCCACAGTATGCGGGGTTGGGAGAGCTGGTTAGTGTGCTGCCGGTTGTACTTATTGCATTTCAAATGAGGTGGCGAAGCTATGGTAGAGAGTATAGGAAGAAGGAGTGGGATAATGTGGAGGTGGTGGACACCACTCAAGGCTAGTAGGCGTGGGCTACCATTCCTGAATCCTTGTCTATTTGCATACCCTTCCCACTTTAGCTCTAGGTACGGTTTAGCGGCGTCTGACTTCTGCTCTAGATGCCAACCTGAGTGTATAGAGATTGAATAAGACTGAATTTTTGATGCATCCTTCCGTCTGGTTTGTGCTGTTTCCTTTTCGTCCTGGTGTTGAGTGACTCTTCAACCAGTCTACACATCTAAAGACATTCAGCATATGCCAGAGTAAGGCAGATAAACCACACTTTTGACTATTGAAGGCCTCCAGGAGTAGCTTTTCCGTAGCGTAGAGTAAGACATACTAGTAGTGTGTAACAGGTCCTCACCACTCAATTAGCGCGCCTTCCTTCTTCACTTGCCTTCGCCACCTTCCCGTAAACACACTCATTTGCCCACACACAAAGATCGTCGCGACCTCCGCACACTAACGACCACTCTCTTAACACTGTATAAGTTAAATTTTTCGTGTATATATATTTTAAAAAAGCTCAAACCAACAAAGATAGAGTTAGTAACGGCGAAAGCGGGGTTGGACCATGGTTTGGGACTTGAGGTCTCATTCTTGAATCTCAGCGCGCGCTGTGAACACACTATCTTTTTGCCTTTTTTCTTGTCGCTATTTGGGATGGATGATAGAGGTCGAGGATTCGAGTGCGCGTGTGGTTGCTCTTCCTCTTTTTTTTTTTGGCTTTGTTTTGTGAAGGTCGGAAGGCTGGAGAGTTAATGGGGAAGGCATGCATGCACATCGACCGTGACGTAGAAACGGAGAGTGGTCTATCATGTCTAAGCATTTGAGATTTTGGGGCCCTCGAATCCCCCTGCGCTATAAGAAGTTGAAGCTAAACATGACTAGTAATGGATCTTTTCATGATTCGTACTATTCTACCTCTTTGGCTGCAATAGCTCGTCCAGCGATGCCACACCACCCTCATGCTGCTCAACATCGTACTCCTTCGGATATCTATGCAGTATGTCTTTCAACTCCTCAACGTGCATCTTCTGTTCCTCCGTCATATGCTCCCAAACATCCTCGAAAGCATGCTTGATCGCAGGCTTCTTCTCCTTCTCCGCTCTGTCAAAAGCGGCGAGAATCTCTTTCCTTTGCCGACTTCTGAGTTCCCTTTCTTTGTCTTCGTCCCATAGATTTCGCCCTTCTAGCCACTTTCGGAGGCGGGTGATGGGGTTGTCGCGGCGCTTCCAGTCTTCGACTTCGACGCGCTGCCGGTAGGCGAAGCTATCGTCGGATGTGCTGTGGTGGCCAACGCGGTACGCCATCATTTCGATCAGGACGGGCTTGCCACCATTCTCGAGGGCGAGACGACGGGCTTCTTTCGTAGCGCGGCGCACGGCGAAAATGTCGTTGCCGTCGACGCGGAGGGTATCGATGCCGTAGCCAGCTCCACGGCTCGCTATTCCATCACCCCGATACTGGTCACTGGTCGGTGTCGAAATCGCATATCCGTTATTCCTGCAGATGAAGATAGCGGGCACCTGTCTCGTCGCGGCAATATTTAGTGCAGCATGAAAGTCGCCTTCGCTTGCAGCGCCCTCACCAAAGTAGCAAACAGCTATCCGTGGTGGCACATCCGGCTGTTGCATATTCTGGAGCTTGAGGGCGTAGGCTGCGCCTGCTGTGTGGGGTATTTGCGTTGCAAGTGTGGAGGAAATAGTGTGGATGTTGAGTTTTTTACTACCGTAGTGGACAGGCATGTTTCTACCAAGGCCGGCATCCTTTCTATTTGAGAAAAGCTGGTTCATGAAGTCGTCGAGGGTGAAGCCGCGCTGCATGTACACGCCGGATTCGCGATATTGACAGAAGATTACATCAGCTGGGGAGAGAGCGCTCGCGGATCCGACGGCTATGCCTTCTTCGCCGGCGGAGACCTGATGTACGTTAGCAGGCGCCGACAGCCTTGCAAGGAAATTGCATACCATGTAGAAGCTCAACCTTCCTTGTCTTTGCGCTTCGAACATGAGGAGGTCCATGATGCTCACTGCTCCAGCGTCAGTTCCCGTCCCTCAAGCAGTCTTCGGCCCAATCACGTACAGCAAACCATGTTCTTGTACAATGCCAACGCCTCTTCTTCTCCAGTATCTACCCCAACTTCCTTGTCTAACACTCGCCCCGACTGGTCCATAACGCGGTACGTAGGAATCGCTTTATTCGTCGATGGTGTAAGGAACTTAAGGGTGTTCGTGAATTCGCTATTCAATGCTCCAGGAAACAGAACTCTGGACTCTCTGTTAGCAATTCCATCCGAAGGTCCTAGTTTTGCTTGCTTACTTCTCAGCGGTCGGCGTCGACGCGACAGCTCGGGCTGTCTGCCATGCCGGCGGCACTTTTGAAGACGTCTTCGAGCCATTGGAACATGCTGTTGGCCTCCAGATGATCCTCCCGCGTACCCTCCGTGATCCAAAGCGTAGCGACATCGTGGTGATTCTCTGTGCGCTGAAACGGCGCCCGCGGCTCCTAGAATCTGGGGTAAGTGAATGGAGCTCGGAACGGCCAGCATCGGCTCAGCCTCATAGACGTCAGCTTATACGCATCCGGAATAGCGCCGCACGTGCCAGCGCGGCTCTGAAAGTTCACGCCAAGAGCTACGACTTCCATCTCATCGACAATCATGAACGCGCAAACCTCCAGGGTGCTGTTCAGGCGGCAGTTGCTTGCTAAGGGCAAGCACAGGGTGGGGCGAGAGTCGTACAGATGTTTCTCATGCTCGGTTCGATACGCGCAGCAGCAAACACCGCCGAAACGGACACAGGATGCGCCGGGGACCACGCATTTCGGGTTTGAGACGGTTGCGGAGGCGATCAAGGAGCAGAAAGGCGAGTACTTCACTGCGTGGAATCAATTGAGTCATACGCAAGCTAATTGAGACCAGTCGGCGCAGTCTTCTCCTCCGTCGCCTCATCGTACGATACCATGAACGACCTCATGTCCCTTGGGATCCACCGTCTGTGGAAAGACCATTTCGTGCGAAACCTTAATCCCGGCCGTAATCCGCTCACATATCCGTCCACGTCATCAGAAGAGAAGGGTTGGAATATCCTGGACATTGCTGGTGGAACGGGAGACATCGCTTTCAGGATGCTCGACCACGCATCAAACATCAACAACGACGCTCATACGAAAGTCACGGTTGCCGACATAAATCCAGATATGCTGGCTGAAGGACGGAAACGCGCGCTTGAGACGCCATACGCGCGGTCACCGCGGCTCAGATTCATCGAGGCAAATGCGGAGAAGCTGGACATGATACCCGATTCGAGCGTCGACCTCTACACCGTCGCATTCGGCATCCGGAACTTCACGCACAAGGACGCTGCAATCCGGGAGGCATTCCGCGTGCTCAAGCCCGGTGGCGTGTTTGCCTGTCTCGAGTTCTCCAAGGTCAATAACTCCGTGTTTGATGCGGTGTATAAGAGGTGGAGTTTCAGCGCTATCCCGCTCATTGGGCAGTTGGTAGCGGGAGATAGGGATAGCTACCAGTACCTGGTGGAGAGTATTGAGAGGTTTCCCAGCCAGACGGAGTTTAGGGATATGATAAAGGAGACCGGGTTTCTTGTCCCAGGACAGGGCTGGGAGGATTTGACCGGAGGCATTGCTGCGATTCACAAGGGCGTGAAACCCGCATGACAGGCTTCTTACCTCCATGTATAGCTATATAGAGTGTAGAGTTACAACCGGAACTGTGTATATCACGACTTTCGCAGAACCAGGATCAGACAGACCGTTTTACGTCGTGGCGACCTTCACGCCCCCGCTTGATCGTATTGAGCATACGGATGAGCAGAAGACCGCGCACGACACTAGGGGTAAAGCCAACTGTGATGGCATAAAAGGTGGCCCAGTAAGCGGGGGCCGCGAAACATCCTCTTGGAAAAACGAGATCGACTAAGCGGAGAAGCAGCTCGACTGGACAGCCATCCCGGGTCACTAGCACCTCTCATGGGCTGATGACGATGTCAACGTTGTCGATCATCTTGGACAACTAGGTTCTCGACTCGGCCGACAACAGTGTCTTAACGCTCTGCTTACTATATACCCACTAGCAGCGATCTGGTAGATACTCTACTAAAACCGCAGAGGCTTCCGCTCTTGTGTAGCACGGGACCCACCGCTCCTTCCCCTTTCGCCGGCAACCCTTCCACAAATTCGCAGAAAGGAAGAAATTCAAAGTATGAGAATTTCGCGTTCAAACTGATGCTCCATCCGAAGTGAGGGAAAAAGAAATGCAAGAAGAAATTCGCAATAATCACACAGACAACAACTCCAGGCTCAACGGCGATTACATTAAAGATCTTTGCTGAATTTCAGAATAATTAGCTAAACATACACAAAATATTTTAGTAGGAGGTGCAAAATAGTCGTGTGTTGTAGTGTGCGTGGGAAGGAGCGCCTGCTAAGGTTCCACGAATCAGTGACCGAAAGGCGGCGACTGTCGTAAAGTGAAATAAAGGTCCTTTACAAGCGCACTCGGAATTCATACGTTGAAGATCTTCATCATGAGCCTAGAGATTCATAGTCCATTCGCATAACTGGCGCTGTTGGCAACAACGCTTCCTTCGCATAAAAAGCATCCAACCATTGAACGCGGCGGCTCCCCTCCAAAACCACCCAACAGGCCATCCCAACAGACCTCCTCACCGCATCCTCCGCAATGCTCCATTACTCAATCTGTAAGATGGTTAGGGCGCATGCTCATGAAGGGTCTCCCCAATAACCTCACTGTAAAAATTATTAAACACCTTCCCCAGCAAATGCTCGCCATACGTATTCCCCTCATGTATCGGCTCCTTGCCGCTCCTCTCAACACACCTCTGCAACGGCTTCACCAAACTCGTAAAATTCGGCTCGTAGAAAAATGGCACCGAAACCCTGTACCCATCCCCGCGATGGATAACCCTGTGCCGCGTGCTCTTCCACAACCCATTCGTCCACCGCTCAATCATATCCCCAATGTTCACAACAAAGGCGCCGCGGATGGGGTCCGCGTTCAGCCATGTAGTGTTGTCTTTGAGCAGGACTTGCAGAGCGCCGGGCGTCGGATCGGTGAGGAGCAAAGTAACGCAGCCGTAGTCCGTGTGCTCACCGCATGAGAACTGGGTTATGTCTTCATCCTCTGTTAGAGCCGGGCTGTCAAGTTTTGGGTACCTGATCATGCGCATGACCCAGAAGGACTGATCTGTGTTGCGGACGAAGACTTCCTCATCTTCAGTGCTCCTGGTTGCGCCGGGAACGCTGGGGCCGAGGTCGAGCGCTACGCCCATTGCGCGCACAAGTGCTTCCGCGACGTGTTGAAGTTGGGTGATGTAGTCGAGATAGACGGGCTTAAGCTCCTCCGGCTGTGCAGGCCATAGATTAGGCCCTTGAAGTGTCTTGCATGTCCCAGGTCCGCCCTTCCCTTCTTGCTTCTCTGCATGATCCCATTCGCGATACAGGTCGACTGCCTCATGCATGTCGCGACGCCCGAGTGTGATGTTCTCACCCATACTCTGGTACCCGCGTGCACCATCACCGCCTTCCGGTCCGTCGGCGTCATGGCGCTTGATCTTGTTCTTTTCCTCGAGGCGAAGCGCGAAGAATGCGCGGGCGAGGGAGACGATTTGGCCGAGTTTGGCGACGGGGATGCCGTGACCGATGAGGTAGAAGAAGCCGTAGTCCATACAGGCCGTTTTTATGGAGGATGCAGTTGCCTGGCGAGCTTCGAGGGTGGAAGACTGGTCCAGGAAGGAGGAGATATCGATCATAGGCAAGGACTTCGCGGAGGATAAAGGCGATGGCGGGGGAGTCATGGTCGCTGTGGGGCGTGATGCGGTACCTGGGTGGTTCTTGCCGTTGGGTAATGGGTCGGTGCTGCCGTTACGGTCTGGGAGAGAAGCCATCTTGGACACAATCTAACGTATTACCCTTCGAGGTATTGAAGCGTAGAGGTCGAGATCAGGAAGTCTTGCTTATTTCTTGATCGAACGAGGATTGCTTGAATACTAAGTACTGAGTTTCCTGACATCCTTCGGATGCGAGTGACAAACCTTCTAGAAGCGTCCAAGCTACGATACTTGGAGATAGGGCTCGAATGTGAGCACAATGAGAGTGTTACGAATTGCGCAAATGTATGCCACAGACACCTGGCAGTCTCAACAAGATCCAATTAGTATACGGCCATACGGTTTGACAGATCTCAGCGCCGGCAGATATGAGGCGAGAAAAGGAAACCACTAAACTTAGCCTTCGCTATCCTGGTTCACAAACGCGGCTGCTGTGTGCTGTGCTGCGATTAAAATGCCGCATCGTGCCGTGCCTGTAATGTGAGTACATACGGATGATAGCGTGTCCGTTTAGGAGCGGAGGAGTGCGAAGCAACCAGCGAGTGGGGGGTAGGGTTGAGACGAGGTGAGAAAGCGAGGCGTGAAGTCGGGTAGCGTTTCCGTTCCTGGACTAGCCAATGAAATCCCTGGCCCACCCTGGAGTTTCCCGTCGCTATTGGATCGGGAAGCTTTGAAGCGACTACTATGGCAATGCCTCGTGAGCTGGGGCGTTGGTTGAGTTTTCAACAGTAATGTACCCCCTATGGGGACGACTATAGCTACCACACCACGACTTAAAGCCAACAAAAACTTGAATTCCCGGACTATACCCCGTGACGGTTTGCTTGGTCAAAGTTGCGACTGCTGACATCCCACAGTCTAGCCAGATCTCTACCCTTCTAAATGATAGAAGCTTTTGATGCCATGCATAAACTCCGCCTCCAGATCTAATGAGCACCCAGTGTTGGTTTCTCCAGATTGGTGGACAAACCTTTGCCGCATGGTATCATGCGTCCCATAACGCCACTCACATTATAACCTCGTTGGACACGTCCTATTTGCTGTTGTCAGCGCAACATTTGCTACGCAACCCCGGCTACTCACCCTCTTCAGCTCCTTGTAAGGCAAGCACACGCAATTCTGCACGCGCACCTCGTCGCCAACTGCGCACTCCTTGCCTAAGATCGTGATGCTCTGCACCTTCACGCCGTTCTTGATGATGCTCGTGGTATGGCTGGTGATTGGTGTCGGTGTGCCTTCGACGCGGGCCCAAGCGCCGATCTTGCTGTGCCAGCCGACGATGGTGTACATCACGCACGCATCATGCTTGATCTCCGAATCCTCCAGGACGATAGCTTCCTTTATGCGGACGCCGGCGCCAATGTGAACGCGGGGACCGATTGAAACGTTAGGCCCCAGCTTCGCCGTCGGATCCACATGCGCTGAAGGGTGAATGTATACTGGCGGGATGATGTTGGCCGAGGGAGCAGCAAGCTCTTCAGACCCTGACTGGAAAGCCTTCATGAGGTACAGGGCGTTGGCGGGTACTGCTGAGCCGGCAGTCTTGATCTGGCGCCAGAAGTCCTTAGTCTCCAGCACGAAGAATTGCCTGCTATCAGCAATGTCCGACAGCACATCTTGCTCAAGACGAATGACGGCGCTTTCCCGATCTTCATCATCGTCATCCTGGCCCTGGTAGAAAGACGACTCGAGGTTCTCGGAAGACGGATACGAGACGAGGCGTGGGCGCTCGGTGCGGCGCTTGATTGCGCTGCGAATGGCGGGGAAGATGCACTCGGTTGAGAAGAGGTACACCCCGCAGTTGATCAGGTTCGAGATGTGTCCCTCGGGCTTCTCGACGTAATGTAGCACTCGCTTCGTGTGTGCATCTGACACAATGCAGCCAAAGTTCGTCGCCGACTCGTTCGCAACCCTCGTGCCCAGCATCACCGCCTCGGCGTCCTTGTCCTCAAACAGCCTGAGCATCTCATTGAGCGGGAACGATGAGCAGACATCTGCGTTCAACACGAAGAACCTGTCCGGCCTGCCCTTCAATATGACGTCTCGGAAGTGGTATAGACCGCCCGCAGTACCCAATGCCTGGTATTCTCGGAGGTAGTGCACTCGCAGCTGAGGGAAATCGTTCGAGATGGCGTTGATGAAGGGTTGGAAGACGGATTCCTCGTAGTAGCCAACGATGAAAACTTCCTTGATCTCAGGAACGTTCGCAATGGCGCGGAAGCAATGCTCAATTATTGGGTGGCCGGCGACAGGGAAGAGGGGCTGGTGCAGTGTTAGCGAGCGTGAATGGGCCGGGTAATGCAAGGATGCGGCTAACCTTGGGCAGCTCCATAGACAATGGCCTGAACCTGGTGCCTCGAGACGGCCCTCCCACCTACAAATGTAAGAATCCATCGTGTTGTGAAGGCCTCAGGGTGCAAATACCAAAATGACAGCTTTGGTGGAGGGCGCAGATCCACTCTTGGACCTGACGGCGAGCGAAGGCGGTTGCAGACTCATTATGGCGGTGTCGAGGAGGGATAATTCGAACGAGTTACTGTCTGAAGGCAGAAGCTGGGAGAAAAGGGGAGACCGAGGTGGTGCGAGCGAGTGGCAGTCTGGCCGCGAATGTGGACAGCTGGAGTGGACCCTTGAAAATCGGCCTTCACCCACGTTGGCTTGGGCGGTGAGCGGTCTTGGCACTTCCGAGTCACGCCGCATCGTCAACCTCATCCCTCGCGCCCGCACCTCGAACTCCAGCATCCTCCCTCGTATACAAGCTTCAACGCTCAGAAGCGGATAATCACGAGCACTGCCCAGCCTCTCATTGTCCTCGACGTACCGCGTCTGGTCACCACTCCAATGAGCTCCCAACACAGGATGTCGAAGAGATCTCTCGTTGTCCGAATAGGGTACATAGCAATAGTCTGCAAGTCTTGCTTGATCAGGGACTTGTCTGCTGCGCATTTCAGCCTCCCCCCTTTCTTACGAGTGGAATCAATGTCTCCGTCTTCATCTCCAACTGATCCAAGTATGTGCAATAGCTCAAAGTCGCGGCAGCCGTTACAGCCTTGGCCTCTTCGTATATTGCTTATACTTCCGAGCACAGATCACCATATTCCGCTATCTCCTTCGATGCCCATTCTCTAGTTGTGGTAACCTCAGTCTCCCTTTCAGTTCCTACCAGGCCAAACGCATCCGCCAGCGACCCTGAAGGAAACAGTAGCCTGTCGATTCGGACCACAGTTCAGAAGGTACCCCTGAATGGATTCTGGACTTTGATGCTTACTTACATCACGCGCCCCGACGAATGGTACGCCTTAGGACAATAGATTGAAAGCCTGCGGGTTAGGCCGAGTGGCCTTACGTTCCCCGTCGACACTGGCCTTTAGCTTGCGTGGATATCTTAGGAGGTTTAGATGACGAGCGAGGGCGCTCTATCCATTTCAAAAGGATCCGGCCATCATCTTGGGGAGTTCCGACGGTGGATGGAGCCCAATTCGCCACGTCTCCTTACAGTCTAGGGGAATTGGGATGAGGGGTGAAGGTAGTTTGGTAGGTCTGGTAATTTGGAAGCTTGGTCTAGAGTTTCAGATGACGGGTGAAGGAGTCATAACTGAGCATCCCCTCTTCAACTCTCGTTCACTTCAACCCCACGCCCTGCACATGGGTATTATGATACTGTCCCCATACCTCCTCTAAGATTTTCTTTCCTACCCACTGCTCTCCACAAGACCAATCTCCAACCCCGCTCCCGACATCATGGCCCTTCCAGCAAAGCGAGTTCAGCTCTACTGTCAGCGCCTGGACGCCACGGTCGATGGCCACACCCTCGTGCCCTCTTCCAACTTCGCCCAGGACGTGACCAGCATTCGGGCAGCTTTCCCAGGCCTCCCGCAAGCCGTTGTCTGCGACGTTAAAGGCGACCCTATCAGGGACTTCGCCAAAGTCAAGGACGGCGACCGGCTCCTCGTCTTCAAGGACGAGTACGATCATGTGCAACCCGAAGCCTACCACTACGTCCTGTACCTACCTAAGGTAGGCGACAACGTCGACAAGAACTGGTTGGTATGTATTCTCACTAGCACCCTACTTGTCCTTTACTGACACAAGCTTTAGAAAGCCACGCGTGCCGAGCGGGCTGCTTACCTCGTCGCCATCCAAAACAACGATCCCATCAAGAACGTTGTCCGCATCACAATGCCACATACTTATGTCCAGGGCGAGCTGGCGCGCATCAACTACTCCTTGGACAGCCGGCTGAAGTCCAACTACTCCCCTGACGTCACCTTCAAGGCCATGCAGGAGAGCTGGTACAACATGAAGTTCGATGCCATGTTCGACCATCCCTTCAATGCTGCCGAGAAGATCAAGCCTCCGGGTGATCCCAAGTCCTGGGACTTGAGGCTCCTCCCTACTCTTGTTCTCCTCAGCGATTGCACCGCTGGACAGCCTCTCCTTGCTAGGAGTCTCGTCCTCGCTGCCATCAAGAAGCGCACCGAGAAAGAGCCGGACAACGCAGAGGCCAAGCACATGCTGACGGAGGACATTATCAATGTGCTCGACGATATGTACAAGCAGGCCGACGCTATTGACTCGGATTGGCTAGTAAGGATACCTACTTGCCCCTCTCTTGTCCCACGTAAGTTAACATCACCAGTATACCCCTGAGTGACCTTGGAAACGTCTACGTGACGTGTAACGCGTTGCTTGGAGTGCCTCGGGGTGCTTGGGGATGGACGAGTTGAATCGGTAAACCGCGCTTGTATTCCCTCAAGATGGTTTGGAATTTAGGTAGATCTCTCTCCAACAAGCCTGGAAACCGGCGAACGGAGTTTTATGATATTACACGGATCTCTATTGTGTATGGCTCTCGGCATACGGCGTTTTGGGCATCTCCGCGGGTTACTACTTGGGAGTGAGAGGCTGGCAATGGTAGCCATAGACTCTGAACTGCTTACACGGCCCGGGGTGGATCTTATATTAAACTAGAAAAGGCAGTCAATAGGATCTCTTGCTTTTTCATAATCTTCGCATCATAGATCGTAAACCTAAGCGTGAAGACCTTGCAGTTAACTTCCCTCGCCAGACTGGAAATCGCTAAACTCTTCGAAGTCACTCAGCCCTACCAATACGGCGCAAGCAAGAGAACCATGCTCGAGAAGCCGGAGCAGAAGACCGACCATCCCTTTCCTCGGTGTCGAATACTTGCCTAGGTTTACACGCATGGCAGGTGCCCACCAAAATGGAGAGTTCAAGCGTACAGTTACCGTCCGACCTATCGGTTCCTACACATAGATCAATTGCTCATGTCACCCGTGATGTACGAACTATGTAGCGTAAACAGAAGTCTGCTATTCAAAGACAAAAGATCCGATATTAAATACACCAATCTGCAGCTATGGATGAAGGCATTTACCGTCATCCTGGGTCAAAGTACCGTGGCTTTTATATCACTCTGTGTTGACTTGTGCGACCTGCCTACCTAAAGTAGGGCCCACCTTAACTGGCCAACCACCCCAAGAGCAATTTTGATGATCCATTGCCATCCGTTACCGATTTTCCATCGCGCTTACCATTTACGCACTGGTTCCAAGTGAACCATTACAGAAGAGAGAGAGAGCGACTTTTGGATATCCAAGGTCGCTAGCGCCATGCTAATGATATGTAGAGCTGCGTTGCTCTACCACATAGCGTTCATATCGCTCGGTGTCTGCACATCGTCATCATGAACCACCTCATCGTCTTCGGCCGGTACCATAGAAGCGAGCTTCGGGTCCACGTTATGTTGCTCGAACTTGAGGCGGCAGCCCTTCATCTGACCGACGCAATCATCTTTCTGGCAGACATGTCCGTAGAAGCAGTCCGAAACACGGCAACCACCTTTCTTCGTGCATGGGTTACACTTCAGGACATACTCAAGGCAGTGGCGGGTCTCGGGTTCTAATTCGCTGTGGTCGTAAGGGCAGTTGAACTGCGTACAAACGCCTTGGAGGTGATGGCTGTTGCAAGGCTTCTGGCGGCGGAAGCGTGCTTGATAGGTAGCCCACTCGTCCTGGGTGGGAGGTCGAATGAAGGCATCAATGCGTTGACCGTCCTTGTTCAAAGGGATAAAGCCAGGGACGACGGATGTGGGAAGGGAGGAGGATACATTGGAGCGGTCGAGAGTAACCCCATTCGGTGATTGGTCCGACGCACCCAGCCCTTTAGGCACATGCTTGAAGTTACACTTGTTGCCGAAGCGGCAGTAGCCCTGCTGCTATGAGTAAGCCGAATAGAGCAAAGCTGTGCGGAGCAGACATACCTTTTGATAATACTTGCAGAGTGTTTGAAAATTCTGTTGGCTATCGGATTTGTTGTTCCAAGCGCTCCCGCTGCCGTCGGTGAAGCTATTGCTTCCTTGAGGAGACATGTCGTCGACTCCAAAGGTGGTGTCGGTGCCAAAGGCATTATTGCCCCACGGGTTCTCATTGCGAAGGGCGGATTGATTTTGCGTCTGCTTTGATTGAACCTTGGCCTTGAGCGGAGAAGCAGTGCGATCGACGAAATTAGCGGCAGGTCCTTTGGTGGATGTTGTCGCTGAGGAGAGCCCTGACCACCGGAAGATAGTCGGGAACTGCGTAATGTTGAGGCTGAACTGAAAGAAGTCCGAGTTGAAGCCCGCGCCTTGGATAAGCGTGATTTTGTTTCGCAGGCCACTATAAGGGACTAGCGAGGGAAGATAGCTGCTATCGTGGCAGGCAGCATATAGAATATGGCTGCAAGCGCTATCGTCCGCGGCTAGTTTCAAGGTTTCTAAGAGTCACAGTCAGTAAGCATCTGTCTCACGTTCTTGTATGTCCGTTAATTAGGATGCTTACCTCTAATCTTGAATTTGGTTCCCTCTTCGTCGAGTGCGTCTACAAAATCGAACAACGGCATAGCGCGCGTGAACGCGGCTGCGAACGGAGCTAGCGACCGCTTCTCCAGGCCGACTAATTTGGACTTCGCCAGCTGCTTCGAGAGATTGGTAAGGTCAACGTAAAGGCGAACGATTACGCGAGCATCCCTAGCCTGCGGCAGCGACTCCCGTAGATATTTCTCTACGGCATCATTGAGCATTCTTGCAGCACGCATTCCGCCCTCTTCCTTGTCTCGGACAAGTTCGTCGTTGAACTAGCGTGAATCAGCCTAACGCCTACGAGCGTTAGAGGGTTAATACGTACGATATATCCATTGCCGTCAATGAGGACAAGAATATAAGGGCGGCGGGTAGTGTCAGTTTCAATTGCTGCTCCATTCGTCACAGTATTGCCCTTCTCTTCATAAGAGTCCTTGAGAGCCTTGTAGTCGTCAAGCAATTGACTGTATTCTTTCAGGATACTCTACGCCGGAGTTAGCGGATATTGTTCCTTGGCGACAAGTCGAGGCGACGCACCTGGAGGTCATTCTGATTCGTTTGATTGTTCAGCTTGAATTGCTCGAGGCGCGTATCCAAGGAGTCAAGCTTCCCGTCCCCCAGCGTGGTTGCACCAGCCATCGAAATTGATGCACCGCTGCGGGTTGCGGCGTCTTCCAGACTTGTTGCGGTCAGCTTGGGGTTTTGAGGTTATATAGCCGCTGGAATCTGCACTAACAAATAATTGCGGAGTCTCCTCCGACTTAAGTTTGGGAAGTTGCGTTGTTCATTTCCCAAGGTGAAGGTTTTCTCGAAGCTGCGTCAAACGTGTGCGATGTGCAGGTGCCTCTTTCTATGGTCTGTGCGCGACGGTCACGTGTGACCGGGATCTTCGAGGCTTCGACCGAGTGCGTGTACGTGAGTCAGCTTGGAACAGATATAATCACAGTTAAAGCGTAGCACATTCAAGTTACCCAAGAGTAAGAATGCTCACTTTCCATTCGTGATGCCCGTGAGCGCACACTATCACTATAATCATACGGCTACACGTAGCCCGATGCTATGCTAATAATACAATGGCTCTGTTCAAGTCCTTTCCACAGCATGCCTTTTGAAAATGCCGTAACGGTAACCCCGGGGCCGAAGACCCCCGCCCCTTTTGCACAGCCGGTTGCATGTCTATGCCCTACCCCCGCCGTTGACCAGCTTCTTGTTGCGCTTCATGAGAGTGGTGAGCTTCTTCTCCAGGGCCTCGTGGTCCTTCCTCGCGGCTTGCATTGCCTGCTCCGCCTCATCTACACTCAAGACGCTCCTCCTCCCTCCCCTCCGGCCCGACATACCACCAGCATCGAAAGCGCTGGCGAGTCCCTGAACGTCCATACTGAGATCGTTGCCCTGCAACCCTAACCCGGCGCCGACGAGGGCCTCGAGACCCTGGACGAAGACTCCGCCAAGCAGGTCCGCTGCCATCACGCCCGTGCCATCGAGGTCGGTACCCACTACGCCGCCTTCTGCTACCGCCTTGGCTGCCTTTGCGATCTTGTTTACGTTGACGGACACGTTGACCGTGCCTGCACCCGGCGGCCCACCTACCGCTGCCATCTCTGGACGTGGAGTAGTAGTTGGTGGATTGTCGGTCTTCGGAAGGACAAACTGATTGAGGTATGCGCCCGCGTCCGATGGTGTTTGCTGTTGTGCCTGTGCTTGTGCTTGAGGCGGCGGGAGATCACCAGGAGCATGGACTGGAGGAAGCGGCAAAGTAGACCCAAGGAGAGCGGCAGTCGGATCTAGTTTCGGCATCGGCTGGCCAGATGCGGCGCTCTTGCTGAGCTTAGCTCCCGCCTCTTTGAGCGCAGTAGCGAGAGCGGGAAGCATATCCTTCGACTGCGCTGGCGACGAAATGTTTTGGGTGTGTTGTTGATGCGTCGTTTGCTTCCGAGCATGGAAACGAGCTGCACCCTTCAACTCTTCGATATGTTTCTCCAACTCCAAGGCCTTTTCCTCCAGCTCCTGTGTCAAGCCCCAGAAAAACTTGCCTTGCGGCGTGATCAAAGTTCTAGAATCCGGCTTGCCGTCCTTAGCATGGAGGCGAACCGGGTGCTTCTTCGAAAGAGCATCCAGATCAGCCTCTGAAAAGTGTATCTTCAAGTCTGGTGGAGCACCCGAATTGCCGCTCGTCTGGGCGGTGCGCGAAGCATGAGCGAGTGACGAGGAGAGCGGCTTGAAAAATTCAAGAGTGGAAGCAATGAGCTCTCCGGTCCTTTGCAAATCGGCAATAATAGATTGTGCAGTGGGCTCCCGTTTTTCTTTAGCCGCGTCAGGAGCTCTTACTGGTTTGGGACGTGGTGAGGAAATAGATGCCTTCGAGGTGTGCGCTTTCTTTGGAGATGGAGAGGACGCGGGTTCTGGCTCGGCCTCTTCCTGATTTTTATCAACGTCGGCGTCGGCGTCGATGGCCCTAGGAGACTCTGGCTGACTCATTACGGGTGTCGGTATCGATTTAGGGTTATTCGTGAGTTTCTTTGCCTTCTTCTTGCGCCCAATGATAGGTGCCTGAACCACCTCAGGTTCTGATTTCTGGTCATCCGCTGCCAAGGTGCGTTCCTCCTCTATCTGTCGTGCCCTCTCCTGTCGTTCCTTCTTTGCTTGAGATTTTGTCTTCTTCCTCATTGGAGCGGTACCGACCTTTCCACCGACCGGAGGTGGAGAGCTAGCTCGAGAAATTGACGCGGATGTGATTGATGCGGTATCAGATATCATCTCGCTCGCCGGGGTCCCTGGCTGATTGAGCGACGCGATGCTAGCTTGCCGGGACCGGAGCTTGTCCATAGTAAGGACGTGAGGGAGAGACGTAGTAGACATCGCTGACAAGGGAGGTGGATTTTCGGTCTTCGGAGTCGCTACGACGCGCAAAGTCTTTGCTCCAATGGACTTTTTTATCGGGGAACCCATTGAGGTAGCAGCCGGACTTGCAGGTACAGAATTAGCAGCTGTCATGGAAACTGCACGAACCGGTTTCGGTTGGGTATCTCCCCTGAGCAAGCTTGCCGCAGAAGGCTGTTCGTTCTCTGAGAGCTTAGTAGCGGCAGCTATGTCGAGCTTCCCTGGGTGTTGTCGTTTAGAAGAAGTTGGCGTTGCTGCAGGCGCAGAAATGTCTTGTGTGCTCTTTTGGGCACCTGCGTCAGCAGAGGCCTGACTCTTCTTGCCTACCGTCTTGCTCTTTGGCGCTAGTTTCGGCGGTGATTCGGTTGCTGGCTTGCTCTCCTTTTGCTCTCCCAACACTGATTCTTTTGTGGACTTTTTCGGGGTCTGGGCCGGCTTAGGCTTCGCAGTGCCTTCCCTTTGAATAGATTTCGACGGAGTCGCTGGTCCAGATTTGACAGCTGTAATAGGGTCGGGAGTTCCCGCTTCAAGCGCTTCCGTTGTTTGCGTGACTTTCTCCGATGAGCCCGGGGTTGATGTCCTGCCTGGAGAAGCAGGTACAAGAGGAACAGCCGGGGCTACCGTTGACGAGGCGCTTCGAGACAAAGGGCGTACAGGTTGGGTGCTCGCTATTGATATTGGTACCGCGGATACTGAAAATCCGGGAGGCATGGTTGGGGTTGCCCGCTTGGGCTGCTCCAGGATTTGGCTAGCCAGAGGCGTCTTGACGCCCTGATGGTCTGATTCGCTATCGTTAACGAGAGCATCCACGTTGATTGAAGCCTCTTCCTCAGCACTTAGATCTTGATCATCTGTCCACAAAGCGTCAGCAAGGTTGCCCTATTGTTGAAACCGGATGAAGGCAGCGACGTAAAGCAAGGCGCCCAGCAACGGCGACGACGGCGGCGGACGATGAGCAGCTCAGACGCCACCAGTCAAGTAATTAAGTACAACAAGGCGGGCAGAGAATTCTCGATCATCTTCGTCACTGGAACTATGCAGGAGAACAGTTGGGGAAGCCATCTTTCTAATTAAACGTAAGCATGCCGACTGAAGAGCGGCAGGAAGGGGATTTTACGTACATACGATGGCCATGACGAAGACGACGAGAGATGGTGACGTGAAACCTGGTGAAAGCAGCGTAATCCGCCCAGACCAAACACAACTTCGAAAGAAAATATCAAGGTATTGTAGTTCCGTGAAGCCATGCCAATGCCAAAGCCAGCAAATGTGGGACAGAAGCCGACCATCATAAACGCCGAGCATCTCAGTAGCCAGTGTCGCCGGACTGAGTGCCGATGCATTCGCTTCGAAGCCTCCGGTAACGCCATGCAGCCATCGTGGGAAGAGAGGTAATAAAACATTGTACATGACCCTTTTGGTCACAAAGTATGTGAAAGAAGCGAAAGAGAGCTACCATCGTCCGGCACCGCCGTAATTGCTGTAGTTCAGGGAGGAGTACCCACCTTGACCTTGGCCGTACAGTCCCTGCCCGACCATGCCTCCGCCTTGATGCAACCTTGCCTGTAAGATACTCGGGTCTTGAACATCTACTACACCACCCCCAGAGGAGGAAGTGTTAGCATGTCTGTGCTTCTTCCCCTTTTTCTTAGACTTCTGCGAACCAGATTCCTGATAAGCACCAGGCGAAGGTCCATAAGGAAAGCTCAAGAGGCCGGGGGCAGGGGCTGGCGTGGAGGTCGTGGGATGTTGGTTGAGAAACGAAGGAAACATTGACTCACGCTTTCCAGCATCAGCTACCCTACCACCGCCGTCCATGTTTCTGCCTCGGAGCAAGTCCTGATACAATGCATCATTGTTGTTCCTGCCGGCAGCGTTCGCGCCATAGCCGAGACCGCCGGTAGCGAATCCGTGACCTTGGCTAAACATGCCACCTCCGCTGACTGGTGGTGTGCCGGTAGCTTTCAACCCGGGTGGTGGCCCTTGAACACCGCTAGTGTAAAACTGGCCACCTAATGGCTGGTGCTGGGAGAGTTGGTGGAACTGGTTCGCGTTCTTGGGCATCATAGAGCTCTGCTGGCTCATCAGCTTCTGGTTTGCGACAGGCTGCACGGAAGCAGAGGCGGATGCGCTGTCGTTCGCGAAGCTGAACCGGGATGCGTGTCTCGCGTGACCGGGTGCGTTGCCGGCCTGAGCGTGGGTCGGCTGAGCTTGATTGTTCTGGAAGTTGGAGACGAGGCCAGCAGACTGAGGGCCGGACTTGAAGTTGGACAACAATAGGTGCTGCTGTTGCTGCGTCAGGCCTCGAGTATTGCCAAGGCCAAGGTTGCCGAAATCCTCTGCTAGGGAAGCGTTCTGTCCGAACAGGTTGCCACCCAGAGATTGTTGGCCAGGTGGTGCGATTGCATGTTGATTGGGCTGGCCTGTGCCCGTGTGGTGGCTCTCCTCAGGCTCGCCACCAAGCTGCAAGCTACCTCCAGCGGTTGTCTCATGCTCTTCTCCTTCAGCGGCAGCAGCTGGCTGCAGTTGTTGCTGCGATGCGGCCTGTGTCTCAGTTTGCCGCTGGGCGGCAACTTCCTTCTCCTTCTCTCTCATAGCGCGTCGCTTTGCGCCACCATTGGGATCCAGTATTTGTGGGTATTCAGTGACAGCTTTGAACTCTTCCTCGGACAGGACGGCGCTCGAGAATACGAATCTGAAATCGGGATCGGATATTGTTTTCAGGAGGCCATCGAAGCCAGAGATGCGAGGCTTGGGTGGACGTGGAACTGGTGGGGGTTGCGGTGTTGTTGACTTGGACGTCTGGGCTGACTTCTCCTTCTCCTTACCCTTCTTCTTCGACGTCTCCTCCGTCTTGCTTGCCTTCGATGCTTGGGGTGCCTGAGGGGCCAGGACAGCGTTCGTGGTCATCGGGCTAGGGTTGGACGCAGTCGTTGAGCGGCTCGCACGGCGTTCCTGCGCGGCTTTACTTCCCCAGCTTGCCGTCGCAGGCAAACCAGGCGTCTCTGTGGGACTTGAAGTATCGTTGCTGTCTTGCCGGTTCATTGGAGCCGACGCCGCTGCCACTGGGGGGCCATGGTGTGCCGGAGGGGCAGCTCGGCTGGTCAACGACTGTGCAGGTTGCTGGGTCTGTATAGAGTTCATCATGGACAGATCCTGCCGGGTGAAGCTGTCATTGTCTTCGCCGGGCTCGTGCAGGAACATGCAATTTCGGTTGTTGCATTGCTCCCCGCGGAGGTACGTAGCACAGTACTTGGTTGTGCCGTATTGGGCTCTATAGCAACGGTCAGTTGCTGACGGGTGCGCACGCAGAATGGTCTTACCTTAACGTCCTGTCGCCGTTCTGCGAGCCGTCCACGGCTGTTATGCACGCTGCGGCATCTTCCTTGCGAGCAAAGGTCACGTAAACCCCTACCGACTGTTGATGCTGTGCATTTTCCCGTGCCTTGCTCACGACAATCTTGACGATCTTGCCGTATTGCCCAAAGTATTCGGTTCCGCGTAGAGTATCGAGCAATCGATCCTCGCGAATTGTCGGCGTAAGTCCGGTCACGTAGACGAGGTTCTTCTGGACCACTCGGAGCCCCGCGAGATGTTTGCGGCTTAGCGAGTCGGCTTCCGCCTTCTGCGCCTCCTTTTGGCGCATCTGCGCATTCTTCTTCGCCTTCTGCGCTATCTGCTGCTTGTGCTTGGCCATCCTGCTCTGCGTTAGAAGCGACCAGGGTAGGAAGGCGAGGAATACGCACTCTTCGGGACTGATGTTCTTGAACTGTATTGTCGACTCATCGTACGGACGGCGACACGCGGGACACAGCCCATTCATCGTCGTCTTGATGTTGTTGAAGCAGAACTGACATATCTAGAGCACAAGATTAGCAACGGCAGCCCAGGGTGGCCTCACCGAGTTTTAGGGGACAGCCTACCTGGTAGCCGCAGGGACACGGGAAAAAGTTCTTGTCGGACAGGTCGAACTCCTCGACGCATAGCGGGCAGCACTCCTCCTCGTCATCGTCGACGAACTGGTCTTGCTGCATGCGAGACATGGTGGAGGGCGATGTGCGTTGTCAAAGCGTGATGGAGTGGCGTTCGAGCGAGCACGGGCGAGAGAAAAGCGGTGTTGGGTCGAAATGCCAAGTGAGAACACAGGAAAGCAGCCGCAAGAAAAGGGACGAACGCCGACCGTGAAGGGGAAGGGAAAGAATGATGCACTGGCGGTCGTGGATGGGGGCGTCGATGCGCAGGCCTGCAGAGCTGAGGTAGGAGGCTCTTGGCGACGCAGATCACGTGGAGGCTAGACCGGCTTGAGCTACCGGCCGCCCGACTCGCCTGGAGCTCAGATGTCGACGACGCCATCACCACACGCCGCCCTCACCTGCTGCCCGCGCTGCTCCCGCATACTCTCCACTCCCACAATGGCTCTGCGACAGGCCGTCGCCCGGCCATTGGGCGCCGCCGTGCGTTCGGCGGGCTGCTCTCGAAGCGCTGTGCGCGCCTTTGCATCGACAGCGCTGCGGGCGAAGGAGGTCGCTGCAGAGAGCTCTGAGACGCCCAACATGCGAGTGCGTATATCAATTGCAGCTTTTCCATAGCCCCGGGACTGACGCTATCTGCAGTTTGCTCCCCGCGACCCGCAGGGCAAGCTCAAGGCGGCCATCGTGAACCCGGCCGACAAATACCAAGAGAAGGGCGAGGCACTGCACAAATACGGCCAGTATCTCATGTCGTGTCTGCCAAAATACATCCAGCAGTATGCGGACTTTCTTGCCTAATTACAGGCCGGTCTGACGGAGTTCTAGGTTCTCCGTCTGGAAGGACGAGTTGACCATCTACATTCCTCCCTCCGGCGTCATTCCCGTCTTCACCTTCCTCAAGTACCACACCGCCGCCGAGTACACGCAGGTGTCAGACATCACGGCCGTCGATTACCCCACCAAGGACCAGCGCTTCGAGGTGGTATACAACATGCTGAGCATCCGGCACAATTCGCGCTTGAGGATCAAGACGTATGCGGATGAGGCAACACCGGTGCCCAGCATTTGCGATCTCTACGATGGTGCAAACTGGTATGAGAGGGAGGTTTATGACTTGTTTGGTGTATTCTTCGTCGGACACCCGGATCTGAGGCGCATCATGACTGACTACGGTTTCGATGGCCACCCGCTGCGGAAGGACTTCCCGATGACCGGTTATACTGAAATCCGATACGATGAGGAGAAGAAGAGGATTGTCGTGGAGCCACTTGAGATGACTCAGGCCTTCAGGAACTTCCGGGGAGGTTCGACCGTCTGGGAACCGGTAGGACCGGGTGACGACAGAAAGCCATCACAGGTACGTCTCACAGCATCTTTCCTATGTTCTTAGTTTCTGGTATATGCTGACCTATTCCCCAGTTCAAGCTGCCCACACCGAAACCCGAGCCGCCAAAGGAGGGCGAGCAGAAGAAATAGAAAAGCTAGACATGTACACTGTGTATATATCCATCGAATCAAAGCCCTGTATTTCAGCATCAGCATGAACCACATCCCACTGTCCGAAATCAGTCATTTTTGCGAGCCGACTTCTATCCAATCTGCACCTCGCTTGGCCTGCATGAATCATTCAGCCTAGCATTTGCTAATTCGGGTCCTCCGATAATCGCGTATCCCGCACTAATGCAGGACGTACAACGACTCATTAGGATACTACCCAAGGCCTCATACCCGCTTGCTGCGCTGACAAAGCCAGGTACCCTTTTCGCCAAGCTCTGCACCCCGCTTTCCTCATTTTCGCATGCAATTCCTCTATGTGAGGTAGGACACGGAGTTAGTCCCGCATTGCCGTGAGTCACGCCCTATAAATTCACCATGGCCGTACGCATTAGTCCCGAGGGGGATGGCCTCTCCAGAATCTGCCGTTTCACAGTCATTGTTCATGGTCGAAAGATTTCCACGTGCTCGTGTTCAGTGGAGTATAAATCAGACCATCTGCAATGCTTTCGTTTGGCCTTCTCTGTGCTCTCTGCCTTCTCACACTTTCCAGTCTTTCCAACATGACCTACGCAACGAAGACCACCGCCGTTCCTCCGTTCAACCTCTCCTCCCCAGCGGGAACCGACATTTGGCGCAAGCCACCCTCCCACAACGTCATGACGGCGCCCACAAGCCCTTCTCCACTCCCTCTGTATGAGCTGAAATCCTTCCAACGCGCCCGCCTCACCTTCGCCCTTCCCCCCGCAAATCAACTCCGCCAATACGACCAAGCGGGCCTCCTTCTCCACTTCACCAAGCCCGGTCTCGAAGAGGGAAAAGACAAATGGATCAAAACGGGCGTCGAATTCTACTACGGGAAACCATACCTCAGCACCGTCGGCTGCGACGCATGGGCGGATTGGAGCGTGGTTCCCCTTACCCCGTTCGCTTCGAACGAGTCTAGGCCCACGGCGACGGTAGAAGCACGCCGCGAGAGAGATCAACTGGGTAAGAGTCTGTGGGTCTATCAGATTATCAGCGACGAGCAGGGGAAGGAGGTTGAGAGACGCCCACTGAGAGAAGTTAATTGGGTGTTTGCGGATGAGGACGGGTGGAATGTGGGAATTGGTGGGTATGTGTGTAGACCGACGACGGAGGGCGGGGAGGGGCTGTTGGAGGCGGAGTTTGAGGAAGGGGTGCTGGTTGAGGTCCTGGATTATGAGACTAAGGCGTGAGGAAGGGGATTAGGAAGATGTGGAGTCGGTTTACGGGCTGATCTCGCAATTGGATCGGAAAGAAATTCAATGGACATGGGGAAACTCCTATGAAATTGAATTAGAGGTATAAATATGAACGTCGAATAAACTCCTGCACGCGGCTTAGCGCCCAGAAACTTCACATGCAGGCTCCAGGAGGCTGAAGAGATCCCATCATATGCGCGCCACACTGTCCGAGGCAGTTTGTTGAAACATGGCAGGGATGCCTTTGCACTAAACTCTAGAAGTATATTCCCGGAGCGCCTACTGCCCGTGGTAGGACGACGAAACTCGAATTGATTGACTTCGGGCCAGGAATACCTAGGTATCGTAGGGACGATCGCTTCCCCGCATTTTCCGCATCTAGATCACTACAAGCATTACTTCTATTGACACAAGGATACAGAGCGCTTGTATGTTTGTAAACGTTCATGGCCTCTAAGTAGCAATATATTTAACCGGGTAGTCGCCCGTACTGGCTGCTATGAGTCCGGCCTATTCTTCCATCCCATTTTCATCAAATATGCATCCCATTATTAGCCTTCTGTACTTGGTTCTTTTCTTAGCATTTGTGTCTGCAGTACCTATTGAGGAGCAAGCCAAACGACAAAACGCCGAATTCGACTATGTGATCATCGGTGGTGGAACCGCAGGCCTAGCGCTCGCCAATCGCCTTTCTGAAAATGCAAGTGTACAAGTCGCAGTCATTGAAGCGGGTAGCTTCTACCAAATCACTGATCCGCTGCTGTCTTCGACACCTGCTGGGGATGTTATCTGGGCTGGAGCTAGCCCTCTTGACTCAAATCCGCTTGTGGATTGGAATTTCATCACTGAACCTCAAGCCGGCGTGAACAATAGACAGCTGCACTATGCGCGGGGGAAGTGCTTGGGTGGAAGGTAGACTTGCTGTTGTTTCCTTGGCTACCGGATGCTGAAACTGATATTTCGACAGCTCCGCTCGCAATTTCATGATCTACCAACGCGGCGACAGGGGATCATACCAACGCTGGGCAGACGAGGTCGATGATCAGTCCTATACTTTCGACAACCTCCTCCCGTACTTTAAGAAGTCGATCCAATTTACTCCGCCGAAGTCTCCCCCCCGCGCAGCGAATGCCTCGACCGAGTACAACGCGGCGGCATTCGACCCCGCGGGTGGACCCCTTCAGGTCTCGTATGCCAACTATGCGGGACCGTTCTCCAGCTACATGGAGGGGGCTCTGAATGGAATCGGCATTCAGTCAGTCCAGGATTTCAACTCTGGAGAACTCCTGGGCGCCCAATACTGCTCCTCGACGATCGACCCGTCAGGCCAGGCCCGCGACTCTTCGCAAACATCGTTCCTGGATGCTGCGAAGGATCGAGCGAATCTCAAGGTCTACCAAGCCACTCTTGCGAAAAAGATCGTTTTCAATGAGGACAAACGGGCAACTGGCGTCGTCATCTCCACCGGTGCTACGATCTCCGCCCGAAGTGAAGTCATTCTATCTGCTGGTGCCTTCCAGTCTCCCCAGCTCCTCATGGTCTCTGGGATAGGCCCTGAAGCAATTCTGGACGGCTTGAACATCCCCATCATCGCCAACCGGCCTGGTGTCGGCGTCGGCATGCAAGACCACATCTTCTTCGGGCCAAGCTACCGCGTCAAAGTCGACACTTTTACCCACCTGGCCAACGACCCTGTGTACCTTGCCGCGCAATTTGCAGTTGACTACTCCATTCTTAAAGAAGGCCCGCTCACAAACCCCGTTTGTGACTTCCTCGGCTGGGAGAAAGCGCCCAGAGACCTCATCACTCCGGAGGCCGCCGCAGTGCTAGACCAATACCCAGCCTCGTGGCCCGAGATAGAGTACCTCTCTGCGCCTGGCTACGTGGGAGACTTCCAGGATCTTCTCTTGCAGCAGCCTAAAGATGGGTATCAATACGCAACAATCCTCGGCGCCATCGTCGCACCCCAATCCAGAGGAAACGTTACCATCACGTCGGCGGATACTTCTGATCTCCCCCTCATAAATCCAAACTGGCTCACCGACCCTACAGACCAATCCGTCGCGCTAGCACTCTACAAGCGCATCCGCGAGGCCTTCAACACAACCGCTATGCGTGCCGGACTCGCCGACCCCGTGGAATATTTCCCTAGCCCCGACGTGGAGACGGATGAGCAGATCTTGAATACGATAAGGGATACGCTGCAGACTGTTTGGCATGCGAGTTGCACTTGTAAGATGGGTCGGGCGGATGATGAGATGGCGGTTGTGGACAGCAAGGCGAGAGTTATTGGCGTGGAGGGTTTGAGGGTCGTGGATGCGAGTTCTTTTGCGCTGCTGCCGCCGGGCCATCCGCAGAGTACGGTTTATGTGCTCGCGGAGAAGATTGCGGAGGAGATTAAGACGGGGGTTTGACGAAGCGGGAGAGCCGTGGAAATAATGAGTTGTGATCGACAGGCCAAATTGGGCTAGAGGAACCACTTCCGATGTCAATGTTCCTCTATCCTTTCATTCTGAACAGCCAAATCAGTGGTTCTCCATGGTGACTGCATCGCATTTTTCTATCAACCTCACACGTCGGGGTCGCGTTCGGCTCGGTTCGAAAGATGCTGGCCCGGAGTGGCTGAGTCTGGCCTCCGGCCCTAAGCCAATCTTGGAAAGCGAACATGCAGCTGAGCTTCAGCCTTGCCAATCTTCATATTCTTATTCCCCTCAGGCTACAACGTTTCCATTCCCTCGAGACAGCAGCCATGCAGGAATGGCGGACCCGCTTTCCATCGCTGCCAGCGTCATCACCCTAATCCAGGTCTCGGCCCAGGTGACCGTCCTACTCAAGCAGTTCCGAGACGAAGTGAGTGCCGTGGACGCGACGCTCAATGGGCTGCTCCAGGATGTCGAGGGCTTCCAGCAAGTGCTAGAGTCCATGAAAGAGACGTTCGAGCAGGAGGACATCAAGGCGAATCTGCAGGCTACAGGGCACGTGGGAAATCATTGGAAGAATCTCGCGCGTTCGTTGAGAGACGGGGAGGGGACGCTCCAGCAGGTGCACGGTCTGCTAGATGCCGTCAACAAGACCACCTCCTTCCTCGACGGGCCACGGAAGCAGCTGCGCTTCAAAGCCGCGGTTGAACAGATTGCCTGCTATCGAGAGCAGATACAGTCGTATCGGGGCGCACTTCAATTATCGCTCAGCACCATCATTTTGTAAGTCTATTATCTGCTTTTCATCGTCTCATGGCCACTACTTTTGCTGTTTCTAGAGCCAGCAGCGCTGTCCTCGCAGCCCTGGCGGATTTGCAGGCGGGCGTGGGGACATGCCATTTGGGCTCCGATTAGCCCCTTGAAGCCCTCCAGGCGGGGATTAACGAAGGCTATTTTGCTAACTGCCGTAGATGGAACCAAGTTACCTTCCAAAAGTCAACTGATAGCATACCGGAGAAGATCCTGCCGAATCTAGACAAGCTTTACGACGAATTCCGAAATCTCGGCATAGCACTCAACGCTAAAATCGAGAATTTGCAGGCTATGGTATCGGATAGCAACCGCCAGGAGCTGGACTCTATGAATAACCTAAGAGAATGCGTCCGCTCGGCGGCTGACGTCGTCTCTACAGCTTCCACCACTCTTACGGCTGAGACTAGTGATAAGGCGTCAGTAAAGTTTGGATCAGACTTCGGTGACATCTTCCCGAGCGCAACGAACGAAACAGTTGTGAGATGGATGCGTGCAAACGTTATTCATGAGTACGACGATGCCGAAGCCCCGCCGCTGCCATCGGAATCTAGCCTTGGTGACGCACCCACTGAGTACCAGTCAGACAGCGACTCTGATATCGAAAACGAGATGGTTCGAGCATTGCTCAGTGATGGCAAGGTACGTAGGTCGCGCGTTATAGATATCAACACATCTTTAGCTCTTTGTTGATGCGGAAACCGCCCTCAGAAGGCCTTCCACGGGGAAGGCCTGATAGACATTCGCTAATGTACCGCCGCATTCGCAGAGACGGAAAGACCAGGGAGACCTAAGCGGAGCGGTTCGTCATTTCAAGAATTGCCTTTCTAGGATAAACTCGAACGGCAGCTACACTTCCCTGCAGAGTGCCGCGTCCAGCAGCGTGTCGAAAGCCGAGTTGCTCGAACTACTTACCGAAACTTACTGCCTCCAGAGCGCTTGGTCTAGCGCGAAGGCAACAATGCTGGAAAAGCTTCAGATCACTGAGCGCCAGGTCGGCAAGAAGAACGAACGGTATCTCGGTGATACTCTAAGACTTACAGAGCTCTTGGTTAACAACAAGGAGTACGTAGAGGCACATCTGCAAGCCCGCAGGTCGCTCCGTGGTTTCAAGAAGCTCGGAGAATCAGGGTTCTCCGGCTACGAGCGCTCTCTGCAACTTCTTATCCGCCTCTGCAAGGACGACGGGAAACTAGATGAGGAGGAGGGGTATGCAGCGCTTCTTGCGAGCCATGAAACGAGAGTGAAGGGTTCTCCGTCGACGTCTAGAAAGAAGCTTCAGGACCGTCCAGCAGCGGTAACCGCTGCCATCGACCAACCGCTGGATCATGATACCCATGAGCCGGCCAAACCACTGTCGATTGTTTCTTCTCGGCAAGATATAGAGTATCCTCTCACCCCGATGCAAGACAGTCTTTCGACCCCTGGTGAGCTTCCTCGGGCCCAACAGCCTCCCGCTAGCAGCCAGCCTTCCACTGCCACCCAGTCACGGTCCTCTACCCCCAAAGCTACTTTTACAGAAGCCGAGATCGAGCCACAGAGAGCACACTTTCCAGAGCAAGAAACATCTTTTATCAACGAAAAGGAGGAGGTCAGTCCCTCTCATGATCCAGATAGCGCACCTAGCTCTTCTACCCAGCCCGGCATAGAGGTTCCTCCACACACATCCCAAGCAACTTTGGAGACTAAGGAATCACATTTGGAGCAAATAGAGGAATTGCCCATTCCAATACCTGATATCAGCCCTACAGGTCATGTTATCCCGGATCCGTCAGCCAACTTGATGAACCCCGTGAGCTTTCTTCCGGATGTTCCGTCTATTACACTTTCCCCTGTATCCAACTACGGCCTATCTTTGGAGCAAGCGACGTCTATGGCTGGGAGACGCGACACCAACGGATCGGAAGACAACGCTTTGCGTCGCAGCATATCCGCTCCTTATTCTATTAGGTCTGAACGTGGAACCGCGGCTCTTCCGCCTCCCGAACCTGAATGGATACGGGGCGATGATCAATCTCTGCAGCGTTTCCCGGTATCTCCGAAAGAGGACAGTATTGCGCGAAAGTCAGAAAGGCCGGAGGATCACGGTTCACATGATGCCAGTCCTGACATTGCTAGCCCATCAGAGACCCCAAAGGCACCATTTCAGCCATCCGGCACCCACGCATACCACCAACGATCCGCTTCCGACACGGTTCACCAAGGATCTAAAGAACCCCTTCGTGGCTGGGACCCACTTCCTGTTCGACCATACGACCGACCAGGCTGGTCACTAGAGAAGAGCTCCCGTCGAGATGAGCCACGAGACAACCGAGGCTTCTTGCTTTTACCAAATGCTCCAGATGCTCCTACAGCTACGAACTTTCCCGAATGTCGTATGTGCGGCGCCGATCTGCGAGAACTATCAGACGAGACCGCATCGCGTCATGTCAGTTACTGCAAGGGTTCTGTAAGACGTAAGCCAGTAACGTCGATGGGGGACCCAGAAGCAGCTCTCGGTCCTACGATAGTGGGAGTATCCACTTCGCTAACTTCAACTAAGAAGAGTGTTCCTGTTGGGAAGTGGGAATGTTGCAATTGCGGATCGCTGAGATCAAGCAATTTCTGGGATACAAAGTGTGGCTATTGCGGTCATCTTCGAGATTCGACCTGTAGGAGCTCCGGATCGGCCGTGTGGACCGATCTCGGGCCCATTCCTACCCCTATTGAAAAGCTAACGCGCAGGAAGGTGGTCCTCTTAGGAGACACTATGTGTGGAAAGACGTGGCTTGCCTTGTAAGTGGTCCTAGTTATGCTCAAAACCACCTCCGCAGGCGCAAATGGCGATAAAGCCAATCACGCCTCATTTCCTCCCTGTCATCACCATGAATACACCTTTCTATTATCCCATCATGCGCCTGCTAACCAGCAGCAGGGCTTGGAGCAAAGGCGGAACGCCAGGGCCTGACTCAGCTGCCGAATACACAAGCTTCAACAACTTCATCAAAGAGATCGTCGTGGAAGGAATCCAAGTTGAACTTGTCATCTGGGACAACACGGGCATGGATGGCTACGAAAAGCTACGTCGACTCTCGTATGAAGACGTGCACGTAGTGCTGCTGTGCTTCGACATCAGTGACCAAGATTCCTTCGATAATCTGAGGCACCTGGTAAGCACGAGGCAAGGTCCCGCCTTTCATCTCCGAACTAATATGCAATAGTGGAATGTCGAAGCCGATACTTACCTCAAGAAGGTTCCGAAGATACTCGTAGGATGCAAGAAGGAGCTGCAAAATGATGTGGCTACTCTGAGGAGTCTGCGGGAAAGTGGGCATCGCCCGATCTCTACGAAGAAGGTGTGTCCAGGGCCCTGCAGTATGAGAGAGCGCCTTGCTGATTTCGCTCGCGCAGGCGGAAGCATTTGCCTTAGAAATCAATGCACTGGCCTACCTGGAGACCTCCGCGGTACAGAAAAGTGGGCTGGATGAGCTGTTCGATTACGCGGCAAGAGCTGCGCTGACAAGAGGGCCATCGAAGGGCAAGAAGGGAATCCGGCGATTTCTTTCGAGGAGTGAAATGAAGTTCAAGAGTTGATATCCCCGCTTGGCCCTTAGGAATCATGCAAAGCTTCAGTGGGCTTAGCATAGCACGAATGGTCTCGGGATAGGGACAGGAGATCCCTAGGAGGCATGAAGAGCAGCCCGAGGTTGAAGCTGGGTGAAAGCCGGGGTGTGACCTTAACGAGACAGTTGGCACGAGCTGGAGCCCGATGTTTCACGTCGTTTTCAGCAAATGGTTTCTAAGTGTAAAACATTCACTAGTCGCCTATTGGGCCGAGCTTGGAAGATTCTGGAGTGGAACTGGCTGCAACTTATTTTCCTCCGTCGCTACCATGGGAACTCAACTTCTACCGCTGCTTCCAGCAATCAACCATCATGGCGAGCTCGCATGTTCTCGTCTTGATCGACGGCCATAGCCATCCCGTAAGTGCGCCTCCTTTGCCCTTTACCAGTACTCACGCGCGCAGTTCCTGAACAAGCAGCTGAATTACGGCAAGATGTCCGCAGCAACTCTCCTTCGTGAGGCCGTGGACGAGTTCTTGCCCACCGTCAGCCACGTTCCGAGCGAATACCGACTTGTAGTCCGAATCTACGCTGACCTAGCGTCTCTGAACTACGGCGCCGGAGCAAATTCTCCTCCTACCGTAGATGCTTCTAGTAGTATCGCGTCACGCCCTCTCGCGTCCTTCGCGGCTGAGTTCTCGTGCCCTGAGCCCTTCTTCGACTTCACCGACGTGGGAAGCAGAGAGGCTGTGGAATCCAAGATCGAAGGTGCGTTCGTGTTCTGACCTTACCTAAGTAGCTACGGATATGATTAACGCGTACATATAGGGATGTATGCGGTAGCAGTTCAGGATCCCGCCTGCAAGCATATCCTGCTTGGAGCATGGGAAAAGCCGACATATATCTCGATGCTCCAGTTGCATCGCGAGAACGCCGCGAAAGTGACGCTTATTGAGACTAACAGGATGGGTCCGGGCGTGAGCCTGCTGCTCTCAGAACGCCATCTTCCATACACGACTGCCACATTTCCCAACGTTTTCCGCAGACCGTCCCAGAAGGACCGCGCTACAGCCCACCATGCAGGTATCGAGAGCGCTGAAGAAACCATGAAAATTAAGCAGGAGACTGGTTCGTTACGGCTGGATATTCGCTCCATCTTCAGTGTACGTTCGAGACCGTCCAGAGCGCCTCTGCATCCTTTGGTCGGAATCAACCAATGAGTTGAAGTCTATCACGATGCCCCGAGAGGAAATAGTCGACTGGCTTGTTTTGACCAGTCGTGCCAATGCACCACGCTAGGGAAATTCGCTAACCTCACATGACAGGAGCTATTCGCTACAACCACTGCACCTCAGCCGCTGCCCGCTGCCCGCCAGCCAACGCAAGTAGACAACCCACCTCGGTTTCGTCTCCCGCCCCAAGCCAATCCGGGCTATGTCCCTGTAAACAAGAATGGCGAGCGGCTCGATGTCTACATGCGTCAACCCACGAAAGAACAATTCGCCGCATACCAAAGGCGTGTCGCACAAACTGGCAAGCCTTGCAACGAGTTCTACCTCCATCCACCGTGCGAAAATGAGAACTGTCCATATGATCATTCTCCTACAGATGGCGATATACGCTATGTGCATATATGGATCGTCAAGTCCACCCCGTGTACCGACGGATCACGGTGCCGCCGCGCTAACTGTTCGTTCGGTCATGTGTGTCAGAAGCATGGATGTAGGAAGAATGTGGATAAGGCAAGGGAGTGCAACATGAAGGACTTCCATGCTGTGGATCCCGTGTATGTGGAATGGGTTCCAGAGGACGCGGGATACGCGATGAAGGCATCCTGAGCTGGCCCCCAACTGGGGCTTTGGGACCTCCGCGCTCTTTATGAGGATCTAGCAATAGCGCTTGCTGGATCTTATTGACCACTGCTGGAGGGTGCTTGATAGGATATTTCGCTATGAAATGGAGCAGGCTTGTGGCCACTATGAGACTTAGAATCCCTTCTCCGACCATTGCTGCTACCGCCATAATCATTCTTTCCACTTGTTCCTTCATGGCGCCTAATCCCTTACGTGTTGCCGATACCCCACTTCGCGATACGTGTAGAGCAAAATGGTGTGCGAAATGATGATGGGCAGAAGCAAGCGCGCCGTTCCCAGGTGTCTTCATGCAGCAGCTGGTACTACATGTGTTATAAGAACCAATACGGGAGCATCGCGGCGCTGGATCCTCTTTTTTTTTGCAGCGAGGCTCGCCTCTGCCGCCTGCACACTGCGGCACCCAAAAGACGGAATAGCTTCCCTCCGCGCCTCCCACCTCCGGCAATGGACGCTGTCTCTCGGGCGAGCGGTAGCTTAGCAGTAAGTATAAACATTCGGCAATATGGCGACGATGTAGATGCACAGAGCGATTCGCCCGAAGCAGTTTCAGCGGACTAGGATCTGAAGAAGCGAAAAACCTGTTTGCCGTTTTCGCCATACCCGCCGATTGTAGAGTGGTCCTGTGGGGCCCGGCAGATGCTGAGGAAGCTTATTTCGACGTCCCCATGCCACACCTGCCGAAAGCGTTGGCTTGGAGTGATGGGATCCCTCCCTGCGGTTGACTCTTTGTTGGAGGTTTGTTGGCGAGCAAAAGATCAAGCTGTTAAGGAGTTTACAACTTCACCGGCCACGGTAATGACAGATTGAACTTTACTAATGGAGAACTAGATAATACAAAAGAGTGACTCTTCCGCCCAGTCAATCAATCAATCAATCAAGACTCCGTGCGACTACCACCAGTCCTCAAAGCCCGGCACTATCTACGATTTCAACTTACGCGTAGGTAACCGCAGCGCCTCCCGGGAGCTCTTTAATCCAGCTTCCGTCCTTTCCAACGTCTTCGACGACTTGCTGTTTCTTCTTGCACGCCATGGAGTCCTTAGCGGACTGGATCTTGAGAACGCTGCAGTTGGCGTTGGCGCACCTGCCGGTCGGTAGAGCGTCCATGGCCTTCTGCAGAGAGTCGTCCTTCCATCCAAAGAGGTAGTCACCATGCTGGCCGTATCCGGTACTATCGTCGATGTTAGTAACCTCGTAATCTATACATAGAGTCGTTGGTATATGGTACTTACGCATCGCCGAAGCTGTACACGAAAGGCTGCTTGCCGTTACCGTACCACGCATCATTCTTATATCGACCGGTGTCCCACATAATCTCGTACATAACCTGAGGAATAGAAACGGGGTGAGTGGACGGGCACTTGGGGCTACCGAGGCCGCCACTGTTGGAATAGGCAACGTGGCTCTTGTGGTCTGGGGAGTCGAGATTCTTTCCATCCCAGCATGACGGAAAGATGATGGTGGCTCGGATACCCTTGGGGCAGTACTTGTTCGGGAGCTCGCCAGTATCTTTAGCGTCGCATGGCGCAAAGCCTTCGCCGTTGCCGAGGCAGCGGTGGCAGATGGAGACCCTGTTGTTCTTCTTGGACATGGGGTCTCCTGCGATCATGCGGAAGCCCGGCTTGAAGGCCGTCATTTTGTTGTTTACGGCGCTGTAGGGCATGTAGTACACCGTCATTCCGCCGTCCTGCTGGAGCCCGACGTTGGCAAACTGGGGAACGCGCTGGAAGGTGCCGTTTTCGGGCGACCTGAAGTACAAAGAGGCGGTCCAGTAGTTGCTGAAGTCTTCAGAGTAGGTGCACGTCGTGCAGGTGGACTTGGCGGGCGGATCGTATACGCCTGGTTCCATCTGAGCCATGTTAGTGGTAGTTGTCAATGATATGCGTGTGCGCTACCGTAAGGTTGAAGGAGTTTCCTCCAATGATCTGATGCGTGTGGGGTGCGGGGGCTTGTCCAGGAGTGACGAGCGGGTCAGCACGCTCGATGGTGAGTTGCGAGCAGGCAAAGCGAAGCATGTTCTGCGCAGAGACAGACTGCCCCAAGAGCGCGCCGGCGGCGAGGGCGTTCCAAAACATGGCGAAGTCCTTTTGCGTGAAGTCTCGAAGCGAATGTGGCGATGCGCAGCGAAGAGATCTTGCCGGCTTCTTAAGTCGAAGGCAGGCCTTTTGACTGATCCCGTAGATCGATCTGTAGACCAAGGCGTAGGTGTGGGGCGAGACGTGCCGAGATGATGGTGCCCGCCATTGAAATTGTTGGTATCATGGGGTGCATTCAATGTCTAACGGAAGGGAGCCAACTAGAAGGTTGGAATTCGAAGGAGTCGTTTGTTTTGATGAAGTGGTTAATTTGTAGAGTTAGCCGGCAGTTGACGTTCGAGTGCCGAAGGAGGTACTATAAGTCGCATTTCAAATGCTGTGCCCTGGTCAGTATTACCCTCACAGTACTGCTACATTTGGCAGGTGCTAGACTCCTTGAAGTAATTATATGCAGCATGGCCGCTCAAGTCAAGGCGGGGGCCGTCGGTTCTTAAGCCAGGTCGGCGTATAGGGAGCAGGGCTACGCTTCGGGGCAGGCGTTATTACGCGCTAAAGGGCTTACTCAGCCGCGTGAGTATCGCGACGTTCCAACTTCAGGACTTCTCTCTTCACGATGAGGTTGGTCCTGAATATTGTGCCTCTCAGGCAGCCCCTGGAGGCCGTAGTATAGTTTACTTCGGGACGTTCTCCCCATCGACAATGGCGGACGTTTCCTCTCGGTTCCAGCGTTCTGCAGTTGTAGTATTCGGACGTGGCCTACCCCCTGATACTCAAAATGGCTTCATAGAACGAAACTGGCTTTCGTTCTCCATGCCTCCAACTCTAGGACCCGGCGTATCTTTTAGGTACCGCTCTGGAGAGACGGGTCGCTCTTTCGTGTTGGAAGTGGCATCCGCGCCTGCACACCCACCAGTCCTTCCTGCCTTTCTCCACTCCTCACCCTTATTTTCCTGCTGAATTCCATAGCTACTAGCTAACGCCTCACCGCCGTTCACACCCCACCGGTCCTTGTTCGCATACCGGCATGCCATAATTTCGACTCTGCAAAGCGACTCCTGAAGGCCTTCAACCAGCAATCCGCACGCCCCGCCCCGCAGCGGCCGAGGCGGTGTGCGGCTCGGGGTTGAGAGCGACGCAGTGAAGTGCGCTCCAACCCCGCCGAATCAGCCCATTTCGGCAAGACCGCGAAAACGTCAACAAACAGGCCTCACCCGGAACCTTTTTCACCCGCCCGCAACACATTCGGCGGGTTGGAAACACCTCGTCGCCTCGCTTCTCGCCAGTATCTTCGCCATATACCGTTTGTGGCAGAATGGATCCTCACGAGAAGTTGAAGGAAATTGAGATTGACGCGGCGAGAGCTGTCGGCAAGATCGAAGTATGCCTCAAAACAAACGTCGCCGGATAGTGTATGCTGACTTCGAAGTAGGCGCTAGCCGCAGAGTCGGACGGTATCTTAGATATCGCAGCCCGCTTCAAGAGCATTCTCGAAGAATATAGACATTTGGCGAGAAGTATTCAGAGCCCCGAGGCGGAGGAGCGCGCCGCAGAGAGCGCAGCGCAAGGAAGCCCGTATGCGGTCCTCCTACTGGACGGAAACGCCATCACAGTACGTCACCGTTCCCTGCTTACAGAACCCGTCTAACTCAAGAAGCACCAAATCAAGGAGGAGCACCTGCGCGCCAATAGCAGGGGCGGTACGGGCGTGGCCCAGCTTCTTAACGATGAGATGATCGACCACTTTCGCAACGTGGCGGAGGTACCGCACAGTAGTCGCCTTGTTATCCGTATCTTTGCCGACCTGAAGGAGGTTTCGCATATGGCGATCAAGGCCAAGTTGGTGGATCCGAATGGCCACCCGCGAGTTCTGGCGCCGTTCGCGGCGAGCTTCAATGCGGTATCGCCGTACTTCGACTTTGTCGATGTCAGTGACAAACATAATGTTAAAGTTAAGGTATCCGGTAAGTGTCCGCTCCCCGAATTGAGTTTGTCAGAGGCAGCCCAGAGTGTTCCAGCGTACTCTCTCAAATATAAAAAAACCAGTCTCTAATTCGCCATTCAGAGAACTTCCAACTGTTCGCCAAAGACCAGAACTGCAAGCGCATCATCTTCGGCATTGGTTCAGTAAAAACCTACGTAGACATGCTGGAATCCTATCAAGGATACAGGAGCAAGATCGACCTCCTCCGCGCCGGCAACGTCGACCCGGCATATGAGGGTTTGGGGTTCAAGTTCATATCCTTCCACCGGGTGTTCCGGCCTGGACCTCGTTCTGAGGGTGGCCTCACGTTCGCGTCGGCGTCACCCATCGTAGTCCGGGACCGCAATGGCGTGTTGAGGCGCTTCCATTCGGAGGGATCGAGAAACGTTAACGGTAGCCTGAAGGCCTCCAGCGATTCAATCGTAAGTATTTCGCCTGGTATGATGTGGTGAGGTTTAGCAGCGTACTAACGCATTAGTATAGAACAATCCCTACGACCTCCCCACAACCGCGGAACACGGCCTCATCCCCGTCAATGCATTGGGCCAGCGCATCGACCTCCACATCGCGCCACCCGGTGAATCCATCATGCGCGCATTCAACAGTGGCTTCGCTCACAAGAAACCATGCACGCCCTTCCACATCCACGGCAAGTGCGACCGCACGCCTTGCCAGTTCGATCACAGCCCTCTTAGTAATTCTCAATCTCACTGCTTGCGGTATACTCTGAAGAAGGTACCGTGCACGAAGGCAGGCCGATGCCGTAGGATCGACTGCTACTATGGCCATGTGTGCCAGAAGGCTGAGTGCAAAGACTGCCGGAAGATGGAATGCAGGATGCCGCCTGCGATGCATAGCATGGATCTCAAGGTTGCTGCTTGGGTGGATCCTGACCAAGGCCGTGTGGGATCTCGAGGGACGTCAGAATCTGGGTTGACGGGGAAGATCGAGGGCAGTAAAGGACACCGAAGCGCTTCAGGACCCGTGATGATGATGGAGGATGTCCCCATTACGGAGCCGCTGATCGACCTCTCGTAAGCCGAGATATAGGTGGCATAGACGGACGGTGACTAGATAGGAGACAGCCATGCCAGGAGCCATGGGCGATGGATGCATACCAGCATGCAGTAGCTCGAAAACATGATAATAACTCTTTGGGTTTACTAGCCCTAGCGTGAAATTTCTTAGACCGTGTGTTGGAGTGTATGCATTACGCACGACGCAGAGCAAAAGCAGATCTCTACTTGTTACTCATTTTGATGTTTCAAATCACCTGCACAACGCTAGCACATATCTCGCATCCCATCCCCTTCGCCTTTCGCCCTTCGCCGTTCTCCCTTCGCCCTTCTCATTCTCCCTTCTCGCCAACCGAACAAGCAAAGACAAGTCAGCCTCAGCCTCAGCCTCGGACAACCGCCTCATTACACGCACATTCCGACGCCATCTCGGATCTGAAACGTAGCTCTGCTCTGGGCAGCAGCCCACCTCCCTTAGCCGGTTGGCGTGGCGCTCAAAAAGCAACGTCTGTACGTAGTACTTAGCCGCTAGCTTAGCTGAAGCCAGATCCACAAGGCAAAAAAAAGGAAGTACAAGATCTTCGTTCCGATCGGATCGCATTCCGATCGCGCGACGCTAGCTAGCGAGCGAGCGAGACGTTGGTTCAGCCGCATGGCATCGCATGGGAAAAAGAAAAAGTGGGCTTTGTGCTTGTCTGGAATAGGAAAATGGCGTGCTGGGATGGAAGAAGGAATGGGAGATTATTGGTGTGAGCGAAAGTTTGGGTTCCAGTAGTAGGTAGTCCGTCGTCGTTGTTGAAAAGGCGCCCCTGTGCACGCACGCTACGCAGGACGCGAGAATTTCCGATACGGGAAAGTTGGGAGGGCGAGACGGCGCAGATGTGCTGGAGAAAGAGGGATTAGGAGCGGCACTTGCTCCTTCGTCTCCTTTATTAGTCCTTCGGTTGAAGAAAAGCTGCGTCGTGGCATGCACGCTCGGAGTGGAACAGCGACGGGGCTAGGGAAGTCTGTAAACGGCTAGCTGGAGATCTAAATGCATGTGCCGAGAGCGCCAATCGAAGATGTCGCGGTCATCCATCTGCCACGGTCGCACAAAAGGGGATGCGACACCGCAGTCCTAGACGTCGGCGTGCATCTGTTGAGAAGCGTGGCCATCCAGATCCGTCTCTCCCAATCCGGGCGGTCGATCGATCTCTCCGCCGTCCGCCACCGCGGAGAGAGGCTCAGCCGAGTATAGATATTAACTGCACATGGTGCTGAACAGTGGAGAGCGTGTAGATTTCAAATATCGTCGGGGATCAAAAGTTTGGGTCGGAAGACGGGCTACATATTATTGTATGACGACGAGTGGAGGCACGTCCATGGGTAAGGAAAATAGAGGTGTTTGAACGGCCACTGCAAACACCCTTCGGCTAACTTCCCGGTTGGGCCACGTGCGTCGCCATGTGCAGGTATAGATTAATAGCATGTGCGTGATGCTGGTGTCGATATTGCGATCTGGCTGACAGGATTGGATAAATGAGATGGGCTTACAGGGGGCGTACAAGGCGGCGACGGCCCATTGAGCGTTCCTCGGCGTGCCGTGATGATGTCTTGGGTCGAAAGATACCGCTCGTAGGATGATACGTAAGTAGAGGGCGAGGTTGGTCTGCGGGGTATGAGACATGCAGGAGGTGCTAACGGCGGCCAGACCAAGCGGAAGGATAAAGCCGTGGGGAGAAAAGGTTTTCCTCCTTTGGGTTGCTTAGTGTTGTGCGCTTGTATCGACAGTCTGTTCTCGTCAATGGCTGATAGAAGCTGTGGATGTTTGTCGCACGCTGGTATCCTTCAGCTCTAATATAGCCGCCGCTAGGATATTAAATTGAGATCGAGCCCATTTGGAAATATCGTGAGGCTGCGCATACGCACTCTTTCTGTTCAACGGGGGCGTATCGGTAACACGATGGCCTGTCTTGGGACCTTCAGCACTGGGTTCGGATAGGAGGCTCAATAAAGAAGCTTACTTCGCCATACTGATATAGTTCCAAGGGGATGTCATCGTAGTGCAAAAGTGAGTGTCGATCTGAGCTTCCCCGCTCAGTACACCTTGCGAACCACTACCGGTTGGACTCGGTGAGTACAACAGCTTCCAGCCTCGTGTTTCCCGGGATTCAGTCACCGATTGCAGGGCTGTCCATTGAAGCTGACACAGGTTTACCGGGCCAATGTCTTAAGCCAGTTGGTGGAGGTAGTGGCCGATGTGGTCACCGATCCTACCCCCCCGAGCATATTGAGACCCTTACGTCCCAACCAGAGAGCCTCCCCGCAGCCTTGCCGTTCATAGCACGAGCCATCATCGTACAAAAGGTTCCACGCGATATTCTCGTGGTTGGAATCCACGCGTCTGATGTGAGAGCGATCTCGCTTGGTAACCCGAGGCTAAATTTAGGTTCCCGGTATGCGTGAGGCTGGATTGAGGCTCCGGGAGGAATACAGCGACGAACGCGAGGCTTGCATCTATTGATGACAGACCTTTGGGCCAGTATTTCTTTTGGTAGAGCGTCGAAGCGGACCCGAAGTCCGCTGCCAGATGCATCGGCTGGACGCAAGTAAGAATCTGGGGGCATGCTAGCGATTTGTTCTCATCGATCCACATGAACTAAATATTGGCGGATGAAGTGTAGGATGTCTCTTTTCATGCAGAGACTCGATTAGTCTGAATGATTCGGGATGAGATAGAAAATAGGGTCGAGACGAAGCTGTACCGTGGTACATCTCTCAGCCGGAATATGAGTGGTTATGTTTGGAACAACAGACACCAATATCCACACCGCTGGCTCCGCCAACGGCGCTCATACTCCCAAAAACCAAATCTCCGCTTACACGAGAGTAGGGTTTGATACCAAGGAATTGGATAGGAAGGGATCGGCGTCCGACCTTTGTCGGATGCACTAGCTAGTTTTTGAGTGGTGCATTTTGCAGGTACGAGACAACGGCACCGAAAGCGAGGGTCCTGGAAGAAAATGAGGGGGGATCCTTCTCGTGGAGGATTCTTGTTGGATTATTCCTGTACCGGCCAATGGTAGGGGCAGGAAAAAGCAAGCGGTCACCGTATTTCGGGATGCTACTGCTCGGTCTCGTATTCCCAAGGAAATCGAAAACAGCGGGAGCTCGGTTAGTTGGAGAAGCTTGTCGGGACGTCAAGGAGTCGGCAAGGCTGTTCGAGTGGGGGACATACTCTTCTGAAGCCTTCAAAGGGTATGCTGTTAGTAAAAGAGGAGGCGCAATTCGCCTGTGCTGCTGTCTTGATATCCCTGACCGCCAGGGCTTCGATGCTGCAGGGGAGACGCTAGCAAAAGTTAATTCCAAACACGAAGCCAACGGCGACAGCGAAAGAAAAGCAAAGAAACAAAAGTTGCGGAGGCTCTCACAAGTTGCGGGGAAGGAAACTGCAGGACGCTGGTGACCCGCAGGGCTCCTAACCAATTGCAATGCCGCCCGCAGCTGGAGTGCTCAATTGGATTTGATATCTGGCGCCACTGCTAGGATGGTTTGACTCGCGACGATAGGCGAAGGTCCGCGGCGGCATGATGAGCAGGAGATTTTGGGGTGATGATGCGTGTGATGAGCAGAGGGGCGCACGCAAGCTGTCATAAATGCCTGTTGATGGGGACGTGGAGAAGGGAGGGGGAGACGCGGTAGGGTTGTGTCACTGACTCATGAAGGCTCCACGATGATGCCTGGGGCGATAGATATGCCGACTGTCGGCCGACGTCCATGCACAGAATTTGTTGAGAAACGTGTGTTGAACTTGTTGAAGCAACTCAGGTGGTGTGTTGAAGGGAGTCGATGGCATGCGGAACGCTTCCGCGAAACGCCTTCGAGCGTCGTCAGGTCGCACTTGCCTGCGGTGCAACTGCCTCCTTGTGGCCACCAAAGGGGTGGAAATTACGTTATGAGGGAGCGTGGAAAAGCAAAAGTGCAAGTCGAGACGGAGCCCAGGGATGAAGGGATGGCGCAAAATACATAGCGGATGCAAGCAAGCGCCTGTGGTGCACCCTGCTCGGCCACGAGGTTAGCATGTTGGCCACCGTGCACGACATGGTTGTGATACCTGAAGGCCTCCAAGATGGCGACAGGATAGTCAATCAGCAACTGTAGATAGACCGAGACACAGAGCTGGAGGGCCATCAGAGTCGAACAAGGCTAATAAGCAAATGGCAGACGTGCATCTCGTGGTGACACGGGAATGCGAGAATCCGCATGGCGATCTGATCGAGGCGGGAATCTGCTTCGTGTATCTCATCAGGCTCTTTTCTTTTGTGGGACCGGCCAACAGGGTTTCCAGCGTTGCGGTCCCTGTGGTGTTAGTTCCGGCTCAGACAGAGCTGGCTGGATGTGTCGGCATCTGTCACGCTGTCAGTGTGCATGTGAATGTGACGTACCGACCCATGCTCCGAGTAGAGAAAAATTCTACTGTACGTTGGAGGCCGGGCCGAAGGCTGCGCAGAAATTGTTCGGAATGCAAGATCGCTCGGCCGATGTGCACCAAAGGAGACGGATGCATGCTCCACGTGTGGAGGCGCTCCTGGCGTCCGCCTCAGCCTAAAACGAGATGCACGCCAACGCCCCCATACACGCGCTTGGATGAGGAGCAGGAAGCCACATGTGTTGGCCTTGCACAGCGCTGAAGACTCTGTGTATCTCAAGACAGGTGCTCGTGCTGTCCGTGTGCTCGGCGGCTCTGGCGTTTCGAAAGCAGGCCTTGGCGGCAGATCAGACGGGAGCGAGACGAGGACTGATCAGAGTGAGGTCGCCGGCGTCTCGTGCGCGCCGGGATTGCGCTCGTAGGGGGATGGCGTCGTATACAATGCCGACGCTGACTGTGCCTTCGGTGTGCGACGCCTACACGTGCAGCCTCGCTCTAGCGTCTGGTCAGCCCCGGCTCCTGGGCGGCGTCGTGATAGCAATCTAACAGGCCGGCGGGGCCATGTCTGGCATGAGGGCGTTTGCGCGACGCTCATGTTTTCGCGTCCGTGGAAGCAGGGCCGCCGTCTGCGTGAGACGATGCTCAGGGCGTGGAGGAGTCGGCACTCGGGTGCAAGGTTGGCTCATCTGGATAGCGCTGCCCAGTTCACGTTCACCCTCGCCCTCGCCGTGGCACGGCTGCAGACGGCGCCCCTCGCCCCCTCGCCCAAAAACGTGGCCATCCTTGCGGGCCTGCGCACTAGCTCCTGGTGCGCCTATCGTGCATTATTCCTCGCGCGCGCTGGCGCTGCCTGGCGCTGGCCGCCGACAGGCCAGAGCCAGAGCCCGTTCGCTGGAGCTAGACACTCCCAGGAACCCCCCGACCACCACCGCGCCCGTCAAAACTCCTGACCTCTCCTTTCAGGGCCCTCCGTGCAACACCACCCCTCTGCCAGCCCTACCCGCCGCCGCTGCTGAGATATAAGCACGCAGCGCCCGCCATCCCCGTTTGCCGCCCTCTCGCCCCCGATTCGCCTTTGGACCACCTTTGTCCCCGCACCACCACGCCTGGCCGCCTGCGCAGCCCGTCTCCCGCACCCACTCGCTCCCCCCGCTGATGCATCCATAGCGGGCGACATTCCTGGAGGCCACAGCCATTGTAGCTTGCAATGGGTCAGAGCAACGGGAAGCCGGTCGTCTTCACCGACCAAGGTGCGTAGAGCCTGCCTTTCGCTGGGGGCTTCAAACCCCGACGCACTCCATATCTCCCCATACGCGAGATACATCCATGCCAAGCGAAGTCATCCACTAACTAATCCTTCCCAGTGAACCTCAATCACTTCCGGCTGCTGCGTGTCGTCGGCAAGGGTGCCTTTGGCAAGGTGCGCATCGTCGAGCGCAAGGACACCGGGCTCACCTTCGCCCTCAAGTACATCAGAAAAGATGAAGGTCAGCAAACACCTGCTGTCAAGCGCTTCCCGCCAGCATATGTCTACGTCGGACAGGCTCCGGGACACGATGCTGACGCCGTGTAACAGTCGTACGGTCGGAGAGCGTTCGCAACATCATTCGTGAGCGGCGCATGCTCGAGCATCTCAACCACCCCTTCCTCTGCAACCTGCGCTACAGTTTCCAGGACATTGAATACCTGTAAGTGGTGGCCACACGCGTTCAGACGGGGCATGCTGACATGCCGCAGGTATATCGTGGTCGATTTGATGAATGGCGGCGATCTTCGATTCCACATCTCGCGAAAGACATTCACAGAGGATGCCGTGCGGTTCTGGATAGCAGAGCTTGGCTGCGCTGTCCGATACATACACCAGCAAGGCATCGTGCACAGAGATATCAAGCCGGACAATGTGCTGCTCGATTCGGATGGCCATGTCCACCTAGCAGACTTCGTACGTCGCCATCCATCGTGCCTAGGATCACCGCTAACAGGTGTCAGAACGTCGCGTCGGATTTCACACCGCACAAGCCGCTGACCAGCAAGTCGGGCACGCTGGCTTACCTAGCGCCCGAGGTCTACGAAGGCAAGGGATACTCGTGTGAGGTCGACTGGTGGTCGCTCGGCGTACTCTTCTATGAGTGCATCTACAACAAGGTGCGTGCACCAGCCAGCACTACTGCTGACATAGCTGACGATCACAGCGGCCGTTCGAGGCAAACAGCCACGATTCGCTTGCCCAGAAGATCCTCAAAGGAGAGCCGACGTATCCCGTTACAAGCCCGCCCGTCTCGATGCCCTGCTTACACGCGATAAGCTCGCTTCTGGAGAAGGATCGCAAGAAGCGCATTGGAGCCATTTCGTTCGAGTCATTCATCGATAATCCATTCTTCCGTCCGCTCGATTTCGGCGCTCTAGAGCGGAAAGAGATCGAGCCCGTCTTTAAGCCCTCGAGCGACAAGACGAACTTCGATGCCACATACGATTTGGAAGAGCTACTCTTGGAGGAGGCACCTTTGGAAGCGCGAGCGCGGAGACAGAAGCCTCGCGAGGCGCTGAAAGATGATGCCACTGAGGCCGAGATCCGTGCAGAGGAGCTCCATAAAATGATCGAGACGCTCTTCGAGCCATTCAACTACACGACCGTTGCCGAGCAGCGGCCCGCCGCTATCGCCGTTGCTGACCCTGTCGATTCGATGGGCGGCTCCAGGGCGAGCAACAACAGCAACAGCGAGCATACACCCACGTCGTCCACTTCGGTGCAGGACCCTTGGAACCGTGCGGCTCCGACCTCGAAGGCTTCTCAGGACGGAGATTTGCGGCCTAGCCGATCTGTTACCGCACGCTCTACAACGCATTCTCCGAGTGGGAGCCCTCCGCTTGCAACAGCTGTGCTAAACCAGCCAGGACAGGCGTCATCCGCCTCGCCCGCCTCGCAGCGCACTGAAGGCGCCGACTATTTCCCAGCCGACGGTGGGAACACGCCAACGCCTTCGTTCTCGCGCCCGATGAATAACCGCCGAGGAGGACCGCAGCGCAGTACGAGCATGGGCGGCGGTGTACAGGTAGTACTCAACGAGACCGGCTCGTGGTCCGACATGGCTAATCAAAGTTCTTCGCTTGTACAGAACCCCAATGCTGACAAGCCATCGGGCATGCTCGGCTTCCTCAGCCGCAAGAAAGGTCGGGACCGGAGCCCCAAGGCGAAGGAGAGGGGTGTACTCGGCAAGGAGGGTGCTAGGGTCGTCATCAGCAACACTTGATGGCCCATCCGGCCCTCACAGTATCCCACGGCTTGACGATTTTCCTCTTGATCTTTCGAACCCCACATATACCTGCGCGGAGTTTTGGCGTATTCGGCACCATACCACTTGTCGCCCTCCGTACCTTCCGTTTCCGGCGATCTTCGATTTCGGATCATGTATTCTGCATAAAACATACTTGCATACCTCAATACATTTGGGATATGCAACTTGGCGTTGTGGGCGAAACATATTTTCTCCGGGACGAAGCCGACTCACATATAGGGTGGACGATCATCTCGAGATATATCTCTGGAGTTGGGCAAGACTTGCTTGGACGTTGAGAGGGGAGTACCGCTCTATGCCGTGGCTGTACATTTTCGAGGAGCTGGTATAAAGGGCACCGCGATAGTTGTAGGGCCAAATGATACAATTTGTAAGAGGTGGATTGAGGACTATTTTACCTTGGATATCCCAGCTTCAAATACCCATATATTTACTCTTTCACGCGCTCTTATGGGCTTATCGCATTTCTGGTTGTTGTGGTTATGGTTGTGCTGATTTGCCCTACAGAAGCGGCCCGACCTTGACGCACGATTACTCTGAAAATCCTGCGATTTAGTCTTGCTACGACTACCACCACACGCGTTCAGACGTTCAGACGAGAGCCAACTGTCTCGCTTCTGATGACATGTCGGAAACACACCGCTTTAATGTTTCCTTCAGCCCTACCCGGGATACCGATGCGAGCACCAAACACCGACATTCAGGCTGTACCTTGCCCTCCTTACACGTGCCAGCAATTCGTTCCTGCATGAACGCATAATCTTTGAAAGCCACGAGTCAATGTCACATCGCAGTTACAACTGCGGAGTACAACAGGTTTGGAGAAGGGCTGTCGGTGATGGGGGTAGGGTGCATGCTGGGAGGTGGGAAACACGCGCCGTGTTCGAGGAAGGGAAGAGCGAGTGCTGACGCAGGGAACGGTTCCACAATGCTTCGGTGTCGTCCTTCGAGGCGAAGATGTAAGATAGTGCGGGTTTGCCTAAGGGAAGTTCCGAGGGACTTTGTGATTTCTTTGCGTATGCACATTGCCTAATGGGGAAGGACCTTAGAGACGGTCAGACTCAGCCCGGGGTGTACGCTCGCACATCCGTCTTCTAATTTCCACGATTGTCCCTCGCTGCTTCCGTTATCCGCCCCGTAAACACCGACCTACTTTTTTCCCTGCAGCTTTCTGTTCTTCAGAAGAAAAGCACGCCATATTCATCAACTCACGCCAGGGTCCGTCCACTGCATACACAGCGCCCCTTCTCTCTCGCTAGGGCAAAGGGAGGATCAGTAATCCTACACAGGAACAAGCTTTCCACACATAATTTAGGTATATAAAAGCAAACTTTGTATCAGCCTGACTCCGGCGCCTCCGAACCCTTTCTTGAGTGTGTGGCGCCGTCTAGACCGCTTGGGGCTGCTGGACGGCGCGGATGTGGCTGCGCGCGTTTCGTTTCGCTTCGTTCGGTGCCTGGGCGCTAGCTTTCTTTTCGGCAGGGCAGGGCGGGTGCAGGGCGGTGCAGGGCTGGTGTAGGTGTGGTGACGTTGGAGGTTCTGTAAGAGAGATTCGGAAGTGCGAAGCGTTGCGTTCAATCATACCCTCTCGATTGTTCGGAAGACAAGACTTTCTTATTTCGTACACTCCTTGATAGGTCAGTGATCGACTATCGGAACTCCCTCCCTCCCCACAAACTAGCAAGCCGAAAACTCTCAATGAAACGTTACATCACGTCATTTTCCAATTTTCCACGGGTCCCCCTTCCCGAGGGGCCTTCCCGAGGGACCTTCCCGATGTAAGGCCATCTAATGGTTAGTGGCTTGCGTTCGGCTGCTGCCGATAGATGCTCGGCGACACTCCGGTGCGCCACTACTACTGCCCGTAGCTAGTAACGGCATGCATATGTAGGTAGGGAATAGGGAAAGTGTAGCGGGACTGGTGGTGGACATATATATGGTGAGAAAAGAAAAGGGAAGGAAATATAGCTCGGGTATCTAAACTGTAGGTGAGCATATAGTGCATGCATGCAGCGTTGTGACGAGACGGGCTAGAACCTGGTGTCATTTTTGCGTTTGAGGTGGGGAGGTTGGAAAAGAAAGCATGGTGAGCAAGTCTATGGGTGAACTTTGTAGAGCAGCATGGCGTGAGGGCCGTCAACTTGTGCTATGTACGTAACGTAAACGCATGTGGAGAGTGCCCGTCGGCGAGGAGGTTGAATTGCTTCACGTCGGGCAGGTATGTGCAGAGTGAGTGAGTGAGTTCAGTGTTGCTGGTGTTATTCGTCTTCGTTTGTTGTCGAGGGGTACTAGGCCTCAGTAAGAACGCGGGATTGGCCTGGATGTTGCAAGCTAAGCTCCCAGGAGCGTCTTCTTTTGAAGGATGAGAGCATGTACGGTTTGTAAAATATCCATCCGGCGACATGCCGGATCCGCGGGGCTCAAACGCCGACGCTCGAGCCAGTTCTTGACATCTTACTTCAGTCCGCCGTGGGGAGCTTACTCAGGAGAGAATCCAACGCAATCAATCAATCACCTTTCCCTATCCGTCATCTTCCTCGTTGCCCACACTCTCCCACTCATCACCGTCCTAAAATATCGCTAATTAGCTAAGACAATCACGAGAGGACCTGGAATAGAAAGACAACGTGCCCCTTCGCCAGCGAGACCAGGCTCCAAAAGCAAAAGATCCTCGATAACCTGCCTTCTTCGCGTCGATGACCTGCAGGGCGGGGTGGTCCTCGTTCTACTTCTTCTGCAGTTCGGCGCGCGTTGGCAAATACCTTGGATGGAAGGAGCAACTTCCCCAACTTTCCCCTGACACCCAAATGCCACCCGTCCTCCAGCAGCGCGATATTGTGCACCTTCTCCCCGGAGCTTCGGTCAACGCAAAGGAGGGGTGTACCGTCGGCGGAGAAGCCGAAGGCGGCGTTGACGTAGGCTGCGACTTAGGTGTCGTTCTAGGATGCGGAGAGGGTTAGAACGAAGCGCAGGCGGTGATGGAAGGTTAGCGAGGGCATTATGGTGATGAGCTAGCTGGCTCATTGATGAGACAAGACTGACTGGGTGGGGGTGGAAAGAGAATGCGTGGAGATGGGGGAGAGTAGGTGGAAACTAGGTGGAAGGTGTGCAGGGTAGAAGGTGCAGTAGGGGAGAATGGGAAGTAGTAGTCGGGCATTGAGGTTGGTGCGCCGAATTGAATTGAAAGGAAATTGAAGGAGAGGTCTTATCAAGATATATCGCGAGTCGAGATAGATGCGGTGGTTCATCTAGGACATATATCTACCAAATCCTCTTAGCAACCATAGCATACCTACTAACGTGCCCAAAGCTTGTTCCCCTCTCGCGCTCCTTCTCCTCCTTCTGTTTCTGCCTCTCATCCCGCTCTCTCAAACTCCTTAGCCCATCAGGATCATCATGATAAATCCATCTCCTCTTATCCTCATCCACATCGACGACGCCCCACCCCCCAATCCTCTTCCCACCCGTCTCCACATTCAATCTCTCCCTCTCTTTCATCCCATGATAGCGATTCCGCGCTAGTGATAGTAGTATCATCCCGAGAATCAGCTTGAAAGCGAGAAAGATGAGATATCCGACCAAGAAGACGATGAGCATGGTAGCACCCGCGATCGCGTCGTCGAGCGTCCAGGAGGAGAGGTGGTACCAGTGTTGGTCTGCGACGCCGGCTCCGAAGGATGAGCGGCCGAGGGCGCGGCGGAAGATGTGATCGATGTGGGCGAGGGCTGCGGTTGTAGCAGGGGAAGAAGTAGGCGGAGAGTCTGTTAGGGATGTGGAGGTCGAGGGGAAGGGGAGCGGCATATGGGTTGCGATGAACATGTGGTAGGTTTGAATGGCTGCGCGGATGAAGAGACAGGACAGTGGGAGGACGGGGAGGCCAAGACGTCTCGTCAAGTTCTGGTCTGTAAAGGCCTGAATAATGTTAGCTATACTCGAAAACAGGAGTACTCCGATGAGGAGAGCTTACGTCGGAGTAGTAGTCCTTCGCCAGGACATCGAGGAACTTGCCATACACCTCTGGCTTTGTTTGGTTGAACTTTGTGATATACGCATGCTTCAACCAGTCGACGAACATCTCACTTCCCAGCACCAAGAAGAACGGATTTAGCACCTGCGCTATCCACTTGGGGAAGATGGTGAAGCTCATGGGGAGGATGCTAGACGCCGAGAAAGGCGCAGAAGTTGTAGCATTACCTCCTCCCAACGCACTGCTGAAAGAGGATAAACTGCTTGGGATACTGAGACCGCCTACTTCCACAATGTTGCGCATGGCGATGATGAGCAACATAAGCCAAAGCTGAAAGCGCTCCACGATGTCGGCGCAGGTGAGCTGGAAGAGGTTCTCTTTCTCGAATTTCTTGAAGACCGTGCCTTTGATCTCGACGAACTGATTCGACATAAGCAAGGTAAGGAGAGCGTTGGAATAGGAGTTCACCGCAACGTTGAGCGTTATGACCTGGTAGAAGAGGGCAGTCGCGTGTGCTACGTTGTAGACGAGAGCTAGGATGAACATCCAGAACGGACGTATAACCTTGCTTCGACCATCAGGGTTGCGATCCAGCGTTTCGCGTGAAAAGAGACATTCCAAGACATCCTGTCCAAGAGCAGATAACAGGCGGTCACAGACTTCGAGGACGTTGTAGATGACGTAGAGTTTGATGGCGGATTGTCCGCGAATGCCATGGTACATCCTACTAGCGTCGAAGCGCATGAGGACCGCGCAGCTTGAAATGACTAGAAAGCCTTTCAGGATATCGGCTTTGTGGCTCGGAGATAGAGCAGAAGGCGTCGACTTTGTTCTTCGATGTCGATAGCGAGCCCGCATTCGTTTAGCAGGAGCATCTTTCTGCTCCGGGAATCTGAAAGTTGCAACCGCATGACCGTTTTCTCGTGCTGACGTAGTAGCGGCAGAATTGGGCGACGGTGCAGCGGAAGTGGATGGCCTTCGAGATCGGGGCGCCGGTTCCTCATCCGCAGGTGTCGCTGGGACAGGCGTAGGGGCATCCGTATTTCTCCTTCGTCTCAACACTCGCGGTAGCCCGCTATATACAAAGCTCCATATGTCTCGGGCCTCTTTAACAACCATCGTGCCCCACCACCGGACCAGTATTCCAATAGCAATCAAGAAACGTAGCGGAAGAATAGTCAAGATGTGCATCCAGGAGTCTAAGCAAGCTAGCGCTCCAAAGCCCAATATCGCCTCAAGCTTTGGTGGGAGAACTAAGAAGTTGACCAAACGGTCATACTTTATCTTGGAGGACTCGTAAGGGAAGTCGGTCGTGGACGGGCGGTATATGTACAGCGGCGACGGTCGATCTGCGGCCAGCTCGAGCGAGAGAAAGGTGGGCATGGACATTGGCGGTAGAGGTATTGATGCTGGCATAGGTGATGGTACATCTCGGTGCCTGTCCTGAGGCGGGGCTTTCAGAGTCTCCCGGTTGTCCTTGTGTCCCAGGTCTAGCGGAGGTGGAACATGTTTAGAAGCCCGTCGCTCTTCACCCTCATATGTTTGCGCTTGCCCTCTATTCCCCTGACTCGACTGCTTCCTGCGCATTACTGGCGGCGTAGTGACGGATCTCGCACTTAGGGCCGGCCGGTTGAGCTTCAAGTCGGCTGTAGGGCCTTTTATAGCCACGATCTCCTTCTCCTGCCTTGCATCGCCGGCCCCCGAGTTACTCCGCCTCTTCTCATGCGTGCCGTTTAGCTCAACAGCCGGCCCCAACGAAACGTCTCGCCCATGATTGCTCTCCCTTGTATCTACCTTCTCATCCGATGTCTCGATCTCCGATGCATCCTCCTGAATCGGTGTGGCCGCTCGAACGGGTATGCTTGTAGGCTCGCTCGTCAACTCGTGGATCTGTCTCGGGCTGAGCTTAAGGACTTTATCGTGCTCCGACACGCTGCTTTTTCTCCTGCCGTCCCCAGGCCTCCGAATCTGTGGAACGGGTCTCGTCTTCTCGCTCGTGTCCGACAATACAGCCTCGTCATAGACGCTGGTCCGTCTGCTCCAATCCCCAGGGCTGATTGCCCCATTTGCGTTCACCTTGTCGCCGTTTGCCGTATATCCCGGGAAAGCGACATGCTGTCCTTCGATGGGTGAGACCACACCGTCAGGTACAGGTGAGAGAGAGGGCGTTGGAAGCTGTTCGACTGCTGTGGCTTTATGGCTCTTCTTAAGATCAGCCCCGTTCATCGCGCTGAGGGCACTCTAGAAGGTGCGAGTGCATGGTGTGAATGCTTGCTTTGTGATGCGCCGGAAATCTGTATTGAAGCTTGGGCTGCCAAGCCTCGGATGAAGCCTGCTAACTCCGATTATCGATTACGACTGGGCTCAAGCAACACCTTTAGACGGCTTTCCTTCTCCTCCATTCTCTCGAAAATCACCACATAGACGTTGGCATGTTACGCTCTCACAGCAAACGCTGAAAGACACAAGGGAAATACACTCAGAGCCGGAGAAGAGCTCCTCGAACACTTTACACAATTACACGAGCACAAAGGGACCTTTCATAAACTGGAACAATCTATTGCGCTAGATAGTTCCTAATGCCTATGCTACTTCTTTGCTCACCACACCACCACATACGCACTGCATGCTGTCAAACATCCCATGCTAACTCCAACGCCCGACGGGTACTTCGGTATATTCAATCCATCTCATCAGGTACGGAAGGCTACGAGAAGCCTCTACCATCATCGTCCAAGATCGGTCGGTAATACAAGGTCGCGCGAGCAACCTCTGAAAGTAGATACGGCGAAATTATGATAGGAGAAGGAAGTTAAGGAAGATAGTATGAGGAAAAGGAAACTCGTTCGCGTCGTCGCGAGGATCGACCGAGGAGGAAATGTCAAGGAAATTTTAGTCAATCTGTGAGATGGTAAGATAATACCCGTCTATAGAAACACAAATCTAGTGCTTTGGGCAGCAGCATACGTGCGGGCCAGCTTTGATGACCTCGGTCGTTGACTGATCTTCGTACTTCTGGAAGTTCTCCATGAACAGGCGACCAAGCTTCTCGACCTCGCCCTTGAAGTCGGCGGTACCGTTCCATGACTTGGCGGGGTTGAGAAGTTCGTCGGGAACGTTGGGGCAGGACTTGGGGACGGAGAGATTGAAGGTCTCGTAGGTCTCGTATTCGGACTTTGCGAGCTCGCCGGAGTGGATAGCATCCAGAATGGCGCGAGTATACTTGAGCGGGCAGCGCTTGCCGCCAGTAGTGGCACCAGCTCCAACCCAACCAGTGTTTAGGAGCCAAGCATCGGTCTTGTGCTCTTCGATCTTCTCAGCAAGCATCTTAGCGTAACGCATTGGGTGCAGGGCCAAGAAGGGCTGGGCAAAGCACGAAGAGAAGGTCGCTTGCGGTTCCGTTACCCCTTGCTCAGTTCCAGCCATCTTGGAGGTGTAGCCGGAGATGAAGTGGTACATGGTTTGCTCCTTATTGAGCTTGGAGATCGGAGGAAGGACACCACGGGCGTCGCACGTGAGGAGGATGATATTCTTCGGGTGCTTGGAGGAGATACAGGGAATCTTGGTATTCTCGATGTACTCAATTGGGTACGCGCAGCGAGTGTTCTCTGTCAGGGTATCATCATCGTAATCGACAACGCGTGATACAGGGTCGAAGACGACGTTCTCGAGAATGGCACCGAATCGGATGGCGTTGAAGATATCGGGCTCCTTCTCCGCTGATAGGCCAATGCACTTGGCATAGCAGCCGCCCTCAATGTTGAAGACACCCTTGTCACTCCAGCAGTGTTCGTCATCGCCGATGAGAGCGCGCTTGGGGTCGGCCGACAGCGTAGTCTTTCCTGTCCCTGAAAGACCGAAGAAGACAGTAACGTCGCCATTCGTGCCCTCATTTGCAGACGAGTGCAGGGTAAGGACGTTGTGCTTCACGGGCATTTCGTAGAAGAGCACGGTGAAGATACCCTTCTTCATCTCACCGGCGTATTCGGTGCCGAGAATGACCATCTCCTTCTCGGCGAAGTTGATGGCCACGGATGTTGATGAGGTCATACCCATGGTGTACCTGTTTGCGGGGAAGGCACCAGCATTGTAGATGACGTAGTCCGGGTGGAAGTGCTCCAGCTCCTCCCTCGACGGCCGGATCAACATATTGCGCATGAAGAGGGCATGATAGGCACGCGCGCAAACGACGCGTACGCGGATCCTGTACCGCTCGTCCCATCCTGCGAATCCGTCGACGACGTAGATGCGATTCCGGGTATTCAAGTAGTCGACTGCTCGCTCGCGGTTGATGCGCCAGACCTGATATCATAATTAGCAATGGAAATACAGACTCCACGTGATGTGTTTCCCGAACGGTGGGAAAAAGAAAAGAAAAGGAAACAGTCGTGCATGAGAGGTGATGCGGGGAAGCCGCACCAATGCAGCCCGCGAGCAGGGATGCCGGCATCTCCAACCTCACTCGGCTACTGCACCCGTTCGCATGACGTCTGCCGACCATTTTCACGAGCAAACTGCAAAAATGTCGCGGCGAAAAACGGGACGAAAGCAGATGGAGGCTTACATCGGGTGACATGGGCTTGTTCACCGGGCCCCACCAGACGTCCTTCTTTGAGGAGTCTTCCTCGACAATTCGCTTATCCGAGGGTGAACGGCCGGTCTTGGCACCTGAATATGCTGAGAGGGCGCCGCTCGATGTGATGGCAGATCCGCTCTCGTACACGAGGGCATCTTCGTAGAGGGCTGCTACGGAGGGGTTGGCGACCTGGGTGAAAGAATGCTCGTTAGTCATGCAAACAAAGCGCTCGGGAGCACGGGGTAGCTTACAATGGCTACACGGTCATAGTCGATGTGTGCCTTGTCATGCAGCTCTTCTTCGATCTCGGTGTGGTCCGAGTTGGACGGCCTGGCGACAGGCATGTTAGTCGTGGGCCTCACATGGAAAGCAATTGGCTCCAGGGCGGGGAAGCACGTACTGGACGCCGGCGGGGTGGAGGCCGGTCTTGTTGACGTTCTGAGAAACCATGGTGTCTAGAATAGCTGCTGATAGAGAAGAGGAATGGTAGTTGGAACGCTGCTGCTTGGACACCTGTTGACGGGCAAAGTCTTGGGCCAGAGGAGCGGGGCTTGCAGTGCGAATGACGGGATCTGGCTGTGCTTTATACTGAGCCATCCCGACGACGTCGCCCAAGTTCAGACGTTTGAAGGCGGCAACTAGTCTGGGGCCGGGGCGGTTCTGATTGGGTTGTCCGATTGAATGGCTCGCGTCCGCCAGGCGGTCTGGGCCGATGGGAGCTGTGCGCGGGAAATGTCGGGTGGCAGTTGCGAGGCTCGGGAAGGGCAGGAGCGACGTTGAGGGTGCTCGGGAACACGTATCCAGCAGCGCCTTTATGTGGGGGCTGGGGCGCGGCAGCGAAGGGGCCCTCATCTGCGACCAGGACGATGGGCATGTCACTCCCAGCGGCCTTGTGCTGTCAGGGCGATGTCATTGTCGGGGCGATCTTCCTCACATGACGCAGAAGGCCACGGTATGCACTGGTCCGCAAGTACGGACGTGATAAACGAGCCCCGCCGCCTGGGCTTTGCCATCGCCACAAAATGCTTGGGTGCGAGTGGTGCGCTGCTGCGAGGGGAGGACTTCTGGGCCGCGGTCTGGCTCAGCATCGGCTTTGTTGCGGGGGAGTGACGTTCGCGGACGCGTGCCCAGCCGCCATCCCCGCGACGGGCCTGAGCGGCGTCGCGATTGGCTGCGCGCACAGCCGCTTAGCTCGCGCTGGCAGAGAATTTGGCCTCTCGTGATGTCTTGTCCAGCGCGAATTCGACCTGGTGGAGGCAATCCACGGCTGGCGGAGGACGTACCACGTTGCCGATGCGCTCCTGCATCCAACGACTGCCAAATCGGTGGCTGTGCTGATAAAGACAGATGCCCGTTCCGATTCCACTTCGCGGCGCTAAGCCTAATCCTGCCGAGTGATTGCATTCCTCGATGCATCGACTACTCAGATGCTCCACCGCTCGGACAGGCGGGAGTGGCGACTATCTGCGACAGCGTTCGGAAGCACTGAGGCATATTATGGGTAGAGCTAGTGCCGAGCATATTGGGGGTTATTCCGAGCTGATGCCGAGCCCAACTGCCTTGCGTTTGAGAAAATACCGCTTTTGATAAAGTAGCTCACTACTGGGGATGATGCTGGAAGAGGCGCGGTTACGAGAGCAGCGCGCAGAAGCCACAATTGAACGCGTAGCCGGGAAATGCCTAGATGAGGAGTAGGGCATTCACCCCATACTTTGTACACAAGGCGAGTCTTATGGGAAGTTGTTCATGTTGTAGGAGTCCTCGCTCACATAAGCAACCATTATCGTAGCCCAGCAATCCCGATAAGCCCGCCCGCTGATATGCTTCAAACGCCCGAAAGATGCCAAAATAGACTAGGTACCGGAAAAGCACTGTGGGGATAACGTTTCGAGTCCGGGAATTGTAATGCACGCCAAACTAGGAAGAGGGCTGATGGTTCGGTCCGCGGCCGACACGACTTCTCCCGAGCTCCAACAACCAGGCACCTCAACACCATGCTCTATGCTGCATCCCCAATTCTGTCTTCTCTTCATTCGCCCCTATGCCGCATCGCCGTTTTGTCTCTTCTTCATTTCCTTCTGTTCCTTCCTCGCCTTGGGACTGAAGAACGATTTGATCTTGCGCGCGCCTCCGAGGTAAAGCCACGTAGCCGCAAAGACGACTGCGAAATTGAACACGACATAGATCCACATGATCCAAAAGTCCCTTCTCCATACGTGCTCATAGAAGACGTTGAAAGATGCCGCGAACGCGTCGCCGGTTGCAAACTGACAGTAGCCGCAATCTCCGTTTGGCTGCGTCTGCACGTAGCCACCAGTCTGCTGCGCGAAACTGCCAGCATACGACTGGCAATCCTGACCAGGTGGCGGGGGGAAAATCGCCAGCTCGTTCGTGGAGCACTGCACAGGAAGGCCATGAGTGAGCAGACCAAGGAAACCTTCGAGTAGGTAGTGGAATGGCGTGAGCCAGTACATCCAGGCCTGCCAAAATTTTGGCAAGCCGGCATAGGGCACGACGACACCGCAGAACGAGACAACTGAAAGTAATTAGTAATTGGTAGCCGTCCCACTTGTGTAGACTTACTGAAGGTAAAGAAGAGCGGCACAAGCAGAGAAGCGAGCAATTCGTTGGGTGCGGCAGCGGCGATCATCTGACCGAATCCAAGATAGTAGAGCTCAAACACCATGACGAACAGCCAGACGCTAGCTGCAGTATAGGTGTCCCGCGGAAACCACGTGGCCCAGTACCAGCAGCACCCTAATTTAGGTCAGAACGAAGCTTGACTTATTAACGGCTGGGCAACTTACAGTAAATAGTCCCAGCAAGAAGTCGATAAGGTATTTCACTCAGAATAGCACCCCAAACGAACGCTGACCAGGTGTATATCTTGGAATTTCCCTCTCTAGATTCGTAGATCGACCTGAAGTGTATGAAGCGGGGCTGTAGTTGCTGGATGAGAGGCGGCGAGATCGTTAACGTCATGAATGTCGAAAAGAGTCGTGACTGCATATCGATCTGGCTATTGCCGAGATGCCAGAAGGTAAAGCTGTTGAAGAGACCAGTGAAGATGTGCAGCATGAACATCCCGATAACGTAGGGAGGATCCCTCCACATTGCGACGAAGCTTCGATGGATAACGGAGTAGAACTGCGTTGTCAGGGGCATAGCGTACTCTCTGTCATCGCGAGTTTGTTCCTTCGAAGCGTTCCGGCGGTCGGATATGATTTCTTGGATCTCGCGTGTCAACGTTCGGTTCTCAGGAGAAGACGCCCAGACGTCGCCCCAATCTTTGCCCTTGTAATTAGGATCTCCAGCACCGATGGTCTCTAGCATGTATTCCGCAGGGTTCGCCTTTGGTTGGCATTTCTTAGCGCCGTTTCCTTCCAAATAGTTGAGTAGGGTGCGGCTGTCATGACCAAGCTCCCCGAAATAAACAGTGCGCCCGCCGGACTTGAGAAGCAATAGCTGGTCGAAGTGTTCGAACAAGACAGACGATGGCTGGTGGATCGTGCAAAAAATAGCCTGTCCGGCGTCGGCCAGTTTTCGCAAGAATCGAACAATATTAAAAGCAGCGCCTGAATCAAGTCCAGAGGTGGGCTCATCGAGGAACATCAACAACTCTGGCTTGCTGGCTAATTCGACGCCGATAGTGACACGCTTGCGCTGCTCCTGGTTCAAACCAGAGCCCGTCGTACCGATAGCTGCTCCGGCAATGTCACGCATCTCGAGTAAATCGATAATGTTCTCGACGTAGTCGTACTTTTCCTGTAGTGCCGCTTCCTTCGGCTGACGAAGCTTGGCTGAGAACCTCAAGGCTTCACGCACTGTCGCCGTGGATTCGTGGATGTCCATCTGTTCAGCGAAACCTGTAGAGCGCTGGAAGGACGACGGAAGTGGCTTGCCATCCACAAGGAAGTCTCCCCGCATCACTCCGAATCGGATGCGTTGAGCCAGAGTATTGAGCAGCGTTGTCTTCCCGGCGCCTGACGCTCCCATCAAAGCGGTCAGCTTACCGGGCTTCACATAGCCTTGGACGTCCTGGAGGAGTGTGCGCTCGCCCTTCTGGTAGGGGATGGTGTAGGTCACATCCTGCCACGTGAAGATCGTTTCGTTCTTAGCCACACCCTTAACTGTATCGTCCGCATCGGTGCTGTCGCCGCTCTCCGCTTCCTTCGAGACTGGCTCAGTCTTTCCGCTCTCTACATCCGCTGGTTGACCTTTGACTTCCATCTCTTTTTCGACGGCCTTCGGTACTTGGCCTCGCTTGTAGATCGTGACGGCTCCGCCACCCTTGTTGGGCTTTTGGATTTCCATCCCGAAGGCTGTGAGGAACACGAAGAAGATGAAGAAAGCACAGATGAATCCGACTAGGTGCGGGATAAGGTCAGCAAAGATCAGCGATGGACGAAGGAAAGAAGGAGAGAGTGGCAATGTCGAGAATCGGCCGTACGTACAATTTCTCCAAAGATGTGATCGAGAATATTGATAAGCGACTTGGATATAGTTTGCGCCACTAACAGTGAGAGATCCCGGAGTGCTGCCTTGGATGGCACACGATTGATACTGGGTCTGCGCGTTCGGAGCTTGTGGAACGATGTAGGGCGGTACACACTGGATTTGGAGATTGTAGAATTCGTTGGAAATCAAAGCCTCAAACCCGTACTGCACAGGGTTGATCCATCTAAACTATGTTAGCCCGGAGCACCTGTAAATAGACTAGAAGAGCTTACCTGAGCCAAGAGAACCAGGGGTGCATCTTACTCGGTGGTATCAGGTAGCCAGTGTACACTATCAAGGCTTGGATCGCGACTCCGGTTATCCTGGTTGCAGCATCTAAAGAGCCGACTAGTGCACCCATAGCGCGGAAGAAGGCGTACATGGTCATGGTCAGCAACCACAGGAAGAGGAGCGAGATGAAGAACTGCGAGACCGTTCGCTGCAAGCTCGCCATGAAGTAGACCACCACATCGAATATGAAAACCTGAACCAGAACCAAGGGAGCATCAACGACGGTTTGGGCAATAGCGTAAGCCGCTGGTCGGTAGAACGAGAAGCTTTTGTGTTTCAGAAGGATCGGTCGGGACTCGAAGGCAGCCGTAAGCTCGGCAAGCGCCAAAAGAGCGTTGAACAGCAACATGAAGAAGATCACACCACCCCGTGGGAACACTCCTTCGGCGGTTTTGGGCAAGTTGTAGAATAACGATCCCACGATGAGCGCTTGGAAGAGGATGCCACCCCATTTGCCCACGAGGGACTGCTTATCGCCAATCATGACCTTAAATTGTCGGGCTGTGCAGGCCGTCACTTGCTTGTGGAAGGGCAGAGTGAAGTTCTTCTTCTTTGTTGCCTTCGTCATGGCGGCTTGCCGCTCCTCCGCCATCCGCTGGGTCTCCTGCTCAAATTCCTCGATTTCAGCGAGGTTGTCCTGGTGCCGTTGACTCTCAACAAATGCCTGCGCGAACTGGGCGCCGGATCTGGGAATGCGGTTCTCCCAGCCGTCCTTGACGTGGCGCTCGTGTTCGTCGGTTACAGAGGTTAGGAAATCGGCAGTGGTCCATCGCTCAGGCTGCACGAAGCCAAGGCTCTTAAAGTACTTCGCCGCATGATCCGCAGGGCCGAAGTAGCAGCAACGTCCTTCGTGAATGAGAAGCACCTTATCGAAGAGGTCGTACAATGACTCGCCCGCTTGGTAAAGTGCAACCGAAGTCGATATATTTGCCATATTCGTAAGCGAGCGAAGACTTTGGACATATTCCAAGGCGCTGCTGGCGTCTAGACCTCGTGTTGAGTTGTCCCAGCTTTGGACAGAAGCCTTCGTTATCATCGCCTCAGCAATGCTGACGCGCTTCTTCTCCCCGCCAGACACGCCGCGCACGAATTCATTTCCGACCTTCGTGTCCAGCGTGTGCTCGATCCAGAAAAGTTTTGAGATAACTCTGAGGAACTCCTTCACGTAGTCCTTCCGGGATTCGCCTTCTTTCCTCGAGTTCTTTCCAGGTGTTCTCGTCTTCAGTGCGAACCTCAGTGTATCCTTGACTTTGAGCGTTGCGTAATGCAGATCGTCCTCTGGATTATACAGAACCTCGCTCCGGAACTTCTTGCCTATTGTCTTCGCATCGGTTCCGCCATAGGTGACCTCGCCTGAAATACCTTCGAATCCAAACCGTTGGTTGCCAATCACTTTCAAGAAGGTAGAGCATCCAGCACCCGGTCGGCCTAGCACTAGAAGCATCTCTCCGGGCCTTATGCAGCCTGAGAAATCGTCGATGATGGTACGCACTGGAGGCTTTCCAGCTGCTTTGCGTGGTCCCTTTGTCGCCAAATTTTTGAGGAAGCGAGGGAGGCCGAGGAAGATGCCACCAACAGACGGTTGCAATGCGGCGCCTACACCCATGCCTTTGACAGTCAGATTCTTGAAGATGACGCCAGCATGTCGTGTCTTCTCTTCTTCCGAAGCCTCCTGCCTCGTGTGACCGAACATCCGCGACATGAGCTTGTTGATTTCTTCCTGCTCTTCATCCGTACTAGATGCGGTCGACGCGGTCCTGGTCCTACCAAAGCTGCTGGTTCTCCGTTTGGAAAGCACGCGGAACAAGTCATCTTCAGTCATTGGCTTCGACTCTCCCTTCTGTAAAGGCGGCCGCTTCGGAGCCGAAGAAGCCGGCTTGATTGCTGCAAATCCACCGGCTGCCCCCTCCTCGTCGGAGTCTGTTTCTTCAGGCTCTACAGGTTCTCGCGGCTCTTCTCCTGCGTCCATTTCTTTCTCTCCTGGTGATGGTACAGCGGTGCTGAGGCTGGAGGAGAATTGCCCGGATTCTATACGCGGTTGCGCAGCAGCGCTATTGTTTCCGCTCGGCGTGTAGTCGAGATAGGTGCCAGAGGATGCACGGGCAGTTTCGCCCTGGGTGGGTGTCGGGGTGGGCGTCTGCTCGGCATCACGAGTCTGCTGAGTCCCAAGATAGGACCGTTGTCGACTAGGGTCTGCTGGTGTCTCTATCCAGCCTCCTGGGAGCTCATCCATGTGTGGAGTGGGCCGCTCGGGGTACGCCATGGCAGCGGTTTACAACCCTGCATGAGTGGTCAAATGTGCCTGTGTTGGATTTTCCGAAGGCCTTAGTATTCGTATTGTAAAATCACGAACCTGTGAGAGCGGATGTCCAATTGAAGCGCGTTAGAACGTCGCTTCGAGCCACCGTTGTTGCGTTGTTTGTCGAACCCGCTCTGCCGGAAACGGCTACGGAAAATTCCAAAGATGTCTAGCTGGGTTCCTCGGAAGATTGAGTAAAAGCCTGCAATGCGCCTGCGAAATATTTAACGGGCCCATCTTAGAGACACTGCGCAGGTGAGGTATGGTCGAGTGCTTGGCGATTTCAAAGTGTTGATGTCATGATGTGAAAATAGCGGAAGTCGGGCTTCGCTCAAGACCGAGAATAACGTCCCACACAAACAGCGATCGATCTACACTGCGGAAGCTCGGATACATCGCGTTCCCGAGCCGTGATGGAGGCCGCGGGCTGCGGACCACGTGTGAGCGTCAAAAAAGGACTCCAGAGCTGCCGATTTGGCCTGAGGCGCGACTCTTCCAGGGTTCGCATTCCTTCGATTACCGCATGCGTAACTGGGTGCCTTCAGTCATCTCGTGGACCTCAATAAATATCCAGGTGCTTTCCGACGCGCGATGGACTGGAGACTGAAGTAATGAGCGTAAGGATGGGGTGGCTGGTCAGCGCGGTCGGTACAACATAGCGCCTTCACCCCGCCACGTGACTTGATCCCGCAGAGTTTACGTGTTGAAGAAGTTAGCAGAAAGCGGATTATTACAGTCACTAATCAGCTACCGGTGGTTGCCATAGGTATCGGTATGATATTATTTTCTCAATAACTGGCGTGAGATACATACAAGCATGCCTAAATGTTTGGCTCCGAAGACGACTCCTGGAGGCCTTCGGGGGGTAATGAGGGGTTTCGCTACTCGAAGCGAAGCCTTTACGTTCTACAACCTACGTTGATGAAGTTTATCCTTTGATCCTCAGCGCGCCCAACCCTCTCTCCCTCCTACGTCGATTTGTAGTTTCGACAATCTTCCCGTCAAGGCACCACCACCAATTCCTGAAGAAGACTTCACCTATCTCCCACGCCTCCTCCACCAGCTCGTTCGACGCATGCCACCCTACCATATTCCCATGGATCCTCACCCCCTCATTGCAGTCATCCAAGTCTTGAGCAAGCCGTACCACAGCTTTGCTTTGGCCTTCATCGCCCTCGTCGTCTTGCGCAATGGGTGGACGCAGTGCAGAAGGCAATGAGAACATGCAGATGAGCTTCTCCCGAACGGACGGCCATGGCAGGGTATCGATAAAGGGGTGATGTGGGATGGTGATTTGTGATGGCGTTGGGTGTAGGTTTGACGGAAGGCTCGGGGGCGGTGCCGGCGGGAGGGTGTGAAGATACGATGGGTCATAGATGTGGCTTACGAGGTCGAGAGCTGTCGCTATTGTAGCAAAGGCGCGCATAACAGGAAGGATGGGGATGCTGAGTTGCCCGCCGTCAGGGGTTATGGGGAAGTTGAGAGACGGCTCTGTCGATGTCGGGGTGGAGGGTATTGGACTGGGGAGGTTGGAGAAGCCTGCAGAAGGTAAGCGCCGCATTTCGATTCCACCCACGTACACGTCCTCCTGGAGGGCATCAGGGTGGTCAGACTGACTGAAATCTTGGAAGAGTTGCATATCTAGTGGGACCTGATTGAAGTCTAATGAAGCAAAGCCAACGTATTCTGCGTCTCGTATCACTTCTTCGATTCCTACAAGGGTGCCCGGTTTAGCAGATGTCTTAGAGTAAAGAGACGGGGTCGCGGGGAGAAGTCAACACTCTAGCGTGTCTGCTTCTGCTTTACCTGCTAAAGGCCTTCACTGAAGGAAGGGCTTTCTGCAGTCAAAAGCTAAGACAGGCTAGCGTGTGTACCGCGACCGACGTACCTTCAGGCGACTCTTCTGACATGGTCTCTGAGGCTGCGCTGGCTGTATTCTGTGGTTCGAGCCAGGCGCCGCCATCATGTTGTTGATCGGACGACTGTTTTGCTTGGGCTTCCAATGCCGCTATTTTCTCTCGTCGCCGTTGACCTGTACTTTGGTCAGGAATCTCAAGTGCTCCTACCGAGAACAGACACCATTCGATACGTGTCACGCACTTACGATATCTCCTTTGAGCTAGGACGTTCAACACTCTCTTCCTTTCCGGGTTACCCGGCTCTGGGACCTCCTCTGGCGTCTTGGACTTCTTCCTCTTGTCTGCAGGCATGTTGTTATGGTATGCAGAGTTCACGTTACCAAGGTAAGCTGCGCAGTGCAAATGCCAGATCGATGGAGACAAGATATAGTCCCCCGTCAGTCAGCATAACGTTATGTTCGGAAAGCCACAGGCTGACAGCCCGGACTATGCCTGAGATGGTTTGGGCGCGATCCCCCGCCGTCCGCTTCGGGAATGTTACGCGAAACACGATACGATCACCCAGAACCATAACGGCTTGGACTATTTATCCACTGCGGAAAGCCACGCCTGAAGGCCTTCAGAAGGTAATGACGTGAGGCATGCTAGAGTGTGCTCCCCGATCTACGTACCGCCCGGCGTGCAGGAAGCAAGGATCCCTATCCTCTCCGTCCGCAGAGACCCACAAGATTTCATAACATGGAGGATGATGTTAAGGTAGCCGCCTACACTTTGACGTTAAAGAGTAGCGACACATTGGCGGATGCATGTCCTTGGTCTCGGGCTGGGCAGCCCTAATATCGTAAGGCGGACGTTTTAAAAGGCGGCTGAAGGCCCTTCAATCCACCAGACCATCCATCCACTCCACTCCATCAAGCTCACCTCAATCATCAAAGAGCAAAACCATCGCTCCTGTATTCATTAGCACTTTCATCAGGTCAACGTGCCTATCAGAATGGCTCCGTCATCCATCTCTTCCATCAACCAATCCGAACCGCTCCTCCCTCCCAAGCCTTCGAATGGGCAAAACGGCCAGCCCATCTCCAAGACCAGTTCAAGCGCCGTTGAAGCGCTCCATCTCATCCGAATCGGACTCGGCCTAGCCTGCATCGTGGCGCCCCGCTGGACCTGCGCCGTCTTCCAATTCTCCATTCCGGAAGGCTCTGCTATTCTAGTCCGCCTCTTCGGCGTCCGCGATTTGATCCTCGGCGCGCTGCTCACGACGAATGAGGATAAAGTCAGCAGGAGAGAAATGAAGAGAGTCGTGTGGGCCAATATTGGGGCTGATGCTGTGGATATGTGCAGTATTGCGTTTGCCTTGGCGACTGGTACTCTGGGAAAGCTTCCGGCAGGTCTGTTTGCGGGCGGAGCGGCAGTAGGACTTGGCCTGGAGGCTTTGGGTCTGCGGGGATTGTAAATGGTAGTACGTTTGAGGCCGGCATAGATGCTGCGGAACGACGAGGACGAGGAGTATAGATATGGAGCGGAGCTTTTTGGTATAGGAAATGTTCGCTGAACCTATGGACGCGATATGGTTTAATCTGTTGATCGAAGTAGTGTATTCAATGATGATCCCCAAGAAATAATCCATCAGAAAGAAACATCGCTAGTGAACCTAATGTGGTGGAAGCGTGACAGCGCGTGGGCGCGATGCGCGGTGTGGAGCTTACAGGGCCCTGATTCGCGGGCGGTTGCCGTGGGTAACGTATGCCAAGAGCTGCCTAACTTTGGAGAAACAAACAGGGCGCAGACTTCCTCAGCGACAACAGCGCTTGTAAGTTCGTCCTATTCCTCTCTTTCTCGCGTTTATTCTGGGATACTGATAGGTCTCGGGTATGAACAACAGCCCTCGCAAGCATCGGGCTCCTCATCGACCCATCGACACGCTCTCGTCGCCACAGAAGCCGAACTTCAGGACACCGTCGGACGGAACCAAGGACAGGCGCATACGGGAGGCTTCCCCAGACGACCAAGAAAACTCCTACCTAGCGACGAGTGAGAGCGAACACAGCCCCTCCTCTCTCCCAGGCGACCGTTCCGAGCCCCACTTCTTAGGCCACTCCAGCTCTCTTTTCGACGAAGACTACAGCGGAGCTGCTCTACACACTCCACCCGCATTCAATTCTCGGAAATCAACCACAACAAACAAGGACACTGGGCGCAGGCTGGACGGAATGGTTCGAGAACGGGAGCCACCGGCGCCTCAGCCGCGTACACAGCCACCCGGCCCTCGAGCCCTGCAGGAGCTCACCAACACAGCGCCAGAGTTCGGGAAGACGAGCCCCCTCCGGAATTCGCTGCAGAAGGATGCGCAGACGGATCCATACTCGCATCTCTTCAATGTGCCCAAACCGGGGCAGGCTAGGCCAGAACATCACAGGCAACCAGCCCGAATACCCTCGCAGCCGCCGCCGACATTCCAGAGCAACTCATATCAACTGTCGGGTCAAGTACAACAGCGCATCCCGTCACAGCAGGGCATACCTCCGCGTACCAACGCCTCGGATCGTCCCACACAGCCCTTCCAGGTCCGTTCCCAAGTAGGTTCACGTTACAGCACGGCATCCACTGGCTCTGATATTCTTGAGATACCCGCATCGCAATTCCAGCCTCGCCACCCTTCTTACCAGGGTGTTCCTCTGCCCAGGCCCATGAATCCCCCTGCACAAACCATCAAACCGGGTCCTCGGCCTATATATTCTTCCTTGGGCCACGCTAATGGATTCCAGCCGGTGAACCAGGGTTACAATAATCCATTCCACGGATCCAGGCAGACTGTCATTCTCGACGATCTCCCGTCAAAGCGGGCAGCCGGCGGTGACGATGACTTTGATCCGGATGCCGCCATTCGGGCCGAAGGCCATCAGTTTGGTGCCCCGGATATGTTCGCATATGTGGACTCGTCCAAGGCCAACGAGAACATTAAGGCGCTTCTAGAGGGTGCTCTCGACGAGGATAACGAGAAAATTCCCCGGACGCGCGGCCGTAAGAAAAAGAAACAACAGGACGACGAGGCTAAGAAGTCCCTGGCCGAGCGACTCCAGGCATTAGAGGTTAAGGAAGACAAGGAGACTCAGGCTGAAGAGGAGGAAGATGAAGAGGAGGACGATGGCACTGTCGAGGGGATGAAGGTCAAACTCCTCCCTCACCAAGTTGACGGAGTTGCGTGGATGATAGAAAAAGAGACCGGCGCCCACAACAAGCGGGGCAAACTCCCCAAGGGAGGTATCCTTGCAGATGACATGGGTCTCGGAAAGACCATACAGTCTATTGCACTGATCCTCTCCAATCCTCGCCCAGAAGAGGGCGTTGAACCTGAGAACAAGAAGAACAAGATTCTGCCCACTGTCGGCAAAGGCACGCTCATCGTCGCCCCTCTGGCGCTCATCAAGCAATGGGAGTCGGAAATCGACACTAAGGTGATGAAGTCGCACAGCTTAAAAGTCCTTGTCCATCACGGTTCGAACCGCACAAAGTCGGCGGATAAGCTGAAGACATACGATGTGGTTGTTACGACCTATCAGGTCCTAGCTTCGGAGCATGCGAGCTGTGGGGAAGGACCCGATGGTCTCAAGAAGGGTTGCTTCGCTGTACACTGGTACCGGACCATCCTGGACGAGGCACATACGATCAAGAACCGCAACGCGAAGATGACCAAGGCATGCTACGATATTCGATCGCATTATCGTTGGTGTTTGACAGGAACCCCGATGCAGAACAACCTTGACGAGCTCCAAAGCTTGATTAAGTTCTTGCGCATCCAGCCTTATTGCGAACTGTCGAGCTGGAAGGAATCTATCACCGGTCCGATGAAGAACGGTCGAGGCAATCTTGCAATGAGACGGCTCCAGATCTTCCTGAAGGCGTTCATGAAGCGTCGGACGAAGGATGTGTTGAAGAAGGAGGGCGCGCTCAACTTCGGAGGCAAGGCTAAAGACGGCGAGGAGAAGGGTGGCTTTCAGATCGTGGCCCGCAATGTTGAGACTGTGATTGGGGAATTTACCGCAAAAGAGCGTGCTTTCTACGACCGCCTATCTAACCGCGCCGAGTCCCGTCTCGCCGAGATGATGGGCGGTGAGAAACAGGACTACATTGGAGCCTTAGTGTTGCTGCTCCGGTTGCGACAGGCCTGCAATCACCCCAACTTGACCAAGAGCAACGTCAAGGACGATAAGGATGCTCTGACTACCGGGTCAAAGTCTGGTACACAGACTGGTTACCAAACTCCCCGCAAAACAAAGGACACAGATGCAGATGGCCTTGCCGATCTCCTCGGTGGCCTGAGCGTTCAAACGAAGCGCTGCGATATCTGCCAGAATGCTTTGACACGCGAGAACACCTCAGCTGGCGCAATTCGGTGTACAGAGTGCGAAAACGATCTGAACGCATCGGTTGGGAAGCCCAAGAAGCACAAGAAGCCCCGGAAGCACAAGCACAAGGATGGCAAAGACAAGAAGGATCGGAAGTCGAAGGCTGCCGACGGAGAGGGTTCAAAAGCTCCAAAAGCCCCCCGTCAGCGTCGCATCGTCGTAGATAGTGACGATGAAGATGAGGGCGAATGGCTTGTACCCGAAGGCGAGCAAGGCGGTACCGATCTCGGCAAGGCTGGAGGAACAGACGACGAGAATGTTGAAGGTGGTGGGGAGTCGCTCGTGTCAATCGACTTAGAAGACTCTTGCGTTAGCGACACTGAAGGGACCATGGGTTCTTTTATCGAGCACGACACCGACAGTGAGGATGACGGTCCAATGATTCGAAAGAAGCAGGTGAAGAAGTCCAAGGCTGTTATTAGCCTGGACTCTGACGATGAGTCCACCTCGGAGAGTGAGTCCGAGAGCGAAGATTCTGGCTCTGAAGCCGATTCAGAAGAAGACTCAGAGACAGGAGAGTCGGATCTGGAATACGATGCTTCAGATCTCACGCCTTCTACCAAGATTCGCCAGCTACTCACCATTCTAGAGAAGGAAACAGATGGCCATAAGGTTATCGTCTTCTCGCAGTTCACCTCGATGCTCGACCTCATCGAACCCTTCCTCCGACGCGCAGGCTACAACTTCACACGATACGACGGCAGCATGCGCAATGATCTCCGCGAAGCTAGCTTGCACAGGTTGCGCAATGACAAGCGAACTCGCGTACTACTCTGTAGCTTGAAGTGCGGTAGTCTTGGACTCAACCTCACAGCCGCTAGCCGCGTCGTCATCATGGAGCCCTTCTGGAATCCTGTAAGTTATCCCCCCTTCCCTCTCTTCCCTGCGCACGGTGACTCAACCCCACAGTTCGTCGAAGAACAAGCAATCGACCGCGTCCACCGCCTCAACCAAACCGTCGACGTAACCGTCTACCGCCTCTCCATCCACGACTCAGTCGAAGAGCGCATCCTCGAGCTCCAAGAAGCAAAGCGTAAGCTCGCGGAAGCAGCCATAGAAGGCGGAAAAGCCATCGGCAAGCTGTCAATGAAGGACATCCTCAACCTCTTCAAGCGTGACGCCGAGTTCGACCACCAGAATGTGGATGATGGCTCCGAGCGGGACATCTTTGCTAGGACGAGGGTGCTCGAGAATCGTGGTCCGGTTGTGGGTGGCGGCGTTGTGGACAAGGGGCCGTCGGGGTTGATGGAGCGTGGGGAGAGTACGGCGGCGAGGATTGCGAGGAAGGCTGGGAGCTTGGGGTTCAAGAGGGCGGAGGATAGTGTTTGGGGACGGCGGTAAGCGTGAACGTGTCCCTGTCGCTGCGGAGGCGGCGTGCGTGCCGGTGTAATGATCATTCCATGATGGTGCTACACCCCGTCAAGGCGTTTTGGATAGGGCTACGAGCTTTGGGTATCACAGCTTGTGTAGACTTGGCGCGTTCGGTCTAATATCTCTCTACATATTCGGTATTCATGGGTCACCGCTGTTAGCGGCTATTCACTAGATTCCCCGTGTGTATGTTCTTATGATGAGAACGGCGGGCGGCAGACTCTAGTCGGTGCATATGATCGCGAATCGACGTCCTCCTGACTCTCAGAGGCCCATATGATAGTTTGACTCTTGAGGTCTGTGGAGTCATGTGGCACGCCATACAACCGTGATAAGAAGGCAGAAAACGGACAGCACTCGATCGACGAAATCAGTGTATATATCCATTTCATCGGTCGGTCGAAGTACCTAAACACTAGCAAGGAGTTCAGATATCCATACCCTTGCATAGCAGCCTTAAGAAACAGCGGGGGTATACCCATCCCATCCTAAACGCCGCATCCATATCGAAACCCCCGTGAGAACACCATTATCGACAGGTACCTTTGAGTCAGTTCAGTCCAACACCACAGCCCGGCTCAGATCATTCAGAGAGTCCCCCTCCCCACAATCGTACCAGCCCCACTCCATCCATCCATTAGAAAGCAGCGAAGCAGTTCAGTGCGAAAACGAAGAAAGAAAACGGAAACGCTCGATCTCCTCCTCCCCAGCAGCCACCTCAGCTCAGCTCAGCGCAGTCGAACGTACCCCATCGTTTTTCCGGACATGCGTCTCAGAGGTCATAGAAGACCCTATCCCTTAGACCCATGCGCAGCACCGGCTCATTGTGCTTCCTGCGCGGACGCGGAAGACGTCTGCCGGCGAGGATGGCGCGCAACTTGGGGTTTTGGACCGCGCGCTTGATCTTGTCTTTGCCCTTGTAGGTGTTGCGCGGACGGGTAGGGGCCCGGGCTGCGACGTGCTCGTCCGAGGATTCGTTCTCGTTGTTGCCGGTGGGAGACTTGCTGGGCTTGCCGACAGGCTGGTTGAGGAGGCGGATCGGACGGATGGCGGTCCTGGGCTGCGGGACGGGAGCTAAGCTTGGAGCAGGAGCCTGGGTCGCTCGGGGGTTGCAGACGAGGAGGTTGCCTTGGGCTCCTTGAGTGGCCTGGCTGGCGGTGTTGTTGCCGCGCGCCTGGGTATCCATGATGTTGCCACGGCGGACGCCAGTGTTGGCACGAGCCTCGGAAGACATGGTGTTGTCACGGCGGATAGCAGTGTTGGCACGAGCACGAGCACCTCGGACATCACCGTCACCGTCACTGTCGTCGAAGGTCATGCGGTCGATGAGACGGCGGCCACGAGCCAGACGGCCCGGAGCTTGAGCACCTCGCACGCCAGTGTCTCCTTGCACTCCGCCACCATCTTCGTAGGTGACGCGGTCGATGAGACGACGTCCATGGGGCGGGCTCGGTGCAATGCCCACTCCTCCGCGATGGTAGCGCCTGCGGTACGTGTCTCGAGCGCGACTGCCATCGTCCGCGGGATAGCGTTGGACTTGACTGCGCAGACCGGCACGAGTGGCGGTGCGGCGGACTGGCTGAGCAACCTGGCGGGCCATTCTCGCTTGAAGATACTCGGACTGTAAGAGTGCTTGTCTGAAAAGCTACTGTCTGTAAGAATTGGCTGCAGAAAGTAGGCTGTTCGTTTTCGTCGTCGTGGGCGGCGCGGACTCGGCGAAGTTGGGCCTGGGGTTTATATAGAGGCAGGCGCCGCGTAGAGACGGAAGTACGTCGGCCCGGTGGGCAGCGACGGCGGTCGCCCCGACAGCAGCGGGGAGCTGGTGAATTTGAAAAGTGGCCACTGCCCATGACTGTGTTTTGTGGGGTTGAGGCGACGCCGAGCGGATGCGCGGAGTGAATGTGCGCTCGGACCGTCTGGTAAGTCTAGCGGGAGAGAGTGCGAAGGCCTTCAGAGAGTTGGCAGCCGCTAAGATGAGGTACACTGAGTGAGTCCCTGGACTGCTCGGCCTTTAGGAGTGCTGGAAGCCCTGGAGTGTTGATGGTCCCAACCTAGACTAAGGTAATGATCTTAGTCTCAGATCCTTCATGACTCGCAACAATTTTCGATACTATCTCAGTCGCATTTGCACAGAATAGCCCAATTCTCTCGAAAACGTCCTCAGACCCGTCTCGAGGGGCCAGAAAAAGGCCTTCCACACAATCCCCTACATATCTTTTGACGGGCTGGTCGTGCCGGCATCGCTGGATGACGAGCATGTGGACATGGAATGTGCCTTTCCGCTCCAAGTAGTCGGACATCCACCCACCCTGCTGCATGTCGTCCCAATACAGTTGAAGCCCAACCGGGCCTATTGGAGCCCAGCGCAGACCTGCTTTGCTATCCAGAAGGATATGGCCAAAGACTGTGCGACCGGATATCTTCTCTCGTTCACCAGGTTTGACGACCGCGCGTATAGGCTTGCATTTGACTCGCATCGATGCATATTCCAGGGCGCCAGATGGTTTCGTTTGAACATCGAGATCTTCAAGCTCGGCCCAGATCTGTTTTTGCTTGCATTCGCCATGAAACTTGGAGGTATCGCTTATCCAAATGAGAGCGTTACTGCTTGCCCAACTCCAAGTGGGGGCTCTCCAATTCGAAACCGGCGGAACCCGTTTCATCCGACGTGGGTTATAGGTATTGAACCAACAGAGTTCTTCTAATATACGGCCTTTCCAAAGTCCAGCTACTAGCTGGTCACCGAGAGCTTCACCAACATCTGCGAATGTGGTCAAACAATTTAGCACTTGTCCTGAATGGGAGGAGATAGCAGACCCCGGCTTGCTTAGATCATTACCTGCTGAGGAACCCTATGAGCCCCTATCTGCAGTCGAAGTTTCAGCAAGGAAGGGAGGAAGGCTGAGCCACGGTGATATGTTTATCATATCTTACATACCTTTTGCTATGCCCTGTATTGCGACCAGTTTGTCCTCCTCTTTAGTCATATCGCACATGGAGTACGAAATCCGAAAGACGCCCCAAGAATGGTATAGCTCAGTCGGATGCATAGCCTCAGACTGTACCAGCGGCGAATCCTTGGTATCGAAGCTGTTAGAGGGCAGGTTGGCGGTTCGCTGCCGGATATGACGGATATCGCTTTTCAAAGTGCTTCCGTCTTCTGACCAGAATGGTAATGCCCAGTTAGGCAGACCAGTAGGGTAGCACTCACTTGCTTTACACTGATGGCACTCCCAAAAAAGCTGAGTTGCACCGAAGTGCATAGTGCGCGATGATAGATGCCGCTCCTGGGCAACCCTGTGAAAATGGTCATCCACATTAGCAGGGGCTTGATCAAGGGATAAGTCCACCCGTCGACATGTCTTGGTTTGCACTTCATCCGTTGAAGGCCTTTAGCAAAGGTTCTCCAGAACCGACTCAAGGCAAAGACCAAGATGGGCTGCCATCTTCACCGCGAGAGACGTACCATGCTCTTGAGCTTAATGGAGCCCGCTCAACTCCATCGGTCCATATTGTCTCTCGATCGCACCAGAAGAGACCTGCTGGAGGAAACGTGAAGGCATCCCTTTCGACATGACCTACAGTTGGAGTCCATGTTGCACGTATTTCGCGAGGCCCCAGTAGCTCCGGAGTGCGCTCGAAGAATAACCCTTCGTCGCTGTTCTTGGCTGCCGTCGCAGCAATAGTGCATGCTGCTTGACCATATACATCCCTCATATGGCTCGCTTCGGTGGACCAGTCGTCTACGTCGTCTTGGAATATACACCTGGAATATGTAAGCAACATCTCTAAGGCGGATGGGTCTCTATTTTCTTTACAGAGAGTCAATCCACAAATATCGCACTTGTGACTTGCGCGTAACAACAATGGCATCCCGGAATGTTTTTGGCAGGGTCCCAACGGGAAGCCCTCTTCGTAGCATCGGCTCCGTTTCTTTCGTGAGAACATAAGGTTGCATTTCTCCCCAGCAATGGGAAAGGCAGAAGTACGGGCCTTCGTCATCGAAGGTATCCGTAGTGCGGAGGCAGACATTCTCATCGTCCATTTCTCCTACATCAATAATTCTAGACGGATAGAAAGGGTTGGGAAGGTCTCGAAGTCCACATTGGACATGCTCCTGGCGGCATTCCTTGTATTTTGAAAGGAGGAAATTCAGAGCTCCTGGAGACCCCGTGTTCCGCGCAAGCAGTCCTGGATAGTTGTACTTTTCCATGCCTACGGATGAGATATTAGGGCGACTGAGAATAGAATGAGGTGGTACGCACTTTGCCATGGCGCAAGAACGAGTCTTGCATTGTGGAGTCCACACGCAAAATTCACAGCTCTGAAACCATCATCACCGCTCTCATCGTGGTTCATAGGCGTGATGAGGTAGGATATGACCTTGCCAGGCGGTACTGTTTTGTCCTGCGCCCATGCCAGCGAGCAGAGTGTGCAAGGCAACCGAAGCGCTTCTTCGAACGATTTGGCATCTGGGTGGTGGGTGACATGGGTGTTCACTTGGTGCGGATGTTCCCGCTCCCCACGGAGGAGCTTGGTACAAGGATCGCAAAACTTCTCTTCCGACATGGCGTGTCGTGTCGATAAGTGATTCCAATTTCAGGTGTGTAGAGTGGAAGAGGTTCGTTGTTGCTGCCTGTCCTAGAATGGGGCTGGGAGTTTGGGGGCCAAGCCACAGACCAGGATTTTGATTGGATCTCATGAGTCTACCAAATGCGGATGGTTAGCGGACGGTGCTGAACCGTAGAGCTTTAGGGGAGTGAATCCGGTTGTGATTTTGTGTGGAGAGTGCCCTGAAGACCTTCACAGTGCGACAATGCCTGACGATCCGGTTCGCTGCTGGCTACATGCGCTTCTTCTAAAGCCTTCGATGAATACGCTTAAGAGATTTATCTTGCATGCTGGCACAGCGGTCTTCCGACGCGGATCTGCGTATGAGGCATCAGCGGAAGGGCGATACTATTCCTAGAGGAGTTCTAGATTGGTCACTTACCAAGCAAGGCTTTTATGACGGCAGTTGGGTGCTACCGGCACATCAGCCTTCGGAGCCTTTCGGGTGCCCAGTATCACAGTTGAGGCAAGTAGGAGAGAAACCTGGGAAACTTGGAAAGTCTTCCAACGATGTCGGTGACGGAGGAAGGGGCTATCGAAGCACATAGAGTAGGGACGAATTAACCCCGCCATATTGGGTACCTAAGTGGAAAGGAGTAGTCCTTAACTTCTACATAAACACCGGGGATCAGGCAGCTTCCCGACCTCAATAGTCTACCACTTCACCCGTAAGGCCACTTTCCCTCGCTAGACTTCACTCTCACCCACTATACTACTCGTCGCATGCGCCATGCAGGCTGCACCGGCACACTCGAACACAGAAATCATGAACAAGAATCTAAACCTATGACCGCTGAAGACCGATTGCCGAGGGATATGCCGATGCTAAAACAGTGAGCGCCAGAGTGCGCCTTGAACATCAAACCTTGAGTCCGTTTCCAAAAACCTCAAGGCAACAAGAAGGAAACTTAGAAGCGCTTCTACTTGGAGAGACAATGCACCTAGATGTCCTCCATGTTGCCAGCCGCTTCGTCCTCGTCGCCGGACTCGTAGCTGCCGACGGAGCTCATCTCGTCGTCATCATCGTTGTCCTTTTCCGAGTCTTCGGAGGTGTCTTTGGAGGCGTATTTTTGCACGTACTCTGGGGAGATGTTAGGCTCCCTTTCCCCCAATCGGCGTGCGACACTTACCTTTGACTTTAGCCTCATAGCTCTTCGGCTCCCTCATCAAGAGCGCAGCCGCTTCTCCATTGAGAGGATCGGTAGGATTTGGATATCGAAGCAGCTGAGGCAGAAAGACTTCGAAGATGTTGATCATATCGTACATGGGTGACCATGTTTGGTTGATGACGTCTAAGCAGACCGAGCCTGAGCTGTCAAACGGTTAACCACGGTCCCCTGCAAGGCAATGGCTCACACTAAATTCGAATCGAAAAGTGAAGCTAAGGGGCGACATACAGCTCATCGATGTTGGGGTGGAATATCCGGTTGACGAAGCCAATGCTGGGGCTCTTGTATGGGTACTGGTCGGGGAGCTCAACGTGGATCTTCCAGAGACCCCCGGCGAAGGGCGCTGCTTCCGTCAACTTTGTGCCTTGTGTTCCATCTGCGCTTTTACGCACTCTCCTCAGGGCCCTTGAACCTAACATAGAATTCCTGCCTGTGGTGTGTCAGTCTCGTTGCGGCGGAAGGGCGGTAGGACGACGAGTGGGCGGGACGAACACTAAGAACACGGTTAGCTCGAGCCACAACAGAGGACCGGGAGGAATCCTACTGTTGTCGTTGACTAAGGTGACTTCGTAGTCGCTCATAAGCCTGCTATGCATTAGTGACTGGACTTGGAGCGAGCTGCAGCAAGCGGTGATTCACGTACATCCTATGCACGCGTTAGCAACCCAGACTGTGCACCAAGCGCACGTATAACCTACTTCATGACCTGAACACAGCGAAAGACCATCCGTCAGCACTCGTCCATGTCTTGACCAGGCATCTTATGCCCAGGAGCACCTACATCCGTCTCGATTCGTCTCTTTGGGCTACTCATGGTGGGCAGCTGTCCGTTGTGCGCGGCTCCGCAGGTAAAGGTTCAGGATTCAGGTTCGCAGGCACTGAAGTGCCTTTCGGCGTTCGAGGGTTGGAGATTCTTCGCGTGAGGTCTGCTGAGGCAAGCTGGGTTGTTGAGGGTCTCGCGGGGCAATCGATCGAGGAGGGGCGGGTGGCTGGTTTGCTGGCAATACGTAGTTGCTTTGTCGGCGGGGTAGTCCGAACGACCGGTTTTGGCGCTTAAAAGAGTGTTGTTGTCTGTGGATACTGGCGAAGTGGCTGTTCTATGGTGGAATAATGAGAGGACAAAAGGGCAGGCGGACTGATGTACTACTGAGAGCACAGGGCAGGGAAGACGGCCGTCACGAGTCCGGGGAGTCACGCAAACAGCCCCGGCAAGTCATCGCCGAGATGCGGACGCCACTCCCGCAAAGCACGACTGCGATGTCATGCGTCTGGGCTTGAGGCCCGTGAGTCTGCTCTGAGGAATAGTCACCTGCTGATGCTCAATAATGAACGACCTTGGAGTAGAGCGTCATGATTGCCGACCGCTGCCTGGCGGGTTCGAGTTCGTGGGTCGTGGTTGCCTCCCGAAGGTCGTTGTATCTGGCCAGGCACGTGGGGAGGAGCGAGCACCTCTAAACCTTGGAAAGCCATTTCGATCCGCAACACTATCCTCACTTCCCGGACCTCCTCACATCTTGAGCATCTACACAGTAACGCCCCCCCCCGCTATATGCCTGCGCACGAAGCGAACCTTTACGCAGAGCGATCCGCGCTGGCTCGGGAAAATTCCCCACACCGCGACGGTCCTGCAAGGCATCGCGCTGCTCGATTCCCAGATGGAACATAACCCAGCCGGACTTCTTCTGAGGGCTCTGCGCAACCGGTTCCATGTCTTTGGCCCGCTGTCAGAATCGCATGTTGGGCTTGACGTCGAGAAGGCGTCAGTCCGTAGAGCCAACAAAGGAAAGGCGGCCTAGGCGGAGCTGACTACGTCGGACCGAGGGACAGAAAGCGACAACCACCAAAGCCGGTGACAACTTCTACTGCGCAAAAGTCATACCAGGACTCATAAAACCGCGAATTTCCCCCTAAAAATGGCTGCCGAATTCTCCTCCCCTACGTCCTCGCGACCCAACGCAAAATTCACAGCGTCTAAAAATTCCCCGTCCACCACTATCCCGCCGTCGCAGGCATGTCGCGTGCCATGATGAACACTCTCCGAACATCGTCAAGAATTGCGACGTCGTCCCCACTCCATAGCGCCTTGTCGCCGTCGCTATCGCATGCACCGCTATCTGTCGCCCAGGTTAGGTGGAGCTCACATTCTCCCTTGGGCTCACCTCCAGCCAATGCCCGCAAGCCGGTTACCATCAACACACTCCAGACCCTCTACCGCAAGAACGAACCTATTACTATGATCACCGCCCACGACTTCCCGAGCGCACACGTCGCCGACCATGCCGGCATGGACATGATACTCGTCGGCGACAGCCTGGCCATGGTCGCCCTTGGTATGGAGGATACTAGCGAGGTTCTGATGGAGGAGATGCTGCTGCACTGCCGGTCCGTGGCTCGGGCGACCAAGGCTGCCTTCACAGTGGGTCAACCTGCCGCCTGCATAAGCAGTTAATATACTAACATCCCTAGGTTGGGGACCTACCTATGGGCTCATACGAGATAGCCCCCGAACAAGCCCTTGAATCAGCCATCCGGTTCATTAAAGAAGGTCGCGTCAAGTCCGTCAAGCTCGAGGGGGGTAAGGAAATGGCGCCGACGATATCCAAGATTACCACAGCCGGTATCCCTGTCCTAGCACACATTGGCCTCACACCTCAGAGACAGAATGCCCTTGGCGGCTTCCGCGTTCAGGGCAAGAGCACGGCCTCGGCGCTCAAGCTGCTTGAAGATGCTTTTGCCGTGCAGGAAGCAGGAGCCTATGCTGTTTTGCTAGAAGCTGTGCCAGCTGAGGTTGCCGCTCTCGTCACGAAGGAGCTCAGCATCCCCACGATAGGCATCGGCGCCGGTAATGGCTGCTCGGGCCAAGTCCTAGTGCAGATTGATATGCTTGGCCACTTCCCTCCGGGCCGATTCCTCCCCAAGTTCGTAAAGAAGTACGGCGACGTGTGGGGTGAAAGCATGAGGGCCATTCAGGCGTACGGCACCGAGGTGAAGAGTCGAGCGTATCCGGCTCCCGAGCATACGTACCTTATGCCCAAGGAAGAGTTCTCTGAGTTTGAGAAGCTCATTGAGCAAAAGAGGAACGCGCAGTGAGTATGATGCCGCCCGGGCCAGGGGTGTCTTTAAGTCTGTCGGTGTTGGCGGTCGATTGTTTTCAATACCCTCGCTACGCTAGTAGCGACCTGCATTTTGTCCGCATTTCATTGAGTGGTCAGTGGTGATCGAAGCAGCAGAGGCTTCTCATTGCCTGCGGTGTCCATAGTTTGCATGATTGCAGCCTCCGTAATTGGGAGAGCATGCGCGAATAGATTTACTTTGGATATCCATCTTCAATCCCTTCCCCCGTCATGAACATGACGTTGATCATTCCTACCTATCTGCCAGCCTTTGTTCCATACGCAAACTTGCCTCGTGTCCCAATTCGCTGACCGGAGAGGTACGGTAGGCTGAAGTGCCCCAGGCGGCCCCATACGTACGCTACGAATAGCGCAATCAGCCGAATGCAGGCGCCATAGAGTACCCAACTACAAGCTCCTCGCCTTGCTTGAAGCACTGTATACAAAGTCAGTATCCCTTCCTTTGACAACGTCCTCGTCGCTTGCGACGCTCACTCGACAAATAGAGCGAGTGACTCACCGCCCACAAATTCCCCACACCCTCATCCAGCGCCGGCGAGAACACATTGCCAATGTAGCAAAACACACTCTCGTGTTCCTTAACAGCAAGCCTCTTGCGCAGAAAGCGGACGATGGTTTCGAACCGTTGGTTTGACGAGAGCTTGAAGACGCGCTGGGTGAGGTGGGGCGCTGAGCCGATGGGTTGAAAGCGGATTGTGACTGTCGGTGGAATGAGCGTAGTGAGGTAGCAGCGGGAGACCTAAGGAAGAAGTGCGTATTGGAATGGAAGCGTGGAGGAAGGCTGTGAGAGGGGAGACTGGTGATGCGGAGGCGAGGTGAGGGAACGAGGGTCGAAAGCGGGTTGCGATACGCAAATTGAGGTCTCGAAAACAAGCTTTTGAACTAGACAGGAAGACTTTTGAGGACGAAAAGAGTGACGGTCGTAGACGATGAAGCTCACGGGAAACAGCACGCACCTTTCTCGACGCCTAAATTTCCCGCCGTCTCCAACGCTCTGGACGCATCCCGCGGCAGATGCGTCAGAACGACGGACGCAGCCATTGTGAGCGGTGCTTCGGCGTTATCGTCTTCTTCTGGTATCCTCTCTTCCGGTGACTTCGACATCTTGCGCAGGAGCGGAGATCCTCGACGTGGTGAGTGGATGTCGAGTACCTAGGTATGAAGCGCACCAGAGTAAGCACCTTATCCGTCTGGCGGAGAGTTATGATACAGGTTAGAAAGATCGCAAAATAATAAGCATGTGGGAATGTGTCGTGAGAGACTTAGAAGGGCGAGTGACAGTTGATGATAGAAAGGGAAGTCGCGATCCAATGATGTTGCCTGACCAATTAGAGCCTCGCACCTCATATCGCACCCGACTGAGCAACAGCCCGCCGAAAGACAGATTAAAAGTGACAATAATCACATCGCATTGATACGTATCTAGACATAACAAGTATCTAATACGATAGTGATATAGCACATGACCTCCAATACAGCACATCCATGACCACGTCTCGCAGCATCTCCACATGAGGATATCCTCCAATCCACCATAATCAACGCCGTTTGCCCAAGACGCCTGCTAGCCTGCAACAACACGGGCAGGCAATCGCTAAAAGAAGCAAGCCGCATGCAGTAGGTATGTACAATGGGCTCATACGTCGTAAACCGCCAACGCCAGGAAGACCGAGATCATGACGCCTAGGAGATAACCAACAAGCCATGCTTCAGTAGGAAAAAAGATGCGCCTCAAGAAATGCAGCAGGCCGCCGAAATGCGGTGTAACGGGTATTCGCAGAGTAATCAGGATCCCATGCGCCGGAGGGCCGTAAGAAGTGAACAAACAGGTGGGGAAGAAATTATGTCGTTGGTATTATGTCGGGTGGTGCTCCTTTCGGGTCGGGTCATAAGTATTACATGCCGGTCATTCGCGGACGAGTTGGGCCAGCAGCTGGTCCAGCTCCAGCCAATTGTCGGCGGCTACGGCGAACTTGCGGTGCTTTCGTGACGCGATATGCTAGATAGAGAGTCAGCGTAAAATATATGGGGAAGGAGTGATCGTCATCTACCTCATCAAAGTCATTGAACTTTTCCCTACAGTTCTCGCAGTAGCCAGGTTTCAGCTCCTTCTCGGAAGCTTTCCTTCGCCGGATGAGTGCGGCTTTCCGAGCCTGCCTCTCCTCGTCCGTGTCCTCGCGAATATTACCGAGAGTTTCTCGTGCCTTGCGTTTTGCCGCTCGTGTGGGCTGAGAGAGATCTTGGTTCAACGCTGCCCTCATGTCGTTGATTACCGATGAGTGACCGCTATTTGCAGACGGCGCACTGTTCTTTTCCAAAACCTTCCTCTTAAGCTGATTCACTTCCTTGCTGTTTCCTGCTCGTGCGCCAGGGGCGGCAGCAGTAGACGATATCATCTGCGATCGGATGGCGGAGGTGATGTTTGATTGCTGTAGACCAGAGGCAACCGGTTCGCCGCCAATGAAACGGGGCATAGCACGGAGGCTAGCCTGTGCACTGCCAAACATAGGAGGCATACTGTCGGCGTTTGCACGCTTCGTCGGCAGAATATTCGGAGCTCCCAGCAGCTTGGATTCTTCCTCCTTGATAGCAGGGCCCGGAGCGGTGGCGCGTCGTGCCAGATTGTTGTTCTCGCCCAAAGCACGTTTCCCATCCAAAGCCGTCGCAGCACGGGTTCGTGGTGCCGCCGCCGCCGCCTTTCGTGCTCGTTGCTCCTCTTGCTCCTCCTGCTGCTGTCTGCGAACGTGGTCACGATCCTCTACGAACGGGCACTTCCCATTTCCTGAAACGCGAAACTGCGGCCACTTGCCATCCTCCTTTTTGGCGACCTTGGAATACTCTCGGACCATTACCGGACGCGTAGCTTCATCCATATCATGCACGTAGATGTAGTATCCACGCAGCTGTATCATGTCCTGCGCGGCAACGGAGTAGTCATTCAGCTTCTCATTCTCGAGCAGCTTCTGCAGATCCTGACGCGCCTTTGGCTGCCCACCAGCAGCCCCATGACGCGTAGCATAGTTCGGAACCTCCTCTCCAGTGGCAGTGTTGAACATGGTGTCGACCATACGCTGGAGCTTATCCACAGACCATATCTTCATTCCCAATTCCCTGGCCTTGTATAGGATATCTCCGTGGTTGGACTTCTGGAGCGCCGTATCAAATACAGATCTCTTAGACTCTAGCTGTGCAGGGTTGACGGTGCCCTTAGCAGTCGACGAGGAGCTAGAGTCGAGCTCGGCGGGAATAGGACGCGCGGTAATGACATGGGTAACTTCACGAGAGAAGAACTTAGCCTCGCCCTGATAGACAGTTAGCGCTACACGGTGTTGCAAGGCGACGTGTACCCACAGAACCAAGGATATGGGCCTGGCGAGAGAGCCTGTACTTGATCTCATCCGGAATGCTCTCGAAGTAGAAGACGAACTGCGGGAACATCTTCCGATAATGCCGCTGCCATTGCCGAATGGTTTCCAGGTTTTCGCTGGCACCTCGTTGAGTCTTTTCCACCTGCTTCGGTGGGAGTTTTTGCTCGCGTGCTGCTTCAAGCTTCCTCGTCAGGGCGGTTGGCTGGGCCCCGCTTCTTCGGACGAGCCCATGACGGCGAGACTCCGCATCGTCGACTTCGACCATCTGCTTTTTGGGTGGTGGCTGTCCATACGGAAGGTCGCGCTGCTCGCTGGCGTGGGAGCGTGAGCGCTTTCCGCCCACGGCAGTCGCGCGGAGCGGTGAATTTGTGGCATTCTGAAGGTTTGCGAGTGGGACGCGACGGTTCGCCATAGCGTCGATAACCTGAGGCGAGGGAGATACAGCTACTGCTGCCATACGTAGCAATAAGTAGCGGCAGAAGGGCGTGCCTAGGGCGAGGTGGTCGAGGACAAGGGTGGAGGGGCAGGTTAAAGTTGGGTAGCTTCGGACGCGACGTAACGGGCACGTCGACGCTCCTCTAGCAGCGCGAAGCAGCCATGACTGTGTGATGGAGCTGTGTGAAGGTATAAAGAAGCCGGCTGGGTACAATTGAGCGAGGGAAGGGCGAATTGCAGGGCTGGGTCTGCTGTCTTGAGCCGGGGATTGCGTGGGTTTGTTGTGGCTGGCATGGAGTGAACTACAACGCGAAGAACCGGGCCCGTGCACGCTAGTTGCGCGATTCCCCCCAGCAACGAATCCCGGCATCAAACATCAAACATCGCGGGCACCTTGCATTTGCATCTTGCAGTTGCGAGCGTTGACGCCCGTTCCTGTGACGCGATGCTTTGAGGGTCTGGCCCAGTCCTGCTATGGCATTATCCAGTTTGGAGGACTAAAGCGCGAAGTAGGAGCCGATCCATGCCTTCCTTCCTATGCCCATGCAATGACTCCGGAATTCAGGTATTCCATACTTCCAGGTAGCAAGAGAGCCATGCTGCTGAATCGTTGCTCTTATACGCAAAAGCCGGCCAGACTCTTCACGGAAAGAGCGGCGGCGGAAGGAGATATGACGCGATGAAGAAAGGCGCACCCAGTGAAGGCGACCGCTCGCCGCTCCCAAATACAGCTTCACAGGCGCTTTGGACGAGCCCAGAAAACTCTGCTCCCTTCACCTTCACCGCGCCTCGGGTCTTCTTGGCAAGCTCTATAAACGTCTCACAATGCCTCTCCAGCACCTGACAACAACCACATCTCCGCTCTCGCAACCTAGCCACCATGGCAGATCGCTACCCGCCCGTTCCACGCGGATGGAACTGCTATCGTCCAACGTACTCGCCTCCACGCAGCACACGCTCTGGCCAGCACCCGTCCCTGGACAACGGCGACAACCCGAACAAAACCCCCGCGGCTCCGCATCACCACCAGCGACGCCCTGGTCGGGGTGACAACCGCTCAGACGGCCGCCCAGACGACGAGCTCCTAAAGCTCTGGGATGCAGAGCTTGAAGGCTTAATGGGACGCACCGAACGTGCCTACGACTTGGTGAGTACTTACGAGGAGTTGTCGATGGGTGGAAAGCGGTGGCTGCCAACCCACATTGAGGTGATTCGCGAGGCTGGGAAGGATCTGCACCATGATATCCGCGTTCTACAGGGCTGGCGACGTACGGTGGCGAAGCTGGGAAAGGTCGATCGGGACATGATGCGGAAGATCGAGGATGAGTGCAATGCGGTCAAGCAGACGTGTCTGCGCGTTCAAGGCATGATCAACGGGCACGAGCAGGTGCCTGTTCGCAACGAGCAGGAGGTCGAGGTGGATGCCGACGGCCAACTGGTCGGGTTTAAGATCAAGGGTGCTGCGGGTGGCATACAAGGCAAGGCAAAGGACGCAGGTGTTGGTCGAGGTAAGATAACTAAGGTTTCCCCCAACAGTCACTCTCATGCTAAGGACGATATAACAGTTCAGTCAAGGTCGCCCACCCCGCCTACGCCAGCGCGCCGGCAGCAAGGTCGCCCAGGAAATGACAGCGGGAGACGAGTTCGAGAAGGCGCTCCGCGCTAACTGGGCGAAGTTGACCTCATGTGCTAGACAGCACCATTGGTGAGGAGCTTGATATGGGCGGTAGGATTTGTCGACCATTTGACTGCGCAACTGATAGCGAGAGTTGGAGGAATTTGGATCGACTCCTGCATATGGTCTACGGTACTACGTAGGCCGGCGATGAGCCTAGGGAATGTGGACTCCGGTCTATAGCACCCGCGAGTAGTCTCCTAATAGAACTATCTCGCCCTGTCTTGGTCCCAGGTCCATTGCGCCTTCCTACCAAAACAACTTGAAGTACCAATACGTAGCCACACCACGGCTCTCCCGCGTCTAACGAAAACTGCGATCAGCAAAAGAGCGCTGAAGCACTTCAGCCTGTTGATAAATATGAGCTCCTAATCCCCACACTAATAGTGTTCTCTGTCAGCTCCGCCCGACGTATAAGACGGTGTAACAGAATAGCGACATCCAGTACAACCGTCGGCGTACCTTTTGCATCCGAATATCGTAAAAGCATTGGTGCATAAGGCGGGGCGGGGCGCCGCATCCCTTGATGCCTAAGGCCGAAGGCTGTTAAATGGTAAGGCAACCGACCGGTCAGTCAGACTTATTTCTGGGCGTAACAAGGAGGCGCGCACTAACACTGTAAGAACGCGCAAGGCTGAAAATGTTCGCGCGACAGGAGTGAGGAATGCATGTTAGGCTGAAAACCTTTGCAGGGCCAAAGTGAGAAAGACACAGCTCAGGCTGATTAAGGCGGCACGGAGGGGCAGTGTGTAGCATGGTGGGTTGGAATTAATGATTGAATCTTAGTTAGCTACAGATGAGATAGAGAAAAGGTGGCCTTCCTTGAATGGGGCCAGTATGGTATCGTACAAGTAAAAAAAAGAATCGCCAATATCCCAATGTCCTCCCTCATTCCTTGAAAACTAGAGAAATTAGGAAACCGCTGGGGAGTTCAAGGCCCTGTGTCGCCTGGGACGCCGTAGTGTAGTCATCAACTCGTAGGAAAATCGTTACAGAAATAGAAGTAGTAATACAACTTGAAGGAAGCAAAGGAAGAAATCCACTAGCAATCATCGTAGGACTATGTCCTTCCTGACGGGATTCTGCGCCTTCCAGGCATCTTCGTGCATCCTTGCGATAGCAACTCGCTCGAAGTAACCTTCCTCTTGCCACTGTATTAACATTACGTTCAACATCTTCCACTCTCCGTCCTCGAAGATGTTGGCGTCAAACTCCTCAAGCTGCTTGTCCCAGAGAAAGCGCTCGCCATCCCACATAGGAGTTCCGGGAGGATGGATGGTGGAGGCAACGGGCTTCCGGGTGACCGTGGCAGGCTCACAGTGACGATTCCGGGATAGCAGGACGAATTGAAAGGGTCCTGGTTTGTTGGTTGGCCTACCGAACAGTTCCTTATAATCCATGATGTTTCCGCAATGATGACCCTGATAATCGACGAGTTCCGAGCAGGCAATATCCTTATTGTTCTCGTCACCAAGTTGATGGGCCGTGAAGCTATCGGCCGATATTACGTGGGCCTTGAATCGGAGCGTATTGGAATTGGTATTGCGATCGGATCCCTCGGCTGCGGGGTCGTATGGATACTGTATCCGCACTCTTCTCGTCTCGCGCCGAAGGGTGTAGGGACGGTCTTCAGGTCCAATGTTGAATCTGGCGATCTCTGATTTGAAGAAGTTGCCCGTAAGTTGGCGAACATCAGGGCAATTGGTTGGGTCGAAGGGGAAATTGACTGCGCCTTTCCAGCCTGTCCAGCTCCACGACGGCTCTTTGGTGCTGACCTCTTTCCTTATTTGGCGCTCAGCCGGGCACCACAGGAGGGCGAGGTCGAATAAAGCTTCTGGAAGTCCGTGCACGAATCCGCCGCCCTCGCACTTTTTGGTGAGAATTTCGCATAGTTTTGCGAACTTCTCCGGGGGGTATGAAGGATCCCGGGAGACTTGGTTCGTGACGAGCTGGTTGTACTTGTCGAAAGCATCGAGCCAGCTATCCACTTGCTTGAATTCCTTCTCGCCGAGCGGCTCGGCCTCTAGCCCAGTGCTCGAGGCCCTAGAGGAAGACCTTAGTCTGTTACCAATTTGCTGGATTAGCCTCCGACCGCGGGAGGCGTTGGAGCCTATTGAGCGCGATTCATCGCTGTCGGTAGATTTTGACGTTGGCTTCGGCACGAGCAGCGCTCCAGTTTTCGCATCCGCAAATTCCGGTACGGGCGTTCTGCTGCTTCTTCGAGACCAGGGGCGCCACGAAGGGGATAGCCCTGTTGACGTTGTTGGGGTTTCTGTAGACATGAGGAGGAGAAGCGACATGAGGATAGAGGGAGGTGTGCAGGCTTTTGCGCAGAATGAAAGGACGACCCAAGGACGATGATTCTGCTGAGTCGTCGCGTGCAGTGACTGTCCTTTTTGTCTCTGCCGTTGGCTAGGGCTTTGCCGCCTGGATTGACTGCGCCTCACCTTAGTATGCCTCGACCGCCTCGGTTGTCTTTCAGGAGGTGCGAAGCGCTCTGATGGGGCAGGGTTAGGGAGTGACGCGGAGGTTGTCGTGGAGTGGCTGTGCACGGTTCAGAGAATCGTCAGGAGCTTGGTCTGGCCAACCACGCGGGACCCTGCATTCCCGCGCAAAGCCACTGACCCTGGGCCTACGAGGACAGTACAAAAAAATGTTGACGGACGGATTACTTGACTGATTGTCGTTGTCTCGGTCCTCGTGCGGAGTTCCGCGAGCCCGTTTCCCTTCGCGGGAGACTTGCACTTGTTCACTGATCGACATGTAGGAGCACCAAGGGGCACGAAGATGGGAGCTACCGTTAGTACGTTATACTCCTAGTGGTATTTCACGGCGTCATGGTGAACGACTCCGCTGGCGCGACCCTCCCGGGGTTGGGCGATGCATCATACGGACATGAGTCTTGCGGTATTGAGTAGACCAATTCGCCTCTGGGAGGCGAACGTGGCCGCGGAGATACTCAGACCTTGGAGCATGATCGGCTTGCGAGAATTCCAGATGTCGTTGGACGCATAGCTTGATAGCTGATCTACCTCGCCGCCACAGCGCCACAAAGCTCAGCCACGTCGCAGGGCACGTGACTGCGGGGCAAGCGAGGCACCAATGGGGACGCGTCTCCTGAGCTTCAAAAGCAACGGCTCCTCGCAAACACCCATCGGCCGAGCTAACATTTGCATTTCCCTCGGGTGATTCTACCACAAACATGTCTGGCTACGAGGGCAAGTCCAAGCACTGCCTACAGCGCTTGCAAGCGACGAGACTGACTGCGTCATAGTCGAGCACAACATTCCCACCAAGCAGGACAAGCCTGAGCACCCACCTCGCAGACCCGACCTCAGTACCTTCTTCTCTACCCTCGAGCTCGTCGACACCTCTGATCCCCAGGCACACCACAATGTCCACGCCGTGCCACAGCCGGAGAATATTACTGCCGCATTTCGCCTGCTCGCGAATGCCTTCGAGATGATGCGCGGACGAGCGTCGGACGAGCAGGGCAATGCTCAGGGCGGAGGCGACGATTTGCTCGCTAGCATGATAGAAGTGCTGAGGCAGAATGCAGACGACCCGCCAACAGAGTTGAAGGGGTGCCCGGATAGTTTTCTGGACGAGCTGGAGCGTGTGCCAAAGAAGTCGTTGAAGCCGACAGACACATGTCCTATTTGTGTGAATCCGTTCCTGGAAGGTAGGTTCGGGCAATACAATTGATGATAGAAGGAAGGGTAAGCGAGCGTCTGGCTAATTCGAACTTTGGCAGATGAGTATCCGCTCGTGGTCCGGCTTCCTTGCCACAAGGACCATCGGTTCGATCTTGACTGCATACGCCCCTGGCTCAAGCTTAACTCAACCTGTCCCCTCGACCGAAAAGAGCTTCTCAAGAAGAAGCAGCCGCCTGCTCCAGCAGACGAAGACGAAGAAGAGTACGATGATATGTACGCTTGAAAGAACTTATCTCGATAAGAATGCATTGCTGGGGAGTTTAAGGGATACCATGAGCATTTAGGGGCGTTAATGGGTCTTGTTACGATTCGCAGGCTTTCGTCCCGTAAGCGGAGGCGGATCCACGTCTTCGAACTCACACTTGGCCGCGTTTTCGGCCGTGAGCCCATCATTCTTGGCTTCTATGTGAAACGAGGTCGGTATACTCGTACGAGTCACTTCAGGCTAGCACTTTCATGTTCTGTGGAGCATCTTTGCACGGGTCTCCCACAATATGGAATGATTGAACGAAACAGGATGGATTGACAGGAGATTTACAAACTGTACAAATGGGTATCCATCACCGCCTATGGTCACTTGTTCTCGTCTTCAGTATCAACTTGCTTCTTTATCAGCTGCTGTCCACGGTTTAGGAGCGCCACTGGTTGCAGCAGCTGGTCCTCGCTTCCATTCATTACCGCGTCGATTAGCGCGACCGCAAGTTCGTCCGACCTGATCGTCCATCCGGAAGATCCTCCAACCAGAGCGGCAGCTTCTCCGAACATGGTCCCCCGCTTTACTACTCCACCTGGCCTTGCAATTATTGTCTCCCACAGCCCATTGGTTGCTGGATCTTTCGCGAAGTCTATCATCTGGAGCTCTCCTTGGCCCTGTTCCCAGGATCAGTCGAGTTCGGGGGATGGGAAATGCGGAGTTTACCTTGATCTTCCTTACCGAACTTTTCAGCCACAGAGGTTTGCTCTGGTTGCGCTCGACCGCGGCTCCAGTCACATGGAGGTATTGGAATCGCTCGCCGCGCCCGGCCAAAGTCGCTGCGAACACCTCTGCGAATGATTTGGGGTATTCCAATTCCAACACCGGGTCACCTGCTGGCGTTGTCATGCACCTTCCCGGCATCAGCATCTCTAGCATTTTGATCGGACAGGAAAGAGTACCATATGCATCCGTCGGCGCCAGACAGCTGAGCAATCAGCTCATCTGGATACTGCTTGAAATCCTTTACCACCACGAGGTCTAATTTGGGATGCGATGCGAGCTCTGGCACCGGGCGGCGTGCCAATGCGATGACTGATGTGACAGAAGGGTTCTTGAGACTCTGCTGTAAGACCTCGCCTCCGATACGGCCGGTAATTCCCGTTAATATGAGCTTGAAGGTCATCTTAATGATGACAGCGCACTTATTGCCACAAGCAGCGAAAGCGGATACCCTCGGAAATGGGATTATGAAAGTCCTCAGCTTAATAAAATGGTATGAACAATCGAGCGCCTCGAGAAGCGCTTAATGCTATATTGCTCTTATGCTTTGCGAGGTGACACGGGCAGATGAGTAACCCAGGCCGCGGAACCTTTCGTCGAAGCGGCTATGCCACTTATCACTCTCGCTGCAGCTTACTCAGATTGCGAAAGGCCGAGACTTTACATACGGTGCTGAAACGGGAGGACTTGCCAAGACGGTACGGCCTTACAGTAAGTCCAGGACGAGCTTCGTTACTACAAGGGTGCGGACGAAACGTCGGCCGAAAAGCGCCGGGCCGCGACTCAACCTCGCTTTCGTTTGCCATCGCAACAACCATCCCCTCTATGAAAGTGCTTCATTTCCCGGTATGCAGCGATTTAACGTCTACACTATTTTGAAACAAACAAAGTACCGGGCTCGCTGTCTCTTGGCGAGCAGCGATGGACTCGAGTAGCACGACTAGTCACGATGTCACCAAGAAGAGGCCGTCCAATGTCCTTCGGGCTTGCTGGGAGTGTAAGATAAATTCCCCGACCTTCGGAAACCCAATGCTGGTACAAGATTAACAGATTGTGATAGGCAAAAAAAGAAAGCTCCAAGGTAATTTATCACAAAGCGACATGCCGAGTCGTTGTAGTTCGGATACATTCGGTCCGGACAATGTTGGCGAAGACAATACATGTCCACTGCACATTGGCGAACGGCTCAGCAAACTAGAGCAACTGTTCGAAAAGTTTGTCTGTCGAAAATCGTCGAGTATAGCAACTTCATCCGCTCCGCGAAGCCCGATGCTCGCCGGTGCCAGCAATGAGACTCCATCGAAGTTCAAGTTCGTCGGTCTGCCTGAAATTTCCAGCGCTGGGCAGAGTATCTCCTCAATTGGCGAAGGCATAGTCAGTTGCGGCTTCTCCAGGGCAGTTTTCGCATCATACTAATTTGTAGCAGCTTGCGGCGCAGCATGGCACTTGGACCTCAGCCCCATCTATACGGACCCTAGTCGACAAAGGAGAACCCGCGCAGACCGTCTGCGATACCATTCACCGAGCTTTGGTATCGCTTCTTCCGTCACAACACGATGCTGACATCATCTTCGAAACGTCGAATGGCTGGATGATCCTCAACGGTAAGTGAGCTCCGGCTACACAGCGACGCTTGTGCCTGCCTTAGCCCGTTCTTCGCTTTCATCATGCCATTCTAGGTGGCTTTCCAAAGACTAGTTCCTTCGTCTGCTTCAATACCTCCGCTAATTGTGCCTCTATCTTCAGGAATGTATAGACCTTGCAAGGATATTTTCGTAAACCAAGACCCAGAGTCGTACGCCCTAGACATGTCGGAAATAGCAAAAGAACGCGCAGTTATTATAGCGCGTACGCTCGTTCACCTGGCTATCTGTATCAGCGCCCTTCCTCCCGAGTTTGACCCCTCTCGCTTTTCGAACATCTGGAACCTAGACGCTACCATGGAGACCTACATTTCCACTGTTACGTCTCTAGTGACGTCCACGGACGAACCGCTATTGACGTTACCAGGGCTAGAGACCCTCCTCCTTCTTTCCGTATATCAGATGAATATTGCCAATTTCAGACAAGCATGGCTCATCGTTCGCCGGGCAATGAACCTAGCCCACCTTATGGGCTTCCACCGCATAATCGCCCAACCAAAGATACAACCGCCGGTTGAAGCAGTCGAAGCCGCATCATGGATATGGCGATGCATTGTGGATATAGAGAGATATCTTGGCTTGCATCTACGCCTGCCTTTCGCAGGAGACGACTACCCAGTCATGGAAGATGCTGACCCGCACTTCGTCCACCGCGCTCGACTTGCTTCAATATCACGACAGATCGCCGAACTCGACCGCGAAATCACACCGCAGATGTACGTGCAAGCCCTCGCCCTAGATGAAAGATTGGAGTCGATGATGAGAGAGCAATCGAAGGACTTCTGGGACGTTCCTAATATACCGCCGACCGCACGTACACCAGAATCCTACGCCGTACTTGAGAGATTGATCGTCCAGATGTGGCACTTTGAGCTGAAGATCTTCATTCACCTACCGTTCCTGCTGCGAGCGCCGAAAGAGAGTCGCTATGAGTATTCAAAGGTCACGGCGCTGCAAGCAGGTCGCAACATCGTGATGCGATGGTTTGCACTCCGGAATGCAGGCATCACGCAAGCTTGCTGCCGGCTCGGCGAGCTGGGAGTCTTCATCGCAGCTATCACTCTCACGCTCGACATCCTCATCGACATGGCAACGAAGGAGAAAGGGGAGGTGCAAAAGACCAAAGGAAGCGACTTCATGATGATATGTCGCGTCATCGGCGAAATGGAGAAACTAGGCAAGGCTAGTACGCGAGAGAAGATCGCCGCACGGAGCGCAGTCGTCCTGAAGAAGCTTCTATCGTCTCTTGATCCCAGCAAAGGGCCGGTTGGGAAAATGCGCCTCACGATCCCGTATTTTGGGACAATTGAGGTGGAAAGGAAGAAGCTGCCTGTTAGGCCGGCGTTCGATCTGGACTCGGATACCGCAAAGAAGCTCAACACTACCGCGACCGGGCATCACCTCCCGGTATTTTCTTTTGTTAGCAATGCTCTCTGGCCCCCTGCGAATGACCGTCCCGACTGCGGATTAGACTTCGATATCGTGCTTTTCGACGGGTTGGAGGATACGGACGTGGAGGGCAACTGGGTGTTTTGAGCGAGTCAGGATCGGTCCGTTCTCAGTTCTATTGATTTCTGCACATCACCGGCCCGGATGGGGCATCGCATACCCGGGCTGGTACAGGACGGTGTAGCTGAGCCCACATTTCGTTTTGTCCTCTTTTCAAGTTTAGCATAGCGTTGGTTTAACTACGAAGTAAGTCATGGATACCTAGGCTTGGACGGAGTTCGGCGCACGAGGTCATCTTTTGCTTCTTCTGGGCTTTTCGGAGACATGGTCTTGAAGGTCTTCAGGACCACGGATACCTCTCGAGGAAGAAATTTGACCGTTATAAGTCAGGGACGAGAATTGCCTAGTGCTCCTCTTTTTGGTTGCGCGAGTGCCGCCGTTGAACGACAGAATGACAGCCGCATCACTCCTCCTTCGCTGTACGATGATTGGGCAATCTTAGCTGTCAACACCGCGGAAAAAGGGGTTGTTTGTGGAAAGGAGGCGTGTGGCGAGTTTGCCTCACCTGCAACCTGGTGAATGTTGAGCTGAGTAAGTGGATAAGTCGGCATCAGATTGGCGTCACGTGACCTGCTCGACCATCTCTCTGGGAAGCCAAAGTAGTATCAATGGCAGTGTCTGAGAAATTACCAACGTCATGCGCACGCCAAGCGATTGTGTCCAGCACTGGTCAATCCACGATTGAGCGGACACACTGACTCGCAGATGGGCGGCGCGAACTGAGGCGGCGCGGCAGAGTCACTGGTCTAATCGGCGGCCCAGAGCTGACCTTGCAACTCCGACGCCTGCTCGTCCTGCTAGGCACACGACACGCTCCATCCCGCACACCCCACGCCCTTTCTCTCTATATTGGCGCTGCAGCCGCCTTCAGCCTCCTCTGCATGACTCTTTCGTATGCTTCCCTGCGCTCTTCGCCGTCAACACTGTCTCGTGGGCGCCGAGTTTGCTAAGAGTCTCAACCTGCAGGCAGAAGAAAGCATGAGCAGCCAGACGAGCACGCAAGAATCGATCTGGGACATCAACGGCGCCGAGGGCGCCTCTCTGGCGTCGTCGAGCACCGCCGTGTCGCTCCAGCGCGACCTCACCAAGCAGCATGCGCCGCCCCTCAGCCTGTTCGAGTCGGTCATCACATCGTACCCGCCCGTCCTCGAGTCGCTCCTCTCGCAGATACCCACCTCGTCCATCCTCGATCTCTACCACACCTCGCGATACCTCCGCGATTTCCTGCAGAAATACCCGCTGGCATGGAAGACGCTATCGTTCCGGCTGCCCCAGCCCGCCGTCGTGGTTGGGTCGCCGGGCAACGAGACGCCCGACAGCAGAGAGCGGCAGTCGAAAGCATACTCGTTCGACGCCCTGCTGCGGCAGATAATCGGGCCATATGGGACGCGGCTGACGAGCCTGGACCTCTGCAACACCGCCGTGTCGGGCGTGGCGCTGGTGGGAACCGTCCTCATGCCCAGGATGGACACCCTGCAGCATCTCTCGGTGCGGGGCTGCAAGAACGTGTCCATCAAATACCACATTGTGCCCTTCCTCGAGCCATACACTATGAAAAACCAGAACTGCTCGAAAGACGATCTCGCCCTCAGGAGCCTGTACACGTACCGCTGCCGCCATCACCGGAGACGCCCGTACCTTCCTTCTTCTCTCGTCCGGAGAGATTCCGATTCCGACCCGACTCACCACCTCATCGAAATATGTCATCAGCTAGGGATATGGACCGATACGGCGTGGTGTCCGACACCTGGTGGGCGCTGTTACCGCCGAAAAGACTACCATGCAGGGAGAGCTGGGCCGCAGAATATGGAGGTATGGGTGCCCTTTGACAGATTATGGAGGTCAAGCAACCGGATTGGGCCCGTCGATGGCGGAAACATACTCGGCGAGCAAGATGGGCGATTGTGGGAGATATCCGAGACCGGCCAAGACGGCGAGCCGCTAGGGACGGAGAGCGGCGTATTCAAAGGAGAGGGGAAGCACGTCCCGGCACACATGCGGAGGAGTCACAAGATTTTCGTGGAACATGTCAAGTGTGCACAGTGCGAAGAAGCCATTCTGGAGCGCTGCGAATCCTGCAGCGTACGGATGCATTGCATGGGATGCCGCAAGACCCTTTGCGCCAGCTGTGCGTTCAACAGGCCCATACCGAGGAAACGAGCAAAGACGCGGCACACATTCGCAAACCTAGCATTTGGGGCTGGCGCAACGCTGGGCACTACCTTAAGTCAAGCGTCAGGTTCATCCGCTTCTCTCCACGATCAGAATCGGAACACAAAAGCCCAGAACGCCGACCGCTACTGGTGGGCTCCCGGAGCCACCCGTTCGCCGAACCTCATGAATGAGAGCGCGCACGATGATGACTCATCCGACTCCGAAGATGGCGGCAACCTCAACAACGGATTACCTATACCGCCCGCGAATAGAGAACCGCCGAAGTTGAACATGCACTGGTGCTGCCTGGAGCCCATCTTTTCTGGTGGCGGAGGGATAGCTGTGTTGGGGACTGGACTAGGCGGCAGAGGGGCAGACAAGATCCGCGCAGCACCTCTACCACGCACCAAGCACTTCGAGGATCCAGATTTCTCCAATCAGCTCCGCCCGGTCGACTACATTCGAGAGCTGAAGAACAATGGACTCTATGAATATGTCCTTGGCGAAGATGTTGACATCCTCTCTTACCTGAAACAGGACAGCCTAGACCTGCAAGCCCAAACATGTCCCCGAGGCCTATGCCAAGATTGCTATCGGAGTTTCCGCTGGAAAGTGTCATGTCGAGCCTGCAAGAACCCAATTTGCAAAGAGCACGATTTCAGGGGTTTGAAGTTTCGCAAATGTGGCTATAGAGACATGCACACAGAGCGCGAACATGTCCGAACACACAACGAGCCCCCTCGGCTGGTCATCCCTGAGTTCAACGCAAACAAAGCCCATGGCAAAGACCCCGAGCGCACACCGACAGCGCCCTCTATGCAACATCAGTCATCGTCCTCTACGACCGCCGAGCTCGAGCCGTCTGAATCGGCTCCAATGTCCCAATCTCAGATCCTCGTCCCGCCCTCCGCACCCTCATCCATTGAAATGGCGTCGTCAACCTCCTTGGACTCTCACTCCTCCATACCAGACCCCTTCTCGAACTCAAGCTCCTTACCCTTTGTCCCCGTAAGCTCCACCCGCCCTCGCTCCTTGAGTGTGTCCGGCGTCCGCAGCCGTAACTCTGGATCCTGGCCGAATTCTCCTCGCCAACCTAATTCGATCGCACATCCTCCCCCGCTTCCTTGCAATCCACGCCATCCGGTGCAGTGGGAAGGCTGCGGAGCGTACTTCTGTCAATACCCTAGACCTGTCGGCGACCACAGACCTCAATGTCCAGCTATTCTGAGAGAGTGCACCGAATGTGCTGTGCTCGTATGCGACGTAAGTCTATTTTATGCGTCCATATTTTGCCCAATGCTGACTCTATTCTAGCAATGCTCCGCTTCAAACCCATCTTGCCCATGCACTTACTGTACAGTGAACTTCCATTGCCCCACTTGCGCCCGTAAGAAGGATGTCATAGCCAAGTGCCGGCTTGAAGCCGAGACCAAAGCGAGGAAAGAAGCCGAGCTCCGCGCACAGGAGAGGATGGAGAAAGAAAAGGAAGAGCGGGGCCAGGCTGACGAGATGGCCGGCGCAGTGTTTGAATTCTTCGCGTCTCTCATCCCTGAAGTCATGGCAGAGATATCAGAGTTACCCGCTAACCTGCAGGAAGACGATGCTGAAACCTTGGCTGAAATGCTCGTACCTAGCCCTGATTCTATTACAGTTACGACGGTCTTTGGAGTCCATGAGGAGCCGAGTAACGTTACGGTCATCACTGCTTCTGCACCGCCTCCAACGGTGACCGCCAATGAGGAGTTGGCGCTTCAAGGGACCTTGGAAGACCTAAACGAGAATATGGAGCAGCTCCAGGTGGCAGAGCATACGTTGGTAGCAGCTGTCGGCGGCCACGTCGCTCTTGATGGAGAGCATGACGACATCATGGAGGATGACGGGGACGATGCGGACATCGACACGGACGATTTCGATGCCGAGAGTGCTCTCATCGATGAGTTCATCGATAATGGAGCCCTGACACCAACGACCACAACCACTACCGGGATTCTATGACCTCCACCGACCCAGTTAAGCCGGCTCAGGCGTAGACAAAAGCGTGAAGAGGAGGTCACCAGCATTCATGAAGATTTTGATATTTGCACATTTCATCATATTTTCACTTTCATCGAACGTTCTATACCAGAATGCAAAATCGACATTTCAGATACGGAAGCATCGTGGGACGATATGTGTACGACCAGTTCGAGGAAGAGCAGAGCAAGATGTTCGCACCGTTTATTAGCGTGATATAGCAGATATACATTATCATTTGGTTTTAGGGTCTTAGGCATGGATTATCTAGACTGAGCGACCGAATGGCGGACTTGCGGAATTTCAGATATCATACGCCAATTAGCAGGAGGGATCAGAGCGCATTTTTGAAGTTCTTTCTGAATGCTGTATCAATTTCAGTCATTGGTTTGATGTCGTCCACTCATGGTTTTTGCAACTTGACTTGTTCTCTCAGTCCTCTCTAACCTTCACGAACCCCTTAATCCTCCCATTCGCCTGAGGCACAAAGCGATCCTTCCACTCCATATCCGCTTCCGTCGTATATCCGGTCGTCTTCACCTCGAATCTCCGGAATAGATGCGCTACTGTCAAGTGCAGCGTCGCATACGCAAGGTTAATCCCAATACAGGACCGCGAGCCCCGGGAGAAAGATAGCATTTGCCGGTCGCGCTGTTTGTAGGTTTCGGGCGAGCAGAGCCAGCGCGTGGGATCGAACGTGAAGGGTGAGGGGAAGGTGGCTGGGTCCGTGTTTTGTAGGTAGATGCCGGAGGTTATGGATGTCTGTGGAGGGGGTTAGGTTGGGGAGGGCTTTTGGAGAGGGGGAGGGAATGAGCAAGTGATGCAGAAAGTGGAGAAGACTTACACCACCCGGCACGAAAGTATCTCCAAACCGCGCGCCTTCCTTAGGCGTCTTGCGGATAATGCGGCCTGGGACACCGTAGGAGAGCCGGAGAGCTTCTTTCACGACGGCGCGCATGTACTCAAAGCCTTCTCCCTCCAGCCTTGCGCTTTCCACCATCACGTCGCGACCGGGCATCGCGGTCTTCAGTTCTTCCACAAGCCTAGCCTCGATCTGGGGATTCTGCGTCACGTGGAAGAGAATAATGCCCAGTGCGTTGGCCGTCGTATCCGTCCCCGCTGCAATCATCAAACAGCCCTCTGCGACCATGTCGCTCTTCGGCGGAGTGACCTGGCCTTTTTCCGCATCTGGGTTGAGCATCAGGTCGAACATTGTGGGGATCTTGGAATTGCTCTTCTCCGGATGGGCTATCAGATACTCCACTCTTTCCCGGGATAACTTTAGGTTACCCAAGTCAGCCACGAAGGACAGACGGATGAGAAAGCACTGGGAAAGGGTAAAAGGACGCTCCTCACCTTCTGCATCATCTGAAACCCATGCACAGGCGCGAAATACCTCTCCCTCACCCCCTCGGGCAACGCCATAATAATCTTATTAACAAATCCAAAGAAGTTCGGAAAAAAAGTGCCCACGAGCGCCATATCAAAGCCCTGGATGAACGCCTCGACTGTCTTGTCCTGAAAGCCCGGCGCCGCCAGCGCATCGAGGTCCTGCTGGAAGCAGTAATCCATCACGAGGTCGGCCGTCAGGCAGCGAAACGCGAGGTAGAAGTCGACCACCGTGCCGTTCGCTTTTTCGAGCGTGGACAGGAACCCGGAGAGCTTTTGCCGGTGGAGATACGGCTCCACGCGCGAGATTGCGGCTTTGGAAAAGAAGGGCGAGAGGAACTCTCGCCGCTTTTTGGTTTCCGGGAGGGTCTCTTTGGATTGCAAGGACCCTGTGAGGAAGGGGTTGTCGTGCCAGATTCTGGTGAAGGGAGTGCCGACGCGGAAGATTCTGGCTCACTGCGTTAGCATATCTCTCATTCTCATTTCCCGTCGCCCTATCTTTTGATACACATGGAAGAAAGAGCAAACTTACTGGTTATAGCCTTCTAGGTCTGCGACATGCAGTTCATTCGGCTGGATCCTTATGATCGGTCCATATATCTTATGCATTTCCGGCAGCTTCTTGATAAGGCCGGCGCCGCGAATATCGTAGTATGCATTGTGGAGCGTTGTTGCAGCTGCGAGCTTGGGACCGGGGAAGTGGGAGAGAGGGTGGAGGTACAGACGGTATATCGTCTTAACAAGTATGTACGCGACGAACACAGTGATGGCGTAGCCCAGGCCTTGCAGTGAGAATAAAGGCATTGTTTTTAGAATATAAGCTCTAGGGTTCGTGTACCGCGGAAGAGAATAAAGGTGGGTGTATGTCGAGATATACATACACTAGAGGCTGGGGTGCGGCGTGGGCAGTGCACAGTCAATGCCCGCTTGGGATGCTAACGGGTGGCTTAAGCCTATCAAATACTCCATGCATGCGACTATGCGAGGAACGAGCTCGAGAGCCTCAGTCCGCGTTGTCGTTGGCGCAACTATGCGGAATCTCGGTCAGCACTAAGCTTAATGCAGTGCATACCCATCAGCAATCTCAAGCGGTTAGCCTATAGACTGCAGGTCAGCTTTTACAAAGCTAGGGATATATCTGTTTTGGCTTGTGGGGCGGATCCTGAGTATAGAATCGGAAGCTTCGAAAATGTGTTGGAGATAGTTAAGCCTGGGTTAGTATTTACTACATTACGAAGTACCTGGAAAATGCTAAAGGGAGAAGAGTGATTCTTAGGCCTTCTTTCTGTCTTCGGCTCGTTTTCTTTTGCCACGGAAAATCCCAGTACTGCCGTTTGGCATCTAAGCCGTACCTGCTTTAGCAACCAATCCGTCCCCACCCATTCTTCCCTACCCGAGCCTCTCCCTACACAAGTTAATCGCCACATCTGCAGTCGCACCATCGAAGAAATCGTTCAACAAAACCACCACACTCTCCTCCCGCGTCAGACACTTCCCGCATTCACCCCTCAAAAGCGGCAGGATCTTGCTATCACAAACCGGCTTCGTGGCCAAGATGGGGCTGGTTGAGACATCTGAGTCGAGCACTGACGCCACAATAACATCCCGTATATTCGTCGCCGTAGCCTGGCATTGAAGAAGAGTTATGGGGTGTCCGCGCGGAGGATTGCGCGACATGTCGTTCAGCTTGTTGACCATCGAGTCGCCGGTAAGCGTAGCGTTGGCTGCGTCGTCATAGTTCGAGACTTGGTTTACGTCGCGGAGGACGATAAGGCGCTTGCGTTCGTTTCGCAAGTCGCGGATGCTCTTCCTCATCATGTCGTCCTGATTTCCCACCTGGATATCCTTGCCCTGCAGTACCTCGTTCAGCACCTTCCTCAGCTCGTCATCATTCGGCTTGGGACAGTCTCCCGGCACGCCATCCCATCTGTTCTGCACCACAACCATTTCCTCCCGATGGTCCTGCAAGAACCGCGCAATATCGTTCAGGAACTGCTTGTACAGCATCCCTGGGATCGCGCCGTGCTGGAAGAACCACGTATCCTCCAGCGGACTGGCCTTCTGCATCTGGCGATGGCACTTCGCAGGCCGGAACTCAAAGTAGCGTGCTCCGATCTTCAAAATCGTCTCGAGCGAATCCTTCTGCGTGATGGCGAGCGCGCGGATGATGTCTGGCGCGATGTGGTTGATCGCGCCGTCGGACACTTTGTTAATGACTTCGAAGGCGTTGGGGAGGCTGCGGCCGAGGACTTCCTTGATGATTCCGGTTCCGGCGTTGCGGAGGAGCGCTTGGGAGGTTTGCATGCTGTTCATGCCTATGTCGTGAGAAGACGGGAGTACCATGCGGTGGAAGGGGCGGTTCGCTTTGTCGGAGTCATGAGGGATGACTTCGCGCATCCAGTTCTCCTGGTTCTTCGTGACGGTTACGTAGCACTGATGCTGCTTAGGCAAGCCCGCGACACCTGGTCCAGCGTCGTAGAAGCCGTAGACGATGACCAGGTCTTCGGCGAAGATGCTAGGCGTTTGGTCCATGTCCTTCATCGTGCCGTTCTCCAAAGAACCGGTCATGCTGTTAACATCGACCCATTGATTCGTTAGCTCCCGTCCATCTCTTCGCACGACAAACTTGAATTGGCCGGCGAATTTGAAGCGCCCTAGATTACTTGACTCGACTTCCAGATGATCGATCGTGAACTGGTGCTGATCACGCTTGGTGACGGATTGTTTGGGGACGCTGAATTCGATTTCGACTCCGGCGACCGCGAGGTAGGCGAAGCATTTGATTCCTTTGGATGGCATTATCGCGGTGATGAAGATAGAGGCGATGGCTGGTAGGGCTATGCGGGAAGTTGGGTCGAATGACGAATGGTCCTAAGAATGACTCCGATTTGCTGTCTGACTCTTGCTAAGAATACCGATGAGGGTGGAGGGTGGCCGAAAAGGGAGCGCTGGCAGCTGCTAAAGACTTACGACAATAGCGGGGTATGTCAAGAAGCCGCGACCTGCATTTGCTTTTAGCTTGCATCGATCTTAGCTGTTCGGCCTTGGCCAGGCCTGCGGACCCTGAATGGCGGCTCAGCTGTGGTGTCGTTGTCCTCCACCTCGCCAGGCACACCAATGAGGGATGCAGACTAGTATAGTTCAATAGCCTAGCAAGAGGGGCACAAACGCATATGAAGAAGCGCTTCACAGGAGGCTTTACATGTTCCTACCTAGATTATCATTTAGGCATTAAAGCGCGATCAAAGGCGTTCGCAGGAGCTGACCGCAAAGGAGAGAGTGCTCACTCAAGCTGCACCATTCTCCTTCTCCTTCTCGGCCACGTTTTTCCCGCTTTTCGAGCTCCTAACACTCTTGATGCTCTTAGAGCTCTTCAAGCTCTTCTTTGACGCCGTCCTCCTCAGTTTCGCCTTGAACCTTTTCCACTTCGATTCGAGCGAGTCGTCCGTGTCCCTCTTGGTCGGACTCCTCGGCTCGCTGTCCATGCTTCCCCTCGGATACGTATATTCGCTCCCTAGATCCACGCTCTCTATATTCCTGCGCTCCCTGTCCCTTCTCCTACCTTGCAGCATGAATTCCAGTGTCTGCCAACCAGCCATGTTTGCTATCGGGCCGTCCGTCGGGTTATGCTGGGCTTCAGCATTCTTCCAGGGACAGTGTTCGCGGTGCGATTCGAGGACATTGAGGCGGAGGGATTCGATGGGAACTTCCAGCTTTTTGCTCATCTCCCCAAGACGCGACTCCTCATAGAGCCAGAGACCTATGCGCTGGAAGCAATGGTTGCACACTACCAACTTGATGCTTAACTCAGACGTGCCTGTCCAGCCAAACACCGCGAACAGGAAGGACACCATTTCTGCTGGCGATGTGGGCGGGGCTTCCATGGCATCGGAGCCGGGCGGGTTGAAGAGGGTAGAGGGTACATGCTTGAGGACGTCTTCTACTCGCGGCTCGGGGTATATCAGGTTCTCTAATGCAGGAAGCTCGCTTGCGATGGGCTTGAAGGAACGGTAGCGGATGAGGAGCTCCGCCGAGCTTTTGGCGCGATCCGGTATCGAGATGTGGTATATATCATCTACAATGTGTTAGAACCAAGGCTAGCAAAAGGACGATAGAGGAAATACCTTGACATCCTCGTCTCCTCCACAAGCACTCCTCAGAGTGCCCATCAACAATGAGATCGCGGAACTTCTCCACAAGGCCCTCTGAGACGTCCTCCGCCAGATCCTCGCTCATCTCAATCTCCTTCCCGCTCGCGTCTTTCCGCTTTGGCCGCAACTGCACCACAACCCTCTGCTCGCAGCCTCCCTTGCACGCGACCGTGTTCCAGGTATCGCATACCCATCCCCTCTTCGCCCACTCGACTTCCCCAATCGCATCTGGCTTGTTTGCCCACTTCTTTACGTCTGCGAACGTCTTCAGCCTCCCCAGGAACTGCTCCTGGCTGTACGGCTGATAGTTCGGTTCCTTGCGGGGCGTGGAAGGCTTCACGGGCGTCTTGTTGGAGCCGACTACGCGCACGCCGGCTCCGACCAGTCTGTCGCCCTGCTTACGCGGAGTGAACAGCTGATCTTGCAGTGCCCTGATGCGCTCGCTGCCGGACACTACCCGAGGGGGCTCCATGCCGACATCAGAGAGCCGAGAGCGCTTCGAAGCGGGTTCTGTGGTGGGGTGCGAGAGTGAAGTGGTGGATGCGTTGGATTCACGAAGAGTGCTTGCGAGGGACGTGGTCGAAGCGCTCGCGGTGAGCCTCTCAAGCAGCGTGTCGAACTTGCGCTTCGTGGTCGCGAGCGCAGGTCCGCGGTCGGGAGATTGCGCCATGTTGGCGATTTAGATATGAAATGTCGCCTGTTATCGCGCTGGGGGACGCGCCGGGCTGGATGGTGAATTGCTTTGTGACGATCTTTGTTTACTGCCAAAATTTGGGGTCAAAGCGTCTGTGACAGCAGCACGATTGGTAGGGCGCATTCAAGAAGGACGGAACAAGAGGCTCTACGCTTCATGCAAAAAGACCTGAGCGTCCGAGCTGGGTATCTCGACTCTCGCAGAGCGATGACTGCCGCAGTTTCCATGGGGCTGCGGCGCGCTTCCCAACCCTCCGAGCTCCGCGCGCCAAGGCCCACTTACGTACTTTCCTCCACCCACGACGCCGCGCAATTGCGCCCATGCAGCCAATTCTCACGCAATATAAGTTCTTCTTCCTGGCCGTCCTCATCCTGGCTGCCTCACTTCTTCCCTTGCCTTCCCTCCTGTCCCGGAGCGTTACCCGTCTCGCTCAATTGAAGCAGCACCTCTACCCCTCCCCCGTCATAAGCCTTCAGAAGCCTCTAGTAAGAAATACTTCTCGAGCAACTACCACGATGGCCTACGAAAAAGAACTCGAGACCGCCCTCTTAGCTGTTCAGCGAGCGACGCTGCTTACAAAATCTGTCTTCCATTCCCATTCCAAAGGCACGCTGTCCAAATCCGATGCCTCCCCCGTCACGATCGGCGACTTCGGCGCACAAGCCCTCATCATATCCTCTATAAAGCACGTCTTCCCTGAGGACGAAGTTGTGGGTGAGGAAGATGCAGACGACCTACGAAAGGACGACTCGCTGCGAGATCTGGTCTGGGACTTAGTGCAGGCCGCCAAGTTGGAAGACAGCGCGGCAGAGGACAAAATTGGAGGGCCAATCAAGAGCAAGGAGGCGATGCTAGATGCCATTGATGCAGGACGGAGCGCCGGTGGCAGGAAAGGCAGGATCTGGGCACTTGACCCCATTGATGGGACCAAGGGGTTCTTGCGGGGTGGACAGTATGCTGTCTGTCTAGCGCTCATGGTGGACGCCACACCTACTGTCGGTGTCATCGGAACCCCCAACCTCCCAGTGGACGACCAGGCACCGCTGGACGCCTCAATCGGCGCCGATGCAGATGACAGCGAAGGCAAGGGCGTGCTATTCGGCGCTGTGAAGGACGAAGGTGCAACTAGCCGACCACTGAGCAAAGGAGCGCTACAAGAGCCACGAAAGATTACCATGAAGCCCATCACCAACATCAGCGAAGCTACATTCTGCGAGAGCGTCGAGGCAGGACACTCCTCCCACGGCGACCAAGCAGCCATCGCATCAAAGCTCGGAATCACGAAGCCTAGCGTGCGCATGGACTCACAAGCGAAATATTGCTCCATTGCCCGAGGAGCAGGCGATCTTTACCTCCGGCTGCCGGTCAGCAAGACATATGAGGAGAAGATCTGGGATCATGCGGCCGGCGTGGTGATTGTGCAAGAAGCAGGTGGAGAAGTCACGGATGCATGGGGAAAGCCGCTAGACTTTGGCATTGGGCGGACGCTGAAGGAGAACAAGGGCGTGGTTGCTGCTCCGAAGGCTGTCATGCCAAAGGTAATTGAAGTGGTGAAGGAGGTCCTCAACGCAAAACAGTAGCCCATGAATAATGAATGCACTCGGTGCCACCCCAAACAACGCCGCAGTAGGACGGCATGGTAAAACTAGTCTTGAAGCCCCTCAGCATGCTATCCACCTCCCACGTTGCATCTCCTTACCACGCTGAAGGTCTTTACCCCACCGCATCACTACACATATCCCATGGTGTGAAATCCTACGCTGAAGTCCCTCAACTCCCTTTGCCCATGTCAAAGTGAAAGTGTCTGGAGCTCTGAAGTATGTCTGGCGGAGCAAGGTGCTTACATTTCTGCACCATTCGCACCTCGCTATGCATCTTTCCCGTCCCGTCCGGGTCACACCGCATCCTTATCAACGACACTCCCCGCCACCGGACTTTGCAAGCCCGACGTGTAGCCCTTCCATCCCCCATCCCCCATCCCCCATCCCCCAGCTTTGAGAGCAGAGTCCCAGCGGAGTAGACATATGTGCATGTACCTTCGCCTCGAGCGTTTTGGTTCCGCATAATTGTCTATTCCCCCATATGCCGTCTAAAGCATCCGAGGACGCCTATTGCTATGCATTTTTTACAATCTATTACAATGTCATAAACAAATCTTACGAAAAATGATATGCAGCGAGGGTACAGCTACTACCGCCCCTCCAGCCTTAACCGATCTAGATTCCTCCCCTCATCTCTCCTCGCAACAAGGAACCACAAGCTGCTAATCCAGCACAGCACCACGCCCGTCCAGCTATGCGCGGGCATCTTGAACAAGCTGAGCATAACGAGCTGGAACGCCCCTCTTGGTACTGCGATGAAAGTGGCCGTGAGCGGCGAGGTAGCTTTGATAAGAAGAAGCATGGAGACGAAGACGGCAAAAGATCCGAGGGCGCCCATCCAGATCATGAACCAGAAGAAAGGTACGTCCAGGAAAGGGATGTTGTGCAGGATATTGCCTACCTCGCCGGAAATGAGGACGATAGGTGTAAGAAGGATCAATGACAGGACGGAAGTATAGTGTAGCGTTCGATAGTACGCGCGAGTTTCTTCGCGGTTTGACATGGAGTCGTCAGTTGTAGAAGGGTAGCCGGTTAAGATGTCGCCTTGGGGGATGAGGCCGGCTACCAGGGTGCGGTATGTGCGGAGTAGGAGAATTGGGTAGAGGGCGACGAAGAGCGAGGAGAAGACGCCGGCGACTATGGATTCCCAGGTTACGCGGACGTGGGAGCGGAGCGTGGCGAAGAGGAGGTTGAGGGTGGCGACGAGGGCGGAGGAGAGGGTGCTGGCGCTGTGGTTTTCTTTCTGCATGATGCAGGAGAAAATGAGGGCGAGGGGGGTTACGCCGATGCGGGCAAGTTGGTAAACAGGGAGGGGTGCGTAGCTAGAATTGAAAGTTAGTGTTGGGAGCAGTGGGAGAGCGCGGGTATGCCTACGCGAAGGAGAAGTTGCTGAGCAGGACCTTCACGACGAAGACGACTGCCACCGGGAGGACATGCTTAGCCACCTGCCAATCGAATTCGAACAGTCCTCCTCCTGCAATCCCACCGGATCCGTTCGCCAGCCATCGTCCAAATTGGAATATAGCACCTTGGTGTTTGCTCGACGCCCTGAAACCTCCTGGAGGGGCGACCGGGTAGGCAGGTGCGACCGCAGCGGCGAATCCGAGCTTCCGAAGCGGTGAGCTGAGCCCTCTCGTGAGGCTCGCGAAGCCCACAAGGAGTATGTGAGTGAGAATGAGCTGGAGGTAGGTTTGCGTGAGCGGGAATGGAAACCTGTCTCCGTCAGCAATGAACTTCAACTGCCAGTAATTCCCTACTTGTAGACGCCCGTCAGCATGATGAAGCGGTTCATGAGCAGCAGACCAAAGCTGCACCCACCGACCCAGAACACCAATAGTCCCACCCAGATCTGCCAGCCCATCCACGTCCCAAAGAAGAAGCCTCCCAGACCCCCTTGCCTACCCACACATCTCCACATATTCCCCCCTCTTCCCACATCCCGGTGGCTCACCAGCGGCCTTATGCTATCTGCAGGCTCAAAATCATCATCCTCATCCTCGCTCTGCACCGCGCTCCTGCTCCTCGGATACGGCGACGTCGACCGACTCGAAATATCAATCAGTGGGACTGCAGGCTGCAGCTCCGTGAGCGAGTTCTTGCTCGAATGGCTGGTCCTCGAGCTCTCCATTTGCGCGTACTGTTCTACGTCCGAATGGTCCGTATCATCGAGCGAGCTGGCGCTATTCTTGCGGCGGTGGGAGGAGTAGGAGTCTGATTTCTTGTTGCGGTCCTCGGGGAATTGGGCGGAGCGCGAGAAGTTATTCAGGTAGGAGAAGGCGGGGCGGAAGACGTTGTTGGCGGTGCGGGTGAATGGGCGCGAGGAATTCATGCTGTCCGCTGCATGGCGGAGGAGAAGAACAGGCGCATGCTGAGCTGACAGTGGGCAGGTTGTCGTAAAGTTGTGGAAGGTGCACAAGGGCTGTGGCTGCGCAGACGCATGGCTTGGCGCGGAGCCTGGACCCTGACAGGGGTTGGCGATCTTCATCTGGTGTTCCTCGTCGAACGTCGGCATCTTCCATCCTGTAGCCTGTCTTCATATTTCGTCGGCTGGTATAACTCCAGCATACTTGTGGGATTTCTAACAAAAGCCTGAAGACGGGTGGAGACTTCACCACCCAGGGCATCCTTCCATAGATCGCGTCGTGAGTAGGTACTCTCGATTCTCGCTCATCGGACTAGTCCGCTAAACATCATTCCTGGTATAGAATCGTCAAAAGTTGGACACATCGGAAAATACAGCAGCCAATGGCTTACCGGTCAGTGGACACCGTAGCTCTCCTACTAGGCTGTCATTTCAGTTCTCTGCGTACCTCGATACTCTGGACGGGCAACAGGCTTCTATGCATGATTCCACCCTTGAACCCGCCTTGCAGCTATGCACCAAGGCTCTACCGCTAGGTAGACCCAATGCTAAGTTCCCCCAACACCCTTTCCACTTTTCGATTTCCGCGTCCTCATTTACTTAGACACCCGTCTCTCGGCGTTGATCCGGCCACTCCACTATTAGGTTACCCTCATTCTCGTCTGCCTTCCAGTCCTTGATCCTCTCGTCAATCTTAAACCAAAGCCCCAGCTCCGTCCTCTTATTCGAAACTCTTGCCATCTTCACCGCAATTCCTTGTACCTCTCCACACCCCCATCCACATACGCCTCGAGCCTATCCTTGCAGAGGAAGAAATTCTCACGCTGCAGGGACTCCTACAGCCTCGTGTCCTCATCTTTGAAAGGTTTCGCAAGAACGTGCTTCAGAAACTTGGCTGTAAAAGCGAGGACTTGCCTGAAGTAAGAGTTGATATCGGCGTCGCTGACAGAAACTTCCGGCCTTCCACCTGCTAGTTTTCCAATATCGTTTCCAGGGCCTTCAAAAAGGCCTCTGCACGCTGCAGCTCCGGAACATCTCGCGTCTCCCATAACAAAGCGCCCCAATCCGATTCGTCTAAGTGACGGAAATCGAGATCCTTCAATGCACACATGTATTCATCGTTCAATGCGCGGACTTCGTGAACCAGTGGCCGGAAGAGGGGAATTAGTACGGGACTGGCTCCAAAAGCGATGATTCGGGATCCACTCTGCCACACGATGTAGCATGAAGGAAGACACAGCGCGACTTTCGCAGATCCTGAAGGTCGCTCAATCGCTACCATGAAGGACTGCTTTGACGATTAGTTTTGTTCCACCTGGACACAACAACTCTATCATGGCGGTACTGGTAGTGCATAAACTCCCCTGCGATCTCGCTTATTCCAAGCACAGTTGTGCTATCTTCTCAGACCCTGTTAGAGTGCCATCCCTCAACTGTACCAAGCTTACATCTCTAGCATTATCGAATCCTGCGGTGATGGGTTTCAAATGAAATATGCCAAGACCGTGGGGATGCCCCTTCCGCTGCTGGAACCTGTATCGCTCGCCCCCTGGTCAAACTGAACCCCACGAACCAAGACACTGGAATTATTAAGGACGGTGCCATCGCCCCGAACGCTGACAACATCTTCGAGTGATACCTTTATGGCACAGCTTTCATGCCCCTCTACGAAGACCCGACTCTCGTCCGCGTCGTCGCCAACAAACACCGCACCAGCCTACTCCGACATGTCACTTTGGGTGACATACGTCTACGGGCTTCGCGCTGCAGATTCAGGTGGGCAAGAACATGATTACCAGTACGGTCAAGTATTAGTGTGCGACACATGACACTTGTGCTAAGTGGAGTACTTAGACGAAGCAGGGTGGGTTCTCGCAGGCAGATTCTAGCGTGTAGAAGAAGGGAGTGAGTGAGACGTTGAGCCTCTCTCCCCGCGTCCAGCAGTACGAGAACTATCTCAAGGGGACGGACTGTGAAAGAAGAGAAGAAGTATTCTCATCTTAATGCATAAACTTGAATGCATGTAACAGGCCAATCTCAGCAACTGCCGTGCTCTCCCACAGCTTCCCTAGGTTTTGGAATGCGGGAGGAGATTGCGATGTAAGAGAAGGGACTGCAGTCAGGATATTAATGTTTTGTGCGGCTTTATGGCGTCATTCTCGTGTATTGGAACGACTCGGGGGGGGGGGGAGCTCTCGCTCTTCAGAAACGCCGGTTGCGGTCTGTAGAGACGCATTCGGTCGCCTTGTGCGGAGGACGGTCCTTAGGACTTTCAGTGACTGAAGGTATGGAGGAAGCGGGACTGATAACCAAAGCATAGCCCCGGGGCCCGACGAATAGTCCAGGAGTAACTGGCAATGCGTATCTATCTCAAGCGGTAGAGTCAGTCATGAGCATCTCGCGAAGACGGCCTCACGACGATTTGTGAATTGACAGTTGAGCTCCATCTGCAAAAGTGATGAAGAGAAAATTGACGAAGAGGGTGTGCTGCTGTGGGCGCCATGCTATACCAACATACAGCCCCGCGGCAATACCGATCCCACCTACCAACTGCTACAGGCAGGCGTCAATCACTGCTTGATTGAATCGGAAGGAGACAAGAAAGAAAGAAGCATATACTTGGTATCATCTACAAACCGCCGGAGCGAGGACGTTCGAGGAAGGTTATTACTGTACCGACTTACGCCAGGGGTCTCCTGCATGGGGGCATGGTCATGATAGCAATCTTGGAAGCTGGCGGGTGATTGACAAAGGCCCTGTCAATCCCATCCCTAAGGTAGCCCTGGCATGGGGCAAATCAGACCCTTTTGCCGAGACTGTGGCAGAACGCCTAGACTAGTCGTCCTTCTGCGGGTCGAGTCAGAGACCCCACCACTTCCCTTGCCGCCGGTGCATATGCACAGAACATTGGAAAGATGCATCTTGCATGTGTCAATCATGGCGATTGGTAGATTGGAGGATCTAGATGTCCTATCGAGCAGGCGATCTCCGCGAGCGTGGGAAGAGAGGGTTGGTGTTTGGTTGGTAGCACAAGCTGGAAGCCGCTGCATCATCCGAATCCACGGCGGCTCCGGGGCGGGTACCTTTTCTAGGCGTTTTCCATGCATTGTACCTTTTTCTCAAGTAACAGATTCGGCTCTTGTGTGTCACTGAGGCTCGTTCTTGCACCGGTTCTACGCGGAAACAGCGTCCCCGGCCGCCACTCTAGGGCGGTGAGGACGGCTTCGTCCCGCACTACGCGATACACAATATCGGCCTGGTCAATGCTGGGGATGTCGTACAATCCGCAACTACCTGTGTTATGTATGTAGTACAGTTAAGCACTGCGGGACAAGTGCAATGACGCATCCTGCGTCTACTGAGTGAACGTCAAGCTTTCCCAGTACCACTGCGTCTTTGTTTGAAATAAATGGGCCCTATTTATTGGGATGACAACAGACGAGGGAGGATTGATGGAGGCATGTTCAGCCTCGTGCAAGGCGACGGTGACGGGTCCGCGGTTCGGGCTGCTCCGAAGGGGGCCGCCAAGCGATTCGGAGCGGGCGCCTGAGACAAGTCGCCCAACGCGGCCCCCTCAAGCCTCACCCGGCAACCTTCAACTACGCCTCACAGCACTACCACGGACGCGGCCGGATCTAACCCCATGGTGGCGCCAGAGGCCGCGAGAACTGCTCACAAAGAGGTAGGCGCTCCATGGCTTTCGGCGATGAGGGCTGCGATGGACGGCTCGACACGCGGTGCCTTCGCGCGAGATCCGCGGCGAGTCTGGGGGAGGCTTGAAGGAGCAAATCGTCCATGACCGAGTCACCCGCACCCCAGCACGACCTGTTTCCTTGTACGGGCGGTTCGCCGTTGGCATCCTCGCCGCCTATCTGCACCACGCCGACCGTTGCTAAGCCGCCCGGGTAATCGAACAGCTCACGAACAGCTCAGCAGTGGTAACCCGCAGCCCGTTCGCCATCCCGTTAGACGGCTGCAGCAGCGCCATCTGGCCCTCATCTCTTCCACCATCTCGCCTTGCTATCGCGCGTTATCTGAGGTCTGGCTAAGCCCTGTCGTGGATTATATTGATGTGCGTTAGCCTGGCCGGAAAGAGGAGGTGCTTGTGCCATACGTGCTTTTAAGCTTAAGTTAGTGAGCGCAGCGGTCAGCCGATCGATGCGAGACGCCCTCCGCAGCCTGACGGCCCCAGCATGGCTCAGCGAAGTCCGCGTTCCTTCGTAGCCGAGTCACGGGCGAAGAGGTACGATCTACACACCCTCAAAAGGAAGGCTGGAAGGCACTTTCGCTCGGAGGCGAAGTCTTAGCAGCTTTCCAGCTCATCATTGGCCACCCTCTGGATCGCGCCCTCGACCCTTCATACCGGCATCGCTTGCAGTGCCGCATGGTCGAATGGATCGGCACTGCACTCCTCTAGAAACGTCGCAACCAGGAACAGGTGTTTAATTTAATCTCGGCCTATCACTGGTTTCAAGGTCCCGAGGTCATCAAGCCGGACAGCTTGAGAGGCATGACGATATGGATGCCCTTATTTGCTCAACAATACACTCGACGTCGCCGACTTCGATTTCAGGGAACCTGTCTCGCTCTTCGTCAACCGCGCCTCTCCTCTTTCGCTCTCCGCAATGTTTCCAGTTCCCTGACGACGGCAATCGTAACGGCCTTCCTTCATTGGTCCAGAAGGGTGGCGGTGACGGATCGTCCCGAACCCTTGGCCCATGGGGTTCAGGGGGCGTGGCGCATGTGCATATCCAGTCCAATCTATTCCGTTCTCGGTCATCAACCCGTTACAATACCACAGAACGACGAATGAAATGTCGAGTACCGCAAGCGGCTAGACAAAGGGTTGCGATGAGTACTTGATAGCCCCAAGAGGCGCCCTTGGGAACGGCCTCATTTCATGGTGGCTTACTTCAGACCACTTATCACCTTCTCTCTGCACACTCGCCTTATCTAGCAAGGGTCTTATACCTTTGCCGATCAACGCATCCCACGCTAGATCTTTCCGTCAGGCACGCCGTCGACGTTGAAACGCATGAGCACGTAAAATCACATCCCTAAACTAGTAAGCATGTTAATATCAACTGCGTCTTGCCAAGCTCCGCGCCACTGTCCCTCTGAGCAAGTATCCTCCCGTCCGTTCCCATGATTCCCCTACCCACAGCTCGCTATCAAAGCTAATACTGTTACCTTGTAGGAATTACCGCCGGTCTGGCCTGTACTACCTCCCTTCCTAGGTAAGAGCGGAGGACAGCTGCCACGTTGAGCCGCGGTGCGCGTCGTCTACGCTCGCCGCTGTGTGGTTTAGTGTACGTCGGACACACGCGATACCTGCGTTGTCTCTGATAGCTAGACCCAATTGGAAGGTGAACCTCGCATTCTCGACCAACCTCCACCTCAAGCTTGCCATCTCAACTATATAAGGAGCCTGAGCGACCCCTCAAACCACCAGGCAAGCATCACACCAGCCCTCTGTCCATCAACAGCAGCCCTTCGTTCCAGCTTCGAGCAAATCGTTCTTTGAACTCCCTCCAAATGCGTTTCGAGATCCTCCTCGCGCTTTTGCCTCTGGCACTTGGCGCGCCCGTCGTCACTCCTCGCGCTGGCCAAATCATCCCTGGAAAGTACATCGTCAAGTTTAAGGACGCCGAAGTTACGACTGCTGTTGAGAGCGCCATTGGTCTGTTGGAGAAGGCTCCCGCCCATGTCTATGGTTTTGGCAAATTCAAGGGTTTCGCCGCTGAGATGAATGATGCCATGGTCAAGAAGATTGCTGCCCTGCCGAATGTAAGAACACCCTCTCACTTTTGAAGATGTCTCAGTGCTAATGCGGCCACAGGTTGAGTACGTTGAAAAGGACGCCGTCGTGACTGCCTGGCTCGACGAAGACAGCCTGGAGAAGAAGACCTACGTCACCCAGGGCTCTTCCACCTGGGGTCTCGGCCGCATTTCCCACGTCAATAGGGGCACCTCATCGTACACCTACGATGACAGCGCCGGTGCCAACACCTGCTCCTACGTGATTGACACTGGCATCTACACCTCTCACCCAGAATTCGAGGGCCGTAAGTCACATGCTTAATCCATCCGGTCCTAACTGTCGCTCACCCGCCTCATAGGTGCCACTTTCCTTGCCAACTACGCTGGTGATGGCTCCAACACTGATGGAAACGGCCACGGTACTCACGTCGCCGGAACCATTGGCTCCAAGACGTACGGTGTCGCCAAGAAGACGAACCTCTACGCTGTCAAGGTCCTTGATGCTAGCGGCTCCGTATGCACCCCCTTCTTTAGTACTCTGAGTGCGCCTAGCTGACCGAGATAGGGAACCAACTCTGGTGTCATTGCTGGCATGAACTTCGTCGCCAGCGACTCTAAGACGCGCAGCTGCCCCAACGGTGCTGTTGCCAACATGTCTCTCGGTGGCAGCAAGTCCACGGCCGTGAACTCCGCCGCTGCCTCTATGGTTTCCGCTGGTGTCTTCCTAGCTGTTGCTGCTGGTAACGACGGTGCCAACGCCGCCAACTACTCTCCCGCCTCCGAGGCCTCGGCTTGCACGGTCTGTGCGACGGATAGCAGCGATACCTTCGCTAGCTTTAGCAACTACGGCTCCGTCGTCGATGTCTGTGCGCCTGGTGTCTCCATCCTCTCCACCTGGAACAACGGTGGCACTGTAAGCCCCCTTCCCAGTTCACACCCTCTGACCGCGCTAACACCTTTCAGAACTCCATCTCTGGAACCTCCATGGCCACTCCCCACGTCGCCGGTCTTGGTGCCTACCTTCTGGCTCTTGAGGGCAAGATGACTCCTGCCGCCCTCTGCTCCCGCATCCAGACCCTGTCCAACAAGAACAAGATCTCTGGTGTTCCCTCCGGCACCAAGAACTATCTCGCCTTCAACGGCAACCCCTCTGGCTAAGCGCCTAATGCCTAGTATGCTAATGACTCGCTATTTGCATGATAGAGGAAACTGTTTCGGGGTCGCATAGAAAAGGATTTTCCTCATGAAGTTATGGCTCCTGGATGCATGCGCGGATGATCTGGGATTCCATATGAGTAATGTAGTTTCTATTACGAGTTTTTGAAACTATCACCTTCCCCGTCTTTGCAGTGAACCCCGCGTGAAAGCTCCGTTGCTTCCGCTTCCTTCTTTGCTCGTTTGCAGTCAGCCATGGATTCCGATGTGGTACAGCCAGATGGCGTGCCATGGGCCCGGTTGTTGGCGCCACCCGGTTGTGGAAGGAGCACTTGCACTACCCGTGTGCCACAACACCGCAACGGCCCCTTTTGTACGTGCGGCTGTTTCCTCATTCTCGTCCTAGTCGTGCTACGCGGGCCGGCGCGCTAGAGCGACACGACAATCCCGTTGCGCAAAGCACAACGCCTACGTCGCAGAATCCGTATGGAGATAAACGGGGGCCCCTTTGTCGTCTAGAGACTTTACTATGGCGTAGACTTGCCTATGCTAACTTGGAACGTCTGCTGGGCTTTCCTACACCGCTGAAAATGGTGGGTGTCATTGAACAAGTTTATGCGGACCGGAGCGTGGTGCTGTGAATTCGTGGTACCAGGACTACGCTCCGCCCTTTTATCTTTGCGGCCGCACGTCTGCAGGTAGCCAGGAGGCGCATGCTGGAAGAACACAACAGCCGGCCGCAATGAGCTTGTCCTAAGTTGCCCTGCGCTAGGGCCATGCTGTCCAACCTCACTCTCCGGTCTATGTTGCGCGTCTTTCGTTAGAGGAGGCTATATGCCGGTGTCGCAGAAATAAGATCGTCAATGAGAAAGCGGTCGACGTGCTGCTACCTTGTACGAGAGTGTAATGTAATGTATTTGGACGATCTTGATGAACTTTGGAAGGCCATATACATCTTTGTGGAGAAGGCTATATGCTGGTATCGCGGACATAAGATCATTAAGGAGAAGCGGCCATGTGCTACTATGCAGGTGTAATGTACTGTACGCAGACGATCCTGGCGATCGTGAAGAGGCTGTTGATATCCACATGTTCATGGATGGTACGCCACTGATGGTTGAAATAAGCTCAGCGGTAGGTTGGAACAAGCTCCACAGGATGGACGCATGCAGCGCGGAACGACGAGGCACCTAGTCCGGCTCTTGAGGATCTCCACAGCGTTGGCGCGGATCTCAATATTCTCCATTATCCCGTCCCTCCTGTCATCGCATGATTTTCGCGATCCCCACATTAATGCAGGGCGTGGTCGAAGGAGAGCCGCGTCAATGGGGCTTGGGGCTAGCTGCAAGGGAACGAGCTGAGCCCTCGTCTTTCATCTAGGAACAATCTGGGGAAAGGCACGGCGGCGTCGAGCAGGCGAATGGTAGGGAAGGTGGCGAGCAGATTGATGGGATTTTAATCTATCGTCGGGCAGGCGGGAAGACGGAGGTCTTGAAGTTGCTCCGTATATTGTGGGGCACTGCTCCGGATCTGGCCGTTTCGGAGCAGGCGCGTGGAGCCTCATATATGGGCTTGTCTCTTCCAACGTTCTAGCTCGCGATGCCTCCTTGGAGCTTTCTGCAGCCCCTTCAGAAGGATATCTCAATCGGAAACGCCTTTAGTTTCGACTTCGAGCCTGAAGACGTGATTCGGAGCTTGTTCAGCTGCCATTGGCCGGTCCGGCTGACAGACCCTCACCTCGACTCTCCTCCAGCCAGCTACGCCTGACGACGATCCATATGGAGCTTCAATATGCATTTAGGCTCTCGTGCATGAGATCCGGGGACCTGGATCAAGCCTCCACGATGCTATGAACGACCAAGAATGATGGCGAAGATTGCCCGCGAGAAAGAGGAATCCTCAACCGGAAAGAGTGGAGTGCCGTCAGCTCCCGAATCAGCACCGCGAGTTGGATACAGGAAACAGGAATCACATCAAGCTGCTCCAATACCATTGGTCTTTCTTCCAGCAGCTACATATGCCCAAGGCCAACGGACGAACTCCAAGGAGCACCTGGGCGATCGACGTAGCGCCGGTAGCGTCCTCCACTCCACCATCTTATTTCGACGTTGCATCTGAGACACACCGCTGTCAAGCCGCCACTCCTTCCTCGGAAGCGACCGAAGACTGTGGGAAGACATGAGCTCGTGATTCCTCGAGCGCAAATTCTCCGGACCCTGTGGGCGCTCAAGCCTCGATTCTAGCGAGTCGTAGAGGCTGGTCAACCAGCCCTGCAGCCCGCAGAGTCCTTATCGTCGCGACCTCCAATAAAGCCACCGAGCCGGATGGGCGATGCCAAATCTGACGGCAGCGCTTGCACATGGACACGCACGCGACGCACAGCAACCACATGAAGAGTGTTATCTCACGCAGCGACGGTGGAGGTCCCGAGCTTATAAGTAGCTCGTCCGGCGCGCCTCCTACTGACCTCCTCGATCTGCACACGGCGCTGCTCCCGCGCTCCCGACGGGGACCTCGTCTTTTCGCGCCCTTTTACTCGTTTGGACTCCACAGCATTGGCAACAGGCCACCCAGTCGCTCTCGGCAACTATTCCCGCCGAAGTATGACAAAAGCAGAGGTTGTGTGCGATGAAGGTGTTCCAGTCCCTTCACCTTCCAGCTTCAGCGGCGGTTGGTAAGTAGGAACCCGTTTACCCTCATTATCCGGTCTGTCTAAGCCTCAACAGGGATTTACTAGCAGTATAGCACACTCATTCGACTCTGCGAGAAGCGTTGGCGACAACATATACTCTGCGATCAGTCGCCCCGAACGGGCAGTGCTCATCCGCGCCCCGAGGACTGAGGGACCACCACATGCGTATGAGCTCCGTAACGACGTAGAGTACAGCTGTGCGCTTTAGGGCATCTAACTATAGCGACCTACGCCTGCGCGCGATGCAGGTCAGGGGCCAGTCATACAACGTTGAACAACCGGGAGCCCCGAAAATCGCCATTCGACGCTATGAAGCCCAAGGGGGACCATCCCATATGCCACCCTTTTGTTACCCCCATCGCGCCGCCGCGTAAAATGAGGAACATGGGAACCACAGAAGCTGCGGGACTTTTCCGCCCCACATCCGTCAGCATCAGAACGTCCACGCGCGGTTTACTCCGGCCCACAGCGACCAGATGCACATAACCGGAAGTTGTCACACGATGCACCAGCTCTCCTGCAATCCGGTGTGGTGGTAACCCGGTGAGACTTAGCAGAGCTACTATAGGATGGTACCCTCGCTTCTCCCCGCCTCGCTCCCTACCCAAGGCAGAACCGTCGATCGTCACGACGAACCTTCCAAGTTTCCACCCGGCGTGCCATGCGGCAGACATGGCCTATGGAAACGCTCAACTTGGTGGCGTTGTAGTCCGACTACCTGCCCGACAGAACGCGTCCAAGAGAGGACTTCGTTGCATCGCTGGCATACGATCTTGGGAAAACCTGTTCGACGTCACCAACCTGCCGTATCAAGGTGCACAGCGTCATCTTGCTGAGCACGCAGCGAAGACGCCTTATCCCCTTATCTTGCCGCCATGTCTTGGCATGCATGGTCGCCTTATTGCATGTCTTTTGGTGGGCTCCCTTTCAGGTAGGTGCCCTTCTCATCAGATGTCCTCTCGAGCATCCGTCTTATTCAATAGAATAACGAAGCTGTTATTCGTTGCACCGCCCAGCGATAGAGCCAATCCTTCCTACGGCGGTCCAGTTCGCGCCCGGGATCCCACCCCTGTTGCGCCCAGAACAGCGGACATAGCTAATATATCTTGCGCACAGACCAGGGTGTGAGAGACCCTCACGAGGACTCCCCCACCTCAACACCACCTTCCTTCGCACGCCTCTATACTGCATTGATCCCTGCTGGCAGCAAAGCCTACTCTCCACCGATGTCAAGTTGTGCACTGGCAGCATGGTGAACGTTCCGGACACCATGTTTCGTCCTCTTACCGCTCCGCTCGTTTCTCCGAATTCTTTACGCACGGTCAGCCGTCCGCCCTCGTGTGCGTGTGGAACATTAGAGGATCACGGAAGCCACGCAATGGTCACGATCTGACTTTGAGACGCTAATGCTTTCATTAGCTTTATCGCAGCCAACGAGGGACACGTTCAAGACATGCCACGTCGTGCTGAAGGGCACCGTCAGAGTCGTTATCTCATGGTGGTCATTCGACATATTCAACGCTGACTGTCAAGTCCAATCCCTGAAATCTTCGACGTTGCAGGCCTTATCTGTCATTGACCTTCACCAGTCGGCTTCCCTACTCCGGATCCCTGCTCGCATCAACGTTCTGCGAGGTTCTAACCATTCGGCATAGTACCTAGTGCATACCCCTTTCCGATTTCTTCGCGTTGCTGGGGACCACTGCGGACCCCCAAACAGTGAGCACTTTTGCTGCTTGATGGCTCAGCTTTCTAGGTAATGCCGACTGACCCGGTCCACTTCGGTCCGCACGACTATTCGCACGGGTCCTTCTACGGCTGTGTATACGGATGCTACGTCGATCCCAGAGGCCATGAGGCACCCTTGTTCTCAGGGTACATATCCTCGATTATTCAAGCCGTTAGATTAACCTCATGCAGCCAAGATCCACATGTCGCCGAATCTCAACGCCCTACTAGCCTTCGGAACGAACCGACGTCGTGTATTATCTCTTGGGGCATAGTTTCTCTTTCGATGAGAATAGGCTCCATAGGATACCCACGACATCCGCGCGAAGCCGTTCGCAGTAAACCTGTGGGCTACCCGCGTTGAAAAAACCGTACTAGAGGCCTCCACAACCTTATCAAAATAAAGTTGTGGATGGGCACATGGCTGGGCTGCCTACCCTGACGGTGGCGATCCTCGCAGCCTGAGTGGGATTCAAATCCTGCTGGCCATCACCGCAACTATCGTCTTACCGCAGCAGAGTATTTGGCATGCCCCAATTCGGCACACAACTGCTGCAGGCAATATAGAATGACCTTGTGTCGGGATCACTGGTGAGGAAGGTGGACGGCGTCGTGGGCGTTGCGACGACGTCTTCCGTATCATGGGAGTCTTGGACACAAATATAAAAAGGCCTCTATGGTCAGTGATCTTTGCTCTCTAGCTCTCACAGTCCAGCATCAGAGTCCAACAGCCTCTAACGCCCATCTTTCAACCCAGCACCAGCATCTTCAGTTCAGTTAATCTTGCATCATGTATACCTCGTTGCTTCTTGCTCTTCTCCCAACTGCCTTCGCGGCGCCCCTTCTCAAGCCCAGAGATGCTACTCTCATCCCCGGCAAGTACATCGTCAAGTTCAAGACTGGCGAGATGACTGCTTCTGCTGTCGATGAGGCTAAGGCCGTGATTGCGAGCACCCCTGACTTTGAGTACTCATTCGGAGGTTTCAACGGCTTCGCTGGCACTCTGTCTGATGCCGAGATCGCTAAGCTCCAGGCTATGCCCTCTGTATGTCCTCCCATTCGTTATCAACAAAACCTCTCGCTCACAAGCAACAGGTCGAGTACATTCAGCAGGATGCCCAGGTCACCACCCAGGACTGGCAGTTTGAGAGCGGTGCTCCTTGGGGCCTAGGTCGCATTTCTCACACGTCCAAGGGCAACACTACCTACGTCTACGACAGCTCTTCTGGAGAGGGCACCTGCAGCTACATTATCGACACTGGTATCTATACTGCCCATCCGGAGTTTGAAGGCCGTACGTTTACTACCTCGCGCACTTCTACTTTCTGCTGATGTTTCTTTAGGTGCTGAGTGGCTCGAGAACTTCACTGGCGACGGATCCGACGCTGACGGCTATGGTCACGGCACTCACGTTGCCGGCACCATCGGCTCCGCCACATACGGCGTTGCTAAGAAGACCAAGCTGTACGCCGTCAAGGTTCTTGACGACAGCGGCTCTGGCACCTACGCCGGTGTCATTGCGGGTATCAACTACGTTGCGACGGATGCGCAGACGCGGGACTGCCCCAAGGGCTCCGTCGCCAACATGTCTCTCGGCGGTGGCAAGAACACTGCCGTGAACGAGGCCGTAAGCCCTTTCTCCCGCAGCTTCCCCATCCCTCGACCATCTAACACGTTCTCTAGGTGGCCGCCGCCGTAACCTCCGGCGTCTTCTTCGCCATCGCCGCCGGAAACAGCAACGCGAATGCGGCCAACTACTCGCCGGCCTCCGAGCCTAGCGCCTGCACCGTAGGCGCCACCGACTCCTCCGACGCGCGTGCCTCGTTCTCCAACTATGGCGCCATCGTCGACATTTTTGCCCCTGGCGTCTCCGTGCTCAGCACCTGGAACGACGGCGGTGTTAACACCATCTCTGGCACGTCTATGGCTACGCCGCACATTGCTGGTCTCGGTGCCTATCTCTTGGCCTACGAGAGCATTTCCCCAAGCGAGCTGTGCGGTCGCATTGCTGATCTCGCGATTGAGAATGCGATTACGGGCCTGCCGAGCGGGACTGCGAATCTTTTGGCCTTTAATGGGGCTAATGTGTAAGGGCGAACACACTGACGGTCGCCGGTCTCTCGCGGTTTATAGAAGGAGAAGGCAAGGGAGGGTGATGGCATGGGCTTAGCCAGGGGCGAGCAGATTGGATCTCGGATGCATTTCTCGGCGTTGTCTCGTTGCACAGTCTGTCGTTTAAGCATCGCGGTGTCTCTTTACCTCCCTCGCTATGATTACGATGGATAGAGCATCTTTTCGTGGACTTTTCGTAGAAGTCTTAGTTGCCTTATTGAGTAATTGATAGTGTTTTATTTTAGAATGACTGCATTCTTCTCGTGCTATCTAGGGTAGATGATCCAACGCGTGCATCGAGAGACGAGAAGAGACTTGGGCAATTTTATATGCGGCAGAAACATAAGCATGAGGTCGGAGCCCGTGAACGATATCGAAGTAACCCACTGCCTTCTTTCTTATTCCGTCCCTCACCGTTGCTCTCTGCCGCCTAGCTAACTCACTGCAGCCACTTCCTTCATTCACCTCGCACACCTCCTCAGATAGTCTTCATCATGTTCTGTCTTTGTAACTGCTCTCATTTCCGAGTTCAATACCACTTCTATCCACACCGGCCGGTGGCTCTCGAAAATTAGGAATAAGCAAAGGCCATAGAACAGTCGCGGCAATGCAGCATCCAGAGCCGCTTCCTCCGCGCGGCCAATTGTGAGGCTTTCTCCGGGATGCCGATAGTGAAAGACCGAGGGCAAGTCGGCGAGGCCTTCGACAAGGCTGCAGTGCACTACCGGACAGGCGTCAGATCCGAAAGCAACGCAGTCCGAAAGCAACGCAGGCACATCGGCCTGATCAGAGGTAGGTTATATATGTTGATCCTTCCTCGAACAAGCGAATAAGGCGAAAGGGGAGCCCGGACCGCTTGGAGGGCGCAAGTCTCAGCAACCGGAAGGAGGACCACACCGTTCGTTGGGTGATAGAGTTGGGGAGCCGAGATGGTCGTATGTATATGTATCGATCTGGTTCTTGTAAGATGGCGCAGATGGAGCGAGCCTCGGACGGAGGCAGAGCATCCACTTCCAGCTCCAGCTCTCCCGGGCGAAGGCAGCGCATCGACCTCCGCCTTCAGCTCGCTTGTTGAGTGCGCTGAAATATATATATATAGCTCGACGGGGGCATGCGAAGCTCCCGAGCCACCGGCCGTCCGAGTGTCAGTAACAGCACGAACCGAGTCTCCGAAACCCCCGGCGGTACCGAGTATATAAGGCAATAAGAGCCGGGAGACGCGAACGGTGCGTCGGCGCGTAGCGAAGCTTTCGAGTCGAAGACGTTGGTCTGGAACGTCGGTTCAGACCAAGGATTTTGGGGCCACAGACAGCGCTCCAAGACCCAGCGCCGCATTGTATAACTCGATGTTGGTGGGGGAAGACAGATGGTATTCTACAACCCAACTGTCGCGATATTCGATGGCTAGCTTGCCTATTGCTGGGCTGTCAGCCGTCATTCCCACGTGGCCTTTTTTGAATAGGACTCACGCTCTGACGTTCACCAGAATCCCGCTCCAACGGCTAACGCATCTCTTGCATATATATAACTAGAGCGAGCTCGTACCTGAACAGGTTCGCTCATTTGAGTTCCCAGACTTCTGTAGGGGAGTCAGAAATACCTTGCGTGAGGGATGGATCTGGTCCGAGTGGATATATACGTACCTCATAAATACCAGAGTTTCTTTCCTAAAGGCGCGGCAACATGAATGCGTCTCCGAAGTTCTCCTTTCTCGCAGCGCCATGATGTCTGCAAAAGCGCGGACTCCGCTACGGTGATCTCGAATTTCTGCATAGAAATTGCCTGGCACCGTCAGTCATCATCAGCAACCGCGTGCTCTTTAACATACATGCAAGCAGCGCCGTTCTAATCACGCAATCTCAGCGCATCAAGGTGCCGACCAAAGCGCGAAAAGGCCGAGGATAGGACATTACAGCCCCCGCTACCTTGAGCTGAATATATATATATAGTACCGTGTGCGAAACGCGTGTATATCGAGGATGAACAGTGTCGGTGTATAGTCGATCCAAGATTAGATCTGGATCGGAGAGGATAAAGGAGACCACGCACTTGAGCAAGGTCATGAGGTGTTTTCTACTAACGATGAAGGCAAGGAGAAGAGAGTGAAGGGAACATCGGGATGGTAGGTCTGGGGACGGGTCCGAGGAAGAGATGAAGTGTAGGGAGAAGAGATGCTGCCGTATCCGATGAAGTATAGAGAATAAAGCGCAGATGTTAGTATATATACGAACAAAAAGGAATGTGGTGACGGCCACGCAAGAGGCGAATTTGAAATCCTATGTTCCCCTGACTTGTATGCTGGCGCGTTGTCGGCAACGACGTGGAGCTGGCGGGATTGGATGTCGTATAGGCGCCGTGTTTGTTGTGGTGCAGTGAGAGTACGAAGTAGGCGAAGCAGACAAACACGACACCAAAGATACAAGATACCACAGCAGAAGACGGAAACAAAGACTCATGGTTACCTCTGTGGACTTGGAAATGCAAAAGATGCCAACTGGATGACCTGTCCTGTACCAATTCCGCCTTGCCAGCTCAGCCACCAAGGACCCCACGGCTCCACCACATACACCAGATCTTTAGTCCAACATTACACCAGTAACCAATAAACGCGCCGTGCTGCCATCTCTCGCCGCCTAAAAGTTCTTGCAATACTTCCCAAACTTTCGGTTGTTGAGCGGCTGGGGGAAGACGCCATTATCCAGCAGCTGGAACAGATCCCACTCGCCAGCAGAGCCCTCAGTTTTGAAGTTCCAAAAAGTCCAGCCGTCCGTCTTCGCTTCAAAGGCATCTAGCTGTGTTTCGATATATCGGCGGACATCATCCTTCCAAGCTTGACTCCATGTATTCACCTTCCCGCTCTTCCCAGCGCAGGACCCAATGCGCCAGCTGCCCGACCACGTACCCTCGTACCGGTTACCCGATTTGAACCCGTTCAAATGCGGTGCGCAGTCCGTCATGGCGCCTGACCACTCGCCAACCATAGTCCACTTATCCGAGTTCGCGTACCCATTTACCGAATTGCAAACTTGGGTTCTGTGCTGCGTTGGCGACATAGCCACCAGATTCGAGTCGAAGATCTGGTATTCGTGATGATCGACGATGACAAATTGAGCATTGTTGTCCGAAGGCGTCAGGAAACCGTTGAGCCATGCAGGGTCCCAGAACCCGTCGTGTATCATCAAGGGCGTATCGCTGATCTTGCGCAGGTTGTAGTAGCTGTCGCGGTAGAATTGCTTGACCATGTTCGAGTCGAGCATGGAGAGGAATGGTTCGTTGAGCACCTCGATCGCGATGACAACGTCCTGCATGGATTTGATGGCGTACTTGTCCTCCATCATCTTGAGCACCTTGTGCGTCTGTGGAATGCTGTCGCCTTGGCCCCATTGCGGGCTTGGGAGTTTGTGGCCACTGTGGTCGAAGCCGTTCTGCGACTTCGGCGCTCCATGGAGATCGATGATGACCTTTAAGTCAACTTGTCGCGCCCACCCAATGGCTTTGTCCAAATACGGTGCCGCTCCGAACGTGTACGGACCGCCGGCATCCAGATATGCCCAATATCCAATAGGAATCCGGATGACGTTGAATCCCGCGTTCTTGATCTTCTGGAAATCCGAGAGCTTGACAAAGCTATCCCAATGCGGCTTCAGCGCGTTGTAACACCCTTGTTTGCCAAGCTTCTGGCAGAGTGTCCACTCATCGACAGGCGTAAACGTACTCGTACTATATTTGGTGAAGATAGATGGCGTGATGAACCTGTTGTGATCAGAATCGAGCAAACATGGTTCGCATGCCCGTCTTACGGCTCGAGAACAAGCCATCCTCCAATATTGACACCCCGCACCTTTGTGGTACCCCAGTTGTATGCGACACGTCTCTTTTCGATCTCGCTAGCACCCCGTCAGCATGTTCGGTCCGAAGACGAAGCGGGGACATACTTCGCTGGCGCAGCGTTCACGAGGGAAGCTGCAGCGGCCACAACAGCCGTCAAAGATGAGGAGAGTCGCATGACGGGAGAAAGACGTGCGATATTACGGTATTAAACAATTGAGCTATTCAACGAAAGCGTACAACATAAGAAGCAAACAACGAACGCCTGGGGAGTGAGTGGAAGAGCAGACAGACTCAAAGCTGCGCGCGAAGGGTCGTAGCCCAATGCTAACGGGGAAAGAACCACGGAAGGCGAAACAGGCTCCTTTTCAGGGCAGGAGATGATGGTGTCTTCCCACAAACCTCTGCGACGTCATCTGTGAGGGAGTACCTCTAATTTGTACAGCAGTCGCGCAAGTACAACGCGTGAGGAGCAGCCGATGGCTGCCCTTGCTGGTACCTGCATGAGCATCGGCAAGCCATTCGCGAAGCTTTCTGTAGAGGCGTGATCATTGGAGGCGTAAGGCTACAAGCACCATTGGTTGTATCCCCCAAATCGATAGACTGACGAATGCTCAGCTGAGCCTTCGCGTGCTGGGTTTCGCTTCGAAAAGCAGCGGAGAGGCTAGATTTACGCCACGAATACAGGCGCGCAAGCACGTAATTTCCTGGACTCCTCCGGCGGCGTTATTGAACTGTGGGATATCTAGAGTACTGCGAAATTTGGCGCCGGCAGTGATGAGCGCCTTGCTCAGTACGATGAAAGGCCAGTGGTGCAGAGGGTGGTGTTGCAGTGATGCAAGGCGCGGGACGGACCGCACAGAACCCGAGGTGCTTAGTCAGCGCTGGCCCATTGAGCGGAGTGTTGAAATGCCCAGAGGACTCTGAATCACTTCAGGTATATATCTTGGCTCACTCTTGTCGAACTCAAACCATCGGTGGGTTGAATAGTTGCATTTGATGATTCCTGAAGTAATTACGCTCAAAGAAGAGAAGAATGAATCAAAAGGCAAGACGATTTCCGTCGATCTATTAACCATTCCTGCCCATGTTGTCAAACCCGGCACCATTCCCTTACAGCGGACTTCCAGTGAAGTTCGTAGTCGTCATATCCGGATTTCCGGGAACTACAATAGGCTTTACCTTCGGCAGCGTGTCCACAAACGCATCGTCAACATTCAAATGATCCTTCACAATTTGCCTCGGAGTCAATCCCAGCCACTGGTTGACACTTATATCGCTGTACCGCTTTGCTTGCAGCACTTCCAAGAAGATAAGCGTCTCGTTCCCGGTGTTCTCGAGATAGTGCGCGTTAGGAACCGGAACGTAGCCAACATCTCCAGCGGTGAAATCGAAGGTGCGAGAACTCGCCGGCGCCTGGTAGACGGTCAGACGAGCACTGCCCTGAAGAAAGTACGTCCACTCGTCCGAAGTGGTGTGCCAGTGCATTTCGCGCATTGCGCCGGGCTCCACGGTAATAAGAGCTGTAGAGAAGTCACTCGCGATGGGGAACGTCTCGGGATCGAGGACCTTGATACTACCACCGGGAACTGTGTAGGGCTGTTGTTCAGAGAAGTGAAAGCTATAGCTCTGGGTCTTCGGAATGACGCCAGCGGGGCCAGTGACATTCTGCTGCTCGATGTCCTCTGGTGGCGGGGTCCCGGGGAAGATCCATAGCTGGCCATCGGGAAGCTTGCTGAAAGTCTCGACTGATGTGCGGAAGTTTTTGGCGACCACGGTTTCAGGGTTACGTTCCATGAGCTCAGACACAAGGAAGGTTTCGTCTTCGCTGAAGCTCCCGTCATCGAAGACCAGCAAGAACTCACACCCGTTCTCGAAGGCTTGAATAGAGTGCGGAACACCGGCGGGAAAGAACCAGACGTCGCCGGCTGTGACGTCGTCGACGAAAGTCTGACCGTCTTCGTTGACGGCCTCAATCCGGACGGAGCCATTCAGCATCAAGGCCCATTCACTCGCTTTGTGCCAATGAAGCTCTCGGTAAGCGTTGGGGCTCAGTCGCATGTTCACGCCTGCCATGGCGGTCGCAATAGGCAGTTGATCGACGTTCTGCTGCCTTGCCCATCCGGCGCCAGCAAGGCCATGGCGATTGTGAGACAGACCAAACGGCCACTTCGCATTAGAGACATCTCCTTCATCGGTTCCCGGGGGGATGAACAGATCGCTGTTCAAGCGATCATATGCTTCAGTTCTGTACCATGACATTAGCAAATGCGGGCTGATGATGCTAACACGTAGCATAGAGTACTTACCTTGGGCCGGGATCTGTTGGCGCGGTAGTTCCTCCACGTATCGGCTGCGGATTCTTGACATTTGTGAGATCGATATAAAGACCGAGATTCTCGTTTTCCGATTGCCCCGGTGCGAGTTCGAAGTCCTCGGGAGGAATTTCGGTGGAGGGCTCCTTGGGGACGTTCTCTGAGGAGGAGTAGCCGAGGAGTGCCTCAGAACCACGGAGGGAACCAGATGACCCAGGAGGACCAGGTTGATTGTTGACATCGGAGGGCGAAGCCTGCGGTGCTGGGAGTGCCCATACCGGTACTACCGAGAGGATGAATGATGCATGAGAGGGCTTCATACTGGCAGTGGCCCTTGATGTGGAGCTAGTGAACGAAGAGTTAGAAGGGATGGTCAGCTGAGGGATGAATACCAGAGCTGCGCGTACACCCCGATATTTATACTAGGACCGATATCGCCGCCAGCCTTAGGAACTTAGGGGTTCTTTGAACGCAAAATGCATTGGTACTCAAATTTCTAGTTCATTTGTTCATACCTTGATCCAGATCCCGCGCGCTCCGCATGGGGTTCATCGCCGACGCCTATTGAAGGAAATATGCGGGAGGGACCCCGGGGGCTCCGGAAAAAAAAAAGGAGGGATCGAGGAAATGCACGCGTCTGTATTCATGTCACCCGTAATCGAAGTGGAAGATCGTCACTAGCTATCCCAGACTGGGGAGCCTTCAAGCATCGGATCAAGGTAATGTTTGGCCGAATATCTCCGGGCTGAATCGCTGATAGAAAGTTAGTAAGGCCGTACAAACAGTTGAAGTGCTTACTATGAGGTCACGCGTATCCGCGGCATCTATTCGAAACCGTCCATGAAAACAATGCCATGGAATGCATGTCACGAGGATTGTGTGAAAAAAATATTTGTAATCCCCAGCTGCGGAGAAAGCTCGCTAGCAATGTAGCCGCACGTTTTCGGTCGGAAAGACCAGAAGAGGGAGCGTGGCTGGCGTAACGAACAGGGGTTTTCGCTAGCGGGTTCGTAGACAAACCTTCGCAATTGCATCACCTCAATATAGAACCGTCCCCTTGGTGCCTGGTCAAGCTTTTATAAGCTCCGTCCAAGCTTCTATGACCCACATGCGTGAATATCCGGCAAGACCATTGTGGTACCATTGTATGCTCCTTGCAACGATGTGACAGGCCCGTCATGGAGTGCGGAGCTGTCGAAATGTCGGGCCGAATATAGAGATCACCAGGGGAAAAAGTTACGTGAATCATAGCCAACTCCTCCCGCCATCCTCCAGCTGCAGCTCCCATTGCTTCTAAACATTTCGATGATGTAAATTCAGATGGTTGACCGGCAGATGGTACGGAACGTTATCATTGGTGGGTATTGAACCCAGACAACCCCCACGGTTTGATTCGGTTCGGTAGGGATCCTATGCAAAACAATGGCAACGGCCCGGGAGGTGCTAGGGTTCGGTCGTATATTTAGAACCGAAGGTTTCGCGATTATATTCTTCCTTGGCGTTTCTGCGGACCGAATGTAGACCGACCTCGGCGGTTCTAGTGGGATCTCAGTAGGTTGGCATGGCCGAATAACATAAAGTGATATCCTTGTTGAATTGACAACGAATAGCGCTCTGAGACCCTCAAGGTAGAGGAAATCTGACTCATAGACTTGCAGACTAGGACGATCGTTTCCCGTTGCCTAATCGCTGCGGTTTAGTCCAAGAACCCCATGGTTTCGTCCATGATCGCCGCGAAGCTCTTGGTCTCGCGGTGTTTCCCGCTAGTGATCGGAGGAAACTGGGCCATCTTGATGCGGAAGTCGGCGGATTTCTGTATTGCTGGTGCCAGATTTCTAGACCTTAAGATCAGAAACTGAAGACAACAAACTCGTGGCACTCTCACTTGACGTCGCCTCGGAGGAGATAATTCGATCTCTCCATGGCTATAGCGAGCTCCTCTTGATGGTTGTCAAGAAGCTGGTCATTCGGGACAACAACGAGCGGGATTTGATAGCGTAAAGTTGCGAGTATGGAGCCGGAACCTGACAAGCTTAGCACTCGCTCCATCTGCCTGCAACGGGTAAAGACATACCGGCATGTGAAATGACCAAGCCCTTGGACTGCTGGACCAACTTGAACTGTTCTCTCAGTCCGTTTGGGTCGAAATCCATGCCGCCGATAGCGAATGTTTCGTTTCCCTGCTGCTGTAGGTAGTTGCGAGCCGCCTGGGCACGGGTTTCGAAGACATCCTTGGCCGTGCCAAATTGGATCAAAAGATGTGTGTAACCGCCTTCTCGTAAGGCGTCCAGCGATGATGGCTCAAGAAGTGATTCGATAAGAGCTGTAAACGGTGCTGTAGCGCCTGTAGTCACAAAGCAGACTTTCATGGGTGAGCCCTCAGTCAAGGTCCAGGATGCGGCCATGCTGAGCCGAGGCGTGTTACAGAGCGTCCAAGGGGTCAAAGTTTATCCAAGGTCCGCTATCTAGGAATTCATCAAAGTCGATATTTGTGATGTATTGTTGCTAAGAAAAGGCGATAGAAAGGAAGGAGTGGGGCGTCGGATAGGTTCGACCGGCCTCGGTCGCACTTTCTTCCACGGCATGCCAAGGTCGGGGGCTCGCGCATTGCGAAAAGTTGACGGTCGCCCAATCCCCATCCACAACACAACAATGGCTTCAATATCTCGAAGATTACTACTCTACTCGCGGCGGTGTCCGTCTCGAATACCTTCTCGATCCAACATCCCCACGCTCACAGCGCAATGGCAGCGACCGCTTTCGACCACCTCCCCGGTCTACGCTAAAGAGCCAACAAAAGAAGGCTCCGCTACCGCCGCGGCTGCCGAATCCCCCTCAAAAGTTGCGGATGAGAGCGCGACGTCATCGAGCCCTGAAACAGAGACAGCTCGCCAGCTCCGCAAGCTGGTTGAAGACCTCAAAGCGCTCGATCCCGACGTCGTCCAAGACGCGATCCGCAAGGGCAAGCATGGGATCCCCTTCGCGAAGGACTTCGAGCTAGAGAATGACGAGGACCTCGAGATTGCAGAGGAAACCGGGAGGGCGGGCTTCTGGGCCGAGGGAGAAGAGTCATTGGGCCCGGATGAGGATTACTATGGAGATGACCTGACTAGCTTGGGTCATGGCGAGCTGGAGCAGCACAGGGAACTGAGGGAGTACGCCCGCTTGATTGCTTGGGAGCTGCCATTGCTGAGCCGTACGTCAATCCTACCCCCACCTGCCATGTCATACCGCTTCGCGACCTCAATCAACCCGCATGGTCATGAGACCTGAGTACGATGAAGCTAATTCCAGCAGAGCTCGCCCGCCCCTTCGAGCCTCCCACAGCTGCAACTCCCTTCCGCTTCCGCTACACTTCCTACCTCGGCGAATCCCACCCTGCCGTCAACAAAGTCGTCGTCGAATTCACTGCCTCAGACATGAATCTCACCATACAACAACGCGACAAACTCATCAAGCTCGCCGGGCCACGCTACAACCCCGACACCGACATAATAAAGATGTCTTGCGAGGACTTCGACACTCAAGCGCAGAACAAGCGCTTCCTCGGCGAGACAATTTTCAAGCTATTGGCAGAAGCTAAGGACGGGAAAGATACATTTGAAGACGTGCCGTTCGACTTTAGACATCGTAAGCCCAAAGTGCGGTATGAGTTCCCTAAGGAATGGATATTGACGCCGGAGAGGAAGAAGTATCTGGAGAATAAGAGGGCGCAGGCTGCGAAGTTAGATGACGAGAGATTGCATACCGGGCAGCTGGTGGATGGCAAGACAGTTATCGACACAAGCTTACCATTTTCAACTCCAGAGCCAGAGCCCGTCATGGTAGGCGGCCCGAGGGGAAAACAACTGAGGTGAGAGAGGAAAGATGAAGGAATTGTGCAATATTTTGTATCATATCTGGAGCTGGGATACTCGAAAAGTCTCTTCCCAAAGGGATGAACAGGCCTATATCGCTAACCGTCGAGCGCGTCGCCGCGGCTTAGTTGCGTTTCGGATCCTGTTGTATCAGATAGTGGGTGTAGGAACAAGAACCCAGGTGTCAACGTGATATCGAGCAAGCAATGATATCGAAAGAGCCCCGATGACGGCTACAGTGGATGAACCGCGAAAAGCATCAGTATCCTAGAGGGTATCTAACCCATGTCCCACCGAACGCCGTCCCATAAGATAACAATGTCCACCCGGGCGTCACGCGCGAGCTAACTCCATACATGTCTAACATACTCATACAAAGCTTCGGCCGAGGCGCTCGTGACATGGGAACGGTCGAGTGCGCGAAGGAGTCGTTGGCCAGAGACTACGGGCGAGGCAGCTGATGCAAAGGTCGCTGAAGAAGGCACGCCTATGCACGCGCATTAGCATCATCAGTTCCCGGTGCCTCCACTTGCCCTGTTCTTCTTTCTGCCACCTTTTGCTCCGGTATCTTCTCCATCTCTCTTCCGCTTCCCTGGGCGGCTGGTTCCGCCCTTCGGTCTGTATGCCGCATCCTCGTCGCCGCCTTTGCCTCTCCTTCCTTTGCCCGTGCCGGACTCAGCTATGAAGTCGTCATCATCGTGATCTGTTCGAGGGCCAGGCGTGCCTGAGACGGCGGACTGGCGCTTGCCTGCGCGACCGCCTGTGTTGCCTGGTCGTGCTGCTGATTTCTCGGACAGGTTCTCGGGATGCTGGGGGTCTTTGTCCTGCAGAAAGACTTGCGGCTGGTTCTTTCGGAGCCAGTTGTAGACGCTGTCGGGGTTCCGCACTGTGAGATCTTTCTCGGTGGGGACAGGCTGGGTGGGTACTACACGAAGAGGCCGGCCGTCGTGGTTGTTGGGGTTATAGACGTTGGGGTCGGCGAGCGCTACGTCCATGGCTAGGAGATACTCCTCCTCATGTGCAGGCGACATGTGCCCTGGCGCCTGGTCGGTCAAGTCTATGCCTTCTATCGGCGGTTCTGGTGGTTCCGTTGTGTGGGGGACTTGCGCCTCGAGACTGGCGAGCGTGCGGATCGTCTGTATGTGTGAGTTGTGCAACTGATCCGCTCTGTGCGCGTATTCCTCTGGCGTGATAAGCTCGTTCGATAGGTCAGTCCTAAGCTCGTGCAGTCTCCGCTGTATCGCGTCCGGGTCGGGGTCGGCTTCGAGCGAGGGAAGTGCAGCATCGGCCTCGGAAAGCTCGCGGAGGTCGACGCGGAGATTCGCAGGTAATCGCTTCGTGTCATTCATGTCTAGAAGGAGATCAAGAATTTGGCTGTGCGCTGTTAATACTGCTGCAATGCGCCCCGGAAGCGTGGTGGCTGTACTCGTTCTGCTCCTGCAGCCGCCGCGCCAGGGCTTGGGTTTTCCATTCGTCCATGATCAATTGATTGCTGGCGGCCATCGTCTCTTCGAATTTGGCGCGCATCTTGCGATACTTTCTCCTGTCGCGCACCATCAGCATCTGCCACGGCGAGGTGGCGGCGCGTCCCTACCTCCATGATCGCTTTACCGGCGGCTTCTGTGCGCTGTCGGCGGGGGTGTCTGGGTGTGCGTCGGTGTGCGGCTGGCCTTCGGGCCTGGGCTCTGCTTCGGTGGCCATGGCGAGGGTCGTGATGGAGACGTGGGAAAGGTGGAAAGGTGGAGGCAGAGGCGGAAGTTCCAGGTTGGGGTCCACGCTGATTGGCCCGTGCGGCGGCGTGCAGTGAACGAATTCCGCTGAAGTTCTGCCCAGCACCAAAGCAGTCACCTGCCCGCCTGCCTCTTCAGAGAGCGTTGCGTCAGGGGAAGCTGCTACCTAATGACCTCCGAATAGCCCTCCACCTCGCCTGCAACTCCATCACGCCATTCACCCACTCAGCCATCCTTCCATTCGTTCATCGCGCCGAAGCTCGGACAGCCCGGAAGCTGTTGCGTACGCAGTAAGACACCGTCCATCCAACCACGCGCCGCTCTGCGCTGCTGAGACTCTACTGACCCGTACTGCCTCTTCTAGGAACTCTGGTCCCGCTTTGATCACCGCGAGACCTTCCATATCTTCGAATCTCTCCCGCATCCCCCCATCAATACCGCCAAACTGTCACCCATACTCCTCAACCGTACCTCCCGCCTCAGCTTTGCTGGCGACCCGCGGCCCGGTCATACGGGCACACCGTCTCGCAGGATGCCTCTCGACGTAAATGAGGCTCGGAGACGGCGTAGCAGTAGTCTTGTCTACAAGGAACCCCCCGAGTCTTTGGAGCAACTCAGCGACCAGTCTGCCCTGCCAAATCTAAACGCGCAATGGGTGAATGCGAAGGGTGAGTACACCATACATATGGCTGGGAAGCTTGAAAGGAGGTCGAGATGGTTCTACACTTTGGCTTCCGCCACGTGGCGTCTCTGAGAAGGCTTGCTAACATATCCCCTTTGCAGGCGCATGGGCGATACATTTTGTCCTCATCGTTCTCGGCAAGATATTATTTGACATCATACCCGGCGTATCGCAAGAGACCTCGTGGACCTTGACCAACATCTCGTACATGGCCGGCTCGTACCTCATGTTCCACTACGTCCGTGGCGTGCCCTTCGACTTCAACTCCGGTGCCTACGACAACCTCAACATGTGGGAGCAGATTGACAATGGGGACCAATACACTCCCGCGAAGAAGTTCCTGCTGTTCGTCCCAATTGCCCTATTCTTGGTCAGCACACATTATACCCACTATGATTTGACGTACTTTATCATCAACACGCTGGCCACGATAGCCGTGGTCATTCCGAAGCTGCCTTCGGTAAGATACACTACGTCTGTCTCACCGTACATCTGCTTACACGAACAGGCTCACAGGATACGCTTCACGCTATTTTCACCTCCGCCGGACGACTCGTAGATGGGCTTTCGAGATACCATAACGCATTGTTGGGGCCTTTGCTGTAATTCTGCATGTATTTTTAATATCCAATCAGGCCAGGAAGCAAGAAATTGAGCTGCATTAAGCGGGTATAGGCGTTGGGAGTCAAAATATACGAAGAGGTGGCTACCTCACAGCGTGTTGGCTGAATTTGAACTTCCGCAAGATCTTTCAACTCCCACAAGAACCCCTCGTTCATGAGCCTGGTGTGCGCCTCGTCTACTTGGTGGCGAGTGAGTGATTCTAGCCGTGCGTGCTTCCACTCCCGATAGAATGCCTCAATTGAGTTGGAAAAGAGACTTGAAGCCCTTCGTAGGTCTGATACGTCGCCGCTTTTTTTTTGTATCGAGGCTGTTCGGTTGGATGTGAGAGGACGCTGTGTGCCGACGGACAACGCGGAGTTCGCCTTTGTCTCGCAAATTGAGAGTAGAACCAACATGTACGAACGCAGGGCTAACAATCTACCATTTGTTGTGACACTCGTTGCGACATGAGGGCGCAGAAAACCAAGCTAACTATCCATGGAACTGGGACCGCTGACCGCATTCTAGCGTACTTTATCCCTACCAACTCGTCATCCATCTTCCTATCCCACCGTCAAGTTTCTTTTCGAAAGTATTCTGCTCTTCTATCCTCTACTGAGGTATACTGCAATCTGTGCCGTCTCTCCAAAGTTCCGTCTTTTATGGTCACCATGACGTAAACCTTGTCGCTCGGAACAATCTCTGCAATAACCTGCATAATCCAGTTCAACAAGTCCAAACAGAAACTGATAAACTTTCTTGGCCTTTCAGTGCCATTGTCTGCCTAGACAACTGCGACTACCCTCTCCGGAGCTCTACAGGCCGCCATGGCGTGGAGCCAACTTGAGCCAACGCCCGCACATCTCACTTACGCGGTCCTAACCTTCTTTCTCCTGCTCTATGCCGTCTTCTCGCTCCAAATCCGGAATCGCCTCCACCTTTCTGAGCCACCTCTCGCGACCGTCTTCGGAATCATCGTTGGACCCCGTGGCATCGGCGTCTTGGAACCGTACGAATGGGGATTCGGTGACGGTGTGGTGCATGAGTTCACGCGTCTCATTGCGGGAATTCAGTGCTTTGCTGTCGGCCTGGAGCTGCCCGATGGTTACTTCAGAAGCAAGTGGAAGGATGTCGCCATGCTTCTCGGGCCTATCATGACGTTTGGATGGGTGGTTTGCGCCGCTTTTATTATGATTATGTTTGAAACAGATATAGCGACCGCGCTTATTATATCAGCATGCCTTACGCCTACGGACCCGGTGCTCGCAGCCTCCGTTCTCTCCAACTCGCAATTCAGCACCCGAATACCCAAACGGATCCGGGATCTTCTTTCCTCAGAAAGCGGCTGCAATGACGGCGTCTCGTTCCCGTTTCTCTATATCGGACTAAGCATCCTGACCAAGGCTACTCTTAGGGGTATTTTCAAGAAGTGGTTCCTGATCACAGTCTTGTACCAATGTGCTGTTGGCGTGATACTGGGACTATTCGTTGGCCACGTCTTCAACAGGATATACAGATTCAGCTCAAGTCGCGAGATGATCGGGCGAGCAAGGTACGTGTGCATATGAATCTTGCCTCTCGAAATTATTCTAAAAGGTCTCCAACCGCCCGAGAACAGACCATGATCTGCCTAGGCGCCAGCCCCGTCGCCTTATCCCTTCTTCATCTCGTACTTTAATGCACGTACTAATGCGCTCGCAGCTACCTGGCGTTTTACCTCCTACTGGCCGTATTCTCAATTGGACTAGCCTCGATTTTAGGTGTTGACGACTTCCTAGTTGCCTTTTTCGCAGGCTTAGGGTTTTCCCACGGCGGCAATTCTCCGACAGCGGATACACGGCTTCCGGTGATTATTGATCTGATGTGCAACTCTACCATGTTTGTTTTCTTCGGCGCAATGATCCCTTGGAAATCTTTCAATCACATTGAGACCATCACGCCGCTCCGTCTCCTTGGAATCCTCGTTCTAATCCTCTTGTTCAGGAGGATTCCGATCGTCTACTCGCTCTACAAAATGAAGTGGCTTCCGAACGTCAAAACGACTACTGAAGCGCTATTTTGCGGCCACTTTGGACCTATGGGCGTTGGTGCCTTGTTTCTAGCCATGGAGGCGAGGGCCCAGTTGGAGACCGACACGTCGCTGCCATTACCGCAACCCCCGACTGATCTACCGATTGACAAAAAGAGGGCTGTGACCCTCGTTTGGCCCATCATATCTTTCGTTGTTCTGGGGAGTATATTGGTGCATGGCATGAGCACACTGGCGATCAGTGTCGGGAGTCATTTTACGCGAAGAAAGGGAGAGCGAGCCCCGTTGATTGGAGCGGAGAGGGATCGGTTTAGTCGAATGGTGTTTGACGAGGATGATGCGGAAGAAAGGGAGCGGAATGAGGAGGAAGAGGAGGCTGAGTATCGGACTTTTCTTCACTCGAGGACGTAGCGAATTCATGGTGCTAGCGCCAGATACCATACAGTTCTGTTAGTGCTAATTCATCATGTCAACATTCGGCTAGGACTGCACGACAGAGACTGTGCACGTCACGATCTGGGAAGGTGCGGCATCATGTGATACCGCGTCCTAGCGCGCTGAACAGGGGGTAAGACGAGGCTATTTTAGCACCGCGTATCAACCCTGATTCTGCCAACACGATCGCTCCGGCCTCCTTCTTTGTCCTCATTGAACCGCAGCGATATAGCTCTTACAATAATGTCAGAGTTACCGCGTAAACGCGCTCGCCGCGCGCCCACGACCCCAAGGCGTAATCCAAAACGTCACCGGACAAGTGCTTCCACCACTTCCGAAGACCCATCAGGCACGACACTCGATTCCGCCATAGACGAAGGACTCGCAAAACTAGATTCAGCCATAGAGTAAGAACTGGCAAAACTGCACCGAGTCGACGACCCCCCCTCCGGTACCGAGACGAAGACAACGAGTATAGAATGAAAATAAGGAATGGCATTATGAGAAACTCTTCGAGAGCGCATACCGATTATGAAGGATAGAATGGTCGATCAGGCTCTCAAGGAGCTGAAAGATGTGGAGAATGAGGTTGAAAAGAAAGATAAGCAAATAGAACGGTTGTGGGACTTCATCGATGCAAAGCAGCTGATCACTGGTAAGTTTTCAACACTACACGCAGGTTTACACTGCTAACCAAGACGCAGAGGTGCCACCCTACTGAAAATGCGCCTCGAATGTCCTACTCGGCGTAGGGACGTCTTTAGTGCCGTCGAGAACGGAATGCAGTCGACTTATGATGCTTTCAAATTACAGGCGCACGAGCCGTATTGCTCGATCAGACTCGGCCAAGCAATGATGCGCTTCCTGCCTATAATCCAGGAACTCTGCAATCGACATGATGAATACAGCCTACGTTTCGCGTACATGCTGCTCATCACAATGCAGGGGATGACTCACACCGCCCTTCGAAGTCTGGGGTCACGAGTCGTGGGCCGAGCGGCCTTGTGATGTGGCAGCAGATTACATGCTTGCGGATACTGTTAGTAAAGCTATGAACGTGGGAATTCGGCTGAAGGGGAAGGATTTGGAATTCAATCTTGCGCGGCTAGAGAGGAGGAGAGAGGTGATGCGTAGTTTCGGGATTGTGGGCTAAGGTCGGGCTACGCACACTAGAATATTTCGTCCGGTCTAGGTTCAGATGCTGAAATCTCCGGCCCAGCCGCAGATAGTGACAATGAGCTGCGACTAGGTAATCCGGTCGATTATCCGAAGGGTATGCTGGGGCTGAAGTGGGCTATTCGGGGGAAGCCACATGGGGAATTGGCAGCGTGGGGGTGCCTCTAGGCTGGATGATGTGCATAGAGCACTTGGAGCTAAGTACTTGTTATAGGGTTAATAGTTAGGTGGTCGTCACCTGTCGTTTCCATTTCGCTTAATAATCACAGATGAGGCTCTGAGGACCCCTGCACATCGGCTTGTGCCCCACCAGGACCACAGAAAAGTTTCAGCCCCGCCAAATCCTTCCCTGGCAAAGCAATGGCCGGCCCTGTCCTTGAGACCGCGCCCGTTCTCTCCACGCCGGAAACACATGTCTTCGAAGACCCTACCCCTCCTGTCGATGTATCGAGCCTCCCGCGGCTGTCGGACGAGCAGCTCGCGCTCACGTATGAGATCGAACGCACCGTCAGGGAAATAAGAGAAGGAAGATGGAACAGGATAGCGCTCCAGTTTCCGGACCAGATGCTGGTGGATGCGCCGAGGGTGTATGAGGCGTTGGGAAGAGGGCTGAAGAGTACTCGCAAAGCTCGCAACAAGGTCTCGAAAGAGGGACAGAGTGGGACGACCGCGGAGGAACAGGTGGCTGCAAAGTTGGAGGATGCTACTATAAATGAAGAGGACTCTACTGAAGAAAGTCTATTCATATTGGCAGATACGTCTTACGGCGCTTGCTGCGTGGATGAGGTCGCGGCCGAGCATGTCGACGCAGACGTCGTGGTGCATTATGGCAGATCGTGTCTCTCGCCTCCCTCGAGACTACCGGTTATATACGTTTTCACGGAGAGGCCGCTGGATCTGGAATCGGTAATATCGACGTTCAAACAAACGTATTCGGATAAGGCGCAGAAGGTCATCCTCATGGCAGACATACCATACTCCCACCATATACCCACGTTTCACGCACGGTTGAACGACGACGGATATACGAACACCTACGCAACGGAGATAGTCCACAATCCCTCCTCGCTCCTCCCGAACCGGACTAGCCCCCCAGAAGCTTCAGATTCGAAAGAAGCGCTCCGCGACTACCGCCTCTTCCACATCTCCGACCCGCCACGCTCCCTCCTCCTCACACTCTCCTCGCGCGTAGCATCCATCCACATCTATCCCACCGACTCATCATCTCCGCCGACTGCGACTCTTGCTTCAACCGCTATGACGCTCAGCCGACGCTATGCCCTGCTCACCTCGCTCACTGCCGCCTCCGTCTTCGGAATCCTCATCAATACATTATCCGTCAAGAACTACATGCACATTCTCTCCCACGTGCAGCACCAAATTACCGCCGCAGGCAAGAAGTATTACACCTTCGTCGTTGGCAAAGTCAACCCCGCCAAAGTGGCCAATTTTAGTGAAGTGGGCGGATGGGTCGTAATTGGATGCTGGGAAAGCAGTCTGATCGAGAGTAAAGAATTCTGGAAACCAATTATCACCCCTTTCGAGTTGGACTTGGCATTACAGGGTGATGAGGAGAGGGTATGGACAGGCGAGTGGACGGGCGACTTCCAGGCCGTGCTTGAGGAGAAGGATAAGAAACCCACGAAGATCACGAAAGGCACGCATAAAGGAGAGTTGCAGGAGGGACATGGGGCCAACGGCACCGGCGACTACGACTCCGAAGAAGAATCTGCGCCTCCCGAATTCGATCTCCGCACCGGCCGCTACGTCTCGCACTCGCGTCCTATGCGCCCCGCGACCACTTCCCACCAACCCACAGTCCGCCTTGAAAACGGGAAACCGGCTCAAAGTAGCACCGCGCTGACCAAGCGAGCAAATGGCGACCTAGCGCAGGTCGGAGGCGTTATGAGCCCTGGGGCTGAGTTCCTGCGCTCGCAGCGCACATGGCAGGGACTAGGGAGCGATTATCGGACCGAGGAAGACGAGAATCCGAATGTCGTTAGAAATGCGGCGAAGATGGAGGAGGGGCGGAGTGGAATTGCAAGGGGGTACGTTGTAGGTGAAGAGGGGACGGTGCATTGAGCAAGGTAGCCAAAAGAACCCAGCGCTTGGACAGAGCAAACCCAAACCCAGAATACAAGAATGCTCTTCATCTACTGGAAGGGAGTAGGCATCACCTGCGCATCTATTTGCTCCTATGCTCATGTTGAAGCTAATAGTGTGCATCGAGAGTAAGGAGAGCAAGGGATGAATGCCTTCGGATTAACAAAGTGCTTGAATTGCTACGATGACCCACATATTCGCTCTAACATGAAACAGGAGGCTCTGGCCTCTCATTCGCTTAGATGCGCCATAAGGTATTTCGAACCAAGAGCAGGCCGCCCTATCCTTGCGAACACTACGCTCAGTAAGCATCCAAAACGCCAGACCCATTCGTCCATCTTTTCCCTCTATCCCACTCAACCCCCGCCCTCGGCGATTGCCCTAAAAAGTGGGCCCATATAATTTCTCAGCGTCAGGTTATGGGCCATAACGAAACCAAGCTGCTCCTTCACGGGCGCGAAAACGCGCAGCACCCAGCCCGCATTCTCCGCCTCTTGCTCTTCCTTCTCGTGTGCCTCGCGTGCCGCATCGCTCAGGCGCGGTTTCTTCCCGCCCATGGTGCGTCGATGCTCTGGGCTCGATTCGCTGTAGGTGCGTTTATGGGTATGTGTTGGTGAATCGGGGACCTCGTGGACGGAGGACGGTGGGTTAAGCTTGCCGAGCTGGCGCGCAAGATTGCGGAGCACGAGGACGGAGGCGAGTGCGAGGCCGGCGGCGTCGTTGTTCTCGTCGGTGGAGGTGTTGTAGTACCGGAAGTTGGGTGTAGGTTGTGAAGGGAGCGACGCGGAAGCAGGCAGGCGATCACCATACGCATACTTATCGTTGTAGCGGGTGCCCATGCCCAGGCTCCCCAGGCCGACGGGTTGGCCGAACTGCGGTTGGAAGTTTTCGTAGCGAACTTGCGCCGAGGAGGTAAGCGGTGTGGATGTCGAGGGGGTGCGATTATGCTTTGCGTGGACCGCATGCATGAGGGAAGTGTCCGGAAGGTGAGTTTTGACGTGTTGGCCGGCTTCGAATGCGGAGTCGGTGCCTGAGGGGTTGAAGTGTGTGCAGCCGCCCCAGTGGCAGAAGTATTTCGTTGGTTTGGAAGTGCTCACGGCGTCCCCGTTTTCCATGTTGATGTCTGGTTTCTGCTCGAGGAGCCATTTACCGGATTCATCTCTTGGGACTTTGAGATGTGCAGAGACGATGTGCTCCCACATGGCCTTGACGCCGGAAGTGAATTCACCGCATTCAATCTTTGCAGTGGAGTGCTTCGTATCCGAATACCCATTCAGTAGGCTCGGTGGATGCCAGCAGCACCGCATGTACTGTTTCTTCGTTGAAGGGTCAACCGGGACCGATCGTGGACGTATACCTCGTATAGTATACTTCTGTGCTCCGTTCTGGTTGATTACCTGAGCAGAGGCGCCACCGAAGGTAGTCGAAACATTGGTGATGAAGTCCTTAGCCGGCATGAGCGCTTTGAACGACGTGTTGTTCGTCATTATGTCCTGGAAGGCTGCGTTGTATGCGGACCAGAGCTGTATTTGGGTAATCTCACCCGTCGGATCCTCTTCGAAACACGTTCGCAGCCATTGCGAACTACGCTCGGGCTCGTCCAGTGTCACCAGCTGCTCGATGATTGCAGACGAAAGCTTCGGTGCGCCGTCCGCGTGTTGTGATGGTTTGGACGACTTTGGGCTACTCCGCCGCTCCTCGTACGCGATTGCGCCGAACTGGAGAAGGCGAACCAGCTGATTGACAAGGCTTTCAACATCGACCTCGAGGACAAGGGTCTCCACGTTATCCACGAAACCAGTGAAAAGGTATAGGAAGTCCAGGCATGCATTACGAAGCTCCTCGTCCTCTACTAAGAGCCAGTTGCATATTAACTGAAGTGTCTTCTTCGGCACGCCCGACAGCTTATTGGTAGCCTCCAGATTCATCGCAATTCGTCCAAGCGCTCGTAAAGAGGTGATGATTTTGCCCCTATCTTCGGAGTCGACCTGAGCGAGGAGAGAGCGGTATAACGGATTCTGCGCATCCAAGAACCAAAACCTCGTCAACTGCTCGGCAATCTCGAGAGCGTAGTGTTGGATTTCTATTACCGTGGGGTGGTTTGGGAGATTGAGAACAATCACGATCAGGTCCTTCACGGACGGTATCATGGAGGCATAGAGCGCGTTCTCATGGAGCATGACCATGTTGCGAATAATGAGTGCCGCTTCGTTGATCATGTTGAGGGATTTGGCATCGTTGTCTGGTAACAGGTCGTCCTGGATATCCCGTGCCTGGAGAGATTGTATCCGTCGCATTAGATCCTTGGTCCCATTCAAACCGTTGAGTACGTTCGGGCGATCAAATTCCTCTTCGACATACGATATCTCCCAATCGATATCGTAAAATAAGGATGCGATCTGGATGACCTTGTCGATGAGGGCTTCGGCGAGTCCGGGAAACTGATCGAACCTATACTTGTCGCCACGCTCGTGAGATATCTTGACCAGATGGTGCAATGCATATGCCTCTTCTTCTGGCTCCTTAGATCGTAGCGCGTGCAGAGCGCGGATGTAGATATTAGGTCCAGGAAAGCCAGCTTGGTTGTGTTAATCACGGGCTCAGAGCGACAGACAAGCGACTTACTGCCAGGTAGCATTATGCCCTTTAATGGGACAGGCCTGTTCCTCCGGTTGACGATGTACTTCTTGCGCAGGTTGATGAAGTATTCGGGGTTGTTCGCCGGAGTCGTGACCGGCTTCATGGTAGAAGGCACAGCTGTCCGCGGCTCGTAGTTCGCTATCGTCATGGCCGCACCGCTTGTCCCAAAGACGCCGTTCATACCGGGCTGCGGCGAGTTCAGGTGTCCGGTCGACTGGCGGGTCTGGCGCCCCGATACTTCAGGCTGGAAGAGCATCCGCTGCGGCGGAGCGTGACGGAGATCTGAAGGGTGTTAGCAAGACGATCATTATCTTAACAGCGGCAGTACATGCTTCTTGTCACCCGCCCGGTACTTCCTGGGTCGTCCAAGTCCATCTTGTCCTCGCGCGGGGTCCTTTTGTGGTCGCCCTCCTCGTCCGACTCGTCGGAGTCGTCCTCACCGGTCCGTAATCGCTCAGTCTCTCGACTAATAGGGCGGAAGTAGTTCTCGACGGTCCGATTTAGCAGGTCGCCTCCCTTCGCGGACACATCCTCTAGGATCTCTTTGGGCGGCGGCTCGCGCTTGTGGACGTTCGTGATCTCGTAGGCACTAGGCTCACATTAAGTGTCTGCGCGGTATTTGGAGCGGTGGAGCGCGTACGCAAGATTCTTGTAGTATGCGGTTTTGACGAGGAAGGCCTGGGTGGTCAAATTAGAGCTTCCAGGGAGAAACTCGCCAGCCAGGCGCCTCCAAGCGAGCTTATTGCCCTTCGTATCCGAAACCTTGTCGTATCCACCCTCCAAGTTCACGCGTTTGTACAGGCGCAACAGGTCGATGTGTCGGCTCCCTACTTTGGGTTCGCGGTCCAGGATTGTTCTACGAATCACGGTCAGTACCAGCCGCTTCAGCAACAAAACGCAAACGGAGTGCCCACCCTCGCTTTTCGTGGTATTTCGCCAGCTCTTCTAGGAATTCCTCGTACTCTGTCGTGCGCTCGATGGAGGGCTCACGCGGCTGTTTGTCTTTCGGCGCCATGCTACGGACAGCGCTATCGCCTATGGGTCGCGCGGCGCAGAGCGGGAGGCATGAACTGTGGGCGGTGTGGAGGCAGGCGCAATCGCAGTCGGCGGTGTGGCTTCGGTGACGGGCGCGGCGCGCTTCGGTCGCGATGGTGATGAACATCAGAATGCAAGGCTCAAAGTTCCGCGACTCTAGCTCCGGTGCACGGGCCACAGGTTAGTCACATGACCGCGCCGCCTGCAAGGCTGTCTCCGAGTCGCGACTTCCGCTTCCATCTCGTCGCCACTCGCCCTAACCGCGACTCTCACCCTCACGCACAAATTGGGTGAAAATAGTTGATCTCGGACTAACGCCAGCGTCTTCACTAACCTCCACCATGGCAGACTCGGGGCTCATCAGCCTGAACCTCGCCAAGCTCTCAACCACTACCGACGTGCCTCCAGACGCGTCGCAGCAGCATTATGTTTGGAAGCACACCTATAGTGACCTTGTGGTCGTCTTTGACAGCTTCAGGTCAGCAGGCCCTCGCTCGCGAGTAATGAGAATCACCCAGGCAACCCAGGTTCTGGTAGGGTACCCAGTCACCGCACGTGCGATGGCGTTCTGACAGACGCAATAGTACGAGGTACCTGTTGAGGAGATGGTCAACGAGGGTCGGGAAATCACCGACAGACTCTCCCTCCACGGAATGGAAGTAAAATGCGACCAGTTACCCATCTCAGCTATCGTGAAGTGCCCAATGCTAGCGCTTCGCTACTCTCTACGAGACCAGGGAAAGGTAAAGGAGCAATCTAATGAAGAACGACAGCTGACTCTCTGCGTAGATTCGTCGCATCCAGCTTCGGTTCGCCTCGTCTGAGGAATATGACACTGCCATCAATCATCTTCGTCAGCTTGGTCTGCGGATGAGTGCAGCACAATCCGCAAAATCGACTCCTTCCGTATCCCCTTTCAGGCCCCAGAGCGGGGGTCCTTCATTCCCGCCGTCTCATCTTGCGGAAATCTCGAATCGGCCGCTCTCCGCCCTTCCAGCTATTGCGCCTTCCCTTCAGCCACAGTTACAGGAAGCAGCTGTTGTCCGCCCCATGTCTGCTATGCTGCCACTGTCTGGCCCGCTTGTACCTCCAGTCTACTTTCGGAGGCCTGATTCAGCATCCACCTCATCGTCAAGGAACCTCTTCTCGGACTATTCGATCGTTCCAGACAATCCTCCAACTCCGACCAACACCAACCGGCAGGACACTGCTCTATCGTCCGATCGCCCAAACACTAGCACAAGCGAATCATACCTTCCACCGAGGCGAGAACTCCCCTTCGTTCGCCCGGATCTCCCAAAGTCTTCGGGGAGCGACGGTGTTCGGCCTAGCAGCCGGTCGTCCAGCAGCATCATGGGGCCACCACCCTTGCCGCCACCTTCGCGTGCCGGAAGCAAGAGGCCAAGCTCGAAGGGAGCAAATAGTCATGGAACTGAGCTGTCTTCTCTAGCCAAGCCAACCATAGTCGAGAGTATTCATGCTACACCCCAGATTAGGCCTAGCTCAGGGCGCGGCTCCAGTCGAGGATCTGACAATGCTTCTCCTTCCAAGCCGATTATCACCGAGCGCAAGGAGAACCAGCCTCTTCCGAGCTCCCCGCCACCATACAGGCCGGGTACCACTGTTACCAGACCCGGTACGCGTCCTCTAAGTCCCCCCGGCGCTGCCCAGCAGAATCGGCAGCAGAACGAGCCAGCAAGTGTCTTTCTGTCTCCTCCCGCATCCGACGCAACGAATCAAGGCCAGGTCCGACTCTCCTTGGGACTCTGTAATGCCATCGCCGCTAACGCCACCGAGAGCCTTGCAGAATTCACCATGCAATCAGAGGAGGGACGCATGTCAGCTCTGAACAACTTTATCCTGCAGCATCTCGACGACGACAATTTTCTCGCGTTGGTCGAGGATATGGACGTATGCTGGGCCAGGATTGCGCCTGGCCTGGGATGACGACATGGTTGACTTCTGGGCGGTATCAGGAGGATTGCCTATAGTAATGTTTTCAGATAATGTGGTGGATGACAAAGTTCGCTTTGATCTTCAACAGTTTCGACATGGTTTTCTCTATATCTATACCTCTTCCTATGGAGCTCATGGTTTCGCTGTCCACCCGAGCGCATTCAGTAAGAGTATCATTAGGGTCAGTGTTGAAACGGGGGGTGTGGTCGGTCGGCACCATTTCAGAAAGATTACCCCTACCCCGATCATATTAATGAACAACATCTCTAGAAGCAGCGGCGGCTTAAAGCGTGTCGCGATGCCTTGTACGCCAAGTCTCGGAGGTACGAAATAAGCGGTACAGGCCAAACTCAAGGATTCAGCCGTAGGAGAACTTTTATCTTCGACTAATTGGAATACCGACATACGCAGATACGATGCGAGAGGGTCCGACCCATTTGCTCCATTGGCGATACCAGCTACATGCGCGCCAAGCAGCGGCTTCCACATACACCCCGGATTCCAATGTTCTGGTCTGCAATGTCGAGCGGGTAGAGATCTGACGGTGAATAGTTGCCCTTTGGTAGCTCTAACTCCTCAACGTGCGGCGGGACTCAAGACATTACACATTGTGTAAGATCAGAGAAGAACCCCTATATCAAAGGCTAACTATTCAATTCCTAGAACGCTTAGCTCTTCCGCTCCGCGCAACTCTCGCAATCGCCGGTACAAAAAGGCAAACACACGCACTGAATCCACGAACCTCGTGGAAAAGTTCCCATCGAAAATGCATCGGAGCACTCCGGACTAACTTTACTACATTCGAGACCCCTCATTTCTGCAATGTCGGCGGGGGTACACCGGACTTATGTCGTCCACCTCAGCGCATGCATTTGGCCTCATAGGAGCCGTCCCAGTGATAACTCGTCAAAGTATTTCGGGCCGACTTTTACCTATTTCAAACACTCCTTCCTCCCGCGTTGCGGTGAGCAAGCACTAATCGACGTTACTATAACATAGCGGCGGAATACAGGTGTGGTCAAGTGCTCCAGGTATCTGGGGCTTTTCTGGGGTTAAGAGACGCAGGGAGGAGACTGAGTGCATAGAAATGGGTGCGGTGAGCGGGATGAGAGAGACTCATAGGAGAGACTTCAAGCTCCCCAGTAGTTGGGCTAGTAAGTAGGTAAGAGAAGTAGTCTGCCTTCGTGATTTCTGCTCCCCGCCTCAGTTTGTTGAGATTTACCTTTACTTTGAGATTTCAGACTATTACCTCGTGTCTTCCTTTAGCTCGACTCACTGCTAACCTTCCTACCACGATCTGGCCAACAGACGAAAACCCAGTTACAATCTCCACCACGTTACGAATCGCACATTGCCTCCGCACCCAACATGGCGGCGTACTCCTCTAAAACGGAATTCCACGCGAAGGGTCTTGAGCTTCATTCATTCATCGCCGAGCTCGACTGCGATATTTGCCACGAGCCGTTGGGGGTGCCAGCAGAAGAAGGTGCCCTGAAGTCATCCACAAATGCTACCGCGCTGTTCGGCAATCAAATCAGGAAGACAGCTCCTGGCTCGCAGGCCCAGACCTCGAAGTCTGGTGAGCGAACCGAGACCGCGGTATCCGCCACTGCAGCGCCATCCTCTGTCTCGAATAGCGCCGCAATCACATACAATACCCATACCGCTGTCAAGATCAAAGCATGCGGTCACGTCTTCGGAGTCAGCTGTCTCCAGCGCTGGCTCTTCTCCCACCAAACCTGTCCAATGTGCCGCAAGGTGCTATTCCCCACTCCATCCGTCGAGGAGACGCTTGATGATCTGGAGATACGGTACCCAGAACCCGATACCTTCTTTCCTGAGCTCGCTACTAGACTCCGGAATTACTATCGAATGCTACAGCTCCCTGTCTTCCAGGCTTTCCTGCGGCTGACTGCGATGATGATGAGGGAGACTTCGGTTGGGGAAGGGGATCAGTGGGAAGACATTGGTAGCGAGGTTGAGGAGGATAGTAGAGATGAGGTAGAGTCGGATAGTGGGGATGAAGGGGAGGTCAGTAGCGATAAGGAAGATGCTGATTCTGAGAACGAAAACGAAGTGGACGATGTCGCCCCGGACGAAACGTCACCTGAGCGCTCCCCCGCCTGATTCGGAGAACATCATCGCGCGCACCCATTGCACAGCTGGTGATGGCACAACAGGATTCGTCGTAACAACTCGGGGTGAGGAAGGGAGCAAGATCCCGGATCAAGAACGCACCGGTCGATGCACTAAATGCCATGGCCGTGGTTCCATGACTTAGCCTAAAGCAACTTCTTGGGATAGTGCGTAAGGAAGACCTTGGAGCGGTTTCTCTGTCATTTGGGTACGACCTTCACGATACCGTTCAACTAGGCATTAGGGCATTCCACTTCTTTCTATCCATCAACAATAACACCGTATTCGGAGCAGTGTCCATTATATTACATCTAAGATATTATGATAGCATAGCAAAGAAGACTCACCGGCAATGGCTTTCTCGTCTCTTTTGTCTGCTTCTAGATATCATGAACGATTTGACGCACGGCTCATACGCCACACCAGAAAGTTAGGAGTTGAATTCAAAGGGGCGATTGACGAGCGACTGAGTGCGACCGTACATCCACGAGCCCTAGTAATAAGCATATACGCATCTCGACAGCACGCTGGTGAATGAGGAAGGCACACTCGGTGTGGATTAGGAAAGCGCTGGAACTGCGCATAATGCTTGACAAGTGTATGTCCTATCCAGCGCTGAGAACATAACATAACGGACGGTAGCAGCTGCCAACCGATGCGGGGACAAGCGGCACATAGGTTGTAGCTATTGCTGTGGTGGAGCACGAAGTGGCCGTGGTCCTTCAGTACACGATACGTCGCTCAAAACGCAACGGCTCCGCGTTTCGGGTGAGGTCTACCTATCGAGACCCGTGACAAGGCAAAGTATGACTCTATCGGATTTGTTCAACTTCTCAACATGCTAAGGCATCAAAGTCCAAATTCAATAGACCTGTCAGGTCTAGTAGCATAGAGAGCCTTGCACCTACTTGAGCTCATCGTCACTGCTCATCGACTATGGCGCTGGTATCGAGAGGTTTATTCATACCGCTGCACGACAGAATCGGGATATGTGATGGTTGGACTACGGCATAGAGCGGGTTCAACTGTGGCTATATCCTCGCTTTTTCCTTCACTGCAGATGCAAGCATCGGCGATGCCGTCCTTTGGGCTGTGTTTCGGTCGACCCTCGCCGTGTTTGGGCTCCAGAAGGAATGTCAAGCTCTGTTCAAGGCTGACAGTATCGACATCCTCCATGAGAGAGTGGCTCCACTTCATCTCTCGGGATCGAGTGACGGTCGTCATTATACTCTCATATTCGAGTTTCCACACCATTGAGTTTTGCGACTTTGCCCGGATGGCGTGATGGACGTGTATGATCAAGAGACAAGAGGATATGGGGATGCTGACTGAGAAACAGTGGCCAGCCCACTATTCCTTCTGGGATCGAGTGGATAATAGGATCCGAGACATACCGATAGACGACCTCGCTCTCCGCCTCGCATTGTCAACCTCCCCAATACTCAAGCGGCGTGGATCCTTCAAAGACAGCATAGATTTTACCAAACCTGGAATTTAGGCGACTCCGTCGAGGGAAGCTTATGAAAATGCGGTGCACGAATATCTTATCAGGCATACCGTCGGTGAAGACGAGACCATCTCTCCGGGGTCATGGTGAGCCCCGGCTACACTATCAGCACGATAGCAAGCCTGAAGATCCCCCGCACTTAGACGCGCCGGACTTCGCTTCAACGGCCGACCTCATTCCTAGAGCTCAGGATGCAACAGCGCTGTCAATACTTCGTACATATGTGGCTGTGTTAGCGGGACGCCCAAGCAGACTGCTCCTCCAACAGCGGAGCCTTGGCGATCAAAGTCCCACGCTCACAATCCGTCGTCTGCGTACGTCATTCTAGATCCGGATCCGCGTCCGCGGGGCCAGGAAACGGCATGAAGTCAGGCATTCCATTGAAACCAAACCCCGTTGTTCCGCTCGTGTAAGCCGGGTGATGGTCCAGAAGGTCAGATGCTAAAATGGACTTTGGGTAGTTCGGCGTGAATGCTCCTGATTGGCTGCGAAGTCCGGCAGTAGCCGGATTGGGAATAGCGGGGATGGAAGAATGCAGATACCTCTGTGTATTACGAAAATGCGGTGAATGAACGATCTATTGCGAGATAGGCGTTTGTTGCGTGCAAATGGGGTGTGCGGGATGAAGTTCGCCGCATGATTGTTGTGGAACGGACTGGGTTGATGATGCCGCAGTTGACGGTGGCCGTTCATCTCCGATGCGAGCAAACCGAACATAGGTTATCCGTAGCGATAACCATCACAGCGGTCGTGGCACAGCGGCGTCGGGCCACGGCCCGTACAAAGATCATGCGTGGCCGGTAGGAGCGGTGCTCATAATCGTTCATGGTTAGAACGGGCGATGAACTCTGTCCGCAAGGCGACGGAGATCAAGCAGAGAACTACGGATTGACCGACCGAAGACGACGGAACGCGGCGCGCTGTGGGATTCTGGAGGCCTTCCACTACGAGAAATAGCTCCGCCGTTCATGAATTAGTTGAGATGGATGCGATTCGCCAGCAGCACTCTCGGATCCCTACAAATCTCGGTGACACCCGAAAATCCAGAGAGCAAAGTGTCCACTATTCCCTACACGTGATTAGATCTTCCACGTCTACCATGATCATATCTGAAGGATGAAGGAGGAAGGAGATCGTGTTCCTTTGGCCCCAAGGAGCGCGGCTGGTTGTTGTCCAAGCTCCACAAACATTCTTGAGGAAGCTGCATTCTCCCCGTATTGGGAATCGCCCTGCGGCAGTTTGACGATGTCTAGGAAGCCAGAATCTGTTGAGGGTTGGGCAGGACAATGCATCTATGGGTCGGAGGATTGCGGCGTCGGACTGTTAGGCCCAACTCGTCCAAAGTACCAAACTCGGCACTTGAGCTCTGGAGTCCGGAAATTTAAATGGTTTCGTAGGTTGCTTCGTCATTGTCAACGACATCGCCTGAAGAGGATACTGCGCCGCATTGATGTCGTGAGCGTTGACAATCCGGGGGATGACGAAGCAGGGTGCGACGCGGATGTTTCTCGTCAATGCGATGGCGTAGCTACTACCAGCCAAACGTGTGCGGCGCAGGAATTGATCTGCAGCTTGTAGGGATCAGCTAGCTATGCAGCATAACACAAAAACGGTTGCGGATTGCGTTGGTAGAGTAGTCGGGGGCCGAAGTGCGCTTCGTGAAGCAAAAGCTGTTGAGACGGCGAGCCGCTTGTACTCTCGGTGCTCGAAATTGAGGGCGAGAAGAACGCTATGCATTCAGGTGAGGATTTGGACAGTATTGCAGGTGTTGGAACGGTTCCATATTTGTCGTGACACGAGCGCTTTGGTGGGCGGCTGCATCTATAACGGGCCTCGGAAGCGTGCGCGCCGCATCGGAACGTTGACAGCCGCACAGAGCCTCAACGAGCGCTTCGCCTGGGGTCTCTTTTTGGAAGTCGTACATGAGAGAAGGACATTCGTAGCACGGAGATACAGGGCCGGCAGAGTGGGCGCCTGCTGCCGTACTAACCCCACGTTTGACGCCCACTGACGCCCCGCGACTGCTGAGGATGGTCGAGCGGATACAGGGAGGTAGCGGCGGCGATTCCGAGACGCCATTTGACAAACGACGGTTGTCTTCTGACGGTCGGCTGTTGTGTTTGCTGGCTGTCTTGGATGCCACGGCCTTCTAGAAGCAAATCTGCAACTAGTGGGCACGATTGGGTGGTCTGCTGAGGCTGTGCAGGACAGCGCTTCATGAGGAAAATCGGAAACTGGCAGGGTCCGGGCGGTGATTGGCGACGGCTGTCCAGCATGAAGCTGGCCTGCTGTCTCGCGGTGGTGTGGACGGGCGACATGGCTGCAATCTGGGAGCAGCTGAGGTGGCGCCGACGACAAGATGGGTGTCATTCATGCCCTGGGCCCATAGCGGCCGGTCATATGGCAGCCGTCAACCGGTGTTGAAACGGACAGAATTTGTTTGCGTGACAGCCGGCCAATGGCACCGCCCCTGCGCGCCGACGCATGACATGACGATCGCAGCCGTCCTTGATCGTGGTGGAGGGTCGCGCCGAGGGCGTGCGCTTCGTGCGAGATCTCGCCGAGCGCCAATCAGGGCGCGCGACGCGGCGCACCGCCTCACCGCAGCCACACCCGCGCGAGGGAGCTCCCCCATCCAGGCCCGTCTCCGGCCCTCCCACATGCAACGGTCAGCTCGCAGCGGTGCACACACGCGTCCGCGATGGCGACGAGAGTTGTGGCCTGCCCGATGCGGCGGACAGCCACATTTCGACCTCCTCGAGTCCGACGGCTCGTCGCTGGCTCAGGGCTTGGAGGCTGGGGTTGGGCTGGCAAAATTTGCGTGTGGCCACCACCAGGGCATTGCTTCTCCGAACTTTGGGCCACACATTCGTCACTCGTCATGCTGGCGAAGTCCGTGAGCGCAGCTGCCGGGCCCGGTGGCAGGAGATGCCTGTGCTGGGATATGTGGATATATGGATGCGGTCGCGTCTGTCGTCGTGGTCGAATGCCATTCATCGACCCTACGGCAGTCGAGGCTGGCCGTCTCCGCCCATACCTCACCGCCTCATATTATTTTCCACTGTGACCCAACCCGCACCAGCAGACCTCGACCGCCAGCGACCAGCCTCCGGTGCATGCACATATCAGAGACTGCTGCCCACCGGCCCGTTGCACGCACGCCAGCAAACCGACCCTCGACAACCGTCTGCCCTCGCTATCCTACCTGCATATACACTGCGAGTCGCGCAAGCACGGAATACCACATTGCTCCCGGCCTCCCCTTTGGCGAACACACTGCTGCGTTGCAGTGAGCGGCATGTTCTAAAACGAAGAGCCACTCCTTTGAAACGCAGACGGCCCCGGGCTCGAGGAGATTGGCTGACAGGTGCTCGTTCTGAAATAGCCTCCGCTCCCTGCAAACAACTGGCGGGCAGCGAATCGACGGCTGGGTGTCTTGAAACACGCCTTCTCTGGGGACGCTGCACCTCTTCCTCCCACTTGGCTCAGGCATCCGAAGACAGCCAGTTAACCGCCTGGCCCGAGTTGCTGCTGCCGCGCACCCAAGCGAAACGCAGGCGGCGAGGGCGCTCCATTGGCTCCGGGCCTGCAGCCTCCCAGGCGCGCTATTCCCCGCCAGCATTCCTGAGGGCAGCTTCAAAAGTAGCATCGCTGTGCGTCCCACCGAGGGGGCCGCAGGATAAGTATCACGCTTCGTCGCGGATACACTCGTTTTCGGTCAGTGCAGTTCGCTTTGATATTTCATCCCTTCTCCCATTCATCCCCCTCCTCCCTCCCTCCCTTGAACCGGCAGGCACGATCCCCCCCCCGCTCGCCGGCCAATCACGAGCATCCACACCTCCCTCCCCTTCCTGGCAGTGCCACTCCCAGACTCTCCTTGCAGTCTGCCCCGTCGCTCTTCCCTTTCCTTCTCAACAGCATTGCGCCTTCCGCCGGCCGGAATCAATCCCTCTTAATTCGCACCGGTCTTTTGTTTCAACCTCGTCTGTTTCCGCACTCTCAAGCCACCTCGTACAGCCTCGGACTCAGCTTACACACGCTTGGACAGCCCGACATACCTTGTTGATCCTGAGTTTCCGCCTCGCAGGGCTCATTCTAATTCGAGGAGCCCGGTATTCCTACTTCGGAACCGACACATCAGCAATATACACGGCTGAAGCACCAGTGCTTTAAGACCTCCGCACGACCCTCCGACTCGTCTTCGTCACCGTCGACCATCATGACTTACTCACCCAACCTGGCCGCCGAAAACAAGGCCGCGCTGGACCACTTCATTCAGCTCCCGGTGTCACCGGACATGATCGCATACCTCGCACAGAAGGCATCACAAGTCATCCGCTGCGAACCATCATCGCATCTCAACAAGAACCTGCCACCAACCCCGCCGGCATCACCACCCCAGGATGCCGCCACCAACTACCGGGAACCTCCTCTACCGTCGGTCGAAGAGTTCATCACATCGTTAGTGGAGAGGTCACATGTCCAGGTCCCGACCCTCATGACCTCTCTCGTCTACCTTAGCCGACTAAAATCCCGTCTCCCGCCGGTCGCCAAGGGCATGCGGTGTACCGTCCACCGCATCTTTCTTGCCGCTCTCATCCTTGCCGCGAAGAACCTGAACGACTCTTCTCCCAAGAACAAGCACTGGGCTAGATACAGTGCTGTCCGGGGATACGAAAACTTTGGCTTCTCCATCACCGAGGTCAACCTCATGGAGAAACAGCTCCTTTTCCTTCTAGACTGGGACCTCCGCATCAACCCAGACGATCTCTACTACCACTTGGAGCCCTTCCTTGCTCCCATCCGCGTGTGGCAAGCTCGTCAAGCTGAGAAGGTCCGTCAAGCCGAAAGGGAGAAGGAATTCGCCCGCCAGCAGCACAAGCTTACTTCCGAGAACCTCTACCGATCTCGCCTGGATGTACCTACTTACGACTCCCCTACCTTCACTTCATACGCGAACCAGAGGCTTCGGCCATACGCCACTCCATCATCACGGGCGCCATCAAGGACGCCTTCGCTATCACCACCTACTCGGAGCTCGTCCGTTTCAACCAGCTCGGACTCTCCGGGGAGCATCAGCTTCACTGAAGAACCCGCAGAGGCAGTCGTTCAGCCGCTCTACGACACAGACAGCGGCGCCACTCTTGTGCATATTCACGCTCCCGGGTCACAAACGAAGCTCGAGCACTCTCTCCCGCTCAGCTACGACGACAAACCGTCGAAGAAGGCGAAAACGTCGACTAGTGGTTTCTTCAATAGAATGTTTGCTGGCGCCTACACGGCCAGGCAAACAGCATACTGATTCACTCGCTTTTTCCTTTGTAACGTCACGAAAAGATACTAGGGATATGATCGATGCGGTGCCTACTGGATGGGGACCTAATCAGTATTTCTTGGGACATGTCTGGCATCATTGGCATATTTGCATAGCATTGCGTCGGCGCTGGGGGTCAATCGCAGCATTTCTAGTGGGATCTATGGGCCGGCGCGCCTGTTGCTCGATATCCAATATCGCGGATAGCATATACGTCGCCCATTATGGATGGGCAGACGAAGAAGACGATAATGAAGATGAATCACATCCATACCATTCACACTCTCGCTTGTAGCTCACTCTTTGCCCTTGCAATCTCCGCCCCCTGAGGTTGCTCACAAGCGTCAATTCCTGCCAGCCACTCCTGCATACCTTGACACGCGCGACGTACATTTCTAGAGGCGGGGTTTGCTCACCTGCGTTCCTTGCGCGCATCGGGGAGACACGCTGCAGTCGCACGAAAAACGCCTTCAGCGGGTTCTTTCGACTGCTTGCAGCCGTTTACGAGGTCACGGTACACCGGTCGTCAGCCGCACAATCAATATATCGTCCCGCTTACCCCGCCTCGATGGCGATGGCGATGGCGATGGCGAAGTTGTGCGGTTCTATTCCGCCTCACTCGGCTGAGTGACCGGCTTCGCAGCCACAGCAGATTCCAACCAGCCTTTTCGCATCTGCCTATTCTACCTCGGCGAGGTTGGTTGAGCGTGGCTCAGCGGCGCGAGGCAGGTGACCGGTGAGCCAGTCGCCAACATCACAATGGCAATGGTGCCGTGCCGGCTGTTGGACGTTCATTGCTATCAGTCGTGCTCGGCTAGAATGCGCGGGGCGTTCAGCTCGTGCTCCAGCGTCGTGTCTGTTGGAGATCAAACGTGGTGGATGAGGTTTGCGTTTCATCTTGATGCCTGCCAAGAGGGTGACGTGGGAGGGGCGGTGCCTTCCTCATTGGCCGATATTCTCCGCACTGTGCCTTCATCACCAAGTCCATCTCGACTCCGTCGTTGGACATCTATCTCGCTTTCGTGTACTCTTGACTGTCTTCATACATCTTCGCATCCTCTCATTCCGTCTTCGATGAGCCCAGCTTCCTCTCGGGTGATCTGCGATGAGAGCGCTCCTTTGCAGACGGCTGCAACGCGAGCTCTGATCACAGACCCCTTTCAACTGCACCGAGTCAACTCCTGCAAGCCCTCAGGAGCATGCACGAGCCAAGCTATACTGTCACGTTCTATGGACACTTCACGGGATCACCGCTTCGTCTGGGACGCTATCACGGCTCCGCCAGTTCCTTAAAGGAGTTCACTGATACGTGGCCGTTCCACGGAATTGCCCTTCTTCCTTCACCTCCCCCGGGCAAGCAAATAGAAAAAGTGGAATCTACATCCACAGATGACTGCATGCGTCGCTGCTATCTCATCCGAACGCAGGTTCCGCTCTTGGCCCAAGGCCATCTGCATCGTTCCACGATGCAGCACCCGCTGCAAGATTTGAATTCAAACACCACCGCAGGATCCAGCAGACCGTTTTGGCCCAATCTAGAGCCCCTTTCAGCCGCATGTACGCCTATTTGAGTCGCCGCATGCCCGGTTCAATGCAGTTCATGCGGATAAGTGCTATGCGCCAACGAGCCACATCCGGCCACAGAAGCGAATGCCTGCGCCGCAACATCCCACTTATAGCACGGTAGCTCACTGTTCCGAAGATCCTCATGGCCGGTCCTGCAGGATACCTCTGAACATCTTCGTTCCTTTCGTCACTTACGCTCGTTTCTATTCATGGTCGTTCTTCTCGTTATCCGTTGATCGGGTGCGAGTTCTTTTTTAATGGTCCGCCAGTTGACCTTTCTTGGAAATGGCGTCAAGAGGCAAGGAACAGGGTGCGATGGCCGGTCACCGAGGTACAACCACTGGATGCGGTACAACACCTTCTATGGCCTGTTGATTACGACGACTCTGGCCACTCTTCTCCTGGCGGCGGACCGATTCGAATGGCGCGCCACAGGGGTCGTCTTTCGAGTGGCAAACAGATTCCCAGGTTCAGTGGCGTTTATCGTCCAGCTATTTGCGGCATTCTTCGGCGTTATTCACGTTGCGATAATCTGCAAGTTGATCGTACGTAACGCTGGGCTACAATCTTCGTATCTCTATCAGAGTGCCTGGCAGATGAGATTTCGCCATTCGGCAGGTACTCGATGAGGTCATAGGCGTACTACATCCTCCAATGAACTGCACTGACTCTGTATTCTCACCTCTAGAACTATGCCCTGCGACTGCGCTTGGCCAAAGCAAGCGTCTCGCTGGACGTTTTACGAACCTGGATGGACATGAGTATTCCGCGCGTCGACTGGGATCTGCCGCTCCGCTTCTTCTTTCCGGTGCTATTCACGGTCTTGCTCAGTCTAGTCCCCGCAGCGTTATGGGCCGGTTCTATAACGCCGTTAATAGACAGGACAACAGGTACGGGCACGCTACTTCTACCGAGTTATGAAGATGTATCAATGATTAGGGAGTACCCCATGGAGATTGGGAACGCTGGACCATCCCTCCGGAATCAGAAAGGCCTATTTACGTACTCAGTTGGGCAGCAGCTCATAGGCCCTCTCCTTTCCGTTGCGGCTTCAGCGTCCTCTGTTGGTGCCGACCCTATTGTACACCCTAAAATCGACAACACCCAGTTTAGCTATCAAGGGAGATCATATGGCGTCGGCGCTCCCGCTGGTTTGACGGATCTTTTGATATCGTCTAACAACCTGGCGGCTGGATATAGGTATCAAGAGGAGGGTTACCTTGCAAACGTTTCCTGTATCTACAACGCAACCTCCAATTTTACCCTCTCCGGACCGGTCAATGAATGGATCTTTGCCGCCTCCGGCAGCCTGCCAGACAGCGTTGGCGGGCCCGAATACTCCAACTACATCGGGCACGATGGTAGAGCAATCGTCGCCATGGGCGTAGCCTTCAGTCAACGCTCGCCGCGCCGCTACATCGCCATAACCGCCGGCGAAGCCTACGGCTTCCTCAACGGCACGCAATGCGAGATCGACTTTACCCCCACACTCTTCAACGTAACAGTCGACCTCTCCAACCTCAACATCACCGTCCGTCCCGCTCAAACCATCCCGGACTTCAACCCCCAGCGCAATCTGACCCGCACCGTGGTTCGCCAATTCGAGCTGATATCAAACGATATGACTAATTTGTACGTGTCACTTCTCGGTGAAGCGCTGAATTCCAGCATCGCAGCGTACAACATGTCGCGCGCGTCCGTCTCCCGAAACCCTTTCACAGAGCAGGAAGCCACGCTCGCAGGCCTCAAAAACTCCATCATCGCAATGGCAGATGACATGCTGGTGGCCTACGCCTCGGCCCAGCTCATGGTGGGACGCATGTTCACGCCGCAAACAGCAAAAATCTACGTCTACGCGCTGCAATTCGGGCAATCACCTTACATCTACGCCATTTTCTCGCTCAACTTGCTCATCATCCTCGCCGTGGTCGGCGAAGCTGTACGCACACGCGGCTGGTCCTCGCTCGGGCGATTCAACTACCTCGATCCGCGTGATCTTATCATAGCAGCTTCGCGAGGTGGAAGGGAGCTCGCGGACGCGGCGGACGATATGGTGCAGTCGGATGTGAAGAAGATCCCGAAGCATGTTTGGTTGCTTAGTGATCCGGATGAGGGGAATGGAAGGTTGGTGGTAAGGCTGAGGGGCAGGGAGGATGGGCATGCGGCGATCGAGGTAGTGGGTGCTGGTGGAACAGGTGTGGGTGGAGGGGAGTTGGAGAAGGGGGAGAAGTGGGATGGGGATGATGTGGATGTGGAGAAGGAGATGGCGAGGAGGGAGTGGGAAGGCAAAAAAGGGAGCGAACAGGGCGTGAAAAAGAGACGGATGGGGATTTTTGGGTCGACGGGATAAGTGGGAGGCGGTCGGCTTAGGGTTCCCGGGAGACCGGACAAGAGCCTAGGGGGTTGGTTGAAGTGGTGTGTTAAGGACGTGCTTTGAGGAAGGTTGAGGGTAATGACTGGGATGAGGGTGGACGTTTAAAGCTTCTTTTGGGTAGCCTTTCCTTGCTAACGTCTAATGCGATATGATGATCATGACTCCTTCCTTCCTATATGGTCTGGGAGAAATAGGGTTCGACGGTAGCTTAGTATGTATGCTCTAACTTCGAACCCGTTCAAAGACGACACCATCAGAATACTTGACTCCTCCTTCGTTCTATTTGACTTCTATGACGATTCCTATACATACATACATACACACACATATACATACACACACATATACATACACACACATATACATACACACACATA